ATATATTAAGATAAGAGTCTATTTCTTATAGTATTCCTAGTTATTAAAATAATAATTATTATTATTTTTAAAGTATCTTTTTTCTATAATCTAGTTATTTTTATAGTTAGAGTTAAAGTATTTAACTCTTATAAAGATCTTTATTACTTTATTTTTATAGATCCTAGAATTATCTTAAAAGATATATTTAAACTATAAAAGTTAATTTACTTATTCTTAAAGATTAAATAATTTCTTAAACTTATTAATCTTAAAATCCTTTACTTTCTTATATATTTTAATCTTAGTTCTTCTATAAGCTATAGATAGATTATCTAGAAAAGTCCTAATATTAATTCTAGAAACTTAAATAAAGAGCTCTTTAAGATAAATATAAATTATAAGGAACTCTTCTAGATATTCTAGTTTATATCTTTTCTTTTCTAAAGTATCTATAGTAATACTTCTAGATCTATTAATACTTTTAGTTATAAGATTATTAATAATTTCTTTAATCTAGTTTAGATTAGATTTAATTAGGTTTATATACTAATCTAGAACTAATTTATTCTTAGATTATCTAATAATAAAAAAGAAAGATATAATAAGCTTAGATTAAGTACTATTATAAAAGGATATAGGGTTTTAGTATATAAAGAGTACTATTATTAATCTTTAGGTAGTTAAAAGAGAAGAATTAGAATTATAATAGTTACTAAGTTATTAGACTAGAGACCTATAACTAAATAAGAATATTAGATAATAAAGATTAAATAGAATAATTAATATATAGAACTGATTCTTATAGGATAAGAATTATAGCTATTATTTATATATTTTAATATTAGTAGAGCTTACTAGGGCTTAGAGTAATTATATATTAATAAGTGTATTATAGTAGATTTATCTATAGAGTAACTATAAATTATATCTAAATTATATCTAAAGGGATTTAGGAATCCTATAATAATTTAGTATCTTTCTTTAGATATAGTATTTTTAGTAGTTAGATAGATTATATATAATATATTCCTTACTTTACTTTTTAATATATATCTAGTTTATTTTATTAATATTAAATTTAGTTTTAGATTATTTCTTTTAAGTAGATAATAATTTCTTTATTTATTAATATATATAATATATAAATAACTTTAATTATAAATCTTTATAATAAATATTCTCTAATTAATATTAGGGTTCTAATAATATAAGAAATCCTTTCTTAATATAAGTTTAAATTCTAGAATATTAAGAATCTATATAGTAATACTAGTATACTAGCTTCTAATTATAACTAGTAGTTATATATAAAACTATATTATTAGATTATTACTATTTAGTAGATAAATATATATATCTTTATAAGTTTACTTATAGAGATAGTCTAATCTATTTTAATATAAGAAAGTTATAAAAATAAAGGTATATAAAGTACTATAATCTAATAAAGTATAAATAATTATATTTTAATTTAGACTATATATTAAAACTATATAGTATAATAGTAAATTATCTATTATATTAAGATATATATTAATATATATAATATTATCCTTTTTTTTCTTCTTTAACTCCTATAAAGTTTCTAGAATAGTAATAACTTATATAGTTAGATTAAGCTAATTAGGACTATTATTAACTAATAATTTCAAAATATTTCTTAGATAACTAATAAAAGTTTTATATTTATTAGTTATATCTATTTTTTTAAGTCTTAATTCTTCTTTAGATAACTATAATTATAGGTAATATAACCTGGTTTATTGTAATTATAGTATCTAAATAAGTTATTTCTATAATTAGATTATTTTTAATTATAGTTCTAATTAGTATTATTTAATAATATAGTATCTAAATCTATAGTATTAGGATTATAGTTATATTCTTAGTTATTCTTCTTCTTTTTAATATAACCTATAATTAAAGCTTCTTATTTATACTATATAAATCTTTTAATAATATTAAGTATAGTACTTAGATAGTTATAGTCTTTAGTCTATTATCTTTGAAGAGATATATTTATATCTTTTTATAAGAATTAAATAAGTATTAGCTTAGATATATTAATTCTATATTCTACTATAGCTTCTTATAAGTCTATTATATATTTAATAAAGTTATAGTCTTTCTAATAGTATTTCTAGAAATAATCCTATCTTTTCTCTTTACTAAGATATTTAAAAAACTTATATTTAATCTATTTATAGTATATAGTAAAGATATATATAATATAGACTAGATTAGATATACTAATATATTTATTATAGTATCTTTAAATATAAGCTATATAATTCTTAAAAGCTCTATTAGAATAGATAACCTTATTATACTCTTTTAGTTTAGATCTAATAAACTAAGTAATTTTATAAAAATAATATTTATAATTATATAGGTACTTTTATATAGTATTATCTTTAATCTAATTACTATATTTTTTATTAGGATAGATATTTTTTATTAATATATATTTAATAATTAATATATTCTTAGATAGTTAGTTTAATATAGATATAGGATATTTAGATAATAATAATATAGATACTATAGATACTAACTATAATATATAAGTCTATTATTTATTCTAAAATACTTAGATAATATTATATACTAATATTATAATAATTATATAATTTACTAGGTTATTATTCTATAGGATAGTATAATATTTAATAAGTTTAATAAGTAATATTTATAATACTTAGAGAGTCTTTTTATCTAGTTTAGATCTTACTAATCTATTTTATAATAACTATTATAATTACTATTTTATATTATTAAATACTAGCCTTTCTAATAAGATTTAATACTATCTAAATAGCTTTCTTTAATTTAAAGTTCTTCTAAAGATAACTAGATCTCTAATATTAATTAATATTTTATATCCCTCTAAGTATATTATTATAGTAATACTCTAGTCTTATATAGATAAATAACCCTATAATAGTTTAAAGTAGGAACCTTCTATAATAAATAATATATAATTATATATAATCTTTATAAAAATCCCTTAATTTATATATACTTAATTAATATTAGGTAGTTTTTAGTATATAATTACAATAATTACTTCTATATAATAATTTTTAAGTAGAAATCTTTATAATATAATACTTTTAGTATTATTCTATTACTAGTATTATTCTAAGTTCTCTATCCCTTAGTATATCTCTATACTATTAGATCTTCTATAAATAGATATATATATTCTTAGTTAATATAGTAATTATATCTAAATAACCTTATAAAAAATACTATTAGAAGGTAATACTACTAGATAAGATCTTTAGGATAGAATTAGTATATTATATAGATATATCTAACTATAGTAAAGGAAACGACTATATAATATATACTAGGTATAAAGATAAATAAAATAAATAAGCTCGATTGGGTTAGATCGGGCAGTATAAACATTATAGTAGTAGACACAACGGGGATGCCGATATAGTAGGACAATATAGGAAATAATATAGTATAGGAAGGCAAAAATTTAACAATAATAATAATTTAATAGTTATCTTAAGTATTTTTATCTTACTCTAGAAGATACTAATTACTATAAGTATCTTCTATATAGTAGATATATTATCCTATTAGGTATTTTTAGTATACTTTTTAATTTATTAAAGGAATATAATACTATATAGACTAGAAAAGCCGGCATTCTCTATCTTATTTAGTATTCTCTATACTCCTTTAATAATTTAATCTTCTATAAGCTCTAGAGGAATATAAGTCTTTTAGTATATAACTTTTAACCCTTAGATAGATCTTAGTAGTATAAGATAGTATAAAATTTAATAATCAGGATATACAAAAGCACTACTAGACTATACTACCTTAATAGTAGCTATTTTATCAGATAAAACTAATATTAAAATATAGCTAGCGAAGTAACTAAGAATTTGAACTAGGTCTTAGGTTCCTAGGACCTCTAGTTAGCGAGTTATTCTAAGAATTAGGTTTGATAAGAGATAGTTGTCTTATTATATTATTACTAATATAGAGAGAAGTTAATAATTTAATATTATAAATTATATAATACTAGTTTAATAGATTAAAGTAGACTATAGAAGCTTATATTAAAGTAATTTTATTAATAAGATTATTATTTTAAATTCTTTTATATCTATTTACCAAGGGTATTGATAGTTATTAGTATCTTCTTTAGGGTATCTATATTATCCTTTTAGATATTAGTAGTATAGTTTTTAAGATTTAATATAAAAGTATAAATAAAGGAGTTCTTATAGCTATTGTTATCTATATTATTGATAATTAGTATATATCTTTAGTAATTTAGTCTATATTAAGCTTAGGTATAGGGATTATAGTCTTTTAGAGAAGACTTAGCAGTATAAAATTTTAAAGGTTTTTATAGTCGGGATATATAAAAGTACTACAAGGCTATACTACAACGGTAGCTACTATTTTACTAGGTAAATCTTATATAAAAATACAGCTGCTGAAGTAACTAAGATTTTGAACTAGGTCTTAAGCTTCTAGGACCCCAGAAAAGCAAGTTATTCTAAGAATTCGATTTGCTGTGAGATAGTTGTTTTTTATAATCTTAGATTAAGTAGAGGAGGATAAGATAATTTTACCTAATTCTCTCTATATATTTTGTATATTACGATCTATTATATTTGTTTATATATAGTAATATCTACTACATCTGTTGCTATCTGTTTATAGTTATCTGATTATATATGATCGGATCTTATCTATTTGCTATATTTGTTTTACCGGTGTATGTATATTAACCGTCGTTTCCCCTAACTTAGTAATATATACATGTTCGCACCCAAAGATCTCACCTACATTGCCACATCCTAACATCTCCTTTCTCGGTAGAATTATAGGTACTCTATTACAATAGCTAGTAAGATTTTGGCTTGATATTATCACTAAATATAGTTTCTGGACACCAGATCTTGTCCTCTAGAGCAGTAGGTAAGCTTGATACTTCTATTTAACACTTATAGGTAGGAGGACCAAGCGCTATAGGATAGTAATATCTAATCTATCCTCTTGGCTGCTATTCTAGGTAAAATAACCTTGGTGTTCTCATAAACCAAAAAGGTGACCCAGGTGCTTGGTAAGACCCGAACAAGGTTGGGCCCCAGCCCTTTATAGAAGCCGGAGATCCCCTCACGGGCCCAGACCTGCATGATAGCATCGGTGGCACCGCGATATAGTAGATGGGCGTCATAAGTCTGTAAGCGAGATCTGATCACTTGGTACGGATAGGTGACACACCCTGCAAAGATCTTTGAGAGGCTGGACAGCGTAAGGAAGTCGATATTGTTGAGTTCCCGTGTCGCTGGTCGAAGTTCCGTTCCCTGATGACTATTCCATAGTGACCGAGAGCGAACCAGTTTCAACTGTTCATAGGCCATGAATTGTAGAGCGCCGTGGCTGACCCCAAACAAGGCTGGGACAAGGCCGCGATAGAAACCTTGTACTCCCTCAGAACTGTATATTTGTTTGGCCCCTGATCTAAATGAGGAATATGCACCCGGGGCTTGTGAGCCCGTCGAAAGCATACGAGTTTTGATCACCCATATTGGATTTGTCAGGATCGAGGTGAGCGCACCTAGAAAGGATGTATGATTAGATTCAATGAAGAAAGAAACAAAAAGTAGAACGAACACGTACCTGCAGCCCCCGAGGCTAAAAAGTAATCAGAAGCAGTGAGTGCTCGCATGTCTCCCCGGAATGAGCAGACGGCATCCTTGAAGGTACTATAGCACAAAAAATACAAGGCCCAGCTGGTAGAATTTCCAATGAGATTTGGGGCCAATCCTCGATAGAACGCAGCCAAACCTCCTTCATGTCCGGAAATATCACGAATGATTCGCAAGGAGCTGCCGAGTCGAGATGTAGATGTGCGATCAACTTGGAATGGGAGAAGAAGGAGAAAAAAAGTCAGAAGAAGCAAAATTTGGAGGACAAATTATCCTGTACCTTGAAGCCTAGTCTTTACTAGATCAAGCGGATGAAGGCAGAGTGTCGAGATAACTCCTGCAGTGAATCCTGCTACGGTCTCCACAACGGATGAAGACAAACCATCCCGAGCCGTCATGAACCTTGCACGATAGAATCGTAGGGAGGGAAATTGAAGACCAGGTGATTAACTCCGGTAGAAGGTTCCTTGGGCTATATCCATTGGAAGCAGCGGTCATTGAAGCTTTCAATGATGACTAAGACAAGGTTGGTTTTCTGCCGCGGGCGGAGAGAGACAAACCGGCAGAACAGAACAGAATGTAAACTACAGCACATGTATAGTGATAAAAGACTTGCATAAATTCTAAAATTGGAAGAGAGGAATGATAAATTATCAACAAATTGGTAGGTTTTTTTTCTTTCTTTAAAAATACAGGGAATCAAAGGCCAAGATGTTGCCTGAAAGTCCAACAAGGATGTCCCGAGGGACTATGGATGAAGAATTCTGACCCGTGTCATTCCATCATGAGAAAGCCCCAGGGTGTGTACAGTAATATCCCATCTTCATTTCAAACTTTGTGGGCATTTAGGCCAATGGAGAAAACAGCCTGGTACTAGATTTAGAGGGTTGTCTTTCCTCTCGGGCGGGGGGGGGGGGGGGGGGATATTCGAGTTCGAGTTCGAGTTCGATACATACTTGAACAGAGATGGCTTAGGTTCGCTGTACGAGTAGCCTGTTTATCTTCTGGTTAGCCCAAAGTTTCATATTCATAAATCTCCTGAATCCTACATACCAAGATAGACAATAAGAGGGAGATATCCGCTATTCGATCGCCCGATTAGGTCCGGTCACTGTTGGGGGTTTATCGCAAGAGAGCTCACTAATGAATCGCAACGCGGGAGATATCAATGACCTTGGAGACACGTTCCTGAGGAATAGAAAAGACCTGTTAGCTAACTCGAAAATGTCATATAAAGACGATGATAGGAGAAGAAAGATGTGAAAAGAGTTCTCAGTTCATCTTCACAAAGGCACTACTACTAACCTTGGTCTCTTCAGAGAATTGAACCATTGTGGCGGGTAGATAAATGGCCTAGTAGGTCACACAGAGATAGATAAAAAGAGGTTGGCGAATTCTTGAAAACACGAATGCGATGGGTAATGGTTGGGTGGTCGGAGAGAAAGGAAGGGGAAGAAGGATGATGGGACGTGATGGATTGATCGCGAGTTATGTCAATGCTCAAAAGTTTTTGCGGAACCCCGTTCCAAGCTTGACCTTCCCTTCCTCTTTAAATCCACACCACAACCCAATCTCACAAGTTCTCACCACGCATATTCTTCCCCGGCAAATATCGCTATATCTACTTGAAGATCCTAAAACCAACATTCGTTTGACACTTTTTTTGTCCCCCTCAATTTGCGACACCTCTTTTCAGACAGATTACCGCCATGTCTGGCGCAAGGCATTGGTAAGACCCTTTGAGACTCGGCGCTGGGACTCTCAAGCTAATCAAACCCAGGGAGCAGGATAAGGAGGCTACTGTCTACATTGGAAACCTAGACGAGCGCGCTTCGGATAGTCTAGTATGGGAACTCATGCTCCAGGCTGGTCGCATCGTTAATGTTCATTTGCCCAAAGACCGCGTTACCCAGTCGCACCAAGGGTATGGCTTCGTGGAGTTCATCAGCGAGGATGATGCGGAGTATGCATCAAGGATAATGAATGGAATTCGGCTTTTTGGAAAACCTATTCGTGTGAATAAGGCCTCGGCCGACAAACAAAAGTCCGTGGAGATCGGCGCAGAGCTCTTTGTTGGTAACCTCGATCCAATGGTCTCTGAGCAAGTCCTTTTCGATACTTTTAGTCGCTTTGGAAACCTTGTCAATCTCCCCAAGGTTAGCTTCATTTCCATATTCCACCCATTTGGGTCAGCATTGGTATCCACAAGATAGCTAATTCTTTTCATAGATCGCTCGCGACGACAATAACCTATCCAAAGGTTATGGCTTCGTCTCATTCGCCGACTTCGAGTCCTCTGACGCTGCGATTACCAACATGAATGGCCAATATTTGATGAACAAGCAAGTATCGGTGCAATATGCTTACAAGAAAGACGGGAAAGGCGAAAGGCACGGTGACGAGGCTGAACGCACGTTGGCTGCGCAGGCTCGAAAGCATAATGTTCAACCACCAACTCAACAAGGGTCTTCCGCTTCGATATCCGGGGGAGGGCCAGCCTCCGTTGCAACCCCGGCAATACCTAACGGTGATAATTCTCGGCCAGTGAGTACTACCCCCCAGATATCCGAGCTTGGCACGGGCCGAGGAATGCCACCGCTAGGTTATCAAGGTATCTCCGTACAGGCTCGACCTGCTCCAAATGCCCCAGCACTCACTACTCCACCCCCGGGCTTACCCGCTCGTCCACCGCCATCCCAGGCTGGATACGGCGGTCCTCAAACTTTTATGCCCCCTGGATTTAATGGCGCGGGGCAACAAAATTTTGCACCCCAAAGTGCACCGCCGCCTGGATTTTCTCCGCCTGGCTTTGGCCCTCCAGCTGGTACACCAGGCGCATCTCCCTCACTGCCGCCGGGTTTTCAGCAGCCAGGGTACGGGGGTGGCCATTGAGCATTAAGGATTTATAGCACATGAGTTTTTATTCTTCTCTTCCAATATGTTGCAAATCTGGATGCCATGCTTTCAGGATAACGATAAGATGACAGAGCCTGACTTGGGGTGTTTTATTTATTCCTTGATCAAATGCCTTCTCCATATCTGGCCTCCAACGATCAGGTTGTATCTCGAAGAGCCACTTATCAGCCACCAAGATTGATTTCAAAAGAAGAGGCGTGTCTTCTTCTGAAAAGCTTTTTACAGGGACGGGTGGGCAATCCATACTCTAGCCATAGTTCTACGCAATGATCGAGAGAAATTATGCTTAGAGATATAATGAATAAAACAGAATGCCTTCATACCAAGAAACAAGCAGTGCATATATAGATAGCCCATTAATTTTGGGAAGTAGAATTGTTGACGAGAAAAACGGGGACAAATGGAATATGCGGCTTTGGAGGAACGACAACCAATGTATGAGAGGATTCGAAGAAAGAATAAGAAAAAGACAAAGAAAAAAAGCAACGAGAAAAAGGGAGGAAAAAGGGAGGGAAAAGGGGGGGGGGGTGGGAACCACAATGAAAGAGTGAAAGAGAGGGGGAGAGGAATACAGAGAGGGACAACAAGAGCATGATGGTATTCGCATTGATTGGGTGAGCTAAACGGTGAAAGAATTATATAATTTATGAAAACGAGACGAATTTAGGATCCCGGGGGCGGCCATCGGGGCCAATGTTATTTCGTGCAAATCGCTGTTCTGTGTAGATTCGCCGGGCTTCGTCAAAATCGACTTTGCGAGTCTTCATGATCTTTCGTACTTCTTGCTTTGCTCTCTGATCAAGGCCTGCTCTGGGGTCTCCATCGGCAACGTTAGCTGTGATGTCGAAATGCGAAGAGCTCAAGCCAGCTTCCAGGTCGCCTGTGAAGCTTGATGGTAGTCGATGATAGATATGATCGGGAACAGGTAGTAAAGGTAGCCATCGTGATCGAGTCAAATAAAGCCCTGCACGAATACCGATCAGTAAGGTTAGTTTGCTAGGTTCAGCCTGCCCAAGGGAACTGGCATGAGGACCTACCTGTGCCGGAGATGATAACGAAGAACAGGAGCGCATAGAAAAGCGTGTAGGTCATGATGGGCAGCAGGAATTTCCAAGAGAGTGATATGACTGCAGTCTGGCAGAAACAAGACCAAACCCCCTGCCCTAGTAGTCGAGAGTCAAAAATCTCACAAAGCGAACGAGATACTCTCACGCCCCCAAAAGGGAAACATGCATTCGTCATCGTTCCTGGGTAGGAGAATTGCTAATACCACCCCTCAAATGGCTAAACCCACCCCTTCTAAGCTCACCGCCGTATTTGTAATACCACAAGGCACAAAGGCATCAATTTTCTGCCGGCAGCATGAATACGGTCCAGAATTAAATCTCATCTCCACGTAAAAAGCTTCCATTTTACCACACATTTAACGACATTTAATATGCAAGCAAGTTATCTCATTCCAAGCTAAACCTAAAGAGGAAACAGAGGCTGATTTTAAAAACACCGGCAAATGCATTTTCAGTCGAATTAACTGGCAAATCTGTTGATCAACGGACACCCAGGCCTTTTATGCCCCTCCACGCCGCAATTTCCACATGTATTGGGTCTCCTCCGAGATTGCACAGTTGGTGGCTGCTGAGAGCCTTGTTGGGACCATTGCTCATAAAACTCACGATCTACAGCATCTTCAACAGCATCTAGCTGCTCCCATAAGCTTGGGATCCGCCCCTGTGATCCCTCTGGGCCTCGGGGGTCTTGCCGGGCCCCCGAGGCCTGTGATGTGGCCACCGAGGCCTGTGATGCTGTATACGATCCTCGCGATATCCATACCCTCCGATCATCCCGAATTCTTGGCTCCTGTATACGAAGAAGATCTGGATGAAACTGTGGTGAATCAGCCTCCTGAAGATGCCACTGTAAGTGGAAGAGATCAAGAGGAAGTGGCTTTTTCTCATTATAATATGGAATAATTTGATGGATGCATGGAATGCCCCTGCCTTTGCCGCATACACAGAAGATAGGAATTTGAGGTTTTTCGATATGGATAGGTAGATATGTGTTGATTTCTTTCTCCAGACGGCGAATGGCTTCAAGGGAAATTCTCTGTATGAGATTTGGTAGTAAAAATGTATAGGATTGATGATCTGTGAATCGTCCAAGTGTCTGGTCATGTAACTGATATTGAATATTTGAATATTGACGTTTAATTGTCTGTTCAAAGATATCAAAGGCTCCAAGGAGAGAAGTTGAGGTTCCCTGGCTAAATTTTAATAGAAAATCCCTCAATAATAATAGGAGAATTACCTGTTGATCACGTTTAAATGCCCAATGTGCCGACTCATTTCGAGATGTTGCTACCTCACCAAAGTGAAAATAATGCCGAGTATAATGGTGTAAAAACATCTTCGCATATATTGGGTTAAGCCATTCCTTCTGGATATAACGAATTAGCTTAGAGAAGATCTCATGACAGTAAGTTTGCTGAAATTCCTGCCATTTTTGTTCGAAATCTTGAGGCGTTAAAGCAGTAACAATTTCATGCCAGAACTGTTTCATTCTCCACCACCGATGAAGCTTCTCCTGCCGTATACACCCATTCTTCAAAGAGAATATCTCTTGTTTTTTTGCAGCTTCTTTAATCTCCCATTCAAGATACTGACGAATAGGAGTACGCGCATGGGCAAGGATGCACTTATTGATATGCCACAAACAAAGCATATGGTTAAGTGTAAAAACCATTGGTATAGCACTGAGAATTGCAAGCTCTTTGTCTGTAAATACAGTCAATGGCTCAGGGATTGATTCTACCGCTAATACTGACTGTAATTGCTGTAATGCCCAGCAAAATGAATCAGTAGTAGAGTCTGATAAAAAACAGAAGCCAGCGGAGAATGTCTGGTTTGTTGATGTCATTCCAGTAATATCAAGCAATGGCATTTTGAACTTGTTGGTTTTAAATGTTGTATCCATCCAAAGAATATAGGGAAAAAGACGTAAAAATCCAATGGAAGTCCGGTGGATGGCGAATAAAGCAAGTAAAATATCGTTGTTATCCGATCTACAGCGGATACACCAATCCCCTGAATTTGGGAGGTCTTGGAGAAGTGTTTGAATAGATGAGCGGCCGCCAAGTCGTCTTTTGTTAAGATCCATCTTAATATTATAGATGTTCTTCGCGATAACATGTTCGCCTTCATTCCTGAGCTGATCCGTAATCTGGCGAGGCCAAAGCCCCTGCTGGATAGCCTGTTCAATCTCCAAACCTCTTTTTTTCATAGCCATTTGGCGAAGATAAGGAATATTGACGGCGGGTGATGGTGTATGGTTATGGCTACCATTTCCAATTTCCAATAACCATATATCTCCATGTCGACGAAGAATAACCTCAAATGGACAGTTACACTTTTTTGTACGGCCTCTTCTGCGTTTTTCTGCATCAAGTCCTATAGTCCGGCGGTCACAATATTCACCACCTCGCCAGCATTGGTAAATAACCTTGAGTTTTACCCCGTTAGAGGATTTTGAGCGTTTTGAAACAACTGCATAGCCTTGGGTAGCTGCAAATTGATTCATCTCGGTTTGAGCTTCATCCGGCGAAGAATACTCGAGTTTCCAGGGCGGATTCAGCTTAAATAGAGGGAAACTTGGCTCAATATCTGAGTATATATCAGCCAATGGCTCTTCGGGATATTGAGTCTCTTCGTCATAAATTGTGTCGATAGTGTTGAGAAAATCATCGCGGAACGTAGGAGGAGGGGTAGTTGACAGCCTAGGACTAGACATAAGAGATTCAGTAGTTTCCAGTGACATAATAATAACCAAATAGCTTCAAATTTTCAGGGGTAGTAGAGAAGATAGAAAATAACAATACTCTAAAAGAAGAAATCATTTTAGCGAAGGGGAGGTATTCAAATATATGTTTAAAATATTGTTATTGCTTAAAATATTGATATGGTAACGGGAGTAATAAAAATGCACATTCCTGAGGGTACTGTGGGGCCTCGGCAGCCAATCAGCTTCTCTTAATATTTCCGTAAACGGCAGGTCACATGCTCACTACACCTCGCCATACTTTGCCATTTCCCTATTATTTACCTTTACATAGTAACTTTACATATTTTAACCCCTACTTTGATTTACTACAGCAATACCATTTTAAACCATTTTTTAAAACCCTTCTGGATTAATAAATATACGTTATTTAATAATCACGTGCTAAAATATAATTGATTGTTATCAAAGAATAGAGATATCCGGGCGCTCCGCAATAGACGCCTTTTTTGATGTGGTTTGGTGTGGTTTGGTGTGTCGGGGCGTCCACCGCCTCCATTGACCGCCCATTTTAAATTACACCGCCTTGTTAACGGCTCATATTACAAATACGGCAGAATTTCCCAAAGCGGCTTAGAAGGGGTGGGTTTAGCCATTTGAGGGGTGGTATTAGCAATTCTCCTGGGTAGGACAGCTGCCTGGATTATTAGGCAGGAAGGCAGCAAGGCAATAATAACACAAACAAGACAAACAGCCAACTCTAATTCACTAGAAGTCACGGGACCCCATAGTTATGCCATTAAATCTTTCCAGCCTTATTAACAAGGCACCAATACCATTCCCAAAGCGGCGGGCTTAGCGAGACTCATTTGGGAAATCTATGAACCTCTTCACACACCAAAAATCACGGGCTTAGAATCAACTCTCAATCCCTCCATATACCAACTCGTCATCATGGCCGCCGAACGCACAAACGTCTCCAACGACCTGGTCTGGCAGATCACCCGTATGTTCTAATCTCTAAAAAATTCATCTTGAACGGAAGTTAATCCGTGATGGAGCATAGGTAACCAGAACTCTTATCTGGTTCGCCGCAACGCCGGTGGTGGTTCCCAGTTCTCTCGGGACCCTCTTAACTTGCAGAACAAGCACTCCTTCAAGGTACGGCGCCTATCTTTTTTTTCTTGTCCTTTTGTTTTCATTCGAAGTCTTGATTTGGTGGGGAAATGACACTGACCCGCGCTTTTTATACAGTATGCCGGTTATGCCAACAACAAGGTATCGATTGCTCCGCCAACCCCCTCTACTGTGAGACAGAAACTCTAATATCTACCAGGCCATCGGTGTTCAGTCCGATGAGAACGGCGGTGTTACCGTGACCACCAAGAAGGCCGGTACTCCCCAGCAACCCGGAAAGACCTTCGTTACCGTGAACTACGGCCCCAAGACCTCCACCCGCAAGTACGTCATCATTCTTCGATATATCATGCACTTGGACTTCAATGGTTGTTGGTGCTAACCCAACGTTTAGGATCTACAAGGGTGTCGCCGACCAAACCGCCCAGAACGGTTACCGTGCCGACCTTCGCGAGGAGGCCGTTGCCCGTGTCAGTGCTGTTCGCCGCTCTCAGCAGCCCAAGAAGGACACCCCTGCTAAGCAGCCCCGTGGTGTCAAGGCCCGCAAGGCTGCCGAGAAGGACTCCGAGTAAATTCGTCCTCAAGCAAAAAACGACAAGTGAATAATCGGGAGGGCGTATGCTGTTGAGAGGAGGGCCTGTTTTGATGCGCGTCTGGAGACTGTCGTCATACAGGATATATTATCGTTGGGGGCGATCCCTGTAAACTACCTAGGCGATAAAGTTCCCTGGAAAAGAGCGCCGCTCTACTCTCTTTCCACGATGGGACCGAAAGAGCAGATACAATGCAAGATGAATGAACCAAAGCCAAGAATTGGTTCTCTCTCCACCTCCCATGGCCTTGAGCGAAGCATAGGATATTACTTAACTTTTCCAATTAAGGCGGCTTGGTTTGTATGAGCGCGGGAAAAGTCTCAACCTCTTCCCGACTAACCGAAACGATGGCCTTTGAGTAATTGATAGATGTAATTTGACTCCCGAGGTCCACCCCGGATGCTTAAGAGATCAGCCAGTCAGCAGTCGGGCCGAACGGAGAAAGCGATCTTGATGACATCGGTACATATTTAAGCCTCGGGTCTGGGCCAGCAGGGCAACTCTGCGGTGGAGTCAGAGGAACTCGCCGGAGCATGACTACGTATTGTATGAAGTTATGATGTGATATCCTGGGCCGTGGGGAAAGGACCTTTAACGGGCTCCCGCCTTTTCCCGATCCTGGAACCCGAGAAGAGAGGAATTCACAGGCGAAGACGAGAATCACCGGGGAATTCGGCAAGGAACTGTATGATACCGACAACCTTTCCTAAGACTTACACATGAGCATGGATCAATCCAATGGAGTAAATTGGGGGTGTGGGATGGATGTACACAGTGTGTACTGTAAATGGAGGAGGGGGATCAGTCTAAGCCCAGTTCAGGCACCGGTCTGGAGGAGGGGAATATTACCTTGTTGGGACATTTTGGGAGGAGAAGGTATCTTGAAGAGTCTATTCTTTGTATTCTTTATATCTCTTACAGCATTAATAAAATTCTGAATCCAATAGTAGGGACCTAAGTATCAATACTATAGTAGTAGTAGTAGTAGTAGTCGTAGTTTACGAATAGAGCGCTTTCACATTCCTAATATCAATAGTAATAAGCAGTAAGTAACTGTGAAGCAACCAGTATATACTCTAATAGATACTTAGATACCTACCTATCTAAGTAGTAGTAGTAGTAGTAGTAGTAGGAGTAGGAGTAGGAGTAGTCGTGGGTATCAGAGAGATATACTTAAGAAATTTTTGTGTATAGATATTATCTCTCGTCAGGACTATACTAATATAATACAATTACCGTATTACCTATAAGAGCTTCCCGAAAGGCTCAGTGGTTCCACCTGCTCACTATTACTAGTACAGTAAAGTGCCTGTGCTCAATTCCGGGGTGACTTGCTCCTAGGCTCTTTTGCCCCTCCCCCCACCAATACATTATAAACCCGATTCTTTCCCCCTCCCCCTCAACATCATCTCTACTCCATCTTCTTCCCTCCCATCCAATTCCACCCCATTTATCCTCTCCTACATCATGGTTAAAGCTGGTATGCAAATCCATTGGTATTCTCCTTAGGATTTCTCGTGGATCATCAGCTAATTACCCTAATTACCTTATAGTTGTTCTCGGTGCCTCTGGTGGCATTGGCCAGGTGTGTTTCGCCTTACGCGCTCTTCTTATCTTCCCTGATGCTTTCCTCGGAGATCCCCTCGGAATTCTCAATACTCCCGGACAAACCACACTGACAACATTGAGCTCTAGCCCCTCTCTCTTTTGCTCAAGGCCTCTCCGCTGATTGATGAGCTTGCCTTGTACGATGTTGTGAACACCCCCGGTGTTACTGCCGACCTTTCCCACATCTCCTCGGTCGCCGTAGGTTTTCCACCCCCTCTCATTAAAACACTTGACAAAAATCACTTATTCAACTCCTTTACAGAAAATCTCCGGCTACCTTCCCAAGGATGATGGCCTGAAGAACGCATTGACCGGTGCCGACATTGTCGTCATCCCAGCTGGCATTCCTCGTCAGTATCCAGCCCTCCTTCCTCTTCCTCAATTACCTCAAGCGAACGAGCTTCTAATATTATCAAAGGCAAGCCCGGCATGACCCGTGATGACCTTTTCAAGATCAACGCCGGAATCGTCCGTGATTTGGCCAAGGGTATCGCCGAGTTCAGCCCCAAGGCTTTCACCCTGGTTATCTCTAACCCGGTCAACTCCACTGTCCCCATCGCTGCTGAGGTCTTCAAGGCTGCCGGTGTCTTTGACCCCAAGCGTCTGTTCGGCGTGACCACCTTGGACGTTGTTCGTGCCGAGACTTTCACACAGGAATACTCTGGCCAGAAGGACCCCTCAAAGGCTACCGTTCCCGTCATCGGTGGTCACTCTGGCGAGACTATTGTTCCCCTCTTCAGCAAGGTCTCCCCCAACTTCGACATTCCCGCAGATAAATACGAGGCATTGGTCAAGCGTACGTGACGACCTTTTATTGGGATCTGGCTATTTGTTCATTAGTTGACTATTTTCCCATAGGTGTCCAATTTGGTGGTGATGAGGTTGTGCAGGCCAAGGATGGCGCCGGTTCCGCCACTCTGTCCATGGCCTACGCTGGTTTCAGGTATATTCATTCCCTACGCCCTAAAATAACCAGAGTACATTGGCTGATTACTCGAAGATTTTCCGAGGCCGTGATTAGAGCTGCCAAAGGCGAGAAGGGCGTTGTTGAGCCTACTTTCGTCTACCTGCCCGGCGTTCCCGGTGGCGATGCTATTGCCAAAGCCACTGGTGTCGAGTTCTTCTCCACCCCCGTGGAGCTTGGCGTAAGTGTTTGATGACTACTTTGTAATAAGAATCCCTTGAACTATATGACTAACTACAACACGATGTTTAGCCCTCTGGCGTGGAGAAGGCTATCAATGTTCTGGACGGCGTGACTGCTCGGGAGAAGGAGCTTCTGGCCGCTTGTGTCACTGGGCTCAAGGGGAACATCGAGAAGGGTGTCGAATTTGTCAAGAACCCACCACCAAAGTAATGCATATCCCCTACCCACTCCGGTCCGTGACGCCTGGTGATCCTAATATGGTCTCAAACGATGGCTTGTCACCCTAATAATGTCAAAAGCCTTGCTAATCATGATTATCCCGGAAAGATAGGCTCTAAGTGTGAGATTATGAGATTATGACAGCAGACATAAATGTAATCCTCATATGGTTAGGGTTCCACACACAAGATAACAACAGATATGTATGAAAGGATTGATTAAAACTCCTCGTCCTTGGTAGTTTGTATTAAATTTAAGCCCGGGGGGTATGTCTCTTTCTTTGTAGAGTGTCCGCCAACAGATATATGGCGGTACCTAGATAGCATTGCCCTCATCCAGTCCAGCTGGAGAAAGGTCAACACCATTAAAAGAAAATGGGGAAATGAAATCATGTCGGTATATCGTAGGGGTGCTCTTCATAGCGGGGATAACAAAGTAATCATCATGGTCGAGCCTGGACCGTTTTAATCTGAAATGTTGCACCTGGAAGATCCGACGTCTCTGCCTGCACTGTGGTAGTAATCCCAAGGTTTGCAAGCGCACCACGGATTATCCCGCAGGGAAACCAGAGATACTATAGTACTTCAGTCAGTTATGCACGAGGGTGAATTCAAAGTTGTTGATCTGAAAGGAAAAGAAGTGCTTCATACCGCCTGTGCCATCGATACGGCTTCGCCGCGTGCCGTCATGCTCATACGGGCAAATGGTCTGAACGCGCTATCCGTCAAGACGTAGACTCCCTGCTCCCATTCTCTTTTAGTATTGCGAGGCAAGACTTGGTGGTTGCGCTGGCTTTTGGGTGGGCACATACCCGGTGATTGGTTTTTAAATTATCGATCTGCTTTCTGAACAACACCGTCCATAGATCCTTGCAGAGAAACTTTATGACGTCCAAGTTATCGGTAAAACGGGGTCGATCGCGGGAGAACCTGCAACGATCGAGATTAGTGGGATTAGAACAATATCCCTTATGCCAGATGCATGCGTGTCTCAAAGATCAAAGGCGGAATAGTTGAACGGGAGCAATATACCTTTCTGCAAGTCCTTGCCCTACTCGGTATCCTAAGGATTCAAGTCGGAAAAATGTGGTTTCTCTAATCTCTCCGTCTTCGGGTCCATGGTCATTGGTGGACAGCTGTTTGGCCAGACGCTCGGCCATCGGGACCAGCTCGATGAGCAGGAAGTCAAAACAGGAGGAGCTGAGGGCACGAGCATTGGGATCGGAGATAGTCAGCGAAGCTGACGCATCAAACGACATAGCGAGACAACTGAAAGGAGGACAGATGAACAATAGGTTTAGTGGTTGGGTGACCCGGGGTGAAGGTGAAGTTGAAGTTGCGGCTGCGGCCAAGGTAATCAGGATCGGGAGAGCGGAGTGTGTTTTGATTAGTTGCTTTGGTACTCGGTAGAACCCACTGCGAAGTTTCCCCCACTACATAGTTACCTACAATGACATGCGCCTCCCCCCTTAAATTATAAAAAAGGAAACAACTACAAGTAAAATAAATATATACAAAGGAGTATTTGGAACTAGGTAGATGCAATTGCAATGCTGATCCATTCCTAAATAACTTCTCTCTTCAAAGCATAGGAAGGAGTAAGTAAAGATATGAAGATGAGCTAAATCTACTCAGCCACCTCACACCATTCATAAAGATCTTTTAAAAAAAAACCAGAGTCACGCCCCAAACACCGTGGCATGATGCATACAAGATATAGGAGAATCACAAGAGAAAGAGAAAAGGGTAGGGAAGAGGGAGAGGGTTTCAATGAATGAACGGGCAAATTGTAGGCAAATTAGCCATTCATTTCAGCCTAGTACGGTTGGGGATATCGTCCACTTAGAGGACTACTCGCAACCGGTTGATGGGGATCTTGTGATGAAAATCCTCGAGCAGAAAAACCCAAGGCTGCCCGCTTCAGAGGAGGGACAGGAGATTCATCGCCATCGTCATCGTCACTACCCGTCAAATCAATTATTTGGGCGACAGGGCGTTTTTTGCTTGACATGCGAACAACTGAGGACGGTGTGGATGTTTCTCTGGACTGGGCAGGTGTGCGTTCCAGCAGAATATTAGAAGACGTAGGCTCCTGTTTCACTACACTGGCACTAGGCTCGCTGATCTCTATCAGATCGTCGTCGTCGTCTGTGGCTGGTGTAGCTCCACCCATTTTCGCCGCATCATTATCATCTAGCTTGGACCATGAGCCACTTGGCTCCACCACAACTTGGTCTACTTCGGTGGAGCGAAGAATTTCATCCACATACCTATTTCCTGTTAGTATACAACCGATCCAAGAAGGAAAGAGAAAGAATAAAAAGATAGGGAGGGGAAATGGTCTTACTGGTCTACTTGCAAAGACTCAAAGCTCGTGGATTTAGTGCACACAGGGCACGTCCAAGTGGGCGCTTGTTTTTGTAGCTCAAGGAACGATGATGCATCGAAGCATTGGTTGTGAGTGCATACCACAGAACGGCAGGGAACCTGAATACGCAGGGTTGATAACGGACATTTGAGCGACATAACACTCGAGGTAGCAACGATGTCGGAATCTTCTGCCCGGTTTTTCACTGTAGCCTGAATTAGAACGAAACTTCCAGTGGGCGAATTAAAAGAATATCACGTACTTTCTCGAAGGACTTGTTCCTTGGAGATAAGCTTTCGAGATTTTAATTGCGAGACTAGTTCGTCAACTGGGTGCAGTTTGACCATATTGGCAAGAACGAAGAATTTCTGTCAAGGTTGTTAGAAATTGAACTTCTATCGGTTGACAATCTTTAGCCGCCGCACACCGTGGGTAAGGTTCACCTTCTGTGTTAATGCATAAGTCATAACGATATTATTTGGGTAGTTTGGCTTTTTGCGTAAATACCAAGTAACATCTGCGGGTTGTGTGGTGCCGGGTTTATTCTTCAGTCCCCGAAGGTTGGCCTTCACTTCATCCAAGTTCGCCTTCAACTCCACCTGATGGGGAAACGCGATATCCGATTTGGTAAACTGTTTAAGACCTGAGTCGGCTGTACAGTAGATCATAACTCGGATATTGGAATCTCTCTCCAGTCGGGCGACATCGGGTTGGGAGAGGAAAATTTTCAGCTCTACACTGTCCCTGGTTTGCTCACGGACTAGGTTATTTAAGACACCGCCGCAGCTTTATAGGAGGGCCAAAGAGAACTTACCCTTGCATTCGACAATCGGAGTGACAGGTGCTATAACTGTAAAAAATGGACTATCCTTGAAAACGATCGGGCCTGTATGAATCATCAGTGGGCTGTCAATTCAATATTGGTGATACTGGTGGCCGAACCAGAAGTGTGGGGATGGGGGGACATGGAGTTTCCCACTGTAAGTCGACGCTGAGATGATGTCTGCGGTGCAGCAGGAGAGTTTTGAAAGCGAGGATTTGGGGTTGGGTCGAAGGCGTGTGATCCCGGTAGACAGACTTCAATAATGCGTCGTCTTAGGGCATCGTATCGGACACTGTTGCCTTCTGATTGGCATAACCGATCAAGATCTGAGATTTGAAAACAGGAGTTAGCCAATGTAATTGAGATTGAGATTGAGATTGAGGCGCAAAAGGAGCAGATAAACAAGTCATTGAGGCGTCAGATGGGTCAGAGAGTTGTGAAAGAGAAGCAGAAGGAAGATAGATGGGAGGAGTATGGGAAAATACAAACAATCGATGATGCGCATCTGCAGCGCAGCTTTTAAACCAGATACAGCCAGGCCTTCTTTGCGTAGGAGATCTTTTAGCTGGGGAATTGTCAAGGTCTTGATCAAGGCGACCAGACGGGGGAGCTCAGTGGCCTGGCCGGACGCCATCACGCCCTAGTCAGAGAAAGAGAAGCCTCAGGTAGTAAGATATGCCAGGCCAGTTTCATAGACTGTACCGAGATACATGTCAATCAAATTGACCGGCAAATCTGTGACAGGTTCAAAAGAGAAAGGAGTCGGATATCGAATCCTCCTTTGGAAGGTTTGCCTCACCTTGTCGTCGCAACTTGAGAGTACTGTGAGAGGGAGGTTCACGGAATTTCGGCGGATGACATAAGATGGGATCGTATCTTGATAACAGATAAGGCAATCGATAACCGATAACAAGAAGGCAGAAAAGAAGAAGAAAAAAAAGTTCTGAGCAAAAGCAAACACCGCCTTGAGAGTAAATTCCGTCTGCTCTTATCTCTTCAAACCCCAATTTATTCAAGCAGGCAAAGATCAATCACTCTATACTATTTTGTGCCCTCTTATCTTGCTTTTTCACTCGCTTTACATCTGCCTCCACTCCCTCCCCCCAGCTCCACCATGGCTAAGAGTATTCGAGCCAGTGTCTCCAAGCGCAACCGGGCTAATCTGCGCAAAAAAGTGTTCGGTCCTGTGGTGGATGCGCGTACGGAACGACTGGCCGCCAAACTTCAGGAACTTGCGTCGCAACCTCGCCCAGAGACCTCAGCAAAGTCAGAGATGGAATTAAAATCAGAGGAAACCGGTATGTTTGGTTTTGAGGGATTCATCATCAATTCAAAGAAACGTGAATCTTTTGCTAACCTTCATTATTATAGCCGATCAAGATTCGGGTGCCAAGGCTGCTGCCGCCGATGAGGGTGAGTTAAATTCGAGCATTGCACAACTTGCTTAAAGTATGTACAAAATAATCTAACGATTTATTTCCTCTTAACTTAGCTATGGACGTGGATACCAAATCTTCCAAGTCTCGATCTCAGAAATCCGGACGGGTGCAGAAAAATAAGAAACCTCGCAACTCGATCGTCTTCAAGGCTCATCCATCCAAGGTGAAGAAAGGGCCGAAGAGGAAGTAAATCTGGCGCTGAAGCCAGTGGGAGTCCAGGAAATTAAAGACAGCAAATGAAAAAAGGGCGTTGGGAGTCTTCTGAAGATGATCGATTTCTTTGAGTCTTGTTTTACATATTGGAGGCTTGCTACATATATAGATTACATATACTTGAGATGTAATCTAATGAATTATTTAAACTTACCATTGTTCCAATAGGAAATATATCTTCTATAATAGCTACATATCTACTATCCCGAGGTCAAAGGTATGGTCTGTCCACAACCTGATGTACTACTCCGTACTGCGTCTGCCCCGATATCGATACGAAGGCGGTGTAGCCGTCGCAGGCATCATTGTAAACATCCACCGCGACAATATCGACCTCCTTTTTGAAGGCTCGAGCCTGAAATCAACCCCCCTGATAAGTGTGCAATGGCAATTTCTCCAGGATGGTGGGCAATTACGCTCGCCAATGTTCTGGTTCTGGTGGGGATTCTCACCTTCTCGACTGGGTTTTTCCCCTACAAACCCCTTCTTCCAGGGCTAGCCACTTTCCAGGAGACCGATTCAGATGTGACTCCAGTCTTTGATAAAGTCATTTTCATGGTGGTAGATGCGCTGCGCAGGTAATATCCATTCATATATCGTAAATAATCTCGAAGACCATTGGCTAAAGCTGGATTATAGTGATTTTGTTTACTCAAATCAATCAGGGTTCTTATTCACCCAAAGGTTGGTTAATTCGCGATTTATTCTAGAACCCCATGAGAAAACACTATATATAGAAAACAGAGAAGTTGACTGTGCTCTAGTTTGATTCGAGCGGGCGCTGTGCTACCATTCACAGCCCATGCTAGCTCTCCGACAGTAACCATGCCCCGGCTGAAGGCGATGACTACAGGTTCTGTGCCCTCTTTTTTAGATGTGATTCTGAATATTGCCGAGTCAGATACTTCATCAACTCTTGCATACCAGGATACATGGCTCGCTCAGCTGAAGGCTCGGGGAGATCGCTTGGTCATGTATGGAGATGATACATGGCTTAAACTGTTCCCGGGGACATTTGACCGAGCCGATGGGACAACCAGCTTCTTCGTATCCGTTAGTAATCCCCTCCCTTTCGAAACTTACTCTTTAATTTGAAGCTAAGAGATATTATGGCAGGATTTCGTCGAAGTCGATCAAAACGTGACACGACATGTCCCCACAGAGCTGGCAGAAAATGATTGGTCTGCTCTCATCATGCACTACTTGGGTCTTGATCATATAGGGCACAAGGCTGGACCTAGAAGGTAGCTAGCCATTCTTCCCGTGAACTTTGACGTTCAAGGCAACTTCTAACATCTCACCAGTCCTTTCATGCTGTCCAAACACCAAGAGATGGATGCTGTCGTGAAAGATGTTTACACGGCAATGCAACAAGAGCCACACCTTCAATCAACACTTTTTGTCTTATGCGGGGATCATGGTATGAACGATGCTGGAAACCATGGTGGCTCGTCTGCTGGCGAAACTTCCCCGGCGTTATTATTTCTCTCGCCCAAATTCGAAGCCTTGGGGCATAAATTGGAAAGCCCCACTGAGCCATTTGAGGAATTTCAGTACTATCGGACGGTTGAGCAGGCAGATATAACCCCAACCCTTGCTGGACTACTTGGCTTGCCCATTCCATTAAATAGTTTGGGGGTATTTATTCCCGAGTTTCTCAATGTGTGGGATTCTGGTATGTACCACCCCCCTTGACCGAAATGAATTCTCGAGTTGACTAGCTAATCTGCTTCACTCAGGATCACAGAAAATGAGTATATTATACCGTAATGCTCGCCAACTACTGAACGTCATTCAAGCTACATTCTCTACCACCTCGTTTGACGAACAGGATAGTTCCAGTTGTAAATCGACTGGCGATTCTGGTATCGAAGGCGCCCAGTGCGCATGGTTTCAAATCCATCAACTGTCGGGTGGAAACGCACCAGATGATTTATTTCCAACAGTTGGACCTGTCCTGCAGCGGTTCTCTCGGATCGCTCAAGACGTAATGAGCAGTACTGCGAGCAATTATAATGTTTTCAGGCTTGCGCTAGGCCTCTTCACCACTACACTCGCAGTATTGCTCGTTTTACCCACGGTTTATCAAGACTGTGCGCGGTCCAAATACACGGGAGGATTCCTAACGTTTCTAGTGGTGAGCTACGGAAGTATGATGTTTGCAAGTAGTTACGTGGAAGAGGAGCAACAATTCTGGTATTGGATCTGCTCCGGGTGGCTGTTTTATCTGCACGCGAAGTCCACATCTTTGAGCCTATTTGTCCCCCGCCCAAAGGTTGGATACTGGAGTATCCGTTGGTCTACGATGAGCACGCTTGGCCTGATTGCGTGTCACCGAGTACTGCGTCGGTGGAACCAGACTGGCCAAAAGTTCACGGCCGAGCCTGACATCGCGCGCAGCTTCCTTCCAATTCATCCTCCGGTTTTTTGGATTCTAGTAGCCCTCACATACATGGATGCTAGCCGGGGGTTTCTTCAAAGCATGCCATCTGCAGGAATTTCCCGATTAGGCGCGCTCATAGTACCAACGATGGCTTTCATGTTCAAATTGAATTTTGTCGCAAACGACTCTCCCGAACTATTAACAGGATCCTTCCTTTCATGGGTTGTGGGAGAATGGCCGGGTACCTTTTCATTAGTCCCACAGGCCAGGCTCGTATTTGGAGGGATTGGTTGTTATGCATTGTTGTCAATATTCAATCGAAACCGGGCAGGGGGTGCACGAGGTAAGATTTCACCCCTCTCCTTAGATTTCATCGCTAAGAACCATTGACTGACGGCTCTCCATCGCTAGCCTCCAACACTCTATTCCACGAGGCACTCAATCTGTTTCTGATGACCCAATCCAGAGCCACTAACATCCCAATTTTCCTTGTATTCCGAATTCAATCCGCAATTCTGACCCGAATGAAATTGAATGGGATTGAGGTGACAATTACAACCTTGATCATGCAGTACATGACGTTTTTTGCCTTTGGCGGCTCCAACTCAATTTCCTCCGTTGACCTGTCAAATGCCTACAACGGTGTCGGCAGCTATAGTGTGATCATGGTAGGAATTTTGACATTTGTGAGCAACTGGGCAGGCCCCATCTGGTGGGTTTCGGCGGGCCATTTACTGCGGCCACGTCGGGATATGGGATGTCACAGTCGCGCCGCGCTGCTGACTTTCCACATTGCCGCATCTCTGGCATCTGTTATGGCTGCTTGCACAGTCTTGCGATCCCATCTATTCATTTGGACGGTGTTCTCGCCCAAATACCTGTATTCAATGGCATGGGCAACAGCGAACCACATTGCCATAAATCTGTTCGGCGGCATCAGCCTAGCCGCCCTTTGGAAAGGACAATAGGATTTATCTTATAGAATTAATCAATATCAATTCATGCAAATTGCCCCGAGGCGATAGAACAGGTATACCATGCATAACATCGGCGTGTTCGGGAAAGACCAGGTCAAACATCGTGATTTTATAAAAGACCACTGAAAAGGTCATCTATAACGTTTTTCTTTTGTTTGGATGTCTTTTTCGTAGATTTAGCGCTGTGTATTTTCTTTGTACTAGATCTCTCCTTCGAAGAGAGTTGATGTGACTGGGTCAAGACAGGGAGCGTGTTAGGATCGTCACGACTAATACGTTCACCCCGATCTTCAGTTGAAACAGGCACAGATCCAGTTTTCGCTTTCGCTTTAAGCCGCGGTTTCGCGTCTAACTTGCGGTCAGCTCCAGTGGCCTTGGCTAGGCGTGCTAAAGCAGCCAGAAGTGTTACGCCCAGCGTGGAGAACTGATTATCGGCGACCACCGTAGAAAATGCACTAAGAAAGTTAGCAAGCCTCTCTTGAAAAACGGAGTAAATGTTAGAAGGCTTTGCAAAATCGTTGACATACAGGTAACATCGGGGAACCAAATGTGCAGCCAGATGCTGCTGGTAGCGCGCTAATGCTGCGACCGAATCAACAGATCGCAAATCTGCCGTACTACGCTTCAATATCGCTAGCCATTTCCACCACTTTGCTCGTTGGTGCTGGTTTTTATTCCGATGGTATACCAAATGCAGTATAGAGTGTACCGCTGCTATCTCCTGGGTGTCCATGTTGATGGTTGAGGTTTTGTCGAGTCTGGGGAAATTTCCTGTTCAAATTATTGCCGCCCCACACCTGCCCAGTCATCAACCGCCTATTAGAATCAACGACTACATACGAAGGTTAAGCAGAAAGAGATATATTTACATGGCCATAATTCAGAGTGAAGAGTTCATTCAAGAAATAAGAAATTTAGCAACGAAAAAGAAAAAAGACGTAACAAAAGAATGAACGAAGAACCAAAAATGAGTTTTCCCCTAGAATGACCCCTTGATCGGTCATACGGTACCCCAAGATCCTGAAAGGAATCCTAGAGGAACTGGCCAAGAGAACCTTGGAGAACACAGTTCATGATCCAAGCACAGTCAATCCTGGGATGAGAACCTGTATCACAGTTCTCAAAAACACAAAAAGTTCCAAAAAAAAATATTGCAACGCCACTCCTTCCTTTATATCCGGTAATCCAACGTGGTGGCAGCACACCAGGGTCCCTAAAAGAGTCCCTATGTGAACAGTTGTAAACCCAAAGCAAAACCTTGGATCTACTGGCTGTTCAAGTAACCGGAGCAAGAAGGGATGGAGAGGAGAGACAAGAAAGGGAAGAAAGAAAGGAAAGGAAAAGCAGAAGAAGATGTCGACGAGGCCCTGAAGAGTCAAAAGACAAAAGGCTGAAGTGAAAAGTGTGTCAAGCAGAAGAAGATGGATATGGGGTTTCAGCAGAGAAGACAAAGCAGAAGCTGAGACCCAAGGTTCGGTATCAAGTTCTGGGCCATGGGATCCTTGTAATGAAATGAAACGACAAGAAAATTCTCCATCGAAAAAAATGAAAATTCATTCCTGCAGTCGCCTAATATCCGGGAAAGATCTTAGCGCCTAGGGCCACCGGGGGGCGAGCCTTGATAATTGAAGCTTCGTCCACGTTGAAAGGAATGCTCGCGAGGGTCTTGGTTTGAGTCTCGATCACGTCGATGGGCATTTCTAACAGGAGTATCGCCATAACTAATTTCGGAATGGCGACGTGGCCTGGCGGGTCCATCTCCCGAGCGAGGTGGGCCGCGATAAAGTCCTGCAGAGATCAGTATACTGATAACCCGAGTAATCGAGATGAACAATATGGTCTTACCAGTTCGCCTGCTTCGTTCAACGCCCTTTGACAGAGTCCAAAAGTTATTCACCGGAGGGAAGGGAACCTCTGAACCAGCTCGGGGTCCCGCCACATAGAACAACTTGTTCAAATTAGTACATGGTCAACAATGACATCGATGGACAGCTTACTTTTGGTCGGTTCCGAGGAAAGTCCAGAATGACTGGGCTATTACGGAACTTTTCAATAAGAGCTGCTTTCCCTTGGGAAGCTGTACCAAATCGTTAATAATTGGATAGAACAAGAAATAAATACTGTGAGAATATCGACGAGAAAGGTCGGGATGACAGAGGTGTACTAGGAGAAACGACGTACTTGCGTATGAGATTTCTGCAATCTTTGCTGGACTAGCAGGGAAACCTGGCCTATTTAAAATTTCAGTCAGCGCTCATCCATGTATCTCACAGGGGATATAATTTCGACTAACCAGTACTGTCCATGTCGCTGAACAAAGAACTGGGAAAATACTTTAGTAAACCGAAGAAAGAGCAGAAATAGATGCAAAGTACCGGGATAATATCACGCGCCTAGGCAGAGTTAGTTTGTAGGCCACCGGAAGGAGAGATAGAAAGAAACCAACGCACCGAAACGAAGTTGACAAAAGCATAACCGACACTAGATAAGGGATTAGAAATCACCAGACACAATCTTACATCCGCCGAACTAACTTTTGCTGCTCTTCAAAATCTGTAATACAAAGGCAATTAGCTGGCGGTTGGGGTTGAGGCGAGAGAACCTTTTGACTCACCCATACGCAGGTACATAAAATCGTAATGACCAGCAGAAGTTTGATCCAGAATGGCCTTCAGATTCTCCTAGAGGGGGTTTAGCCGTTTCACGATAAACAGGGAAATAATAACAGAGAAGACTTTATTTACCCATGTCATATCATTGGGAACATTTTTAAGCATGACCTGTCGAAGAGAACATAAATTATCAGTAAAAAAGAATCAAATGATGCCCAAATAATATTATTTACCGTAGTGCGAGTATCGGAATCTCCGTGAATGCGAATGGTGTCAATGGTCTGTAACTGGCTAGAAGAGGCTCGGTCTGGTGTAGGCGGAGACCGATCCCGGTCTTCTGGGGACAAGTAAGGATCAACATGTGAGGATCGTCGATCCCTATGAGATTCTTGAGTGGCAGTCCAATGGCGAATTCGATGGCCCCCTGGGTTTCGATTGTAAGGAAGCACCTCAAGGACAAAGGTCTGCAGGGCATGTTAGGTACATCTGTATACTTCTTGTGGTACGATGGGTGACATACCTCATTCCTAATAGTATTGAGAGCTTTCAATGCATTGACAGCGTGCTGTGCATCACAGTAGCGGACTACCAATTCGCGCATCTCAAATCTTGATTCGCCCTTTGGGCCGTCATCAGAGGTTTCTCGAATACCGCACACGGGACCCACAAGCTCGAGTACAAGTTTCACAGCATCCACAATGTCGGGCACCTCGAGGTCGGTACCGGGTCCAGAGTAGACGATAACTATGACTTGATCCTCCATAGCGAGGCCGCATGGCGCAAGCCTAGAACCGTGCCGGAAGTGGTTCTCATTGATAGGCTCAACAATCCAACTTGGATGGTTATTGGTGATGTTTGTCGCGCACTCTTGAGCTTGGCGCAGGTCAGTAAAGGCCACCCACCACTGGCCTCTAGTATTCAATTCCAAAAGATTAGGGCCGATTGTCGTTACGAAGCCCTAGTTCGCCATTAGTGTCATTTCCAATCTGAGGGCTGGTTGGGGCGAAGAGTGGTTAGGATAAGGACAAATTACTAACCCTATTACGAAGGAATTGCAAGAGATCAAAAGCCTCGGTTTCCACCGGCACATTCCGTACTAAGAATCGCCGGTCGTGTGGTCGAAGTTCTCGGCGTGGCTGGGGGTTGGGAAGAGTGGGCGTTGGCTGTTCGCGTCTTCCAAGGCTCCCCCCCATGCTTCCAAGATAAGAACTTGCACCATGAGCCGGAGTAGACAATGGATAAAGAATATCCACACCGTGACTCTGGGCTGGAGTCGAATAGACGTCCCGATGGCTGACGAGTCGTGCATTCGAATTGCAAGGAACCCCATAGTCAGCGGTGGTGGGATAGAGACCCTCCATTCTATCCTGGTCCTGTGAACGGGTGGTGAAGCTGTAGGGATGAGAACTGTTGTATGAATACACGCCACTATTTGAGGCAGTAGACAACTGAGGCTCCAGATAACTGGAAGGCAGGAATGACTCCATTTGCAGAGTCGGCCCATGTGGGACAGCGAGGGGATTCAAAGTATGGCCAGAGCCCCGGGCCTGTGGTCCCGAGGCAGAACTCCGAGTCAAAGGCAGATACTGGCTAGGTGGATGGTAGAGATCCTGGTTGAATCCCTGCATAGCTGAGGACACTGGGGTGTAAGGCTGCACATGTGAGCCCCGAACGCTACCGAAACCATCTTCCATGTGCTCTGATTTGAACTGAAACGAATCCTTAGAGCTCATGGGAAATTCATGTCGAGGATAAGGATCTCTGATAAGCTAGAGTGTCAGTTTGATACATACAAACAACAAACGGTGGGGGGGTTGTTTATTTTCATACGGGGAAGAGCTATCATCCATTTGAGATCCTCTCATAGAGCTTCGAGGCTCCTGGTTTGATGACAGTGGCTGTGGGAAGCTGGAGACAAATGTTGCCAACTGAGTGCCTGGTGAAGTCTTGGTCTTGGAGCCAGCACTGCGAGTTGATGGAGCGGCGCCAGCTGGGGGATCCGGCTGTGGACAGTTCATGACCAGCGATTGATTGAGTGTTATCCACTCGAACTTGGACAATTGCTTTGAATGATTGAAATATCAAGAAGATATGAGCTCAAGGACGGAAGATATGGATAGAGGATATGAGGAGATGGAATAAAAAAAGAAAGAAAAGAGATGAGAAGAGACGAAAGGCCGAGTTGCTAGAAGCAGCCAGATGAGGACTAAGAGAGGAAGAAGGAGGGGAGGCGAAGAGGGAGAAGAGGAGGCAGCAAGAGATTGAAGCTTTTAAACCCTTGGGAGAGGCAGTTTGTTTCGATTGTTTATTGCCATTATGAGTATTCCGCTTGTTTGGGATATGATCTTGGAACCAATGATAAATTGATTATGAAGAACCTGGACTATTCCTTTGGAAGCCCCTCAAAGTCTCCCAAAGCCTCTCTCATTGACAATCAAACAACCTTTGAAGTAGGTAACGATGAAGCTGTTTATTGCACTTGAGGGGATGTACAGCTATATCCTACAGGGCTGAAAGTAGGCGAGCTTATAAAGTGGAGTACACCAGTATCTACTATTAGTGATGGATTTTTATACATTATGGTGGAACCTAATCTCAATGTTAGTATTTATGAAAGGTTAAGGTTCAAAGGCAATAGCTTATTGACCAGTACTACGCTCTGCCTACAAGAAGAACAAGAGACACACCGGAATAATATTATACCCGTCCTTCTCTCTTTCTAGGGCAATATCATATATGATGTACCACCCGAGACTGTAATTTGAGTGTACTTCTCATCTTTCAAGGCGGTCACCTGCAGTAAAGCCCGAGAACTAGGTAATAACTGGTTACATTACACAGCCTGCGGATTGTTTGCATCAGTGCAGGTAATACCTAGAAGTTGGAGGTATACTTCGATTTGAAGGATAATATTTCCCATTAATCCTTAGTGGATCAATCCCGATGTTAAAGAGTTAAATGTTTATCCCATATATTTCAAAGATCACTCTTCAAATAACCTGATTCTTTGGAGCTGCTAGTATATCTGGATTCTGGAGCTAAGAATTCTATCCGGCATCCATAGAGATATTCAGGCACTAAGGCACCAATGTTATTCAACCATCAAGCAAGTAGGTCGACGGGTATCGTAACTTGCCCGCTCAATCCAAGCTCCCTCTCTCTCTCTCTCTCTCTCTTCAAGCGGGCAAACAGGGAAACATCTCCTATCCTCTCCTTTCCCCTTCGTTCCAAACAACCATAAGGCATCATGCCTTCCATGCCACCACCTTTACCTGAGCCGCATGTTTTAAACCAGGTATGTCTCCTGAAGCTACCAACATACCTAATTCTGGGCGCAAGGACAACAACCTAACCACGTCATACCTACTATATAACCAGATCATCATCTCGCCCTCCGATACCGATTACCTAGATCAACTGATCCCTTCTATCCGAGAATACAGTGTCGGCAATAGGACCCCGCAGCTCCTACAGTCCCTTTCCCGGTTCGCGAGCGACAAAGAGGCGGAAATCGAAGGCATCTGTAACACCAACCACCAGGAATTCGTCTCCTCTGTCAATTCACTACTACGAATTCGAGAAGGCACGGTCTCTTTGACGGCGGAAATCCTAGACCTCAATCAATCTATTCAGACAAGTACGGAACGACTGGCGGAACAAAAGAAAGCCTTAGTAGAATCAAGAGGCCATCGGCAGAATATTGATGAGACCTCGCGCGCCATTCAGGATTGTTTGGAAGTGCTCCGCCTTGCCAACCAGGTCCATGACTTGCTAGCCAAGAAAAATCACTATGCCGCCCTGCGCGCTCTCGAAGAGCTACAAAATGTTCACTTAAAAGGCGTAACCCAGTATAAGATTGCCGTTATGATTCAACGCTCGGTGCCGGCCACCCAGCGCGCGATCGCTGAGGCAGTCATGTCAGATTTGAATACCTGGCTGTATCGGATCCGTGAAATGTCACAGTATTTGGGTGAGATCGCTCTTTTCCATACCGATCAGCGCAAGTCTCGACTTAAGGAAAGGGCGGAGAAAATCCCCTATCTGGAGCACTTCAATTTGAACTCTGCCATTGAATTGGTGGCCGATGAAGATGAAGAATATGATTTATTAGAGAATGAAGATTTGCAGGTGGAATTCACTCCCTTATTTGAATGTTTGCATATCCACCAGTCATTGGGGCAAATCGAGAAATTCCGGATCGAATATGCCAACACTCGCCGACGACAAAAAGATCTGTTAACCCCTCCCTCCATCACTCTTATAGACGAGGATGGAGCAAGCCTTCACAATCTTCTAGAGGAAATGGCAGGTTTCGCTATTGTCGAAAGAGCCACAATGAAAAGAGTACCGGACTTAAGGTCTTCAGTCGATGTATGTCTTCTTGCTCATCCCTTCTTTTTACACCTATGGATTCAAATTCATACACACACACATAAATTAACTCGCATTTTGGGCCAGATCGATGAGCTTTGGGATTCCATGTGTCAGGCTGCCGTGGGCGTAATTTCGAAAGCCCTTCATGAAGTGGACAATGCAGAAAATATCCTCAAAATCAAAAATTTGATTGCATTATTTATGCAAACTATGAATGTCAGCCATACCCTCTTCTTCATATACTTCAATTGGACCTCATGCTAAACACCGACTATCCTTTCAGACATGGAATTTCCCGGTTCGCGTGTTCGATGACTTTCTCTTAAAGCTTTTTGAGAAGTACTCCGAGCTCCTTAAGCGGAGGTTTAGCGATGACTTTCAAGAGGTATATCTTCCCAAGTCTCTTTATGCCCACACCGCCCTTGCGATCTCATTGAGCAAAACACTAACATCACCAGATTGTGTCAACGGATGACTATATGCCCATGCCTATTCAGACCTTGGAAGAGTACGATAAGGTGCTCAATGTGAGCTGGTACAATTCTGGAAAGCCCCATGAGGAACAAATGTACGCTCAAAATTTCCCAACCTTACCAACGCTTTAGAACTAACCATGGTATCAGCTTTCCTTGCATCCTGCCATTCTCAAGGATGTATCCACTCTGCTGCATTGACATTCGAAATTTTTTAAACCAGTTTTACTTCTTCGCCAATGACGACTTTTCGCATCCAGATGTCATCGACGAGACATTGAAAGATGTAAGTACTGCTCCAAGCTTCATTTCCTTACTACACTCGATAATGACTTTCTAATGACTTTCAATAGGCATTGGATGATCTTCTATCCCGCAAGGTTTGCGATACTTTAGTGGAGCGTCTTTCTTCGCAATATTTGGGACAGATTGTTCAAATTCTCATCAATTTAGAACACTTCGAGGCAGCCTGTCGTGAGCTTGAAATGCTACTTGCGGCTGCCAGAACTCAAAATTCTACGGGAACATCCATTACTTTAAGAGCAACCGAAAAATTTCGAAGCAACAAGAAATCTGCTGAAAAGCGCATCTTTGAGGTGGTCAATTCCAAAATCGATGACCTTATCGAAACAGCAGAATATGAATGGATGTCAACTAAACCACCTACGGAGCCTAGCAATTATATGCAAACCTTGACTCGCTTTCTCTCTAATATCATGAATTCCACACTGCTAGGGCTGCCAACCGAGATTAAAGAGCTCATTTACTTTGACGCCCTCAGCCATGCAGCGAATATGATTCTGGTATGTGGCTGATTTCTTTCCTATCTCCCCCGGATCATGTGTATGTCAGGCCCAAACTAACGAACGTCACAGGCCCAACCATTGGCTCCAGAAGTCAGGACCATAAATCCAAATGGAGTCGCAGCGCTAGCAAAGGACGTGGAGTATCTAGCTCAGTTTGTGGACAGTCTCAATGTTCCCATCTTGCGTGAAAATCTCGATGAACTCCAACAGACCGTGCAGCTAATGCAGGCGGACAATGCCGACGAGTTTTATGATATTTCAACACGCAATAAGAAGTATGGGAGAGTTGATGCCATGCAAGGACCTATTTTGCTTGAAAAGTATGCTGCCTTCCCAAAGCTGGTGTTTCATGTGACATTAACTAACATATATAAGACTTACGCGCACAGTCCAGGTTCCAAGCAAGGTGGACAAATTCACTACCCTTTCCTCGCGTTTCAAGAAGACTCAATTGTAATTGAGTGCATTGGATTGATTGGAGGGGAGAATATGCTTTGAGCAACTGAGTTTCTAGTTTAATGAATGGATTATATTATACTAGTCACAAAAAAAGCTTTATATGAGACTACGATATGCAAAACTATTTTCAACACGATATCTGATTCAAATAATTAAAACCCTAATATCTACCGCAATACATTTCCACGACCTTACTATTGAATATCCAAAGATAAAGCTTATAAACCATTTGTGATACACCTAACTGCCTTCATTTTTGGCTATACAAGTGATTTATCGTTACTATGTACAGGCAAGTAGCACATGCGCAACTAGGCAGAAGGCTGCACGGCTAATCGACTTCTTGGGTTTGTCAGCTTCGACCGGTTTTAGAAAATAGCCTGATCTGTTTAGAAAAAAGTGCTCTGCGATTTGGCTCAACTTTGCCTTGGATTGTCATAGAGCATATATTGGATTGAAAAGGTAAACCAAACACCATTCAAAGAAGGATGGAAGAAATGAAAAGAAGAGGCGAAGAGAAAGTGAAAGTGAAAGGAAAACGCAAACAATAACCAGTATTCGCCAGAAAACGCGCGTAGACCCCTGAAACAACGGACGAAAAGAACCAGTTTCCTTACAGGAGTTCAACTCACTAAACTTCGTTAGTTGAATCGGGAATACGAGATATCGAAACCACTCATACCTGCTGAGGAGGGAGATGCGGGTAAGCAGCATACATGCCCTCGAACATTTGAGATTGGGGCTGACCATATGCTCCAGTGGGGTCTGATTGAACTGGACCCGGATACATTGTGGGCTGTGGACGATATTCCTGTTCCTGCGGAATACCATGTTGTCCAAGTGCCCCGTAGTCTGCAGGGCCCATGTGTGGCTGAACACCGTGCTGAGAGGGTGGTAACTGGCCTGGAGCCGCCGACGGCCCTGGGACACCAGCCTGGCTCGATCGCTTGGCGTGTGAGGCGGCCTCCTCTCTGGGGACAATGTCAATCAAGAAATCGAACATGTCGGATTTGGAGAGAGCTGCAGCAATGTCAGAGCGTTGCAAGGTGCGACGCTTGTTATCTTCGGCATGGATCCAAGCACGCATTGTCAGCTCCGTGATGAAGATATCACAGCCCTTTGCAAACAAGATCGGGGCCTCTGCAGATATCATTTTGACTTCCGGGTCGGCCTTCATCACTTTCTTGATTCGAGCGAGTGGCAGCTGATGGATTTTGTAATCGTGATTCTCGCCTTCCAAATGATTGATGACATGCTGCCAGTAAGTTGTCAAGATATCACGAGCGGTCCCTTGCAGGCCTTGGTTCACCTGTTTTTTTTGGCGTCAGTCATAGAATAAAAGATGATTGTTCGGGACTTACATTGGCCCAGGTTCCGGTATACAGCTCAGCAAGAGGTGCATATCCTTGTGCTGAAAGCTGATCGATTTCAAGGGTAATTAGTAACGATGCGAATATGTTTCAAGGACGTATTTTAAGGAGTTGAGTGGATTCCACTTTAGATTCTCCTGAAGCATACCTGTGCACTGGCGCCTATAGAAATGAAGAAAAAAGAAGATCAGAAAGCAGTTCGATATTCACGCGATGGATAAATTGCGCGGATGACACCTCTAGTGCGCCGGCCAAAGCCAATGTACGCCCTCGTTCAGGCGCGATGCGGCATAGATATCCAATCACAAGGGGAGATGTAATGGTGCTCATTTACCATAGTGTCCTCCATTCCGTGTATCATATACAGGTGGTTGTTGTTGGCCCTGCTGCGGTCTACCCTGCTGGCCTGTGCCCTGGGGAGCTGAATCCATGACAAATCGCGTTTCGCGCCCGATGTATTCGGAGGTAGTGACAAGCGGAGGGGGATTCGAAAGCCCCGTTAAATGGGTCGCGGGGGTCTAATCCAAAAGAGAACGAAGAGACAAAGTGGTTCCTGGTGGTGTAATCGAGTGGGACGAGGCAAAGTCTCTGATTAGCTCTTGAGGTGTGGGAGGAAGCGCGTGTCGGTCGCCAAGCATGGAGGTGCTCTCTCAGCTCTGACGTTTCCGGGTTTCTGAACCCCCGCTTCTTACAAGGACCAACTTAAGAGATTAAGAAACAAGAGTATATAAAAGGAACTCCCAATGGTATCAAAATTGAAGTATATTCAGTCTATCATATGTCTTTTATACAGATACCTTGTTAACTATTTACGATTTAGTTTTGTTGCTCGACATTCAATCATATATTGATGAAAGCCAACTTTAGGTCGGTTGGACTGGATTCCGTGTATGTACCGGTACTTATAATAACACTAGTCTCTCTGCCATTTAGAGGTACCCAGTACCTCCAAGCTATAGTTGCACGTGACCCATTTGTTTTCCGTGATTAATATTTATCCGTGCCGAGCAAAGCAAAGAAAAGAGAGAAAAAAAAAACTTATAAAACCCACTTCCCATTGAAGTCCTTTAGCTTCCTTCAATACCATCCACCCTGTATCTTCAGTGACAGGTATGGTCGGCTCAACTCATGTGAAGGTCGACGTCCAACCTCAGGAAGAGGTGGATTTGTCTGATGTTCAAATCCAACAGCTTCTGCTAGAAGCAGAAGGCCGCCTGCGTGGCTCGGATGTCCAAGTCTCTGATGAATTCGACCCTACATCTTTTAGGTATTTATACCCACACAATCGAAGATATCTTACTAGGCAGTACTGATCATTACAGAATTCCTAAGCTTTCTTCCGAGTCTACTCTTGAGCCATATGTTCGACAGAGCAATGACATCGCAGTCGTTGATTCGGCGCAGCTCATCGACCCGAAGCAGAAAGAGTTAGCTAACTCATTGCGTTCAATTCAAAACCCAAAGAAGACATCCAAGGTACGCTCCTACTCCCATTTTCCTTATAAGTTTCCCAGAGACGAGACTCCTCGTCACATCCACCCCGAACACTTTTTTGCTATGAGGAAGATTTTTCCCAACGCTTAAGCGCTTGATACAGCGTAACCAGTCCGTTTTGGGCTGTGCTGTACCAGTGAGAGTTTTATTTTTCATAGTTACTCTGAGCAAAAACACATCACAACATTCTTTTTCTTTTGAAAACCTGGAGCTGTGCACTCGAGACTGACACTTCATTTCTTGATAGGACAAGCCTACAGCTGGGCCTGAATGGTTCAACCTCCCCAAGACAGAGTTGACAACAGAGTTAAAGAGAGACTTACAAATTTTGCGGATGCGCTCTGTACTGGACCCCAAACGGCACTACAAAAAGGAAAATGGAAAGGCGAAGGTACCTGAGTTCTCTCAAGTTGGGACAATTGTACAAGGGCCTACCGAGTTCTTCAGTGGTCGTATTGCCAAGAAAGACCGCAAGAAGACTTTCGTTGCCGAGGCGATGGCCCTGGAGCGAGAGAACAGACGCTTCGAGTCCAAGTATCGTGACATCCAAAGTACAAAGCAAAGTGGAAAGAAGGCATTCTACAGCAATCTCCGGGCCCAAAGAAACCAGAAGAATAACAAGTGATTACAAGTCTATTGACCCAAGCAGAAATGTCTTGGCGTATTCAGCAGCAATTTTAATTACACTTGTTGGGCAGACCACGGATCCTCATGTCTTTCCTATACCACCACGGTCACTTGCGCTTGGGATTCAAATCGACTTGGTCTTATTGTTGACCGAAAGCCTTCACAACAATTTTCGTCACCAGTTGCTGTCACTATCGTCAGCTTTCAAATCCCTGCTTGGTGCTAGAACAGCAATTACTTACTTGCATATCTAAAGCTGCCGTCCGGCCAGCCTCCAAAACCTCTTCATGTGTTGCCTTACCTTTCTCCAGAATGGCATTGAGCTCACCGGCGTTTTTGTCTTGGAGCAATTGCTCGTCCCCACGCGGGACCGGATCCAGCACCGCATTGTTCGTGACCAGACTGAATGCCAACACACGAAGGCCACTGTGCCTTGCCACTACAATTTCTGGCACAGTCGACATGCCCACGACATCGGCTCCTAGTATGCGAAGCATTCGGCTTTCAGCCCTTGTTTCGTAGCTTTGAATACTGTCAGCAGCCTAAACAAGGCCAAGTCTGCTGTGAAGCATCAGGTGTACTCACGTTGGGCCTCCCGCGAAGGCGTATACGCCTTCATGCAATTTCCTTGTCTTTTGGGACGGTATGGTTTCTTTCCATGCCTGGTGGACATGACGACGCAAGTCAAGGTCATATGCATCCGACAGAGGTGGAAAGCGGACGCCAAATTCCTCGGCATTCGGGCCTCTTAAAGGATGCACCCCGGCGAGTCCAGCCAAAAAGATATGCTAGAGGTTCGTCAGTAAATGTAAATAGCTATCTTTCGTGAGCGGTTTGCGGGAAAATAAAAACTTGCGTCATTCAATAACATGATGTCGCCCACATTATAATCCGGATTTAGGCCACCAGCCGCATTTGTCACTGTTCCTTTTCCTTAATTCTTGTATCCTTGCATGCAGTAGATGTATTTTCAATAGTTGATTCCTGGACTTACAGATGACTGTATCTACTCCGAGAAGTTTGAATACCCGGATAGGAAAGGTCACCTGGTCCATAGAGTTGCCTTCATAGTAACTGATCAATACTTATCAGCCATTTGAAACCGACCAGATTAGCTAAAGATGTAAGCCTAGTAAAACTCACTGGGCACGGCCAACCATGAAAACGGCGGGGACTTTCTGGCCCAGGAGCCCAAACACCAGTTTGCCCGCGTGTCCAGAGACTTTGATTGTTAGTCTTGGGAGGGGTTCAACTTTCTCATAGGGCTACTGACCTGTTGGACGAGGAAAATGAGGAATCGATGCATAATCGTATTCTACTCGAGGATCTGCTTGGACAGTGTCTGCTAGTCCACTTAAGCCGGAACCACAAACGATTGCAACTTGTGGCTTTCGCAGACTCTCTGGCAGGCTATCAGTCAGGAAAGTTATCGCTTCCTGGGTCTGGTCCCAGATGGACAAATCAGGTGGAGTCATGTTTAGTGTAGGAGGTTTCAAGGTTATCTTCGTGGCGTATAAGGATGCAAAGAGAAGAGGAAATGTTCTTCGTGGAGGGGAGTGGATCACCATCAATCTTTCTGTTGCTCTCTGATAGTACTGCGGAGTCATGTGCGGTCTTATTGGCTAGAATGTGTAGAACCCGCCGTGCAGGGTTACAAGGATATACACGGTTGACTCTTGCCAGTGATCATGAGGGGCACTACTAGTATTTACTGGGCCAGTAAAGGACCTATATATATATATATATATTTAAAAGATACCTATCTCATAAGCTGTAGGCAAATATAAACAAAGTCTGCTCAGGCTCTCTTCCTATCCTTTCTTTACTATTTGATACTGTGTTGTAAACCCGTTCCAAAGCCATTTATCAACGATTAAACCAAAAATTACATAAAAATCTCAAATCCACACAATTAACAGAGTTTCAGAGGAAATTAGATCCAATTCATTTCTCCCTAGATTATGAGCCTTGGGTCAGGCCAATTCCCAGCCGATGAGTGTTTGGGTCCATGGTACCCTGGGCAAAGGCGGTCAGCCGCATCTTCAACCGCAACGAAAAATCCAAAACTGCGCGGCTTTTGTTGTCTGGACTTCAATCGACCCAATGTTTGCAAACAAGACTCGCTCCTTACTGGGGGCTGGGAAAAATCTGCGGGTAAGCAAAATATATTCAAATCTATGGTTTCTGGCGCGGTGTTCTCTGTACTGACGAAAGAATGGTGGGAAATCAAGGTTCCTGTGCCCGTACGTTCGCTATCATCCCCGAGTCAACCCAGTGCGCCGACTTCAACCCCGGAGACAGCGTCTCAGTCTGCTCCAGCTCCCACAAGCTCTGCTCCTAAATCAACGTAAGCCTTCAATGCGTACCATGCTCGAGTTTTGATGTCTAGGCCCAGGAGCTGATTGCGATTCCCAACTTTAGATCGGAGCCAACAAATTCCGAGTTGTTCGAGCCACGCGTGAAGGAATGGTTAGTAGAATACATCCTGTGCTCATTGAAAGGGTACAATCATAATATCAGGGAACGATTGACTCACTGCATATCAGGGCCGACCGTCTAGGAGCTTTGGGTAAAGATACCCGGCTACCCCGAAGCGTGCAAGCGATTTATATGCGACCCCTCCGAAGGAAAGCGGAATATGGCCTCCCAGTTTGTGATCTTCAACTTCGATCCTACACCGTCGAAAATGTGGAATTCTTTGCCGACTTTGCGGTGCGCGCCGCCTACTACCTCAACCTCCCCGTCTCCGGTCCAGTACCCCTTCCCCGTATTGTCGAGCGCTGGACTGTCCCGCGAAGCAATTTCGTTCACAAGAAGAGTCAGGAGAACTTTGAGCGAATTACCCTTCGCCGGTTGGTTCAAATCAAGGACGGGAACCCGAAAGCCGTCCAGGCATGGCTCGCTTTCCTGCGGAAGCACGCGTTCTACGGAGTGGGCATGAAAGCCAATATCTGGGAACATGATAGCCTTGGTACGTTCGACCAGTACCATCAATTAACATTCCAAATTCAATTTGCTAACCCTCGACAGATGTCGGCAAATCCATGGATGAGTCTCTTCCGGAGATTGAAAAGACATTGGGCTCACATCTCGCCCAATTCGGCCAACGGAAAGATAACTCTATTGAGCAGAACATGTTCGATACTCTGGACAATGACCGATTTGCTGAGCGCAAGAACCTTTAAAAGTCCTAGAATTGAACAGGCGCTTGAGCTTCGCATTTGGGGATTCATTTCGGCGTCTTGTAGCTTTACATTTTTGTCTTATTTACTCTTATCTCGCTCTCACGGAGCTCCATGTATTGTATATCTACCATCATATCCAAATCGAATGAAACAATTTGGGAATCATAATAATCCCAGGATCTTCTCTCGTGGCTTTGAATCAAGAACCAGCACCGCATTCTTTCATACCTAGTTACCCTTTCATAACTTGTGGGCCGTTTCTCTCTCCATTAAATTGTTTTTATTTTCGCCCAATTCCGCTATCTAAATGAGATGAATGACCACTGTTCATCATAAATCATGTCTGATTCGAGAATACATACCCACCACATATAATCGTCACGTGACCAAGATGATGTTTTTGTGCAGCGTCGCGGAAGAACATGGCTCCTTACTATCTATTTTCTCTTTGGCGATAGGCATCTTATTGCCTCATTTATACACATCATAAGATGAGCATCCAATTTTGTCGTCGTGCAAATGCATCACTAAGATCAGTGGGTGGACAATTGCCAAAGGCCCTCCCCTATCAATCTTCCCAATGGTATCGATCCATCAGCTCAGCAACCTCTAAGTCCGCTCCAGAACCCGTGATATTTTCTGGCATTCAACCAACAGGTGTTCCTCATCTTGGAAACTACCTCGGTGCTCTCCAACAATGGGTGAAGCTACAAAATACCGCGGCGCCGGGAACCAAGCTGCTTTTTTCCATCGTGGACCTCCATGCCTTAACAGTACCGCAGGACGCAAGCCAATTGCGAAAATGGAGAAAAGAAGCATTTGCAACTTTGCTTGCTGTAGGGCTGGATCCTAAACAGTCTACTATCTTTTATCAATCCGATGTGTGCAGCTAAATCCCATACTTACTAATGGGCGAATGAAGGCTAACGAGATTATGTTACTGGATGATAGGTGCCAGCTCATGCAGAGTTGATGTGGATTCTTAGCACAGTGGCGTCTATGGGATATCTCTCAAGGATGACCCAGTGGAAGGTATACTGGGAGATTACACTCATCTCAAGTCAAATCCACTAGCTAATTAGACTTCTAGAGCAAGCTGCAACTGCCAGAGGACACGACGCTAGATGATTCTGAAGCTCGGGCACAATTGCGGCTTGGTCTGTTTTCGTACCCTGTGCTTCAAGCTGCCGATATTCTAGTACACAGGTAACGTGTTTCTATTGTCCTATGTCATTGAAAAACAGGGAGATAGAACGGATTCTAATTATCTCCTAGAGCCACTCATGTTCCTGTCGGCGAAGACCAAAGACAACATCTTGAATTCTCAAGGTATACGGCCAATAGTTTCAACCATCTTTATGGGCCCATATTCCCCACTCCAGAAGCTTTGATCTGTAAGTGCAGTTGTTGCTTAAGCATGCGTTCATGCGTTCATGGTTGTTAACCGCTAACCGAAACTAGCCCCGGCCAAACGAGTGATGTCTCTGAAGGAGCCCGGGTCCAAAATGTCCAAATCCCACGCGGATGAACGGTCCCGAATTATCCTAACCGACTCCCCCCAGCAGATTCACAAAAAGATCAAAGTCGCACTCACTGATTCAGAGCCAGCGATCACGTATGATCCGAGTCATCGACCTGGAGTCTCCAACCTCATTGAGATTCTCAGTCATTTTGAAGGTATTACCTGTGAAGAGATCGCTGCAGACTTCCAATCCACAAGCCTCCGGTCATTGAAGGAGCACGTTGCCAGTCGAATTGCGCATCATCTCCAAGAAATTCGGGAGCGATATGTAGAACTCATGGAGGACCGAACGGGTATTTTGGATACGGTCGCTCAGCAGGGCGCAGAAGTTGCGCAAGGCAATGCTGCACGGACCATGCGACAAGTTCGTGAGGCTATGGGTCTATAAGTGTGACTGATTGCCCTCTTTGGGAAGAAGAAGGCAGCAGCCGTATGTATTTTTAAAAACCCCCAAAATTGTACTATACCTGTTGTAGACAGAGCACGTCTGAACTTGGGAGAGGTGGAATTTCATGTACATTACAGATTACAGGGGCAAAAAGACTCCAGCGTTCATGAGGGGTGTTTTGATTGTATGCCAAGTACTTGGTATAAACCCTGTTCGTTGTTGCTTCGCCAAGCGGCAAATTCAGGGTCCAAGCAAAGAGCCTCACTTCATTATTCGACTATTAATAACCGATTGGGGGCGGTGCAAAGTGACCTTGCCAAGGGACTCGCCTCTTTCAGGTGGTCATGTTCGTCGAACATAGCCCTGAAATTGAGTGTTGGCATTATTCATAGGCTGTATATATTAACTATTGCCCTCTCAGGCCCACTTAGTCCTGACAGCCAAGCTCACAGGCTCCAGACTGGGGCAGATGTACTAGTATGTACTAGTATGTACTATAGAAATAATACGAGACTTTCCCGAGGATGGAATTTCCCACGTTTCCCCCGGATATTCAACCTGAACCTGTATATGATGCTACATACATATGTACTATACGTAAAGATCAGAGTACAAATCTATATAATCTCGGTTGTGAGCGCATCCAAGGTTGAACGTATCGTATCGGGCGTTGCAGCCTAACCCTGAAGCGTAGCGGAGCGTCATCTATCCGCGTCATCGGTGTTCCGGCTTCCCAACCACGTACGTTGCATACGTATACCTCACGCTTCGGTTCTTTCGAAGAGGCGAATGTAGGAGACAAGAAATGAAATGCAATTCCATCAGATATCCAGATATCCAGATACTTTTTAATCTTCCCATCTCTTGGCTGTATTGTACTTGTATTGGTAAAGGGGAAAGTGGTGACGCGCCATACGCTACAGAGGACTAAGTGGGTCGACTGTAGCCTTTCAGAAGTTTTAGGGGCATTTGGCCCCAAAAGCTCAATTTCGGTTAAGCCGGAGCAGAATTAAACCAAATCATGAGTCTCATGTCCCTAAAGCTGGAGATTTTTAGTGGCGCACAGCCGCATCCCACCTGAAGGACCCTGGTCCATTAGGATTCCATTATAACTTGACTCGCGCCTCGTTCGTAGTGGATCTGCTTTCTCTCTTCCTTTCCTTTGAACCCCAAAAGCTCTTTTCTTCACATACAGCAGAGTTTCCCCCTCCCCCCTGTTTCTCGGAAAGGAACCGAATACAGCACGTCTCATTGCCGATCGACTATAACATTCCCCGGGGACCATATCCGGAGGAACCGACGAACATGAAGAATTCACTCTTTTTGTTAGCAGCCTGTGCGCTTCCAGCACTGGGTCGTTTAGCTCTTCACGAGAGAGATGTTCCAGCGGTTGTTAGCTTCGATATCAAGCGGAAAGATGTATCGGATCCCGTAGCTCGAGACGTTGCGAGGCGGAAGCGGTCGGAGACAGTCAGCTCCGGGTTGGACAATGAGGTATGTGAAACTGCTATGATATCAGCCATCTTACAACAACCCATTGCATGTTATATATCCCAAAACTGACTGGCGCATAGTACAACCTCTATCTGTGTAATATCACTCTAGGCTCCGATAAACAAGCTCTACGTCTTGTCATCGACACTGGGAGCAGCGATCTCTGGGTGAATGCGCCCAATTCAACTTTCTGTGAGGAATATAAGGAATACTGTGACTACTACGGTACCTACGATGCGACCGACTCGGATACATACTCTTACGTTAATTCCGATTTCAACATTTCCTATGCCGACTCCTCCAGCGCAGGTGGTGTATATGCCACCGACACCCTTCATATCGGTGATGCCGAACTCAAAAGTTTACAGTTCGGTATTGGTTACGAATCCTCTTCTGAAGGTGAGTAACCCACTCTTCATGCGACAAAAACAAAATTGCAATGTTAGACTAACTCGAACTTTAGTGGGTGTCCTGGGAATTGGATATACGACAAACGAAGCCTCAGAGTCCACCACAGGTGAATCATACGCCAACCTGCCTAAAGCAATGGTCAACAAAGGCTTGATTCAGTCCAATGCATACAGCTTGTGGTTGAATGACCTCGATTCCAACGAAGGCTCCATTCTGTTCGGTGGTATCGATACCGGCAAATTCCACGGCGAACTTGAGACCCTACCCATCCTGAAGACCCAGGGCGTATACGCAGCATTCTACATCACCCTTAGCGGGGTTGCCTTGACCAATTCGTCGGGAACGAGCAATTACTCCACTTCCAGCTCTCTTCCAGCTGCGGTTCTTCTTGATTCCGGCAGCTCTCTGACCTATCTTCCAGACGCCATCGTCGAGGATATTTATGACGAATTGGATGTCAGCTACTCGAGCAGCGCGGGATATGGATATCTGCCCTGTAGTTACGCCGAGAAGGACTACAAGTTCACCTACTCATTCTCAGGTTTGACCATTGACGTCGATATCAGCGAGCTCGTCATGGACATGGGTGGCAATGAATATTACAGCAATGGCGATCGCGCCTGTGCTTTTGGTATTGCTCCAGCCGGAAACACTGACGCCGTTCTTGGTGATACCTTCCTGCGCAGTGCCTACGTGGTCTATGACCTGGCCAACAACGAAATCTCTATGGCCAACACCAACTTCAACTCCACAACTAGCCACATTTCCGAGATCGGAACTGGTGCAGATGCTGTGCCCAGTGCTACTGGAGTTGCCAACCCGGAGACAGCTTCGTCAAATCCTACCGCCAAGCACGGTGGCGTCCCTGATGCCACTGATCTTCCCGGGTCGAGCACCAAGAATGCCGCTATTCCAAGACCCACTCAGATGCCTAAGCACATGGCGCTGGGTCTGGCCGGTGCTGCTCTGCTCGTTCTGTGAGCAACCTATTTTTAAACGTCAATTGATGTCTTAAATCTTCGTTTCTCTTCTAGATATTTGCATATTTCTGGGGTTTCTTCGGAGTCAGTTTGGGGAATACCTGGACCTTTTCATTTCTTTTCATTTTTTGGATGTTGATAATATACTTCATGTGCCATGATTATAACCTCAATATACATACATACCAACATACCTATTTATTTCTTTTTGCCGAAAAACACATAACACAGGACTGATGTAAATTTCAATAATTTTCATATTGGAAGTGAATTTTTAATCGAAATTGATTCCAGCAGCTACGATAATACGTACATGGAGAAACCTCCTATCCCGCTTCCCAAGGTGCGACCCGCGATGCTTGGCATTTTGCTATCTACCAGCCGCCATCGATTTTCTCTTGAAAAAGTTTCTTATATCACCACCATGCCACGCATATCAACATCTTTACTCATTAAAGCGTATCGAGAAAACTCACTATTGCCGTTACTTCTTCGAGAGTGCCGCTCGCTGACATCCGCGAGAAATGAATTGCGATGGCTTCGCGAACGCGCTCTGCATGATAGCCAGTCAGCTTCGAGACTGACAAAGGGATCACTATTTGGATGGCGGACGCGTCTCAGATCCATGTGCCAACGACGGTCTAAAGGGGTTCCACTGCAGTACATTCTTGGCGACCAGCCGTTCGGCGATTTGGAAATTATTTGCCGGCGAGGTGTCTTGATTCCAAGGTCTATTGCACCTCTTTCATTTTATTTCGCGTCCCATATCGCATTGAAGCTGACTAACACGGTCCTCCAGGTCTGATACCGAGTCCTTTACTGTGCAGGCTGCTAAGACTGTTCGTCAAATGGCCCTAGAGCACATGCACGATAATCAGGCCCCGCAAATGGAGAAACCTCTGCGGGTGTTGGATCTGTGCACTGGAACAGGTTGCATAGCACTGTTGTTGCACACACTTCTTGCTCCACAATTTAAAGATCTTATGATACTTGGAGTAGACATCAGTGATAATGCTCTAAATCTGGCGCGAACCAATTTGGAATACAATCTCCGACAGGGTTTGCTATCCAATGACGCTCTTACCCAAGTCCACTTTCAGCGTGCCGATGTTCTTAACAGAGGACTTGGTGCTGGATTGACGGTGAAAGAGGCTCTAGAACAACACTTCAATGGACTGGGAGGGAAGAGCGAGCCACATTCTGCGCTTGGGCTTGATTTACTGATCTCCAATCCGCCTTATATCTCCACCGTGGACTTCCGGAATGGCACTACGTCACGAAGCGTTCGACGATTCGAGCCAGAACTAGCATTAGTGCCGCCTGCTACTTCTAAGTCTGCAATACTCGAAGGATGCAATCCGGAAGACATATTTTATCACCATATCCTCACTCTTTCGCTCCAATCAGTTGCCAAAACCACAGTCCTTGAGTGTGGGGATATAATGCAGGCTCGCCGAGTGGTCGCTATGCACAAGAAGATGATTTCACATAAGTCAGGATACTTTGACACGCAAATATGGCCAAGCTCTGAGCGAGATTTGGCAGAAAATGGATTCCATCATAGTGATGGAGCGCGCTGTGTTATCATTACAAGGCGAGATAATGTATGAAAATGATTTAAGATGGCCACTTTCTAGTAGCATCTATGTATGAGCCAATCATATACATAAAGAGCCGGAGAATCAGCCCCTTGATAAATTTTGTGTCATATCTTTGTCCCGTATAGAACCTATGATCTAAATTTCCAAGCTAGACAGTCGACTATATTGAAGGGCCGTGCGGGTGATTAAGATTAAACATCTGACCTAGGAAGTCCAAATCGTTGTCCATCATAAATTCTCCAAGATCCACGTTGGACCACATAGGATAATCTGCATTGTCCGCTGAGAAGATTGGCGGGCCATTCAATGGAGCTTGCACATTGCTAGTACTGGCCAAACTGCTGGGCTTTTCTGAAGCTATATTTTTGTATCAGCATACAGTGTTGATCCCAGACTCAGACACCGTCTAATGAAAATACAGAACTTACTGGTGGCCTTGAGCATCATAGAAAGCTGTGCTAAATATTCAACACATCGCTCAATGACACGATTTCCCGAATCTAGATGGCGTAGCGCGTCCGCAGCGAGGTCGAGATATTGTCGCGAGTTTTCTATAGAACGCCATTGGTCTGGGTTGCACTGGCGTTCTTTGGAAGAGACTAGAAGAGCGCCAAATATCACCAGTCCCGCATTAAAAGCTAGAAGAGTAATTATTAAAAAATACCGTCCACGGTTTACGCGAACCATGAAAGCACGTAGGAAAACTTACTATAGTATAAAGAATAATACCACGCACCGAGCAGACCTCGATGCCAGCCACCAGAGGAAGTGATGGTGTAGACGGTGGAGATAATCGATATGGCAGACTCGACGCAGTTCTGTACCCCTGTAAACCCCATCTGCTGGACAAGCTTATTTTCTGATGAAATTGAGTCATCTGCATTATATGAATCCAAGTAGCTTTCCAGAAATCGCCGGTAGAGAAGAATGCGTAAATTATGATATCTCACGGAGAGTACGATTCCGAATCGGTGGCGAATGGTTGATTCAGGGTCCAGCTGTGCCAAATTTTTTGAGAGCAAGGGCTCGTGCCAGAGCCGGATACCAAGTGATGGTACAATTGAAAAGCGCCATTCCTCGAGTTGACGCTCTCCCTCGAGGATTTGAGGCACCGCATTTGCTGCAGTCGGTGGATGCTCAAATCCCAAGTTCTGACTGTAGCAGTTATCAAGCACGTTGTACAGGACAACATATAATTTTCTGGGACTGAAAGTCAGTACGATCAGGCAAGCTAGTTGATAATACAGATAGCGATTGAACTGACATTGCCGCTGTAAAGAACCAACCATCTAATTGGGGATGTGCGTCGGATTGTGAAGAGTTCGCTAAAACTTGCATATCTTTCACAGGCATATCCAATTTCACATATGATTCCGGAATAGTACAGGGTCGACCAAATGTCATACTCAACGTTCTAGTCAAGATGTCAATGACTATGCGCCTGGTAGGGGAAGAATGAAACATACCGATCGAGTAGAATGCAACCGTACCAGGTTCGCTTGCGAATTTCACTCTCTACGGGAGAAAAGCGTCGATTGGCTTCCGGTGAGTGCAAACCAAGCTGAAAAGCAGCGGAGATAGCCAGGCCATGCGTTGTCCATGCTTGGACCGATTTCTGGGTTCCCTGAAGATATTGACCCAGAACCAACAAGTATTGAACTATTGCGTAAATTATTAGTAGATTCTTTGTTGATCAACGAGGTTATAATTGACAAACCCATTTCAAGACTAGCGTTACGTTTCGAGTCTTTATCACAGAGCCCATTTGCTCTCTGGAAGTGAATATCTGACTCTTGAATTCTTTGCCCAGCAGGCAAATCACCTTCAGTGTGAAGACTTGTAGCAATGGCTAGAATAATGTTGAGTAAACCTAGCCATGTTCGACGTACTCGCTTGAAATTATCTTCTTTCATTCGAAAGTATGTTTCGCAGAATGACGACTCGTGGATGAACGGTAAAAGTTGACCGGTCTTTTCAAAGTATATTTGAACCAGATGCCAGGTGCGCTGCTCCGAAGGTAATGCAAAGATGTTGATCTCGACCTTGCCTGTTGCTGAAGGTTTACTTCGGGAATCACCTGGTGATGGACAAGATCTTGAAACATTCAACATGCCCCCACCGATTTGAGGAGAAGATATGGAGGTGATACCGTTTCTTTGTTGACTTCCTCGTGCAAGGGCACGAGAAATATGTCGCATGAATGCGATATTGGAAGATGGGCCTTTTCAAAGGGTTAGTTTTAACAACCCACGTAGATATGACTCTTTGTCCAAATTGGACTCGCATATTCTCGTAATATCATACCAAAAAACCCACAATCCTCTTCATCCGTGAAATTCATAGCGCCCATTCCATCAATTGAGTTCTCGGAGGTATCAATTTCGCCGAATTCGGCTCTTCCTCCCGGGGCAATTGCATGAGAAGAAGGCGCATGGTGGTCTGGTTTAGACATCTGAAACGCTTCCCTTCCATTCCCTGTTGTTTGCTTCAACGCCGGTGTAGATCCATTTACGGTCGTCGGGGAAGGTGTTTCTCCCTGGCTTTGCTCCAATCTGCGAATAGAAGCCTCAATATCTTGGATTCGATGTTCAAGGCGAGCCAAATAACTATTTGGAGGGTCAGAATCAATCGTCTTTGGTCGATGCACATGTACATAGACATATGAATGTATATGTACGATATTTCTTTTTGCTTCAGAATGATCTCAAACTCACCTTTTCTCCACTGTCAGATTGTTTGATGCTCCAACATCCTGGTAAACACAGTCGCACCCGAGCTCTTTGCATTGAGTGCACGGTCGACCTCCATCACACTGCCCCTCTATTAGTTAAGCTCCGCTATTATTCAATTGACATACATACCCGGGATTTCCGGTGACGACACGAATGGCAGGCTAAAACTGCACGTCGGCGTTTAGGGGGATGAGCCGGCTGTGACATGGCTTTTGCATTCGAACGAGGAGAGAAAAAGCGGGGAGATCAGCATCATGAGAAGCCGAACTCCACTCCCTACAGTAGCCTTGACAGCGGTGAGTCTTCTTGTTGCACTTTTCCGATGAATTCTACGTCGTTTCCTCTTTTCGTTCATGAGAATGCTTCTATCGAGATTGGCCATTTAACGTTATTTCTCCTCATTTCTTGGCAGATCCCCACAATGATGCGCTAAATGGAAATCCGGAGTATGTGAGAACCAAACTATGATACTCATGAAGTCCCGAACTCCCCGGATCTTACCCGAACTCCCCGGAGAATATAGATGGGATATGTGCATGTATGCCATTGAGCGGTTGACAATGCATTATTTAAGCCCGTGGCGTTGGCTAATCTGATCTCTGATACTATTATCATCTACTAGTACATATCGACGTCTTCAATTTCTTCAGAATGGTATGTGGCATGGTTTCCTTGACTCGGCTGTGGAGAATAGAACAAAGCAAAGAAGAACATAATTGATTAACACAATAACCGTGACTTATAGAGTCCTCGAAAAGTTCACATTGGTATTGTTGGTGCGGGGATCGGTGGTTTAGCTGCAGCTATCGCTATGAGTCGAGCGGGCGCCCAAGTCACTGTGTTGGAGGCCGCGGAAGAATTGGGTGAGGTATGATTCAGTTCGCCTACCACATAAAAGAAAGATAATAGAAAGAAACCTTTTTTGACACATCCATTCTCTCTATAGATCGGTGCAGGAATCCAAATGACCCCGAATGTGTCTGTGCTCCTTCAACGCTGGGGCGTGGACAAGATTATTGGGGAGAACCTGGTACAATTTGAGGAACTAAATATGCGGCGTAAGGATGGCACGCCGGTTGGGTATACGAAGATTGATACCATTGAGAGAGACTTACAACGACCATGGTGGGTGGTCCATAGGGCACATCTCCATGAGGGGATGGCTACAATTGCGACACAGGCCGGGTCTACAATTAAGATCAATTCGCGGGTTGTCGAAATCCAGCATCAAACAAGTCCAGTAATAGTGAAAACCCAGAAAGGGGATTCCTACACATTTGATCTCTGTGTTGGTGCCGACGGAATCAACAGTGTCGTGCGTCAGACATTGTTTCCTGGTGTTCGCCCAGAGCCCCCAACTACTAATTGTGCATATCGGGCTATTGTACCGTATGATCAGATTCGTCAGGATCCGGTTGCCAAAGAACTTGTGGAAAAACTCACAATGGAGGTCTGGATGGCTCCTAAATCCTACATTATTACCTACCCAATATCGGCAGGTAAGATGTTCAACTTGGTGCTCTCGCACCATCGACCAGACAAGCTACGAGCAACTCAAGACACTGTGCTCCTTGAGGAAATGCGGGAAGAGTATAAGGATTACGATCCACGCATTAAACGAATTGTTGATATGATCCCAGAAGTGGTAAGTTATGACAGGAAAGTTGGTGTTCTAGCATATCAAGAAAATACTCATACCTAATCTCATAACTAGTCTCGCTGGCCACTTATGGTGACCGGGCCCTTGAAGTCTTGGTCATCGCCCCAAAATAATGTGGTTCTTATTGGCGATGCAGCCCATTCCATGGTGAACCATATGGCCCAAGGGGCAGCCACCTCAATGGAAGATGGCGCTTTTCTGGCCAAGTGTGTTGAAGCCATTGTCCAGGGCAAAATAGGGGTGAACGAAGCCATTGAGATCTACGAATCTGAACGCATGCCCAAAGCCCACGCGAAACAGCAGGTATCCTTCATCAACGGAGCAATCTGGCAGCTGCCCGACGGGCCATTACAACAGGGGCGTGATAGAGCAATGGCCCCCGAGCTTCAAGGCAAGTATTTCGTGCGGAGCAGTAATCTCTACGGAGATCCGCAGACCGTGTTGGATGTTTATGGCTATGACGTCGAAGGACATGCCGAAGATGCGGTGCGAAAATACTGTAATGACGGTATGGAGCATGTTCATCCTGTGACAGGCGTCACTCCTGGGCTGCAGCGAAAGTATATGGATTGGTTCTTGCCGGATCAAAACACGCAAGCTGGGAAGCTATAATTGATGAAGAACATGTACAGATGATACTTCAGAATATTCCAAGGCTACATACTAGTAGTACATACACACACCCATTTAGAAATCCCATCCCTTGCTATGGGCGATAAATATTTTCTTTTTGATTTCTACGATTTACATTTACATTTGCATATACTTTAGTACGAACAATATATCAGAGTAAAGTTAGTCAGGTTGTTGGCAGGATTCTATATTGGTATATTGCTTTACTTTGTAAGTCTTAAGGCCGACTATGAAATATCTAACTCTTCGGTATTAACAGTAGGGAAAAGGAGGAAGCCATGGTTGTCTTGTGCGTTCTCAAATTTTGAACCTTGGGATCTGCCGAGCCTTACAAGCAGTGGAAATTCTATCTGAATTTACTAGAAATTTGGAAGATAAGATATCCAACATCAACGGAATGAGTTAAAATGTCAATTCGTTGTCATGAACATGCATGCATGCCTTCTGATCTGCTTTGGGGGAAAACGTATATGTACAGAAAAAGTAGGACTCCTCAACCGCTATTTGTGGCGATCGTCCATTTTGTGTAGGTATTAAAACGAATATGGAAATGTACACCGCAAGAAATTAATGCAGGTGGGTTAAGAGAAATTCGCCCGAATGAAGAGACTCCATAGGGTCATGATGGTCATGATGAATGCTGCAGGAGACTCAAAATTCCCTTTGAAAAGTAATAGAGTTTTGAAACCAGTCCCAGGGCCTAGCGTCGATGCCAAGCGCGAATGCTGCAAGATTGGTGCTGAGGAGACGGCGGAGAACCTGCTCCTACCTCAGATGTTTTTCTTCTTATCTTCTGAGGAGTAGCTGCGGTCATCAACACCTTCCACGGTTTCGAGAATGGCTTCCATCTCCTTGGCTTGGCGCTTCCATTCCTTCTCGCCCATTTTGGTCTCGCGTCGGAAAAGCTCTTCGTTAGGCTTGCGGTAGCTGCCACCAAGACGGTCCCAGAGGGTGGTGAACTGCCCATAATTGTAGTTGAAATACAAATGATGCATGGTGTGGCATGCGGCGCCGTTCACGATCGGGCTGTTGGCAACATACTCACCATCGTGAATGAAGACAGTCCAGAGGTTGATGAATCCGAACAGGAAGACATAAGCCACTTTTTGGAGAGGGAAGATGAAAGGAAACACATGGTATGGCACACTCTGAGACCAGCCATCCAGGGGGTGGAAGGCATGGGAAGCGAAAGGGCTGGGCATAATCCACTTGTGATGCGGCTTATGGAGGGCCTTATAAACGCGAGGGTGATGCAAGCCACGGTGAATCCAGTAGATAAAGAAATCGGTAAAGAAGATGAAAAATGGGAACTGCAAGATGCTGTAGAAGGGAAATGGTTCCTCGGCGACGGTGTCGTAGAGTTTGGCATATCCTCGTACTTCCAGAACAAAGAAAGGTGCAGTCAACAGGGCCATTGGGGGCATAGACTCCATGGCTTGTCTGATTTCCATGGAGATCTGGTTTCGTAGGAATTTAGGGTGTTTGTAGGTGGTTTTGTCCCAAACGAAGATGTAGGAGAGTGTCGCAACGACGAAATAGACTAGAAGACCAAAGATCCTGAGCTTGAAGTTAGTTTCGAGAAACATTAGATCGAAAGGGGGTGGTTTTGCAGGGAGTGGCGCATACCAAGTGATCAAGAAGAAGCTGGTGAATTGGCGGTAAATGTTGTTCCGCGGCCATGCGCTGAGATAGGCATATTTAGTGGGCTCTAGGCGAAGTAGTTGGGTAGCTGGCTCATAGATGAAAGGCTCAGCGGCGCCGAACAAGGAGAGGGAACTGTTGGCAACATTGACAAAGCTCGGGATGGACGCGGATGAGAGGGAGGTCGGGAGGAGGGTGGAATACAGGCGATCACCAATGAAGGTGTCCCACAGTTCTAGGATGATATCCATGATCAACACGCGTAAGACGAATGGGGGTGGAGGTAATTGGTGAAGGAAGAAAACTTCAAGGGGAGAAGAAAGCCTGAGGGGCGAATGATAAATTCTGCCCGCATCACACCAGCGCGGAACGGAATCTGCCGCCTTAATCAGCCTATCGAGAACCAGGAACCAGATCATGCTATGCGGGCGGTTATGAGAAATACACTACTTAGAATTGACTTTTACGTGTATATATAAATATATAGTATGTTCAATAACTAGTTAATACTAGATGAGAGCCAGGGAATTTCTATATCTCTGAATTGTATCTAAATCATCAATTTTTACTTTATACCCCGTGAACGTGGATATAACTTAGAGGGAACCATGAATCTGATTATGGATTTTTACTTTTTTACCCCTTTTACACGGCAGATTAGAGTATGCACGTCTATGTTAGGCAATACAGATGTCTTGTTATTGAGGCAAAAAGCTTACATAATATTACCAGGCATCAAGGCACCCAGACGAAGTCTCCACCGAACCACAAAATTCTCAAGCTCGCGACAATCTGGGAGGATCCAGTCCTCTGCAAACGGCGCGGGAAGCCTTGAGGGAAATCTCCCCCCTTTCCCTCTTTCTAGTCAAATTGGCTATTTAATAAGATGGGAGAAAAGAACAAAGGCAATCCTTACTGATACATGAAGAGAAACATCTTAAATTCTAAATTTTAGTCTAATTCCATTACAATTTTCCATCGAATTCTCTCTATGTAACTAAATTCAAACTAACTACGTAACCCTCCTTGACCCTGCCAAAAAAGGCCAGAACCTTCAGTTGCGCTTCTCGTCTAGTTGCGGTCGCTTCTGGCGCTAACGGCAGTAGCCGCCCAATTCTGCCCGCCCCAAATTCAACCCAGCCTCTTTCTTCCCCTCTACAACTCGATCCTCCATCCACATCTCATCCACCACTTCATTCCTAATCCACAACTCCCTTCCGAGCTTCTCTGTGGTCCTCTTTGGATCCACTTGTCTCCCGCTCCCCTGGTTTCCTTTCATTGCTGTGGCTAGCTGCCTGGTGTCGCACCGCCAAGCAGCATTGCCCAGTGATCCAGCTTAGTGACCTTGTCCCTCAGCTGCGATTCCTGATCGCATACTTTGTCGCCTATCCCAACCACATCTTCCAACTTCCCGTGGTTGATTTCACTTACCTGTGGTAACGCCGACCTCTTTCGATTCCCCCAGCAATCCATCATGTACAACACTCACCGCGGCATGGTGGCTGCTCCCAACTCCCGTCTGACGGAGTTGTTGGACCAACTGCGCCAGGAATTCGAGACACAATCTCGGAGCACCGGTGAATTCGAGCACCAGTGTATGTGTTTAACCTTCCAATTCTTCAACCCCATCTGATGCTCTGTCCCCTTAAACGCGCAACTTTGGGACATCCCCCTATCTATTCAGGTCGCTAGCCTGTTCATGGCTGCGACGTCAGGGTCACGAAATGCGCTGAATTGTTTTCTAACTGATAGATGCAGTTACCGGCCAGCTCCAAGAGATGGAGATGATCCGCCAAAAGGTGTATCAACTGGAGCAGACCCAGATCAAGATGAAACAAGAGTAAGTCGAAATATTTACACTTCTCTCTCTCTCTCTCTTTATCCCCCCACCCCCACCCTCCCTTCTTATTTTGTTATACGCAATTCGCGTCGGAATTAATATTGATGATGTCTTGTTTAATTTGTAGCTATGAAGCCGAAATTCGCATGCTGCGCCATGAGCTAGAATCGCGTGGAGTCCAAACCGTCCCTCATGTCGCACCTGGTGCGACTCACACAGCCCCCCAAGGCCAGCCGCCGCAGGTCGGCCATGGCCCAAGTAACTTATTCAGTGGTATTATGACCAACCAAGGAGCTAGTGGTCCCGGTCTTGCCCCTCCCCCTCCCCAGGATCAGCAGCCTCCCCAGCATGCCCTTCAACAACAGCCTGCCTCGGCCGCCCAGCCTGGCCAGCCCCCGCAGAGCTCTTTTGGAGGATATCCACCTGGCGCTGCTGTGACCGGTATGTGAGAGCGAGATGGGACCTATTTCCAAGTTACTGACGTATTTTCTTTTTAAAAAATAGGTTACGGTGGCCCCCCTCCACCCCCAACCGCCTCTCCGGGCCCTGGTAAGGGTCGCCGGGCTGCTCCAGGTCCAGCCACTCCCGTGCAGACCCAGATTGCCTATCCAGACCCTCGCGCCTCGCCTCAAATTCGCCCTACGCCTCCTGGTGCCCAGGCTGCACCCATTGTTCGCCAGGATCGCCCTGGTAACATGCTCGCAAACTGGAACCCTGAGGATCTCCCTCCGTCGCAAAAGCGTGAGGGTACGGATTGGTATGCGGTATTCAACCCAGAGGTGCAGCGTGTGCTAGATGTTGAGCTGGTGCACCACCTCAGCCATGACAGTGTCGTCTGCTGTGTTCGCTTCAGCCGTGATGGTAAGTATCTGGCGACAGGTTGCAACCGCTCTGCGCAGATCTTCGATGTGACCACAGGTCAGAATGTGGCGACCCTGCAAGATGAGAGCGTCGACAAGGATGGCGATCTTTATATTCGCAGTGTTTGCTTCAGTCCAGATGGCAAGTATTTGGCCACTGGTGCCGAAGACAAGCAAATTCGAGTGAGTCTAATCTAATCCTCATTCATCAGCACTTCCTCCTCGGATATGAATGGAATTGCTAGTGAAACACTGAAGATTGTACTGACAGCTGAAAATTAGGTCTGGGATATTGCCTCGCGAACCATCAGAAATACATTCAGCGGTCATGAGCAAGACATCTACTCCCTTGATTTCGCTGGCAATGGCCGTTATATTGCTTCTGGTAGTGGTGACAAGACTGTGCGTCTCTGGGATATCCTTGACGGCAAGCTTGTCTACACTCTTAGCATCGAGGATGGAGTCACTACCGTGGCCATGTCTCCCGATGGACATTATGTGGCTGCTGGTTCGCTTGACAAGAGCGTTCGCGTGTGGGACACTACCACCGGTTACTTGGTGGAGCGATTGGAGAACCCCGATGGCCACAAGGACAGCGTGTACTCGGTTGCCTTCGCGCCCAATGGTCGCGACCTGGTCAGCGGCAGTCTTGACAAGACTATCAAGTTATGGGAGCTCACTGTCCCACGGGGCATGCATCCTCACAGCGGTGTCAAGGGTGGCAAGTGTGTTCGGACATTTGAGGGCCACAAGGTTGGTGCCTTTTCTTCTTCTTCTTCTTCTTCTTCTTCTTCTTCTTCTTCTTCTTCTTCTTCTTCTCTCTTTTGTCCCGTTCCTTATCACGCTATTCCTCCACGGCCCCGGTTTTTTTTTTTTAACTTATTTGGTTTTTGTTTTTTCTATTGTTTCTACATCATGACGATCAAATGTCAACCTGTCACTCTTTTCCTTCCGCTAACCTTCTTCTTTTCAATTAGGACTTCGTTCTTAGCGTTTGCCTGACGCCCGATGGCCAATGGGTGATGAGTGGTTCTAAGGATCGTGGCGTTCAGTTCTGGGACCCAGTCACTGGCAATGCCCAGATGATGTTGCAGGGCCACAAGAACTCCGGTAGGTTCTTTCTAATCTTTGGCTTTATCTTTATCTTTTTCTTTTTCCTTTTGCAATATGTGTGTCAATTTTGTTCTAATACTGACTGGGTTTCCGCGGATATAGTAATCTCTGTTGCGCCCGCCCCGACCGGCAACCTCTTTGCGACTGGCAGTGGAGACATGCGTGCACGGATCTGGAGGTAAGCATTCCTTGGGAGTTCAATCACCACTAGTTTCCTTGTTCCTTGTATCACTAACCCACAATTTGTTTAGATACTCCAACTACAATGGACGGTAAAAGGGGTAGGCAAAGTCCCGGCGCAATGTGACATTGTTTTCTTTATTCTTTATTCTCCATTTATCTCTTATGTTCATGTCTCTTTTTTTTTTGTTATGTTCTATCGAGAAATTTTGCTTGGATTTCCATTTTACAAGCCGGGTTGGGCTCTTCGAATTTGCTTGGTGTCTCCATTTCTTCACCTTATCTTTTTGCGGTCATGTTCCTCTACTCTTCTCCACTTTTTCCCTTTCTCCCTCTCTCTGTGTGCTTGAATTAATGCAATTCACCAAAATAAAATGCAAACATCCAATCCTGTAAATCCATTTTGCTCGGTGTAGCACAGAAAATCGAATGGTAGATCGGGCCAAGTTGACCCAGGAGACTCTAAGCCCCTATGGGACCGGATAGCCACCAACAGAACCAACTCGTGATCACGGGTGACCCTGGATGTGGTCATAGGTGATACAAAAAGACCGACCTGTCGAATCTACCAAGTCGATCAGTAGAAAAAACCCAGGGTAAAAAATAACAAATAAGAGAAAAGAATTAAAAATTAAAAGGAGAAGGAGTTCCAAGTGGATCCCCAGGTACGAGAAAGGGTCTGTGTGTCCCCAAACACCCCCAGACTTGCCCAGATGGCTGTTCGATTCCCCTTGGAACCCCAGTCGCCTCTCAGCTGATCGTCTGGTTGATTGGGACTAGGGGAGACTGGGAAGGGGGGAACAAGTCCATGGATTGATTTTCTCTCTCTCTCTCTTTTTCCCCCTGCAGGAACCATAAAAAGGGGAAGCAGGTGAGAAAAAAAAAAAAGGCCACAAATGCACGACGTGCAGGAAGAGGAACCAATTCTAGAAATTACATTGGCAAAGAAGAGGGGGAGGAGGAACAAGAGGGGGGTGGACAGAGAGAGAGCACGGAGGACAAGCTGCATGACTCCAGATGTGACAGTCACGAACACGAACCCACAGGATCGCCGATGATCTGGGAGCTGAAACCGATCGGGAGGGAATTTCCAAGGCCATGGGCGGCTAGCCAGGATATTCGCTGGAATGAAGATCGGACACTATTGGCGACTATCGGACGGGCGCATCCGGATGCCCCAATGAACGGGGGCTTACTCGTCGACTGCAGATCCTCTGGTCCACTTTGAAAGCCCGAAGGCCCGGCCCGCCCTCGAGGTGATGCATTGATTTGTTTTTGATGGGAAGAAAGGGAGGAAGATGTGGGGGATTGTATTGGGAATTTGAAAAGAAGGAAAGTGGAAAGGAGAAGAAAGAAGAGTGAATGTAGGTCTACTCAAGTGCTTGGGCTGGGGAAGTGAGAAAGGTCAAGTAGGTCTACTTTGACTTGGGGCTGCTTAGTCATGTTAATCTTCGCCAGTCGCGGCTGTTGATATTATCTATGTCTCTCTCTCTACACCGAGATTTCTGGGGCACACGCTAGTCCTTGGGGCTAAAATATATATATAATAACTATTATTATTCAAAATTTAATCAAAATAGATGCGTCCCATTCTTTTTCAGGTCGCCTCTTTTCTCAAAAAAGCCCGGATCCCTGGACGATCGCCCATGCACGTCTGGGCACGCATCGTTCTTCTCTGAACTCCACTTCTCTCTCTCTCGCTTTTTGTCATTTCTTTCTGCTCATTTCTATTCTTTTGCTTTTTCTGCTCTATCTAACACAGACTGCATGTTTTCTTTTGCTCCGGAGAAACGTCACTCGTGTATGAAGTAGGTTGATCTCCACTAGTCGGCAATCTTATATGCACGCAACACCTATATAGAACCCTGCCCCTCGACCACCTTTTGCCCGCTTGGTCTACTTCTTATATCCCGACATCGTCGGCTTCAACTTTCAGACAGAAGCCAAATTTCATCTCCGTTGAGACACAAACTGCCCAAAGGAAAAAAATTACCCTAAAATCCCCCCCAAGAAAGAATCGAGGACATCCCAGACAAAGCATATACTATTCCTCAAATCCCAAGAAAAAAAAAAGAAAAAAGAAAAAAAAACCGCCCCCGAACAAAGCCCATTGGAAATTGATCACTTCCGCATCAACAATCCACAAAGCAACAATGGAGACGGCGGAACCGGTGTCATCTTATGACTTCCCGGGCCATGTGGGTGCTTTTACTGCTCATCGACGGATGGAATCGTCTCTCTACCCTTATTACTCTCATCCACCATCAAACCCATCCTATTCCCTACCATACCATGCGCCACCAACGACAGCTTACCACTTTGGCTCTCTAAATCAAACCTCTCACCCTTATGGGCATTACTTCGTGGCCAGTCAGCCCCCGCTGTCATCGCCAGTGCGTCTGGCTGAACCCCAGCCACTGCATTCGCTGCCTGAAATCAAGCCAGCCAAGAACGCCATCAACAATGTCGGAAAGAGAGCCTCGGACCGTGAGCTTCCAGGGGTGGCTGTCAAGAAACAACCCTCGGATTTCGAGTTCTCCACCGGAGTCGATGTTTTGATGAAGGCTATTCAAGCGAAGCCAGAGTCTTCACCATCCCCAGTTCAGCAATCGCTGCCACCTCTGCAGCAACTGGCACCATCTAGCTATTCAAGCTATCAAAGCTACCCAAGCTATGCCATGTCACCGCCTCGCTGTCTCATGAACAGTGAGGGTCAGTTGTCTCGGTCTGGGAAGAAGCGCAAGTATACTTGCACCTTGCCAAACTGTGGCAAGAGCTTTGCACAGAAGACACACCTGGACATTCATACCCGAGCACATACTGGAGATAAACCTTTTGTAAGTTTACTTTTATACATACCCACACTGGCTTTTACATAGTCTTTGAAACATTCCAGCTAACAATATGCAGATCTGTAAGGAGCTTTCATGTGGACAGCGATTCTCTCAGCTTGGCAACTTGAAGGTAGGAAAGCATATTCTCTCATGTCAATAAAAAGAACCGTTCTTATCTAACTCTATTCTCTCGAATCTAGACACACGAGCGCCGCCACACAGGGGAGAAACCCTACTCATGCGATATCTGCCACAAGACCTTCGCTCAGAGAGGCAATGTGCGCGCTCACAAGACAACCCATCTTGAGAGCAAGCCATTCACTTGCCTACTAGATAGCTGCGGTAAGACCTTCACCCAGCTAGGAAACTTGAAGGTAAAAAAGAACCTCCCCGTTTGATACACCCAGGTACATATCCAATTACAATTCAATAGCTAACATTATGATTTTCTTCTTCATATAGTCCCACCAGAACAAGTTCCACGCATCGACCCTCCGTTCATTGACGATGCGATTCTCCCAAATCACCGATACTGGAATGGTGAACCCACAGGACCGAGATCTGTGGGAATACTTTGCTTCCCTTTACAAGAATAGCAACAAAGGTATCAAGGGCCGAGGAAAGGACCGACGTATCCTAACCACCAAGCGGTCCATGCATGTAGCCGACCCAAAGTCCCGGATGCAGTCGATGGAGTCTGAGGAAGATCCCACCCAGCTCCGCCGAGGCAGCTACGAGGACAACATTTCTATGTACACCGGCGGGTCTAGCAGTGACGGGGATGAACCAGGACCATACTTCATTGATCGGCGGCTGCCATAGATCACGACCCGTGTTTTGATCTTTGTGATCGTATCTTATTTTTCTCTATCTTCTTTTATTCCCCCTTTTTGTTTTGTTTTTCCCTTTTCATTTTTTGGATTTTGGCTTTGGGTTTCAAGACTTAGTCGAGAAAAACGGCGCAATTCGGATATTCGGATCCTGGACATATACCCGGGGTTTCTTTTGTGTGATTTCTTTTTAGGGGCATTGTTGTTTTGAAGGGCTTTATTTTGATATGTTGATTTCTGAGCCCAAGATGTATATGATTTCATGAGCTGGGTTGTTCTTTTCTGATTCAATTTCTCTTTCTCTGTATTCTATCTTTCTATTTTTGTGTTTTGCTGGCTTCGGATCTTCCAGCAAAAAGGGGACCATTTTGTACCTGTACACGAAAAAGTTCTCCACACAAAAGGGTCTTCTTTTCTTACTATTTATCTTATTATTCCCTTTGATATATCTAAATATGTATACCTGTATAGCGTACTTCGTATATAGATTCAACAAACCATGACTAGAGTAGACTTCGGTTCCGATGTCCTGTCCTGGGTCCCCCGTCTAGTGAGTGGGCCTGTTAGCGTTTGCCATGACAGCTGCCTGACCACATGTGCACTCAGACACGAGGGGTGGAGCATTGGGCAGATCCAAAGGATAATCATCTGGATCCAACTAATTTACAGTAGTTCAGGGGTACGTGCACCAGAATCTCGTGGGTCTCAATTGCGAGGAGATCGTCAATTATGTTTGCTTTTCCCCCCTCTTTCTCTCCCTTTAATTTTATATACGGAGTAGATCCTCCGTTCAACTGCATTCGCGTATTCATGCATTCGTATGTATATGTGGATTTTAGATTTATTTTGTTTTTTGAGAATATGGATTGGCTAGTGCGGGAGCACAAAATGCTCGTGAGATTCAGTAGTGTACAATTGTGCGTAGGACAAAGATTGAGATATCCTTTGCTCCCCCGCGAACATCCATGCGTAGATCATGCCGTGGCACACGATGTGGATGCTTTAATAAAAGAAAAAAGAAAAAAGAAAAAAGAAAAAGAGGGCAAAAAGGGAAAGAAAAAGCAAAAACAAAAGGCAAAAAAAAAGTGGGAAAGTTGGCTCCAAGTGACACCGCGCGACTCCACCCTTCCACTCCTGTCATACACTATTGCTCATCTGCATCAGCAATCTTAATATCTCCATCATCGGCATCTTCAGCATTATCTGTCTGAACAGGTGGGGCCGTCGTGCCCACTGGCGTGGCGTTAGCCAAGGCATCAGTAATGAACGCCTCTTCCACAGCACCCTTTCGTCGGAACACTCGGAGCCATCGGCGTCCCCATTGGCGTATGATAGCGTCTTCAGGAAGATCACCACTGCCATCCCCTCGTTCCATTAGCTCATCGTTACTTCCAGAGGCTACCGAAACGATGGCATCCTCAATAAACCTGAACAAAGTCTGCATTTCCACTCGCTCGCGAGCTAGTGTCTCATCCAAGACGCTCAGCTGTGGCTCGTATAGACCGGACTGGGTCCGGGCAGCGACGATCTGGCGCATGCGATTGGTGACCTTGCCGACGGTAGCAGAGATCATCTCGTAGATATGAGACTTGGCTAGCACGGTCCCGGCATCCAGGGACTCGGAAAGGGCCCATTCAAGTACTGAAAGGGGGCTGATGATGGTGTAATTCAGGAGTTTATCAATGATATTGATGGCGATACCGGGCTGATCAGACCAGTATTCCATCACTGAAGTGATGATTTGGCAGCGGGCCCGCTGAGATACAGGCCCAATGGCCAGCAATCGGTCTTTGTTTCGTTCGATGCATGAAAGAACGTGAGAGAGCGATTTGGACCCTACAAAACAGATAGAGGTCACAAGGGCGTCCGTGGAGGGGATCTTGGGATCTTCCACTCCCAGACTTTGAGCCTGCCCCTCAATGGACGCAATTATCGGCTGGATTTCTTCGTCGTCCGCCTTCTTTCGGATAAGTTGCATGATTTCCTGCCCTTCCTTGGAATAAGGTGTCACTGTTATCACGTAATGTTAGTGGCAATGGATAATATCGTTCAGCAAGAATGGACAACTGACTCTCAGAAAGATATTTGAACTCTGGGGTATCTTTTTCTTTGCCCTCAGTAATCAAGGGGATGTATTGCTCCAGCAATGTTCCCTTAATACGTTGCGCAAAGCTGAGGCGGATTTCCTTATCTAGAGCTCCGTGCACGAATGCTAACTTGGGGTGAATGGCTGGGAGGTCGAGATCGTCGACCCTATCACATTGATGTTAGTTTTGCATGTTTGCGTGTAGCATGTTTATAGCAAATCACTTACCACTCGCTCCATTTCCATGTGAAGCCAAAGTTGCTTAGATGGTGAGCGAACCAATCCAAGAAACGGTTGCTCAACTCCAAATCCATAGTCTCCAAATTGTTGTATAAGAATCGAATCGCACGACCCAAGCTAGGCGCGATAGCGGCGGGGGCGATTTTGCAGCATTCCGTCAGAACAGAATGGTAGTAAATCAGCTTGTGCTCAGGAGTGGGCAACTGATACAGCTGGGAGAACACTGCATCCACCGCGATATCCTCTGGCTTCCACGATTGACCCTCACCCGCGAGATCACGCATCCGGTCGAAGGGCGTGGCACGCTTGACGAAGGTGTACGGGGTGAAGTAACAATCCACGTCGATCAAGAACTTGGCGGTAGCAACGCGATTGAAGTCAAGAAGGTTGATTGTGTCCACCAAAGCATCTCTCAAGAGCAGAGATGTGATATCGGAAGGCGGAGGCACTGTGTCGATTTCCTGGTTGGCGTACACGGAGATGTAGACCTCTGGGAAAAGAGGACGAGTCCCATTTGGAACGGGATTCGGAACATTGATCTCGGGGAAGGGAACCTTGTTTACAGGCTCGAATGGCTTCTGGTTAGGATCTTGTTCATCCTTTTCAATTTCCTGGACACCCTTCCAGGGACGGGGAAGACACTTAAGCTCCCAGCCTGCGCTAGCTTCGCCTTGTAGTTGGCTTTGCAGAAGACTGATCACACTTGGTCCACTAGCCTCCTTGTTCTCGTCGGGACTAAACGTGTTCACTAGATCGACTAATGCGTGCGGAGTAGATGCAATGATGTCTGTTTTCTCGAGAAGGGCAAGCGCCTGAGATTCAAAGCCGATGGCTGGAGAGACCATCACATAGGGAATTGTGAATTGTATAATCTTGACAAGCTCTAGGCCAAGAAGCTATATTCAATTATTAGTATTACAGGCGGTCGCAGCAAGGGCAGGGTCAACATACGTCTTCCGAGGATGCTGTTTGAAGATCAACCGCGCGGGCAAATAGCTCCTCCAAAAGTGGGAAAACACCATCGCTCTCAAAGAGGGGCTGTAAACCAGCGAAGAAACGGAGAAGAAGCTTCACCTCTCGCCAGGACCCTGAGTCGATATACTTTTGCAGAGCTGCTCCAGCCTTCTTCAATACCTCCGCGCCAAGCTCAGCCTTCAGGTTGTAGGCAACGAGGATTATCGCGGCCACGAATGGGATTTTCATCGGTTGCTCAAGGACTCTGTGCGCAGGTTTCAAAGTATCAGCAATAATTACTTATAGTCGGGTCATCAATCGCGCAGCCATACAATTCCAAGGATATGTTGACGAAGGTGTCGCGTAGCTCCTCATCATCATAATTCTCCGCCACGGATTTCGCAACTCCCATGATATCATCCTCGACTCTCCGTGCAGCCTGTCAAATTGACCAAAACATCAGTATTTATATTGACGGGTCTTCGTCGGCGTTCATTGGAACAGAATCCAAGAAAGGGCGACAAGGGAAATCGTACCGATTCAGCGATTGTAAGCAGTTGACGGCGAACTTGTACTAACAGTGGCTCTTCGTATCTGCGTCTTTGAGGGCGGCGATCAAAGTCATCGTCGTCTTTGAATAAAAAAATATCAGCTGTGTTCCTATGGAAGCTTCAAAGGTGATATTTCATGTCGCTCACCTCTGTAGCGGCGCTTGCGCCCTCCTCCGCCACCTCCACCTCGGTAGCCATTATTCCGACGCTCGTAGTCAGCCATGACGCGCAAAGTCTGAATGGGACAATGGGAGATCAAGGCCAAGAGACAATGGTGGTAATCAGAGGTCGGAAGTTCTGAGCTGCAAGGTCAATTCAAATGGCAGCTCCGGAGTGGGGAAAATCCGACCCGAGCTTGAGCAACAAAACCCAAAACATCCAATGAGCCAGTTGACTACTAGTTACTAAGTAGCTAGAAAGGCTATTAATGAATGGTAAGGTAAATTTCTTACTTTTTCTTACCCATCATGAAAATGAGATTCTCTAAAATGATGCTATATGATCGAGCTGCTTGCTATTGAAGTAGGAAGCAGTAAATAAATACTTCATAATGCTTACACAGTTAGTATGAAGCGCACCGAAATCCCATATAATGAATGAATGAATTCAAGTCTGCTCTTTAAGGGTACGTAATTGTGCTTCAACTAGCCAGGTCGACAACCAGTCAAATATTCCGTCTATTTACATAGATGATGTGCAAGGCCCCTGCTGGGCGGGTTGCACGAGTTATAAGGGCTTACTGGTGGTGGAACTTATGGTAGGTTGAAATGGAAAGGACTTGAGGGTAATCAATGCTTTGTGGTCTGATACTTATATCAAAATGCTATAACAAAAGAATGCCTTTCTTCTTACGTGACCAGATCCGAGCAGGGAATCCGTTATGTTACAGCGGCGCAGCTCTACAGGGCCACATGAAACAAGGAAATCATCAGCTGGAAAATGGAACGTGAATCTCATCACCGATAGGAATCCCGTGGGGGTTAGGGAGGGGGAAGGGGGGGTTAGGGACCATAGAGGTGCCAGCCTGGCCCAGGGCAGTCGGGCAATGACATTTGCAATAGAGAAACAAGGATCAAAAGAAGAGACAAAAAGCAAAAGTTCGGAGGCAAAAAAGGGGGGATAGGGGAGGAGATAGAAGAGAGGAAAGGGCAAAAGAAGAAATAGAAGAGGGGAAGAAAAGAAAAAGAACAAATAGTAGGGGAAAAAAACACATAAACAAAGTTTCTAGCGCTGCAAAGTCGAAGGGGTTGTGGGTAAATTTGGCCACACAGGCGGTCCCAGCCGGGATAAGGTGAACGAAAAAGCCTCCAGACCACGGTGATGCATATCGATATGTCCCGGGTCATGGACCTGCTGCGTCCTGGGTCATCATTTCCCTTCCCCGGCCGAATGAAGCCATGCAGTCTTCAATCCCGGAAGGCAGACTTGCACAGAAAGGGTATCACTTTTTCCTCCCAAGTGTCGCAGACACCTCAAAAAATAAGAACTCCAGGTCGTAACCTCCCACGGTTGCGTGACAATCATCAGCCTCCCATTTTCCATCTTCTCACCAAAAAAAAAAATGAAACGAATCCAGGTTTCCGCTCAAGGATGAAAAATTATGTTCACCCTTCCCATCGGTTCCTTCCTCGCTCAAGATCCCATCTCCTGACAGATGTTGTAGTCCCGTCAATGGCCTACTGTTTGTGATAAGGTAAACAAACTCAGCAAAGGCCCGTGTTCTCCATTTCAGAGCGCCACTCGAAACATGATGGTACTCAATCGATAAGTCCTCGAGAATCTCTCGCGCATTGTGCGAGACGCACTACGAACAGACATGACTCTCGCTGAGGTGGCATCTACCCGCTCAATCGAGATGAGCCATCATCTCCTCCTTGGACAAGGGCTTGAAATTGTTGATGTCGAGGCCACGTGCTTCCAGAGCTGGACGGGCATGGGGAGGAACAAGTTGGTCATTCAATTGGGGTGCGATAGAAAGTTCTGTTTTTTTTTTAATCTTAGTTAGAACAATTTTCTAGGACGAAAGTTTGATCCGAGTGAAGCTTACCATGCCGGGAGAAATCAAAGAGAACGGGCAGATCCTTGGAGGGGTTGTTGTGATGGCGCGAGTCCGGTAAGCGGGTAGCCGGATCCCTCAGCTCATCGAAGAAGGGGTGGCACATGGCCTCAATTGCCGAGAGTCGCTGTGTTGGTGTGTATTCAAGAAGAGCGGAGATTAGATCGATCGCCTCGGGTGTTGCTTTCCGGAATACCTAGGGTTTGGTGGTTAGCATGACCAAGTAGGGAAGGACGAATCACAAAGAAAAGATCGTAAAATACCTTGTTGAATGGATGCGGCTTGATTTGAGGGAACTTGTGTTCCATGTAATTGGGGTTCATTGTACGAATTTGTTCACGGGTAGGTGTGCCAAGAACTTTGATGATTTCCACCAGTTGGTCAATGCCCGATTCACCAGGGAAGAGGGGTTGTCCGAGCATCAGTTCAGCCATTACACAACCAGTAGACCATACATCTAAACGGTGGGGAAGAATCGAGAATTAGAAAAAGAATTCGAAACCATTTTACCGAGCATAAGTAATAAATCATGGAGGGAGATCTCAAACAATTAGGAGGGTGGAGGGGAGAACGCACCAATCTTGGTTGTGTAGTTTGTCGCACCGAAGATCAACTCCGGGGCCCGGTAGTAGCGAGAGCAAATGTAGGAAACGTTGGGTTCATTCTCAATCAGGATCTTGGCAGAACCGAAATCGCAAAGTTTCAAAATGCCTGTATTGGGGTCGAGGAGAAGATTTTGAGGCTTGATGTCGCGATGGCAGATTCCTTGTGAGTGAATGTAGGCCAGCGACCGGAACAGCTGGTAAATGTAGAGCTTCACCTCAAGCATCGGCATTGTCGTCTTGAGTTTGTTGAAATAGCGCGAAGCTCGATAGACGGTTTCTGGGACATACTCAAGCACCAAGTTGAGATACACTTCGTCTTTCTACACGAGGGGAGGGGGTCGTCAGCTGGAGGGGGAATGGGAATGCCGGGGAGGGGGGTTAGGAAGGCGATTTTAGCCACATACCCTATCACCGTTGGAGTAGTAGAAAGCCTTCAGCTCAACGATATTGGGATGGCGGACAATCCGCATGATCTGCAGCTCACGATTCTACGAGACATTAGTATCCTATGATGGTAGTAGGGTTTCCGAGCGAATCCGCCTCTTACCTTGAATCGCTTGTCCTGGAGAACTCTCTTGATGGCAGCATCCTCACCACTGGGGGACATCTTGGTTTGAAAGACCACACCGAAGGAGCCATTGCCGACGATTTTGCACTGAGTGTAGGAGATTTCCTTGTGCTCGCCTGTAAGGCCATCTTGGACCTTTTCGTGGATTACCTCTACAGCGGGAAGAAAGGCAAGGTCAGTGACGGCAGAGGGGAATTCCAGGCCATTGACAACTTACCACCCATGCGCAAACTTGGGAACAACCCGGGGCGACTCTGTGACATGGTGGGGAGGGAAGATGAGTGCTATGGAAGAAGAGGAAAGGAACCCGTTTTGGGTGTGGTAAATCGGTGGAGTCAAGCTGGGAGGGGAGGGGAGGGGTGGGCGGAAGGTCCGAACGGGGCGAGGTTGAGAAGAATGGATGACTGGGTCAAATGCCAAGAAGCCAGAGGAAGGAAGAGAGAGAGAAAGAGAGAGAGAGACAGAAAATGGAGCAGGGAGAAAGGAAAGGGAAAATGAGATAAAATCAAATCAAATAAAATCAAAAAAGAGGAATCAAAATCAAAAATCCAATAAAAGTCCAACTGGGCGAATTGGTATGGGGGAGTAATGTTTCTTGAGCCAATAATGTCAAAATGAGGGAAATCCGAAGGGTTAAGATTGGGGGGGGGAGAGAGAGAGAGAGAGAGAAGCAGGTAATATTGTGTAAAGTGAGGTACAGTCGTGTAAAATTGGTAAAATTGGTAAAATTGGTAAGATTGGGTATTAATGGGTACGGACGTTGATTGGGAATCTCACGCTTTTTTTTGTGGGTTCAGAGCATGAATAATACCATCAAGAAGGGCAATCCTTTTCTTGTACAGGAAGGAGGGGAGCTGTTATTTTTAACTAAGAATAACACTATTATGTAGGATGATGGATTCAAATAATTAAAATCATTTTCCTTTGTTTCTTTTACTCCTGGGCAGTAATGGTGCGCCTTTTTTTTTCATTATGTCAAACCAGAAACCGAAAGCATAATCTGGAAAATCTAAATAATAAAAATAGGCAGAGAAAGAAAAGAGGGGAATCGCCCCAAAAAAGAGACATCTCACACTAACAGGAAAAAGAATCCAGAGTATGAGAAGCACGGTTCTATAGGTATTATTTTTATCGATCTATATAGCTAACCCAGGGGTAGATCAAAGATGTCCTCTCTCAATGAGAAGATTATTTATTATAGTAAACCTCCTCATATAAAATATACTTCGATCATCTAAATCATTCATCTTCATCTTCATCTTCATCCTCAGCCTCTTCCTTTCCCCTAGTAATCCTGGATTCTGATCTCTCGATTTTCCATAATACCAACAAAGTACCCGCCCAGGTGGTCCATACGGAAAGGTCGAATAACCGTTACCACACCAATCTTACCGCGGGAATGATCTCATCAATCATACATGTCCATGCCCAGGTTCCCCCCAAAGTGGGCTCGCCCACCCTGGAACTGTGGCCTAAGGTACCCGGTAGTGAATTGATGAATTGGGTTTCCCCCGGCCATGTACATGAACGGAGTATAATACAGAACCAACGACGAGATCTATAAGGGCTCGTCATTCATCATCTATTTCTGGCTTGACTCCTCTCTCTTGCTCTCCACCGGCTAACTTCAGTAGTGCTTTTTTTGCAGCGTGCGCAGGTCACGTTGAGGGTCACGTTGAAGGTCACGTTGAACGGAGACACTAATGTTCCGCAAGTCCCGTGTCGGCTGACCAGCCGTGATTTTCCCAGGAACCACGCTGATTGGTCAATCTCAGGGGAACCTCGTGACTATCATGTCATCGAGTCCAGCTGACGATGAGTTGGAAAGCACTAGAGAGAGGCAAAAGAGGCGAGAGCAATGGCAGAAAAGAATAGCCCAAAGAGCTTGGGCCAGTGACGGGTCCGTGGAGCTATAGAAATCTTATTTCTTGAATCCTCATCGACAAAGATACCTTCAGTGTCAGGCGGCCGAATCCGTTCTTGATCGATCTACATGTACGTTCAGACCGAGCTTTGACGCCTACACTTCTACATTTCTACAGTATTATTATTATTCTTTTATTTTCACATTCTTTTTCTCTTGTCCCTTTTCAAGTCGATCTGGTTTCAAAGTTTGAGCTGAGCCACACATGCCATGCGAGATACGGCATGAACGGGACCCGGCAGCTCAACACCGAACTGTAGATCCCCGACTCATTCGCCCATCCCAAGGTGCAGGGATCCCCTTGGCATGTGAGGTGAATCGCCCAGCCGATTTCCGGCTCCGAGTAATTGGAATTACAGCTAGAGAGAGAGAGAGAGAGAGAGAGAGAGAGAGAGACTCCGTAGAAATCCAGTCAAATAAATTCAAATCATCCAAACAGGTCTTTTCGAACGATCGCAATAATGTTCCCCTTTTTTTAGGTCTCGGGAGGAAGAGTATACGAAGTATGGGAAAGCTAAGAAGCTAGGGAGCTAAAGGAAATCTATAAACAATAGAAATGGAGACTACCAAACCCACAGGGCAGGGCTAGACGCCTCTTTGCTTTTTTTTCCATTCAATCTTTTTATTTTATTTTTTACACTCTCAATTTTAGCGACCATGTTTGTTCGATGAAATTTAAATCGCGGCTTTTTTTCATGGTTTGTCCTTGGCCAGATCCTATCATACCGATGACCAAGAATCTAGAAAATGTCTCGGTTCCTGACACATTTGCCCCTGATATACTGTAGGCACAGTATGATAGGTACCTAATAACCATTTCACGACAGATCGTTTCAACACCCCCAGTGCTCAGATCCACCAATCATGGACAAATATGGGCAAAGGTCCGCATCCCAAGCCCAACATAGCAGCTGCCGTTGAGGACCAACCATTCTCTCGACGCAGACCTTGCAGATGTTAATGCACCTCGCTGAAAAAAATACAAAATAAATAAAAGGTTTTGGGAAACCTTACGAAGCTCCCGACCATCTGAAAGGCTCTGGACAAACCATACTCGGCAGAACCGTTCGTTCTTTTGCGGGATACCGTTATTTACAGTTTATGGGAGTATAAAGTGGTTGATCTTTCCATATGTGCAAAAATAGAATATCTTGGAGGCAAAGCAAGCTAAAACAAAGAAACAGAAAGAAAGAAAGAAAAAAATAAAAATAAAAAGCCAGTGCGCAAATGCCTGTGACCTTCGTAGCACCAGAAAAGATCGACATCACCAGATCAGTGCATATCAACTCGCCACAGATTTTTGTCAGGCGATGCCGCTGTCATCCATTCGGACAGTGACGTAGGGGGAACGAGTATACAGTATAGACTGTTCGTGTAGAAATATAGAAATACATAACAACAAATAATAGACCTACCACATCTAGTAGGTAATCGGGATAATCTTCCCACATTCTTGACGATCTCCAGTTCCCACGAACACCGAACCAGTCAATCTTGATCCAATACTAATCTCCTGTTGGCATGGATTCAATGGTTCCGGGTGGAACTTCTAATTTCACCCACACAAACTAGTTAACCCTATCAATTTCCCAACATACCACGTTGTGTTCCTGGCCCTAGGTCTCGGTACTTCGCAGATTTGGTATGTGTGATCTCCTGCAGATGGAACCCGTGGAAAGGGGGCGGGAATGGCCCGTTCAGGTACATACATGTACACACTTACAACGGAAGCAAGGGGAAATGGACATTCTTGTCTCTGTCAGACACGTGGGAAATGAAGTGATTTCCTTTTATCCACCGGGCATTATTGCCATCGGATCCTCGCAAGAAACATAATAATGATAACAACAATCATATGGAATCTGTCATATGTAATAACCCAGGAGGTCGCACCACTAGACAATCCTCGGAGGCAGAGGAATTTAGGAATGCACCAAAATATGCGAATCATGAAATCTCGTCGAGGCTCATTGGCCCTGCACCCGAGAAGAGGATCCGACTCAAGTGCTCCTGCTCCCGCCCATTGACTACCATGATTGGCGCTTTGAGGAACTGATGCTGTATTGTGTACAATTCCCCATCATGCGTTAGGATGAGGGATCTACTCTTTCTACAATGACGATCCAAATTTACCATGGAGTGTATACGCTGTTTCCTTCCCCCCTTTGGTCTGATATTTCCCCTCCGCACGCGTCTATCGTATTTTGACGCTATCCCAGACACGGGAAACCGGGAACCGGGAATCCACGTTATCCCAGCCTTTTTTTGTGTTCATCGTCCGACTTTAGCATCAAGACTAGGACGGAACCAGGATCAACAATCTCTCCCCTCTTTCTCCTCTTCAGTATGAATGTGAACATAAAATAGTGTTAGGTTGTCCTTGGTACGGAGTACTCTGCCAAATGTACCTCCTCATTACTATCCCACTATGCCATGGTGAGATGTAGGCTGAATCCTTGCAATGCATATGATCAGGATTGGAAAGAAAACCCACTCCACACATATCCTGAGCCAGTTAAAGAGACAACCAACCCGAAAATTTTTAATGGCTGATTTCATTCCCAAGTCCCAACCAGTTAAACTTCCCTGGTTGCCAGTGATGATATAGTATCTCTTTTCAGAGAGCGGGTATACACACCCACTCATAAGAACTTTGGATGACAAAATACTTGGAAAGAGAAAATTGACCATCTCCCGTCTGTGCATAATGCCTCAGCACTAGCCTCCCTCAGTCTACTTTCAAGAGAGAACGAGGTTTTACCGCGCCGGCGAATCTCCATACAGTCTCGATTGGACCATCCCCCGAGGGGAGGGTCTCGAGCCCCCCGCTCGCAAAACTGTAAATGTTCAGAGCATCCCGCAAGTCGCTGTTCCATTTGATGGTCCCCGCAGGGGGTTTTTGTCTCCGGGTCTGCCATTGTTCCGACCAATGCAGGTCGACCAACTCGGGACCAACCCGGGACCAACCGTTGTGAGTTGATGATGTCAGGCTGTGAGCAAACACCGATGCCGCAGCCCACGACCCCCACATCCAAGAAATAGTATCATTAGGAGAGAATCTACTGAGGAATTGAGAGTCGATTGACATCGCTTTTCCATAAAGTGTTGGATTATACTCAACAAGTAAATACAATATAGATATACTACCATCTGTACTCTATTTCTATCGGGGTGTCAGCCCTTCAGATGTCTCCATTTCCACTCTTTCATCTTGCTCTTGATCAATAGAAGTCTCTCGTTCACTACGTCCAGGTTTGCTAGTGGAGCCCGCCCCCTCTCTCCCCAGCAAGAAGAACAAAAAGCAAGGAAATGGACATGGTATTTGACCGAGACATGGTGGGGAAACTAATGGGTTGAACGGTTTGCTCCCAATTGTGCAAAGCTATGTCCACATCTGCACTCCGCAGTCTCTTCGTTGGCGGATGCAGTTCTCCAGTGATCCACTTGTTGGTGGAGCCCACTTTCTCGGTTGCCTCTCATGATGGACTGTCCAGGTGGCTTTTTTTTATTTTTTATTTTTTATTACTTTCTTACTGTCAAGGTGAATACGATTACCATATCACCTGATGATCGATCAATGCATCGTCTTTTCGTATCCCGTGTATATATCATCGTATGTCTCTGATACTATAGAGCGTAGATGGTGAAACGACGGGGACCAAGAAGTGATGCTTTTTTTAGAGAGCGAGAAACATTCTGCAGTTGTACATGCACAAGCTACTACTGTATACGACTCTCAATTGTACAGCAAAATGATGATTATGATGATAATAATAATGTATGGAATTAACCATGGTCCAGTATCAAGATGTTGTCTACCCACCTAATGCCCAATACCTTGTAGATCAAGGTTTGCCCAGTGGGAAATATCGGAGATCATGTCCCGAGGGCTGATATATCCTAATAGCCGATATCTTCTAATCTCCCGACACAATGTCATATGATACCATGGGTGAGTATGCTTATACTAGATAATGTTACAAAACACTCTTTTCTTCCTACAATCCATCAATTGTACACAATATACACGCAAGGGCTCAACAACACTGTTTTACATTGGTCCGTCTATGATGCGAAAACATAACCAGAGCTCTCCGGTCCAGCCCTGAACCTCCCACCTGACAATCCCTCACTATCCCAATCATCAAAAGTCGCGGAAAGAGATCAAAGAGTAAGACAAATAAGACATGACACCACGGACCAGAAGAAGAAAAAAGATATAGCCGGAGATGCGGGCGTCAGATGTAGGTGGAGAACAACGTCATCGGAAAGGGAAACGGAATGTGAATCTATACAATAAAGTAGGGGAAAAGGGAAAAGAAAAAGTGGAATATCCATGGCGCCAAACAACTGCTTCGCACACCAGCAATCCATATTCAAGAGGATTTACTGGAGTGGGCGTGTGATATATGCCAATCCAGACATCGTGGTGGAGAGAAAACTACTAAAACAGGGAGGATGAAGGGTTATTAACTCAAGAAACATTCCGTGGAACGGAGTTTGAGAAGAGAGGAGATTAAATGGAGCTTAGAAGGGGGGAGGGACCATGCTGGCAGCGTCAGCAGTCTCCTGCTGCTCCATCAACTCCTCGCCAGCGATCTCAAGGGAGACGGCAAGGCCAACCTTGGCGGTTTGCTAAAAAGGTGTTAGAATCGAGAATCTCGCAACATGAAGAACAAAAGAGACATACCTTGGCCTGGTCGATCTCACCAGCAAAAGAAAGAGAGATGGGCATGGCAATGCGCTTCTCAAGCAGGCAGCTAACCTTACCAGCACTGTCGACCTGAGCACGGAAAGAGGAAGCACGGAAATCGTACTTGGCACCGATAGCAGTGGTTCCATCGCGGCTAGGACCGCCCATCATCATAGCAGCAGCATTGGGAGCGAACTGGAGGTTCATATCAATACCAGCCTCCACACGTTCAGAGAGCTTGCGCCAGTAGGTGGCAGCAAAGGTACCCTGGGCTTGCAATTGAGCGGTACCGATCCAGTCATCTCCCTTGTACTTGGCGCAGTAAGACAGGGCAGTCTCCGGGCGAGCGCCCATGGCCTGGCGCTGCCAGATGGCCTCGAAACCAAGAGCCAATCCGGGTGTGATGGACTGGAGGTAGCTACCGACGAAGATACCAGTCAGGCCGCCTTCGAGGGTGGATGGGTTGAAGGCCTTCAGAGAGGCTGAGAAATCGGCACCAGTGTAGTCGTTGTCGATTTGAAGCAGACCCTGGGATCCACCAGCCATAATTTGCGCGTTGGTCTTGGTGACGAGAGCCGGGTTCCAGCGATAGTTGTAGACCGCGGCAAGGGTACCGTCACTTCCGAGGTTACCTTGCATGAAGACCTATTCCATCGAAAGAAGATCACATTAGTATTTAATTATAATCTTCAAAGGGGGTTGTAGAAAGCGCGTCCAAAAAATGGCGAGAAAAAAATGGGGATCTTACCTTGGGGCTTCCGTACATGGCGGAGAAGTTGTAAGGAGGCATGTTGCCGGATGAGCCCATGGAGAACGCATGAGACACACGGAACAGAGGGGACATGCCGAAGACCTTGGTCAAGTCGGCACGCAGGCCGGAGAACATGAAGTTGGTCAATAGGACGTCCTTCTGGACCTCGCGGGCGAGGTTGTCCACGGTACCGGGGTTGGGCAAGTTGAGCAACGCCCTCCGGTCGGAGAACGAGTTGTATGCATCTTTAATCGCCGCGGCAGCGGGATTTTCTGTCAGGAAGGAGAAAGATGATGTGAGATCGGCCATTTTGAAGGTGGAGGATGGATGGATATTAACGGTGTCGTCACGCGATGCCAGTCAATGGGTTTTTTTGCTTCGGAGAAGGGCGATGGGAGAAAAGGGAAAGGATAAAACCAGCCCTGGAGAAGATCTGGGACGAGCGAACGACACAGATCGCAACGGAGACGGGGAAGGGCTGTATTAAGGCTTTTGACAAAGAGCCACGGGGAGATTGGAGGTTGGATTGAAGGAAACGGAGCTGAAGACTTGACCACGACTCTTGACAGTGAAAAATGCCAGTTCCGTCCGCGTCTTTGGTGGCTGTCGTCCGCCCTGTATTATGTCAGCATTTTCATGAATGCGCGACGGTTTTGCGACGAGTCGAAAGCCTTTTTAAGAATAGACAGAGTTTATGATTTTGTGATAGAAGCGGAATTTAGATAGACCCATATTTGAAACACGCATTTAACTTATTTCTCAACCCTGAATAGTGTTGAGAGCTGCCTGCTGTGTTCATACCTTGGGGGAAACACATATATACTTAGTGTATGCACATACAATCCAAGAGTTAGATCACTTTGAAAATAAGATGTATAAAAACAAGATAAATAGGTCAAGTATCTGATTTGACCAGAATAACAAGTACGATAAAAAGCTCGACTTACCTCAAATCATATCTCATCGTATACACAACAGAACTTCATTCTGCCATACTTTTCCCGTACCTAGACCCAAAACAAGGTTCTACCCGATATCTACACTCTCCGTCACTTTATACCGCTTCTCACCGAAAGTCCCTCTGCTTCCTACTGTCCCTCCAACCTCGGCGGTCATAGTTACTTTGATATTCCGGCGTGCAACTCTTGCTATTACGTCTAGTTCCTTTCCGTTTCTCAATAGATCCTACGACAACTCCCACCCGCGGAGTTTTGAATGAGAAACCCTGTGTCATTGGATTTGCCCCGCGACCATGGATACTCTCTTGTAAGCCCACACCTCCTTGATCGAGTCAATATTTCTACTCAAGAAACCAGCAAAGCCACAGCTGCTTCAATGGGGCTACCTAGCCGAGACCAGATTCACTGACTGGGCTGTATTGCACGGCTGTGGAAAGAAAACAGACCTGACCGGGTCTCCCATTCTTGGAATCAAGAAGCTGACGTCAATCAGGACCGCGGAGATCGTGGCCAGCTCGCCTCAATTCCGACGCAAGTCCTCGATCTTCGTCGATGCAATCCATGATCTGCCTGAAAAGGCTGATCTAGCTCCGGCACAACTGTATAGCACGGAATCCGGTCGGCTTTTCCATTCGGGCCGGATCGTCATTATCACCGTGGGGTTGCCCGCTAGAGGCAAAACGTATGTCCACACTAGCCAACCACATTAGCCAGTTGCTAGAGAGTCGGATTTGACTAACTTAATCTTTCCTTCCAAAACAAAAGTCACATGTCTGTTGCATTGGCACGTTATCTTCGATGGTATGTTGGTGAAGCCTGTCACTTCTACTCGCCCGGGTTTGATGACAAGTTAGCTCATAAAATACTACAGGCTTGGAGTCAAAACAAGGATCTTCCATTTGGGCGACTACAGACGTGCCACCATCCCATTTGGCGAAGATATGCCCGATGACTATTTTTACGTCAATGGTAAGGCAAAATAATTATATTTCTCGAGCACTTAATGCTCACCAGTCCTCTAGCAACCGCTTCATCGGTCTTACTTCGCCAAAAGATCGTTCGAAAATGCCGGGAAGATATTTACCATTTCTTGAACCATGAGAATGGCCAAATTGCGATCTATGACGCCGTGAACCCATTAGCCTCAGGCCGGCGGTCGCTCGCGAAGGAGTTTGCCAAGCATGATATCGAGGTAAACCGAAAACATTTCCATTTGATGCCTGTACAGCTATACTGAAACTGCAATATTTAGACCCTTTTCATTGAGTCCCGGTGCGACGATAAAAGAATCATCGAAGAGAACGTTCGCAGGGTTAAGATTTCATCTCCAGATGTGAGTGTGACTTTCCAAGATGGCAAGACCAACATCCTAACAAAGTTGTAGTACGTTTCATGGAACCCAGAGGACGCAATCAAGCATTATCTCAATCGAATCTCCTCACGGATCCCTCAATTCCAGTCAATGGAAGAGAAGGATCTGAACTATATCAAGGTTTGCAACATTATAATTTCTGTGGGACCACATGCTTACACTTGTACTAGATGATCAATGCAGGGGAGAGGCTGATAGTGAACAACCGAAGTTTTGGATACTTATCTAACCGCATCGTCTTTTATCTTCTGAACCTTCACATCAAATCGAGACGGACATATTTTGCTCGGGTATGTACCCGTAAACCGTGCTGGGCAAAAACCCATATAGCTAAAGATCAATACAGGCTGGCGTCTCAGTAGATGCCGACTCTTACAAAGCCGACGTGTCTCTCTCAGATAAAGGTGAGGATTATGCAAAGAAAATGACCGAGTGCTTGCTGGCCCATCGGGAAGCTGAAAAACAAGCAATGGTCGCCCAAGGAGACACGGGCTATGAACCGCGGAGCTTGAAGGTTTGGACTTCGACTCGACGTCGGACTGTAGAAACCGCAAGGTATCTCCATGAGCAAGGATACAAAGTTCGCCAACGATCGCAAATGAGTCAACTCAACCCGGGAGTCTGCGAGAAGATGTCGGAAAGGCGTATTCGAGCTGAGTATCCCGACGAAGTATCGAAGCACGAACTCGATCCATACCACCATCGTTATCCTCGCGCCGAGGTAAGTACAGTCCAAAATACTAGAATTATAAGAACTCCGCTGACTCGAAATAGTCGTACCATGACCTCGCTGTTCGCCTGGAGCCGATCATTCTCGAATTAGAGCGAGAGCAAAATGATCTGCTCATTATAGCGCACGAGAGTGTCTTGAGGGTTTTATATGGTTATCTCATGGCTTGTAACGCCGCAGATATCCCATTCCTGGAATTCCCTCGCGATGAAATCATCGAGGTAATATATCGAGAAGCCTAAATTAGGTTTAAATTCGTTTTTGGCTAATTCACCCATCCTTTTCCAGATCATCCCAGAAAGCTACCAAAACGAAGCTCAACGAATCCACATCCCTAATCTCCCAGAGGAAATAATTCCTGCCTCACCAGAAGACTTGAAGATTCCAGTACCTGCAAGTGGGGTGGTGTCCCCTATGCAAGGACTGGGCACTCCCGCAGATGGACTGGCAACGCCACAGAGTGGCACCCGTACGCCTCGTGAACCTGAACGAATCTCCCAACAACATGTTGAAGACGTTGTCTAGATTTCCAATTGCTTTTTTTCTTTCTTTTCCCCCCCCACTTGTCGACTATATTTTGCCTGGAATCAACAGGTCTTCTCTTTCCCAAATCTAATTTCAACCTCTGACAATCTCACGATAGTGCCCTTCGATCGTGAATGGGTTGTCTGCACGCTGATCTTTTATGTGGTGCTCAGTTGAAATCTAGTCGAAGACATGACTTTCTACCTTGTAATAAATGTTGACCAGATCAATTAAAATAGATAATCGTGTATAGTCAACTACCATAGATCTAAGGGGGGGGGTTTTTTTTTTCTCCAAGCCAAAGCCTACATATCCAATTGCATAATAAGCCTTAATCAAATAAAAACAAATGCTTAGTAGAAGGGCACACTCAGAGCCTGAAAAACAAGAATTATTCCAAGGAAGAGAAAGAGCTTTAAGCTTCTTGCAGAGCAGCCATTTAACCCGCAAAGCTTGCAAAGATGCACCGAAGAGTGTTACGAGAAGGGTATCGCGTATGTAGTGGGCTAGAGGCCCCATAGTAACATGGAGCGGTGTTTCCCCACCAAACCTTGGGAACTTCGGCCTACAAAACAGCTTTCCCGCTCCCCATTTCACCGAGCTCTGACCTTTGAGCTAGCGACCTTCTTTTTGTACCCAAACCCGCTCCAAAATGACGTCCAGGATTGATAAAACCATCGCTCGCCAGCGAGAAAAGTGAGCTTTTGTCTTGTCCCGCATCCTGAAACCGCACGAACGGTGACGCTGACAGCCCACTTTCTTCACGTAGGATCGCGGCCGGTGCCTTCTACGAAGCCCATCAACAACTGCGTGTTATCGCCGCACGTTATATCAAGGCGTCTAACTGGGATGCAGCAGCGGATCTTCTGGCTGGTGGTGCAACTGCCTTGTTGAGAGCTGGATCTCAGCAGGGTGCCTCGGCGAGTGGCGGGGATCTGGCGATTATGCTGGTCGTCGAGGTATACAACAAAGCAGAATGGGAGATCTCGGGGGATACTAATGATGCAGAGAGCCGGATTCGAAAGAGTAAGTCGCTTGATGGAGTATTTTGCTTCTATGATTGGCCTGTTTTTGCCATTGGAGATGAATGAGATAGGCTAATTGCGATTTGAATAACAGAGCGTCTTATCGAACTATTGCGCGAATTCCCATCGGAAGAACCTACAAAGAAGCGTTATATCCAAGAGATCATTGGCTGGAGTGGGCGACATGGACCGCTGGAGCGAGGAGACCCAGACCTGCATCACGCCGCGGGATCCGTCTACGCAGAGAGTTCGTTCCAAATCTTCCTTCCAGTCGTATTCTATCTGTCTATCTGTCTAACATAACATCTTTCAGATAACGAGCCATATGAAGCCGAGAAGCATTTGATCCTGGGAACTTCGGAATCGGCGGAGACCTTGGCGAAAATTGAATACGAGTGGTACACTCATGACGATCCACACACCGCAGCCCTCTATGCCTCGCGCGCTATCTTCCCATATCTCACAACAGGCAACCTTCGAAGTGCAAATAAGGCATTGCTCATATTCACCTCACGGCTCTCAGCATCGAACCCGTCCCTTGGTGTGCAGGAAGTGAGCAGCGCTAGCTCTGATGTCCGAGTATACCCAGCTCTGCCATTACTCAACTTCCTCAGCATGTTGCTTCTTACAATCCAACGTGGAAGCGCAGATCTCTACCGACAGCTTAATACCCACTATGCGGCACAGATTCGGGATGTGGGAATCTGGGACGATCCGTTGGCCCAGATTGGTGAGCTGTATTTCGGGATCAAGATCCCACGGCAGGGTAACCCTTTGCTCGATATGATGGGCAGCATGTTTTTCGGTGGCCAGGGTCAAGGCAATGCTGGTGGTAGCAGAGGTTCATCCAGACCAGCAGCAAAGAAGGTTGAGGCACCTCCGTCGAACATGGAGCTTGACTAAAGGGCCAATGAGCAGTATTTTTCGGAGGAGCAGACCCCATCTGCTTCTTTGTTTCTGGCGATGAACCATCGACATACACCCTCTGATCATGTAATGAAAGATTGAGAAAAAGGATTGCAAATACATGTAGCGCATTATTCAACAAATTTGCCGTTAAATCAATAAGTCACTTTCTGGCTCAAACATCCAATTATCATCGTCTAGGGAGTTGACTTTCTTTTGCAAGCTCTGATGAACAATATTTAAGATCTCTATAGACCGGGTTAACAATTTGCTTCCCATATATAGGGGAATAGAGAAACAAGAACTGAAACGTACCATCAGGTTCACCACTTGACTGTCTGTTTCGATGACGGATCATCATTTCGACTAATGCTGCCTCGAATTCTGTACAGCTGTCAGTAAGCAGGCTCTCCCAAAGGTATTTCCTATCGGGTAATAATGCCGTACTGTCTTTCTCGCGTTCATTCTCCAATGACTCAAAAGCTGATTCAGCTGCCTCCTCGGCCTCAAGCTCATCCAGTTCTTCACCATCATCACCAATTAAGGAACTTCGGGGTAAGGCAGGCATATCAAGCTTGTATCCTCCACTCTTGTCGCGCACCACAATATCCTTGTTCTCCGCCATTTTCATGCTTCTAGACGAAGACGCGTCGGTGACTGTTGACTTCGGCCTATTGGAAGAGCGATTCGAGAATCCATTATTCCCCGGCGGTAATGATCCATTTTGGGGTCCCACGGAGGCAGGGCGACGGCTGAGGTTCTGGTGGAAAAGATTCCGGCGGACGGATGTTTGGCCCATATTCATAATTAAGTATTAAGGACGGCAGGGCTGTGTTATGTAGATAAAAATGCAGAACTTGTGTGTTTGGTGAGCGTTCATGGGTGGTTTGGTACAGAGTAGATTTGGCTTATCACGTATATCGATAAGCGTTATCGCGGCACGCGTTCACCACTTCTACCGCTGCTCTTTCGCGTCTTCCTCCCCCACGGACACTTTTCCAACCACCCATCCATAATGACGCAGGCCGAATCTTCTTCAAGCGCTTCCAGTAATGGTGCCAAAGCCTCCACTGCGGGCGCACCGGCAGGATATGAACTTCCTTGGTCAGTCTAATCAATTGTGAATTAATTCTTTGTTACTCAGTGTGATTTCTGACTATTGGCCATACTATAGGGTCGAGAAGTATCGCCCCGTTTTCCTTGATGACGTTGTTGGTAATACAGAGACAATTGAGCGCCTAAAGATCATTGCGAAAGATGGAAATATGCCTCACGTTATCATTTCCGGCATGCCAGGAATTGGAAAGACAACCTCCGTTCTCTGTCTTGCTCGGCAGCTCTTAGGGGAATCGTATAAAGAGGCAGTTTTGGAGCTGAACGCAAGTGACGAGAGAGGTCAGCACTTTTTTTGCACTGCCTACTGATGTCTTTGGATCGGACGACTAATAGAACTGTATTAGGTATCGACGTGGTGCGCAATCGTATCAAGGGCTTTGCACAAAAGAAGGTCACCTTGCCTGCGGGTCGTCACAAGCTGGTGATTCTCGATGAGGCAGATAGGTATGTTCCATTTTGTTAGCTGATTGATATAGAGAGACCATTTGGCTTATTATCTTCAATAGCATGACCCCGGGTGCTCAGCAGGCGCTGCGACGCACAATGGAGATCTACTCGACAACCACTCGATTCGCCTTTGCCTGCAACCAGTCGAATAAGATTATTGAACCACTTCAGTCTCGTTGCGCCATCCTCCGTTACGCCCGACTGACCGATGCTCAAGTTGTCAAGCGATTGATGCAGATCTGCGAGGCCGAGAAGGTCGAATACTCTGAGGATGGTATTGCTGCTTTAGTGTTCAGCGCAGAAGGCGATATGCGTCAAGCCATCAACAATTTACAAAGTACCTGGTCTGGATTTGGCTTTGTGAGCGGGGACAATGTGTTCCGTGTCGTTGATAGTCCTCATCCGGTTAAAGTTCAGGCTATGATCAAGGCCTGCTGGGAAGGCAAAGTGGATATTGCATTGGAAGGCTTGAATGAACTTTGGTGGGTCTATGCATTTTGATTTCCTTGGGCCGCGTGCAAACTGGAACTAACAATCTGTAGGAACCTTGGATACTCTTCCCACGACATAATTAGTACTATGTTCCGAGTTACAAAAACAATTCCAACACTCTCGGAGCACTCCAAATTGGAATTCATCCGTGAGATTGGATTTACACACATGCGCATTCTCGACGGTGTCCAGTCTTTGCTGCAGTTGAGCGGCTGTGTCTCGAAGCTTTGCAAAATCAACATGAAGCCCGAGCTTTTTGTACCGCCCAAGGCCTGAGACAAAGCAACAACAACCCCGAAAAATTAGATGATATCCTACTGCATATTAATGGGAGTTACCGGTGTTTTTAACTGATGTTTGAATGAAGCTTGCTATGAATTGACCCCTCATTAAAGACAAATATCACTGTATAGCCTTTACAAAGTATTTCAGAGTAGAGTTCATTTTCGACCTAATATCAACTCCAGGAGTCATCTGGTTTTAGTCTAGCTGGCAGTCTTGTTCTTCCAGATAATCTCAATAACAGTAGCAGCTCCTAGCACTCTTTCTTCTTCCAATTTCTTCCCAATAACCTGCAAGTTGACAGGATACCCATCCGTCTCATCTGCTGAATAGAGTCCCCAGTTCCACTCATCTAAAGCATTTCTCGGTATATAAGGCTCCGGTGGTAATCGATCAAGATCTGCTTTGACCTTACCTACTGGGAATGTGACTGCTGGATAATCAAGAAAGTTCCAAATCTTCGTATATCCCACCCATCGGAACTTTCGGTGTGGAACGCTGGTATGAGGCATAGTTGGGCTTAGCAGAACATCAACGGGCCTGGCGGAGGGTGATCGGATCGCATTCCATTTATCAAGGTAATTCTTCTGGGCAACGAACTTGCGCTTGTTGAGTTGCCAATATTCATATATGGATATTGGTTTCCCGCGGTTGACCATAGCTTCCACATGGGGGATATAGGGCTCACCAGCAGTACTTATGTCCCGACGGATATCTTCACCTCCATCCACGGTGTAATAGAGATCCATCAGCTCGATACAGGCGGCATGATCAGAAGTATCCCAGGTTATGACTTCATGGCCATGTGCTTTCAACTTGTCTGTCAACTCTTGTAAAGCCCGAGTGATTGGTGGGTGAACCTTGACTATTCCATCATCTAATATGAGACCAATAACCAAGGATCGTTTCTGTATCTCGTTAAATGCCATCTCATTCCATGGAAGAGGGGCACATCGAGGATCCGAATCCCAGGGCCGAGAATTTGCCACGAGCTGAGTAATATACTGGAGGGATTGCATATCCCGAGTCATTGGCCCTACAGAAGATGGGATATGTTCTTGACCCTCTGTAGAGACCGGGATGCCTTCATAGGGAAAGCGTTTGCTCTGTTATGTATCAGAACCAGGGCTTCAATCTTGTGGTACGATATAGTCCTCTGAACTTACTGAAGGTTTCAACCCGTATAACCCAGCTACACCCTGTGGCATTCGTATACTTCCGCCGATATCTGTACCAAAGCCAAGGAGGGATCCATGCAAAGCTAGAAGCGGACCCTCACCACCTGTCGAGCCACCTGGGCTGAAGGCCGGATTCCGAGGATTTGTGGTCAACCCCCACAAGGGATTTTCGGTCTCTGCCCACTAAACGCCAGTAAGCAGACCAGAACGGCATAACCACGGAAGAGTGATATGGTGAATATATGACCTACCATGATGCTCTGACACAGGTTGGTCTTCGCAATAACAATTGCACCTTGGTCCTTCAATATCTGAACCAGGACCGCGTCTTTTTGGGCTGGAGAGAACGATCGACCCACGTATCCCAAAGTCGAGTCAATACCCTTGACATTGAATTGGTCCTTAAGTGTAATTGGGATTCCATGCAGAGGTCCCCTTATCTTGCGAGTCGTTTGAAACTCTATATCAAGCTGTTTGGCCTGCTTCAATGCATCTTCAAACACGATTTCGGTAAGACAGTTGGTCTGAAGTCTGTTAATAGTTCAATCTCTTTAAGGCTATATACAGTTTGAACTAACCAATTGATGTGCCACTGTAGCTCTATCAAGACTATTAGATAAGCGTACCAGTGTGACAGGTAAGCTCATGTCTCGTACCTTTGTATATATGCTTTAATGACCTGTTCAGCGCTCAAGTCACCTTTTTGAATTCTTTGTGCAACAGATTGTACGTTGTCAATGTCCGTAATTTGTTGCACTTCCTCGGACTTTAACCGAGTGCGCTCAAAAACGCGATCGACTCGAGGGACTCGGTGTTCAATATCGTCAACTAGATATGGAGCTAGTAGCTTATCTCTAATGGCACGTTTCTGAGCGACGATCTGCTCCCATGGTTGTGATTGCTGAATGGTACCCATGATGGTGATGATTCTAAATCCTCCGAAGAACTTGTATCCATCCTTCCTCTCTTATATATTATTTATATATGCTAAGATCATCTCGACGGGTCGGCAAGATGACCGGGATCCCGTGATTTCCAAGTGGAGACAAACCAAAGCGGAGGTGACATAGTCTTATCGCATCATGTACATGTACTAGTATTGTACGGTGCGGAGTAACTTTAGGTGAATACATGTAATCTCCGTCTGATGTTGGAGTCATTGGGGTCGAAACTCGATATAATCTCACCCTGCAATACAAGTTCGACAGACACGGGATAATTCCCCTGAGTTCCTCACAAGCAAGAGTCCGGCTTCGGAGTAGCTTATCAAGACCGGAAAAGGCTCAACTGTATGTGGGTCGCGGATCCTCAACCTCGACCCATTCACAACCGATCTTCTTTCCCCCATATTTCCAAGCTTGATGGCGCAACCGAGGCATCCTGGCCATGGACCCCACGACAGGGTCGTCGACGAGCTCTAGTTCGCCTGGAGCGATTCGCACGCGCAGCAAAACACCCGGAAACATAGCCAAGCGGGCATGCGACCAATGCAAGTTCCGCAAGATCAAGGTAATTGAGATTTCGCATTCCTGGACCCCTCCGCTCCGCCGCGCAGCAGAAAGCGGGCGCTAACCCGCCACCACAGTGCAGCTTATCGCAACCTTGTAAGGCTTGTCAGTCGATGGGTTTCGATTGTACATTTCTGCAACCGCAAAAAAAGCGAGGGCCAACAGGACAGTAAGTTCCGGTTGCCATCTGCCCATCTGCCCATCGTTTGGAGTAGGAGTATTCTGACTGGTATCAAGTCGCGTGTCGCAAATTCGACAGCAACAGACTCACCTTGTTCCAACAAGCCCTCAAGATCCCCAAATTGGGAAATCCGATTCCTTCCAGTACCATGTCTCTAATTCGTCGGTCGAGACCGGCCAGCCTGTGTCTCTGCCAGGTACATCCTGGACACCAACTCCCGAAGTCCCAATACCGGTAAATGGAGCTGGGGGGTTAGCTCCCGCCGGCCCATCAGCAGTAGTAGATGCTTGGGGATCGGAGAATCCGTCGTTGGAACCTCATGGCAATGCGGTAGGCTGGAATGACCGTCCAGATGTGGAGTACTGGCTCCCTGATAACCTTGGGGCGCACGTACCCGTCTTTGAATTTCCAGGGAGCAATATCTATCTCAAGCCATCTTTGCCATCCATTATTCAGCCAGTACCCGATGTTTCGGCTATGAACTTGCATCTACAGGAAACGTCAAGCATGTCGTACTCCCCGGCCGTTGGGTCTGTAGGTTCACTTCCTTCGGAAAACCAAGATGTGGAGGACTTTTGGCCTCCTTCGATTAATGAGGCCAATATGATCCCATGGATCGATGTCTACTTTGATCGCCTGCATCCTACTGTCCCAGTGCTGAGCCGATCTTCCTTATTCACTCGCATGATGTCACAAGAGCACCGAAAAAACCCCCAATTCGGAGCGATGACATTATCTCTATGCGCATTTTCACTGACCCAGCCAATCGAAATTAATGAACGGCCCACTGCATCAAGGGCCACCCAAGCACGGTTGATGATGCATGAAGCCACCAAGATGCGAAGCTGTTCGGACTTTGGAGAAAACCCAACCATTGAGGCGGTGCTGACTAGTTTCTTCCTCTTTGGTTGTCTTTTTGGGAGTAATCAACATAATGCTGCTTGGCTTCGATTACGGGAAGCTTTGGACCTTGCGTCGACGCTAGGTTTAAATGACACTAGCTCATATCGTGACCTCTCGGGAGAAGAGAAAGGCCAAAGATTACGAACTTATCTCGTTCTTTCCATTACAGAAAGGTATGGGATGTGATATTTCGAGAGGCACCGAAGCAAGATTCAGTTCTTCTAGCTAACGCACCGATTACAGAGCATATGCCCTCCAAAGACTACACCCCGTGACATTTTCAGGCAAACCTGGATTTAGCATGCGCTCCGTACACGAATTCCTGCACAACGCAACCCACAGTCTTGTTTCTGGCATCATTGTTCACAATGAGAAAGACGCCGAGGGTATGATGGGCCTTGCAAGGATGATGGAATTGTTTGATGCAATCGACGAGGATTTTATCCATTGCTGGAATCGAAGATGCAACATTAATAATGGATTCTGTCAAAAGTTCACAGAAGCAAAGGCATTATCCATGCATGAAAGTCTAGCGAGAGTTAGTCAAGCCGAGCGATATAAGGGATACGACTGGTTTGAACGAGCAAAAGTAGAGCAAAACGACAACAATAATGCTCTCTTGGCGATAGGCCTGCGAGAAACACAAGCTGCAGACGTTTTCATCACCCAGAAATGGATACACAATCGCATCTGGTTGTTATGTCTCTACCACGGCCTCCTCAGGGCTCACGCCGAACGACCTGAGATGACTTTCGGCTACGCAGTAACTATCGCCGAGTCCACGCTCCAAACTTGTCAATCGCTAAGACTCAGCTCTATGGAAGCCCATGGTATAGGCTTTGTACGTTGCACCTGACTCAACCCCTGAGAATCAGATAACTGACAAGTTACTAATATTTTGTTCAGACCGAGAAATTATATGATGTCGCGATCGGCGCAATAGACATTCTTTGTAACATCAATCCGCCCTTCGGAACCGGAATGACACCTCTGGGGGCTTACCCTGAATCAGTACCCACAACCTCAACGCCGCAAAGCCTGGCAGAAGACTTCTTGTTACTCATGAGAAGTTTCCGGGGTGGCAACCATCCATACTTGGAGAAGTTACTGGCTCATTTACAGGCCCTACATGTCCCTGCACCTAAGGTCACCTGGGCCCAGCAATGACGTTGAAGAAATGGTTCAAGTTTCATTTTATTCTTCTGTTCCTTTTTTTGGGGGGCGGGGGGGTGGTTGTAAATAAAGGCAACAGAAATTTGTCTCTGTATTAAATATATCACAATTCAACCCCTATGCAATTATGTCGAATTATGTCAAATATTAATTCCTGCACATGTGCCAATTCCATCCCATATATCAGCTTGTAGAAGTGTGGTAGATAAATCATCAAGTCCGTCGACAATTGGCTCTGCAAAGAATCGGACTCCGAAATTTCTGTTCGAGGGATGGTAAATGCGGGTTGTAATGGCTGTTCTGTTGTTGACAAAAACCTCCAGCACACTCTTATCAAAGAAAGCGTGAACTTTCAAAGTCTCCTCGGTTTCTTGCTGTTCATGCATGCAAGTAAAAAGAGTGTGTGGAGCTGATTCCCTTCCATGATTTATTTTTGGGTCTTTGACTACAGGCCGGTCAATCGTGAAGATTTCACAAGTCGAGTCCCAGGTAAGAATGGTTCGGTCTTCAAAATCTGGAGACGTTGTTAGAGATTTCACAAGGCTTTGAAGAGGACAAAAAAGTTAGTACAGAAATGGCTTACCGGGGCTGTGAGCAATTTCAAGTCCGACCCTTTGACATGACTGGCCCACAGAAAACTCAGATTGTAGTTCCCATTTAGCTGTAGTCAAAGGCAAAGAAGCCGCAGGAGAGGAGGATGACTTGGATAGGGAAGAATCCGTGATGTGGTGGTGTCTTGCTTCCTTCCGAAGACGAGAAAGTCTTGAGTCTGGACTGATACTCAAAGTATGGACAGTGAATCCACTTCCCTCCAACGATTTCATGGCCTCAATCGATGTGATAGACTTCAGTGACGAGTGGCGTGCTTTCGTAACATTACGCAGAGTCATCAAACTGACGACTCGCGGCAAAGATATCATACCGGACCATCCCTGGCGGTGTCGAGGACCGTCAGGCAGATCTTCCTCGGTGACCCAACCGTATACAATGCGTTGAGAGGTCTCAGGATCCCAAAAGGAATTGGCCGCATACAGACAGCCATGATCGAAAAAGCCCCCTGAGGCAAAATTTGTGAGCGCATCACTGTCACTGTCACAATTTTCAATCGATGTAACTGACATCCACATTTGGCCTCTTGGGTCACGTCTTTGACGAGCCTCGATAGTGGCCGAAGTTTCTGCGGGAATGCATCCTTCAACACCCATGATGATAAAGTCACGAGATTCATTGAAATTATTTTCCAGAGTCGTGAAGTTCGCAACCTCCCAATTTACGCCAAAATCGCCAGACCACCGCGACGGTCGAAAGTTGAGACCTACATTGACCAGGGGGCCAATGTAGTTCCATTGGCGAATGTCGCGAGGGTTAACGGTATAGACAAATATAGCAGGATTTTGCCCCTTGATACCACCGGAAATAAAACCATGAAGCTGAGACTGTGAGCCTTGTGCAAGACTTGATGGCTTCCTTGTCCAGGCTGTCAGACAAGGATCCCTCCATCCGGTGACTGGAAGATTTTCAGGTGGGCCTGGGAGAATCGGGTTACAGTCTTGACGTTTCCAAGATTCTCCGCCATCGTTTGAGACGGCAAGACTGAGAGATTCGCAGCCTGTGGTATAGGGGAGCGTAAAATGGATGGGCAGGTGGCTGACAGACGTATAGATGGCGGTCAAAGCCCCAGGATCTCCATGGACGTTTGTTGCTCGAAGACAGCCTGTAAAGACGCCACATTTGTCATAATCTGCCGTTGGCGCCAATGCTGGAGTTGATAATCTTTCCCATGTAATCAGGTCCGGTGACGTAGCATGTCCCCAGGACATATTGCCCCAGTCATTGCCATACGGATTCCATTGGAAAAAGAGATGGTATAATCCGGTGGTAGGATCATATCCTAGACCGCATGGGTCATTCAACCAGCCACTTGGGGCTGTTAAATGAAATGATGGTCTGGATGAAGATTCCTTTGGGTCGTTCGTGTGGGCGTGGGAGTCTAGAGAAGATTGGGGATGTCTTTCTTGAAAAACTTGCTCCGACAAGTCCGGCGAGTTTAGAAGAACAGACATGACTGGTATGATTTAGTAGTTTGAAGAGTTATTTGTATTTTCCTTGCTCTTCTTTTTCTTTAAGTACTAAAATCCAAACTGGGAAAGTGGTATATGAATCATGATTATCCTCAGAAGGAGACAACTCGGGGAAAATCGATTCCACCATTTGACATGTATATTGATAAGGAAAAAAGAATCTGACTGGACATTAGCCAGAATGCAAAGGTTCATGCAATGAGTTTTCCCGGCCCGGAGGTTGGTCGGAGCAGTGCTCGGCAGATGGTTAGCAAATGTGACGTACAAGATGGAGATGGACGGACTATCATCGGCGAAACTCACAATACCCCAGAATCGGCAAAGGATGAGCTCTTGCGCGCAGATTTGTGGAGTCCCGTCTTTTGAATATCTGTATTCTTCAGATTCTGAGTTTCATCTTAGCTCTGCTCACACTAAATTGAGGGCCTGAGCATGTCAACTTGGCATTGGGAAACTTCGGGGAAATTCACGTCTTAGTAACGGGCGCGGCAAACCTTGAGCTCGAAAAAGCTGGGGAAATCATTTGTCTCATGCTATTTTCCCCGGAATAATAACCCCCAACACCTGCAAGATCAGCCCTCGCTAATATGCTGTGAATTGATTGAGCTGAGTATGTGTATATAACCCCGCTATGGGTTTGGGCTCTTCGGCGTCCAGGATATTCTCACCTATTGCTCTGCTCTCGCCCCGGGTGTGCAGATTCATTCGCCTCACGATGTCTACCGACAAAGATGAACTTGGCCCAATGGAAGTTGAGCACATTGATTGCTCCGACCGCCCTGGTCACAATGACCAGAGCGCGATCAACTGGCTCCTCATTGTAGCTTGTGCGGTGTTTGGAGCCGCATCGTTTATGTTTGGGTACGACGATAAGGTCATATCCCCGATCATTGCATTGCCAGCATTTGTGAGTCTGCCACTACATCAGCTTGAGTGAGAAATTGCGTCTGATATCCCCAGGTTGCGAGATTTCAGGGTGGCGACCCAGCAGCTAGTAGCCTCGTCCTTACAGCTCGCAACCAGAACCTGGTGATTTCCATTCCCATAGTGGGCGATGTTATTGGAAGTCTCTTCGCACCGTTCCTTACTTTCCACATGGGAAGAAAATGGCCATTGGTGGTGGCCTACGTTATATCTTTAGGCGGCAGTCTGCTACAGGTCTTTGCACCGAACCTGGGAGGCTTTGTAGCCGGACGGGCCGTGAATGGAATTGCTATTGGAATTGCAATCTCTATCGCACCTTTGTACCTCTCAGAGGTCAGTTGCTATTTCCCTTCAAGGATGGCATGATTTGAGTCTAACGATACCAGGTTGTTCCCGCCTCCATTCGAGGCAGGTGTGTCAGTTCTATTAATATCTTGAATCTTATAGCAGGAGTAATCGGCACAGGGGTGGTTTGGGGTACTAAGAGACTAAATGGCCATTTATCTTACAAGATCCCGCTAGCTATACAGTGTGTGATTCCTGTGATCCTATTTGTTATGACTATACCACTGCCCGAAAGTCCGGAATGGCTTGTATCCAAAGGAAATATGGAACAGGCCCGACACAATCTCCGGAAACTCCGGGGATATTCCGATGAACATATCGATGAAGAACTACGACTCATGGTCTTATGTGAGAAAAACAATCGTGAAATGAGGGCTGACGTCAAGTTCTGGCATATATTTCGACGAGACCATCTCCAAAGAACTCTGGTCGCAGGGTCTTTCTACTCGCTTAATCAAATCTCGGGCGTTATTCTTTCTACGACATACACGACCATTTTCCTCACGGAACTTGGAGTTGCGGACCCCTTTTCATTGACCATCATTGCATCATGCTGTACGTTGGCTGGTACTCTCGCCGCTCCACTAGTCATCGACCGTGCTGGTCGGCGTCCCACAGCATTTTTTGGAATGGGCATCTTGTTTGTGATAGATGTGATCGCTGGTGGCCTTGCATTTGACACCGGCAATAAACACTCAACTATTACCATCGCCGCGTTATCCTTCATTTTCAATTTCTTCTGGGCTTCATCCTTCTACTCTCTGTCAAATGTGATGCCTTCCGAGATGGCCACAACCAAACTTCGCCATTACGTGATGTCCTACACTATTGCCTGCCAGGGTATCACTGCCGTCATTACTACTCTTGCCGTCCCACAAATCACGTCTGCTGATGCAGCTGGTCTTGGTGCCAAAACTTACCTCATTTTTGCCGGCTGTATGGCCGCTATCTTAGTCTTTACATACTTTTTCATGCCAGAGACACGAGGCCGGACCTTTGCAGAGATTGACGAGATGTATGCTGCCAAAGTTCCAGCATGGAAGTGGCGATCTTACCATACTTCGTTAGAAGCGAGAACTGGTGTATCGACTTTGGGATCTGCTGAGAAACCGTAGAGGTGATTATTTTGTGTCATATATGTAGAAATAATACCCAATACGATTTGCACACACACACACACACACACACACATATATATATATATATCGAGATCAAATCTCCCGTGTCTTACAATATTTTAAGCAATAGTGGAATGTTATAGTACAACTACTTCACCTGGACATGGACAGCATTGTAGACACTGCAAACATGACAAACACAACCAGCGATGGCGCCATCCGTCTGGGGCTGCCGATACCGGCAATGATGAACGTTCATATAGATACAACAATGCTAGAATTAGCTATATTTGAAATAAATTGATCGAATGGGGGCATTGGTCATAAGCTGCAGCAAGACACTGCAATATCCAGAAATTATTTGTATATACATGTATTGGATTTCAGGTCTCCGAGATCACACTCCAAGTATACTAGATCTGCCCCGCTATCAAGATCATATGGTACGTAGAGACGACCCTTCTTCTATTTTCACCACTGGTATATATAGTACATAATAAAGATAAAAACCAAGCATCTAATTGCACAATGATAGCTTTCGGATTCTTATTATAAATGTCTTCTGTCATAAGAATTGGATGTATCTCACCCCGCAACTAATGTACTCACAAACTTCCCAATGATGCACGTATACCCCGCCATTGCCGCCAGGAAAGACGAATCATCCCAATGGCTGGAAAATAAAAGGATCCGGGTAAAAGTAAATGACCCAATAAGCGAGGAATGCCATGTTTGTACAAGAAAGCGCAAAAATGGTGGCTCAGAGTTCCTGTACTTCGATGACTCTTAAGGTTGATCTCCACTCTACGATCCACCCGGCATCTTTTTTTCTCTCTCGCCTCTCTTTCCATCTTTCTATACCCAAGATACCCTATAACACTTCCCCCCCAAATTACTTCCTAAAATGCCTTCTCGGCAAGAAGTTGCCTATTTCGGAGCTGGTCCAGCTCCCCTGCCCACATCGGTCGTCGAGGCTGGTGCAAAAGCATTTGTCAACTTTAATGACACCGGACTTGGACTCGGTGAAATCTCCCACCGCTCGGGCGCCGCAAACAAGATTCTCGATGACGCCAAAGCCAACCTCACTACCCTCCTCGATATCCCTGACAACTATGAGATCCTTTTCATGCAAGCTGGTGGAAGTGGCGAGTTCAGCGCTGTCGTCCAGAATCTCGTTCCAGTCTGGATCGAACGCCGTCGTCGCCGTGCGGAGGCTGATGTACTGAAGGCCAACCCTGGCGCTGAGAAGACTCAGGTGGATGAATTGGTATTCCAAAGATTACAAAAAGAGGTTGATGAGGAATTGAAGCTGGATTATCTGGTGACTGGCTCTTGGTCACTCAAGGCCTCGCAGGAGGCTGCCCGACTGGTTGGCTCAAAGTATGTCAACGTTGCTTTGGATGCACGCAAAGCCAACAATGGAAAGTTCGGCACAATCCCAGCTGAGAATACATGGTCATTGACCCCAACCAAGAAGGAGGGTGGAAAGGGTTCAGCCTTTGTTTACTTCTGTGACAACGAGACTGTTGATGGTGTGGAGTTTCAGAGCTTCCCCAAGTCATTGGAGGCGCAGGGCCAAGACGCTGAAGACGAGCATTTAGTTGTGGCTGATATGAGCTCTAACTTCATCAGCCGAAAGATTGATGTCAGCAAATATGCTGTGATCTTTGTAAGTACATTCAGAGTGGATATCTATGTATGGATTCATGTTAACTAACTGATTTGATAGGGTGGCGCACAAAAGAATATCGGTGTTACTGGCATCACCCTCGCTATTATTCGCAAGGATCTGCTTCCTCCTCAAACCGCCACACCCCCTCCAGCTTTGCTGCACCGCTTGAACATTGGTGGCCTGCCCGGGCCCGTAGTGCTCGACTATGCTACTATTGCTAAGAACAACTCTCTTTACAACACCCTCCCTATCTTCAACCTCTGGATCGCAGGCCAAGTCATGGCCGACCTGGTGAGCGAATTTGGTGCTCAGAAGGTCAGCGGACAGGAAGCTGTTGCGGATCAAAAAGCACAGCTCATCTATGGAGCCCTGGACAAGTACCCGCAAGTGTACCAGGTTGTTCCCGATAAGAGCATCCGCAGCCGGATGAACATCTGCTTCCGTGTGAACGGTGGTGATGATGTTAAGGAGAAGGAGTTTCTGGCTGGTGCAGAGAAGCGCCTGCTGCAGGGCCTGAAGGGTCACCGCAGTGTCGGTGGTATGCGCGCCAGCAACTACAACGCAGTTCCATTGGAGAACGTGCAAAAGCTGGCCAAATATCTTGAGGATTTCGCCACAGGAAACTAAATTGCTTCCAAATAGCTGATTTATTGATGGATGAACGAATTCAACCTGAACCTTTCGGTACCAAACTTCTAGTGGGTGATTTGAATGAGACACCCGAACGCCCTGGAAGGCTGTCGACTATTCAACATAACTTCCCCCCGGTATATGCTATATGCCAAAAAAGAAGAAAAATTACAAAAAAGAGATATATAATGATACATATGACCCAGTGATCATAGCTTCCACACACCCCATCCATTTAGATCGAGCTCTTTAATCACACCCTTAACCGGTCCCTGGAGTTCTTGTCCTTGAGCCCAGACCTTTGGACCTGCCATATAGCCAATGAAGCCTTGGGGACCTGATACAAGAATCATTTTCTTGTTATGTGAGTCATCTGTGGAGCTGCTCCGTTTAACCACGTCTGAAATGTCTTCTTTGCCAATAAAACGGTTCTCCTCATCCAAGTAATAGTCTACTTTGACTTGTCCCGGGTATTGTGATTTTAGAGCTTCAAGTTCTTTTACCACAAGAGATGTTTCTTGGTCGTCATGTGGCATTGTCGTTGGTGAATTAGGAGCATCATTTGGTCTCGAGGAGCCAAACCAGCCTGAGAACCAAGGTCCTCGCGACGACACAATCTTGGCGGTATCGCTCTCCCCCCAATGCAGTCTTCTTTCAATCGATTCGCCCACAGAATATGAATCTTAGGCTTGGGCGACTCTTGCTCCTTGTTGTTGAGAAGGGAGTATCCGGCTTGCAAAGCGGGCGCAATTCCAGTACCGCCGGCAATAAAAATAATCTCCTGAGTTTCCTCCGGAATGATGCACTCAAATTGCGGCCCTCGCATTTCAATATCTGCACCTATAGTCAAATTGTGCAGATAACGAGAAACTTCTCCAAAGGGGTCCTTCCGTATAAAAAATCGCAGGTACCCTTCGTTTTCCTCATCTACCGTCAATGTTGTTGCAGCAGTCGTGGGGAGGGGTGTATAATCTCGACCGATTTGGAGTTGGGGTTGCTTAAACATAACACTCCATACTCCGATCTTCCATGCTTCTTCGTAGACATCGTAGTTGCTACCGCTGGGGTATCGGGGTCGGAGTGTGAAGAGACTGCTGGTTGTTGAGACTGGCTCTCTGGAAACAAGGCTGTATTTTGTGAATGTGTCTTGATTCAAAGTCGCGGACCCGGGGCTTTGCGACCGAAGATACGCTCCAGCTCCAGCTGCCGCCGCAGTTACAAATATAATTCCTAACCAGCGATTCTTCCTGGAAGGGTTCGGGGTAGAGTTCGGGGTAGCGGGTGTAGGTGGCGCAGAGGAAGTTGCGGTCGTCGCAGTCGAAGCGGAGGTTGAGGCGGATGTGGAAGCAAAGCGGCGAGAATGAATCGCAGTCTGTTGTATAGTTCGGCTGCAGCTGCAGCACCGAGGTGGGATTGGGACCCTCATGAGAAACGTGCAAATGAATGAAAAATGGTTTCAAGTGTTGGTCTTGTGAGAATTCTCAACAACTGGAAAAAGCGCGGGGAAACTGGCGCTGAAGAAGGGAAATCCGATTGGGCGATCGTTTCCCCCATTCAACTAAACTGCACCCCTTGGCGCTCGCAATCTCCGTTACCCACACTCTCATCGCCTTTTCTCCCTTTCTTCCTTGATCGTTAAATCATCTCGATATTTGGATTTCTCGTGGGAGATGGAGAATCCCGTTGAATCCCTTTGACTAAGTCCTACTTGAATCGAGGCTGGCCTTCGAAGCCTTGGAACCCGTGCAGATCAAGCACATCCAAACATCCAATCAAGAACAAAGAGAAATAAACAAGACAGACGGACGCACAGAGAGGATGTTCAATCGCGCATCCGCCCACGAGACCAGAAATGGAAACCTCGCCGCTCCTCGAGATTCACTTGAACTCGCATCCCTCGCCTCATCCTCTCCCGAATCAGTGGGCGGCTCCTCCCGATCATCATCTCCCGACGGTATCTCCTCTTCGCGAAAGCTCTCACTCGAGGATGAAGATCCTCTAGCCGGTCCCTCGGGGGATGATTACCTCGAGACAGGCAGACAACGAGGTCTCCGATCCTATTCGATATCCTCCGCGTTCGATTTTGGTGGAAACCTCTTTCCACTCTCCCAAACACAAGGTGGCTATGCTCCCTTAGGCACGCCATCACTGGAACGCCTGGGGCAGGAGGGATCGTTGGAGCGAAACAAAACATTGACATACCTAAACGGTCTGTCGCTGATTGTCGGCCTTATTATTGGATCTGGAATCTTCTCTTCTCCAAGCCAAGTCAACGCCAATGCCGGTTCTCCAGGCGCCTCGCTCATTGTTTGGGCTATAGCGGGCATATTGGCCTGGACAGGAGCTGCTAGCTATGCGGAGCTAGGAGGCGCAATTCCTCTGAATGGAGGTGCTCAAGTATATCTATCTAAGATCTTTGGAGAGCCAATGGGCTTTCTCTTCACATGGTGCGCTGTTCTAGTTTTGAAGCCTGGGTCAGCAGCTATCATTTCCATTATCTTCGGAGAATACGTCGTGCGTGCATTTGTCGGTGCTGATGTGGTCTTGGTCAATCCATGGATCAACAAGGCCGTTGCACTTGGTGGTCTTCTATTTGTGACTCTGTTCAACTGTGTCTCGACTAAGATTGCCACTCGCATTGGCGATCTTCTCATGTTCTTCAAGTTTGTGGCTCTGCTATTTGTCACCGTCACTGGGATTGTGGTGGCTATCACCGGATTCTCATCCAAGGGTAGTGCCAACGAGGAATGGAAAACACATGGCTGGTTCGAGGGCACTAACACCGAAATCTCCGATTTTGCTGTGGCGCTCTATGCTGGCCTGTGGGCCTTTGATGGCTGGGACAATGTAAGATGCTTCCTTTACTCAAATCCAGTGCACATGCTAACATGAGTGAAAAGACCAATTATGTGACTGGAGAGTTCAAGAACCCCAATCGCGATCTACCTCGGGTGATCCACACCGCAATGCCATTGGTCATTTTATCCTACCTACTGGCCAATGTTGCGTATTTCCTTGTTCTTCCCCATGATACCATTGAAGCCAGCAATACTGTGGCTGTCCAATTCGGCAGCAAAGTCTTCGGTTCAGTCGGAGGTCTGGTTCTAGCTCTAGTCGTGTCTGCCAGCTGCTTTGGAGCACTAAACGCAACCACCTTCACGAGTGGTCGACTAGTCTATGCGGCTGGAAAGGAAGGCTATCTCCCTTCGCTATTTGGCCGCCTCGGCCTTCCAGGTTCGTCATCTCCAGGCCCTCCTGCTGGAAGCCGTCTGCGCAGTCGGTCGTGGGCTCGTCGGTCCGTTTCACGTGTTTTTGGCGACAATGCCCGAATTGGGTTCACTCCGATTAATGCCATGGCATTTAATGCTGCTTTGACTGCTGTTTACATTCTTGTTGGCGAATTTGCAACATTGGTCACTTTCTATGGTGTTGCCGGATATACGTTCTATTTTCTGACAGTATTGGGATTGATCGTTCTGCGCATCCGCGAGCCACACTTGGAACGACCCTATCGCACCTGGATAACCACCCCTATAATCTTCTGCTGTGTCAGCTTGTTTCTTCTCAGTCGAGCAATCATTGCCGAGCCACTCCAAACCCTAATTGTGATAGGGTTCATCATCACGGGCGTGCCGGTCTACTATTGGCGAATCTATCAACGCGACGGACGAATTGGAATGTCTGGATGGAAGTTCTGGACATGGCGCGCTCGGTAACCATTCATGTCCCTTGGACCGCGTCGCCCTGTTATGATATTTGATACTCATGCATATAATTCTGGTGTATGGTGACAAAGGGGAATGTGCGTCTTTGCAGCTGTATTTTGACATTCGCGCATCTTTCCTCAATTCTTTGCACAGCCAGTCAATGGCATATGATGTGATGACGGTGGCTTTGGGGTATTTTCCTAAGGTACCTCTGCTTCTTCTCTCTTGTTCTATTAACTTACATACTAGAATTCTACATAATCATTAATTTGCATGGATCATGTGTTCGTTGCTCGAGGACTTCCAAGTTTCTATTCAAGTGTTCACTAATATATATGCTTGTGTATATGTATTCAATAGGCAAAAGGTGACAAGCGAAGTTGTGCAGTATGAGCGGGTGAAAGAAGAGGCGAATCAATTGGTACAAAACTCTTTTAGGACTTATAGGGCTTCCAAGGTTTCGCCTCTTCTCTCCGCTTCGACTTCCATCCCTATCCTTCACTTGTTCTTTGATCGCAATTCTTTTGTCCAACCTCTCACTTTATTCCACTTACTCTCTGCTTATCTCGCTTCTGATCAGTCCACGTCTCGTCCCCAACATGTCTTTTTTCTTCGGTGGCTACGTTGAAAAACATGACAACAAGTTCTGGTGTCGGATTTGTGGGGAATGGTTCAGCAACCAGGAGAAAATCTTGAAGCACTGCTCCAATACCGACAAACATGAATGGTGTCCGACCTGTGAACGCGTTTTTATGACCAACGACTCACTTCTTCAACACCAGGAAGATTCTTTAATGCACAATATCTGTTTTTTCTGTCCTGACCAACCCGACTTTTCAGATGATGACGATCTCCAGATTCACTTTGAAGACGACCACCATCACTGTTTTGACTGCAACGAAGTTTTTGATACCGATGAGCTATTAAGCGCACACAATATTGCAGAACATCATGGATGCCCGATTTGCGGTCGGGGATTTAATAGACGGCTTGCTCAGGAATCGGTATGTTAGCATGCAATTGAATGATTGATTTACCTTTTACCCTTGCAGAATTGCAGAACCTACTTGCTGACGCATGAATCATGTTGCCATATTTCCTAATAAACAGCATATGAGATCTCACGCTCCTCGTGAATTGAAATGTCCTTATTGTGACCGTGAATCTGTACGCTTCTCCAGCTATCTTCGCCATCTCGATTGCGGTCCCTGTGGATCTGAGAATCGAATCTACAAACTTGCATTCGAAGCACCTGGTGGGTACGAGAAATTCTACGACACCAAATGGCTCTGCAACGTCTGCTGTCGGCAATTTGATAATCCATCTGGACTTTTTTTCGCATGCGGAGGCCAGTCATGGTCCTTGCAAAGATCTTCTTGGGCCGAAGGGATGGCTCACAGCTTTGAAGGATCACTTGAAAACGGCACTATGATTTGACTGTGGTACCACAAGAAGAGCTCTAGAAAAGGGAGAGGCTGAATTCGACGAAGTGCACAAAAAAGGGTAGTTCCTGTGGTTTGGGTTCGGGAGATATTCTCATGCTATTAATAATTCTCCTGTTCAATATCTGTCCCTCCCAAAACACAACAATGTATTATTGATGAACGAATGAATGAATGGGATGGAATGGGATACCCAGTGATTATGGCTACTACTGTTCTACAAGGTTGCAAATTATGTCATTAAGTGCCACGAAGACCCATGCCATCCTTACCGATTCTTCAGCTAGGGTTCGATCAAGGGTAGAAGCAATGTAATGAGCAATGATCAATGATCATGCAGAGATTCTCCAGCTGTGCTCATCCCATCAACGAGGCAATGCATGCTGTGTCGCCCGAGATCAAGTCGGAGTTAGGGAATAAAAAGCGACGGTGACAGTTGAGATTAAGACCAAGGTGGCTCAGGAAAGAATCTTCCGAAGATGTACCATGCCAGGGTGGTTTTGGCTGATTTTCTTCTCTCCTTTCTTCTTTTCTTGTGTCTTTTTCTGTCCTTTCCTGTCTTTAAAAAGAACCAGATACACCATAAGCCTCTAGATGAATGAGGCATGAGTTATTTATGACCAACCCCGAGTAGTAGATGACCAGACTCGTATAGAATCGTGTTGAAAACCAGCATCTGAAATACTTCCCGGCTTGTGTGACCGCGCACACTGCCTGTTTTCGGGATAAGCTTCTATCTTGATGAGGATGAGGGGAATGGAGAGGGGAGGGGGAGGGGTAAGTGGGAATTGGAATAAACCTATCGTGCATGGGTCAGTAAGTACCTGACAGGTGCAATCCAATCCTCCATGCATGTAACCGAGAGAAGAAGAAGTCTAAAACTTCCAATCTGCAGTGACCCAAGCCAAAGGGTGCCAAGAAAGTCAAAAACGATAAAACAAAACTCTGCCACATGGCAAGACAGGGGAACGTGAAACTATTCATAGCACTTGATGCATATGTACCTGTTGGCCCCCAAATTGTAGCCATGTGGCGCGGCGGCTAAGCAGAGACGGGATGGGATGAATCATGGCTGAAGTAGCTGAAGAGACTGGCCCCATGGAAGAAAAAGGAGGAGAGACATAGGAAATAAAAAAAGAAGAGTCAGACCGGGGGAATCCTGAATCTAGTCGTAATGGCCAGCAGTTCAACCTAGTCGGTGATCCACGCTGGCCCAAGCTGCAGGGGCGCAACGTGGGAGAATTTCTTATTTTTATTTATAGAAAAGGATGCGGCTGTTTATTACAGTAGATGAGATTGATAGTGCTGAGAAATCATGACAAGTTAACTGCATACTAGTAGTATAGTAGGCAAGTGTTAGTATACAGATCTATTCTTAGTACGGAATCTGACATGGTTCAACTTGGATTTCCCTAGAAACTATCCAGATGAATAAACATGATCCTATTCTATAAACTAAGCTAGTCTAACACTAATAATTAAACTAGTACTGTATGTCTTGTCTCTCCGCGGGATCTGAGCTGCGCCCACCCGATTTTGGTCCGATCAGCCGAGACGTTAAAGCCCAAGTGTTTCATCTTGCGATGCTGGAGGTGCGTTTCATCAGCTGAAAGTTTCTTGGGGGTGAAATGACCAAGAAAAAACGTGGGAAAGGGTGGGAAAACCTGCATTGATCATCATCATCATCATCTTATTCGATCATTATTAATACTGTCTTATTTGTTTTTATTTTTTATTTTTTTTTACCAATCTACTAAGATCATCAGCTCCATGTATACTACAGCATCGGGGCGTTCCATCTATCCAATAACCCTCTACTTTATCTTTTCTTCTTTTTCTTCTTTCTATCTTTTTCGTCTTTATTTATTTATGTATTATTAATTTTTTCTTTTTTTTTTCTTTCTTCCCGCATAATCTTCCATTGTATCTCACTGGATCCTACATAGATCTGACCGCGGTTGTTTCCTCTTCTCCTATGGGCTGAACACAACTGGACCCATGGAGTCCTGAGTCAGACCTGCACGCCCGGTTTCTACGGTTTCGCCTGTTATTCCAGGGGTTCGTCTAGAACATTACTGAAATGGGACCAAATGGATCAACTAGAGTGGTGGAAAACATTGGGCCTGAATGATTCACTCGGCGCTTCTCCCTTTCGAGACAGACGGCCCAGCTGCACGCTAGGTTGGGGGTTACCCGGTAGCCAGGTAACCTTGAAAGAGGGAGAGAAGAAGAGAGCACGCGAGAGAGAGAAAAAAAAATAGATATATAAGGATAAGGCCGCGTGGAGACAGAGAGCTTGGATCTACACTCAATCCAAACTACACTTCCAACATCGGGACAGTCGAACCTTGCAAGATTCATACATCTTCAATAGTACTTCATACTTCATAGTACTACTTCAACTATCACCACCTTCTACGCCTTCACCATTTGGAACCTGTTTGCCCATTCATACCTATTACATCTCGTGAAGAGATCTAAATCTATTTCACCGTCTACTCAAATCATCATCACTATCGTTGCCATGGGTCGTGGAGGCTACAACTCTCCTGTCGGCAAGGCAGATGAGACCACATCAACAACCTCATCCAACTGAGCATCTCCATCTTCGCTATTAAACCAGCACAGCCGTGGAACATCTCAACTAAACTCCAACCATCATCCAAATCCCCATGAGCATGGATACATTCGACATACTACTATCCAGTCGACTCTTCAGACCACAGGCATCTCACCTGCACCATCCTTACCAACCATGTTGGTTTTTTATTTTTGATGCGGGATCTTCGACATTCTCTACAATCCAGAGCAAAACAGCCCACGCAAGATGGCTGCTCAATGCCAACTTTGGATCTATCAAGATTCTTCTTCGCTTCTTTCTCCTACTGGCCCATAGCGGACAGCTGGTGTCAAGGGGAGGACGCACAGAACCATGCATTATGACTATCGGTGGAACGGGGGCATCTTTTTTTTCTCTCTTTCCTTTCTAATTATTTTGTATAGATTAATAGAATAGACTTCATAGACGGGATGTACGAAAAATATCGGATAGGGATGGATAACTGTTTGTATGATAGAATTTTGTTTTATTTTCTTTACTCTTTACATAGATCGATGCTGGACACCATTTGGATCCGAATATTAATTTTAATATTTATCATCTTTCAATTACTCTGTATTCTGCGACCCTACTAGGTCTACCTTGGCAACTCTAAGCTTAAAAGACAAGGAACCACAAGACAGTAAGAAGAAGACGAAGAATCTGCGCAAATATGTGCATATCTATAAGACAACGCTCACAGACAGAACAGAACACAAGAATGGTCAAGGAGGCAAAACATCACACGGGAGATGCAATCCGATGACAGTATTCATCAGTCATGACGATACATTCATCGTTCATGACTAATGGAGCGTGAAGAGGGATAATGAAAAAAAAGGTATTTACAAGGATAGAGATCGAAAATGCGAGAGGTGGCAAGGTGATGGAATGCGAATATGTCGTGGAAAGGACCAAAAGGAAACAGAAATGACTCATGGGAAACCATAGAACCAATGCTATCATATCATGTCGCCATACTTGGACTCATCACGAGGTGTAAAAGGAAATGGCGCGGGTCAAGGAGTGGGTATTATACATTCGAGAAGTAGGTCAGGTCAGGAATTTTGATGTAGAGTATGAGGGTGAGGATTAAAAAAATTTCAAAAGAGGGTTAAAAAAGAAGACTGAAAGAGTATCAAAAAGAATCTTTCAAATGTTAGATTAAAGAAATCAGGATTGAGTTCGGTTCTCAATCTGACAATTCAATCGGATGGTTGGCAGAGGAACCGTCCGTAGGTTCTTGTGATGAGGACTCATGCTGCTCTGAGACAACGATAGAGGGAGGTTCTGTCGATGGAAAATACTCCGATGGAGGGCTTGGTAATGCACCATCCTCTGCACCTATAGAGCCGGTTTGTGAGGGAGAAGCAGGCTCTTGAACTGTTGGAAGGCCACCATCGGCACTATCTTTACTGCCGGTCGTAGCACCCTGGCGTCGTCGTGCATTACGACGGTTACGACGCTCATCTTCAGCACTTTCTCTTCGTCGCCGTTGGCGCTCAGCACCCGCATCAGAGTTGCTTCTCAACCCCATGAGCATGCTAGCTGCGCGGTCGGCAACGTCTTCGCCTTCAGATACTTGTGCCTCTTTGGATTTCTCTTCTCCTTCCTCGGGAAGGGGGGACTCAGAAGGCCGTTTTCATCAACATGGTTTTCCCCATTAGTGGGCTGTTCAGAGGCGACATCGCCATCCTCATCAGGCGGCTTTGATCCAGAGGCCACGCGAACTTGATGACGTTCCTTTAGGCGAGCACGACGACGGCGATCGCGCACATCCTTCGTTTGAGGGGCGGCGGCACGTAATTTCTCCAACAAGGAGTCCATAGCACCACTTGTAGCGGGCGAATTTGGCTGCTCAACCGCAGGAGTGCCGTTGGCAAGGTTGACATTGACCCGCTTGCGAGCGAGAGATGCTTCAGTACGCTTCCTAGCCTCCTCAAGTCCAATATTCTTCTCTCGTGATTTCTATAGAAACATTAGTAAACGATTTTGATTCAGACAGAAAGTGGATCAGATAAGACTTACCTTCCACTCAAGCAAGAAGGAAGCCAGCTTTGCGAAGAAGTCTCGTCGGGCGTTTTCATCGCCATTGTCTTCGCCGTAGAAGACCATGATATCATCATAAGAATTGGACATTTCATCGAGGTATAGCTGCAGCTGCTCAGCCTTGCGGCGTGCGTCCTTCATGCTCCGTTGAACAATCTGACTGACACGGTCCTGGGGGTGGAACTTCTTGGGGTCGCTCAAGTTACCCGCGTCCAAGCTAGACTGGACATTCTTGACGTTGCTGATGTACTTCTTGGCATCGGTGCATAGTTGGTCCACGTTAATTTTCTGGAGGCCGACGACACCATTAATCTCCTCAAAGAAGCTCTCCCATTCGGGGTACTGATTGCGCACAATACGCTCCACCAAGTCGGCGAAAGTGGTCTCATTCTTGTCATCCTTGACCATACCAAGGCGAGCAAGCGAACTGAGCTTGAAACCCTGTGCTTGCTTATTGGCATCGTTCATGAAGTTTCCAATGTCCAAAATAAGACCGAGAACATTCATTAAAGCAACAGAATCTCGCAGAGATTCGCTGACGGTGACAACCTGTTGTAGTTTGGAGGATATTTCTTCATATTCATGCTCAAAGGAGCGCGTCAATGAAAGAGCTCGCATTCTGGCCTTCCAGTAGTGATTTAGCTCATAAGCGGTAGCCAGATAAATTTGGTCTTCGCGGGTGAGCTCGATCGGATCTTGTTCACGTTCGGAACTGGTTGCACCTGGGACAGTCCAATCCCGACTGTATGGTGCCATCAACTTTGAAACGTTCTCCGGAATCGTACACATCTCGTCTCTTTGCAAGAAGTCCATAACCACCATATTGTCCAACATGTCTCGGTCACAGTGGATGATCATGCGAACCACATCATCTGGAGGATACTGAGAAAACTTCGAAAGGGCGATTTGGAAGTTCTTGGATAAGTCGTTGGAAATGACCTGTTTCTTGTCCTTGCGCTGCTTGGTTGCAGTGCTAGCCCCAAATATCTTGGTCTCCTTGGCCATGAAAAGTCGCTCAACCTCGTCAAGTACACCTCTCTTGGCAAGATCGGTATATTTTTCTTCTTTCTCTTCCGCGGTTGGGGCATGGCCTGCCCAAACTGTTACTTGAGGAGTATCCACTTTATCCCAGTGCAAAGCCTTGAGCTTCTTCTTGGGGCGAATAAAGGGCATGTGGGTAGTAGTCGGGCCAGCCTCGCCAGCCATGTACTTGGGTCGCCAGCCAGAACCCAATGGAGCGTTGGGTGGAGGCGGGGGCGGAGGTGCAAAGCCACCAGGGCCCGGAGGCGGAGGAGGGGGCGGAGCACCAATGGAACCCCCTGGGGGCGGAGGCGGAGGGGGGAGACGGAGACCCCCGGGCCTGGCTCCGCCGGGTGGAGGAGGGGGTGGAGGAGGACCAGGAATACCCTTTGCACCACCTGGGGGAGGGGGCGGTGGTGGTAAGGGGATAGAACTGCCTCCTGGGGGAGGTGGAGGTGGTGGGAAGGGGATGGAGCTGCCTCCTGGAGGTGGAGGAGGAGGAGGAGGTGGTGGTGGTGGAACGATAGCAGTCGCACCACCCGGGGGAGGTGGAGGGGGCGGCGGAGGCATTGCTTTTTGGTCTGCCTCTGCCTTTGGTTCGGGCTTCGGGGCTTCTGTGGGAGTAATATCTCCGGCAGTAGCCTCGTCCGCAGTGCCTGTTGACTCTGAGCCTTCGTCGTACTTGGGGACTTTGAGGGCTAGCTCGCCTAATAGGCCAGTTGCTTGCGCAGGGTTCATACGCGGCCGGTAAGAGTCAATCATGTTACGAGGCTGTTCATGAGCCATCTCGTCACCTTCTTCAAGAATAGTTGGCACTGTGCCGTCAGGACCCTGGTCCATATCGGGCACATGACTTCGCTTGCGATAGGCGGATCCCAACGAACCGGAGTCCAAGGTACGACGGGCTTGTTCAGCGAATTCCTCGCTCGAATCGCCTTGGCCTTGGTCGTCCATCTTCTCACGCAACTCACGAAGTCGATCGGATGGGCCATGCTGACCCCAAACCTTACCTTCCAGCTTGAACTGAGTCTTAGTTCTCTCGAGCTGGCGCTCCAGTCGCTCCATAAGACGTTCTCGATCCATAATTCCAGGCATCTGCGATGGATCGCCTTCACCTGACTGGTTGTTCTTGCGGGCGTTTGAAGCAGCGATGTCCTGAGCATCCCGGAGCATCAGATACAGCTCTCGAGTCTCCAGTTCATTACGTTGTAACTCCTGAGCACGCAGACGTTGGACCTCCCCAACCTCGGCCTTCATAGATTCGTTTTGACGAGTTTGAAGCTCAATGATGCCAGCTTGCTCCTCAATCTGCTTCTGCAGTTTCTTAACCAAGCCATCAGCCCCAAGCTCCACTTGAGATTTCATCTCATCGCGTTCAGCGATAGCGGCCTCGGCAATCTGACGAGCCTCCAAGGACTCATCGTAAACTCGCCTTGCCTCGGCGTCTGTGTGCAGTCGATCCAAAAGGCTTTGCACCGTGAAGTTCAAGCCCTGACGTAGGTCAAGGTCTGGAAGCCTTCGGTCCATGGCAACATAGCTCATCATGGCATCTACCAGCTGAAACATGCGCAACCCCTCTTCACCGGCATTCTCGCGGATCAGAAGCATATGCTGCATTGCTGACAAGAAGTAGTCATGAGTCCGAGTGCCATTGATCTTGGTTGCAATTGCATCCGCAATTTGAAGAGGATCACTCATGTCTTTCACCTCGCCTTCAACACTATCCTTAATACTACTACCCTCCCGCTGGAGCAGATCCTCATAGTCGATTGCCTCATTTTCCCGGAAGCGTTCAATCTGTTTGTCGATAGCGTCATACTGGAATCCTTCCATCTTAGTCAAGAGACGCTTGACTCCACATGATGTGAATTGGGCTCGAATATGGCATCGCAATTGAAGGTCGGTTTCGGCTCCATCCACCAACATGTTTATGAGCATCATAGTGGACACAGCATACTCCATCAGAAGATTCTCCATGCCAATACCTCCACTGCGGTACTCCTCACTGGCACCGACTAAACTGCCCATCTTGCCACGGCCATCAATGGTAACCTCGACAATTCGCATCCAGGCGTCGAAGCGGCCAGTTTCATTATGGTCGTGCTTGACCTTGTCAAAGGCCTGAAGAACTTTCAAATGACCTTCTCCCTCGGCCCAGTGGGACAGGAAAGTCAGCACTTCACTAACAAGTTTCCGAGTATTAAGGCGAGGAGATGCCAGAGAGTTGACTAGGGCTGTAAGAACACCCTGGTGCTCGAGTGCATCATCGGCACCATATTTGTTGTTCATAAGACATTTCAAACATTTAGCGATATCGTATTCGCGATCGAGATCCTTGTCACCTGTCGGGGGAGCGGGCACCGGCCCAGATGCTTTTCGTCGATTGATCTTTTGAAGAACATTTGTTAGGGCCACTTGACCTTGGGCCTCAACAAAGGCTTTTACCCAGCTATGTTCAACATCAGTATTTGCAGTCAAGGTAGAGGATGCCGAGCGAGGCTAAACCGGGGGGGGGGGGATCTTACCTGATCGGCTGCGTCCGCAAACTGACACTCAAACTAGCAAGTTGTTTGGATGTAATGGTATCATCCATCACCTTCTTCACATACCACTCCGGGCTACCCTCTTCATCTGCCCGTTCCAAAAGACCAGACAGCCCGTCATGACCATGAGTTTGACGAGCGTTTTGCCTTCTCTTCTGCTCTCCTTGTAACTCTGTCAACCGGTCTTGATGAACCAATGTCCACTTTTTCGACGCCGGATACGACATCATTTGTCGTTTGGCCTGCTCCGGAAGATTTTGCCAACCTCGCTTGTTCATCAATTCAAGGAATAATTGATCAACGATACGATCATCTCGAGGTCGGGTAAGGTATTGATCGGGTGGACGAGGCACGGCTGCGGGGATAGGTTGCGCCGCTTGCCAGTTAGACTGAGCGTTGGATAGCCGGCCTGCACTCCCACTGGGAGGCATCGCATTGCGGTCGCTTGAATGCGAAGTTGTGAGTGTGCGGCCGGATCCATCAGATGTATAGAAGGCGTTGGAGCCGCGGGTATTAGACGAATGAGAGGAATATAAGCTAGCTTGGTCAAGCGAGGTCCGGGAATTTGAAGAAGAATCAATCGAGGAGTTATGGCTCATGCCAGTATTGGCAGCAGAGCTCCCCGGACGTCCCCATTGTTGATATCTAGCTCCACGGTCGCCAGATGTACTGCTCGTCATTGTCAAGTTCGAACCATGCGGGGGAGGGCGGGGGCCGGAGGGGTGTGTCGCTGAACCATTTGGTGCAGATGATGAGGCCCACCCCGGAAATGCATGGGAATCGGAACCGGACTTGCTCAAATAGTTTGTAGAGCTCTCATGGCGCGAGTCGGGTCGGGCCATGTGATCGATGGGAATGGGTGTTCTGGTATCCGAAGGAAGACTTTCGAAGGGAAGAGACGTAATACCGGGTGCGGGCGCAACGTTTGCTGGATCGAAATCTTGTGTCATATCAACTGACTGTATAGACGAGCGTTTTGAATAACGAGACGATCGAGAACCGGCGGCGCTCCCTGGCGGGGCTAAACTGTCGTAGGAACCACCATACCCATCGTACCGTTCATCCGTTCCCTTGTCTTTGTACAGTTTCCTCCCAAAAAAGGACTTCCCAGCTGAGGTTTGCCTGGAGGTCTTGTCGGCATTCGCGGGCATGTTGGTGAGAGTGCGAAGTGGCAGGACGCAGCATTAAGGGCGCCCCTCGCACACTATCCAGAAATTACCGAGTCGTTTGATCAAATCGAGGAATTCGTTAATCTTCGTGATGGCAGATCGCCAGATATCCGGAAAACGAAAGCGAGAACATCCACCGTGATGCAAGGTGGTTTTGGGTGCTGAAGTCCCTCCCTTGGGCCTCCGTTAGTATATCCGTGGTGTGGTTGTTATGATGATGCGCGGAGAAATATAGGATTGTTTTCCTTGTCGAAGATCGCACACCATGTAAGGGAAAGGATCTCTCACCGGCAAAGAATGAATAGGGGAGAGGGGAAACCGAAAATGCAGATATGCAGCGAGTCCAGGGTCGATCAAAGCACGGGCTTTCTATCACTCTTCAGTTAGGGGATCATTATCATTATTCTATTTAGGGGCTTGTCACCTGTGCTTAGTCACCCCTGTCACTTAGGCTGTCCGCACGTGAGGTCACGTGCTGTCTGGGGAAGATCCACGGAACGCGTGCTTCATGTTCTTTACTAACTGCTCTTTCATCTGGGAATTGGATTTTATTTTAATTGGATATCATTTGGACCATATGATTCCAGACAAAGAGGTGATGTCTTACGAATTTCTCTCGTGTGGGGGTTGAAATTAAACGAATCCTTTGTCCGTGGGGTATTCTGCAGCCTTCGGGACGATCTACTTCTCCCCCTGATACCCAGAACACCCGGTAAACATCTCCGCTATCTTATCCCCGAGGCACCAGAACCCAAAAATCATCACAGACACTCGCCCGTGATTTGGAGAGTGTCTAGGCACTATTGGCCTCTTCAAAATGGGCTCAGGCTACGCAAAGGTTGGTAAATACCGCTATCTCTATCTCCCCTTGATGGAACCTTTGCAGCCTAAGCCTTGTTCCCTGGCCAGATGAACTGATTTCAACTTGTCCACTCCAGACTATTTTAATAACAGGATGCATTGCGCTCACATTCTATGTTCTCATCTCTTTCCTGATTATTCCGATCTTCCGACGCTACCACCAACGATATTCCCAATACCTTCCTCTACATAGCATCTCCGCGCATACCCTTTCCCTACGAGATCGCATGGCTGACGCAGTCATGCGCTTTTTTCTTCCACGGTCATGGCAACCGGGTGCCCACATGGAGGACCACGCCAATATTGACATTGATGACGATGAAGGGGAGCTTATGCTTGGGATGGGTATGGATGCCGCGCGTCGAGAAGCCTTGGAGCGACGGCGCAGTACCGCCCCAGATACCCAAAGTCGACTGAGTCGAGAGTTGGAGGAGGGCTTCATGGATGATAGCGACGACGAACACAATGAAAATAATGGACGCAGTGGACGCTAAGGTGGGGGTTCACAAGTCTAGTCTGTGTTTTATTTTAAGATATTTGGTCATGGGCGGCGTTCTCCTTTTGTTTGTTGTCAGCAACTTTTTTGTCTTGACACGATTCAGCCATACATAGTAGCTGTTGAACAGGCTTTGCATTGGGTACTTGGCGTAGCCAGAGCTACCTGCACATTCCAAAGTTATGTACATGATATAATCCTGCTATACCCATTGCCCATAACCAGGTTAGGTCTATAACAATTGTCTACGTAGCACGTATCACAGTTGTAAGTTAATTAGCACATGGTACATGGCATCTTTCTACATAGCGCACTTTTTGCATACATGATAAAATAAACTATAAGCGGGCCCATCAAGCCTCTAGACCCGTTCCATTCTATTCTAAGATGGGATTTTCCGCCGTTTCGCTAAGATCGACAGTCTTCAGAGCCCCACCTGATCGTCGCACAGAGCACTGCTTCATACATACCCATGCCTTAGGGGATAAATGGAATACAACGTGTAAGCTAAAAAAAAACTGGAAGTTCAAGTTATGAATATTTCATTTCATTGGTATCGTAAATGCTGCATTTTCCGCAATATCCAAGCCTTCCGAAGAGCAAGGTGGAAGAAATATGAACAATCGAAAGAAAAAAGAAAATTAAAGAAACTCATGCGCATCAAATCAGGGACTATAGTTTTTGTTCTCATGCAAGCTTAGACCAGGCTTTGTTTGTTTTACTTGCGCTGGCCGTAAGCCTTGGTAGCGTAGTCACCCTGGTGGACGATCAAGTCCTGAGGGCGGTAGTCCTGGCGGCCGGAGAAGTAGCTGTCCAAGATAGCCTTGGTACCGTTGGCGTAACGGACCTGAGCATCGATGGAAGTACCGGACATGTGGGGAACCATGGCGTTACCACCGCCCCATGGGTGCTCGGCGTAGCGCAGAGGGTGGTCCTTGGGAGCAGGCTGGGGGAACCAGACATCACCACCGTATCCGCGAAGGTGGCCAGACTTGAGGGCTTCAGCAACATCCTCCTTGACAACAATAGCACCACGGGCGGTGTTGACGAGCCAAGCACCGGGCTTCATCTTGGAGATCAGCTCCTTGTTGAACAGACCACGGGTCTTCTCGTGCAGAGGGCAGTTGATGGTGACAACATCACACTGAGCGAGCATCTCCTCGAGGTCCTCAACACGGCGGCAGCCAATCTCCTTCTCGACCTCAGCGGACAGAGGCTGGTAGTCGTAGTAGAGGAGCTCCTTGCAGTCGAAGGGCTTGAGACGGCGAAGGACACGCTCACCGATACGGCCGACAGCGACGGTACCGACGACCTTGCCCTCAAGGTCGTACTCGTTCTTGGCGACGGCGGCAACATCCCACTCGCCGTTGCGGACCTGGTCATGGGCGGGGACGAAGTTGCGAACAAGAGTCAGGATGGTCATGACGACGTGCTCAGCGACGGAGACGACGTTGGAGCCAGTAACCTCAGCGACGGTGATACCACCGTTGGTCTTGTTGGCAGCGTTGAGGTCAACGTGGTCGGAACCGATGCCAGCAGTGACGGCAAGCTTCAGGTTCTTGGCCTTGGCCAGACGCTCAGCAGTCAGGTATCCAGGGTGGAAACTATCAATAATATTAGCAAATGTCGTAATATGAAAATCCTTTATGGGAGGGATGCGAACGGAGTGGTGATGATGACCTCAGCGTCAACGAGCTCCTTGTCAAAAGTAGAGTTCTCACCCTCCTTGTCGGAGGTGGTGACCAGAGTGTGGCCAGCATCCTCGAGCCACTTGCGGATACCGAGCTCATTCTCAGTGGTACCCAGCAGAGCAGGCTGCTGCTTGGAGTGCTCACCACCCTATATCATAGATCAGCAATATTCCAGGGAGGGATTAAATGAAGTCAATTGGAGGATTACTCACGTCGTACAGAACAAGAAGAACTTTACCCTGGAGGTAGGCAGATGCGGTTAGCGTACGTGCATTGGCAAAGGCACCAGTGGGCCGAGCAAAAGTGTTGGTGGCGAGTATTGGCTTGGAATTCCCCGAGAGGAACTGGGTAGCAGGCCGTCGCAATTGACGGGAAAGGGAACGAATAAATACCATTTTGAAGTATGTGTGTGTAATCAAGAAGATTTAATGTGAAGATGGAAGAGTGAAAATAAAGCTGTGAAAGGGGAGTTAGCGGGACCATTTTATATATTGATTTCGATGAAGTCAACGAGGGCAGAAATATTGGAGAAACCAGCTAATGGGAGCGGGGGAGAGAGTGGGGAACAGCCTGCAGGTGATTTGTGTAATGACACTTGAAGTGTAATGAAACATAAGGGGGAAGCCGAGTAACCGATCCACTTACCCGTTATTCAAGTAAAGAAGAGTTAAGTTTGTGAAGAGAGTTGAGAAGATGTATTTTGCTTGGGTTTGGGACCAGTATTATATAGGCAAACTCCCCTCCCCTCTCCAACGCAGCCCCCTCTTTCTGCCATGCATTGTACAAATCATCAAATAAAGTGGAAAGCCTGTGTTTTGCGGCAAGCGGGACCACGGGAGGGTGACCGGTCGGATGGGGAACTGTAACCACTCAAGAGAGTGGAAACCTCTCCGCATGAGGGACAGGAGGGGGAAGCCAGTTTCTGGCTCGTGTGCAGCTAAAACTGTAATCTTGGATTCTTGGTGATCCTCGTATGAGCGATCATGGTCCGTGCATTAGTGCGATGATACCTACGTAGGCTTCCCTGGTGGTCTGATACTCCCAATATACAATGTGCGTTGATCATACATATGTATCATTGTATAGATTTACAATTATGGGAGGGGCATGCGGGGAACCTCATTTTTGGGGAGAGCGGCTCTTGCGACCGGACTCTCAACCAAGACGTCATGTTCTATGAAGCCCAACCCTGTAGTACTGTCCGTGTAGGGTGTACAATGTGAACGCCGAGAGTATCCCGATGCTTGTCGGCTCTGTCAGCTCGTGTATGTCTCTTCTCGTGTACATGTATGTCTTTGTGGCTCCAATAAAGTTCCAAATTTCAAGCTGGTTTCCCACGCTAAACTACTTTGGGATAGCCCCCCCGCAGTGAGGGGTTGATTATCTAATGAGGGGTAAAAGCTTGTGGATTTTTTTTGTTTGGTAAAGAGGAAAACAAGATATGAACAACAAAAGAAAGAATCCCAGTCTGGCTTTAATGAGAATCAAGGCCTCGGCTCCCAGTACAGTCATCTCCGTGGAGGTAATAAAAGATGCCATGATCCCGCCGGAGCTTAGGAGACGGATTCCCTTTCTCCGCCGAAGTTCGGCCTCTGAATATTTTCTCCAATTCCGATAGACCCGCTCCTCATCCACACGTCCCCTTCTCCGATGAGGAGAGTGACCTTGTTGGGGATGCTCACCCTCATGGATCCACCGTCAAAATAATATTTCAATTGCGAGGCTGTGTTTCCGGGTTTCGTAGCCTGTTCGAGAATTTGGAGTCGCTCAATGGATTCTGTTCCACAAAAGGAATTGGGCGCCGCGAATGCCTCATGTTCACTTCTGAGGTTTTTTTTTTTCTTGCCGATGATTCAATTTCTGGTCAGCCCTTCACGAAGGTCGTCTACTTGCGACAGACGGTCTCCCAAGAGGACTCCAATCTCCAACCCGATCGGCCATTCAGATTATACATCAAGTAGCGAGCGCAAGCTATGCGGTGGCCACGAGCTGCTTGAATCTCCAAATTCTCAATAAATGGCACATCTCCATTACCAACAAAAAAGCATTGGCCAAGGAATTTCCGAGAGCCGAGACGGAGAAGACATCGTCAAATCTTCTGGACTAACATTAGCAGGAATTGAGAGCTCAAGTCGCTTTCCTAGTTCGCGGCAGTGACAGGCCATGCTTCTGCCAGTGACAACAATTGCGCAGTGAAACAAAAATGAAACATCTAATTTCTAGGGATTAACATACATCAAGTGCCCATCCATGCCCCCTTTCCTTAAACCCCGGTCGCTCGAAATGAACCCGAACTCGCGCGGATCATGCGAACAATAGAAAGTGGACTTACTCAAAACCGCAGCGGGGAACAACCTTTTTGGCACAACCCCCCAAATCACCTCGAAAGAATATCGCTCTTGTTGAATTATGAATCAGCATCATGACTATCATCCATCTTACAATCACGATTGCGCGTTCAAACTATCACCGGGTCCCAAAATGAGCTTGCTCAAACTTCAGCTGGTCGCAAAGGAGAGACAGCCCCGCCAAGCCGAGTGAAAGTGCATGATCGTACAGCAACAGAACCTGAGAATGATGTAGTTGGTTGTTTGAAATGAAGATATCACACTTCAGGCAGATATTGGAATTGGCATCCAATATTCCAAGGTTTGAGGGTATGTATTTCGATCGGATAGATGAGCTAATATATATATACCCAGCACTTGGATAGAAGGCTACCCAGAGTCGAAATATACAGGAATTCGTCTATCGTACGGAATAAAATCAATAAAAGTCCATTTTCATTCTCTACAGCACTGCGCCTTCACTTAATTCAGATAAATAGTTGCAGCGAATGCACAGAATAGTATCTGTTAAACCTGGCTAATCACACGCTGCGATTGTTAATCCGTTTATCTCCGCTCGGACACTCGGAGATACGCAGTTCACGCTCTCGAAGCCGCAACATTTCTTCTAATCCCCTTTCCACCTTTACCATTCCTTCTTTCCGAGCGTTCTATTCATACTATCTTCATTATACAATAAACAACAATCCCCATGCCTTTGAGATTGCGGGCATCACCATTTGTGCAGCCCTTTGCGCGCGACTGCATAATACGCGACCACCCCAGCCCCAATTTCTACCGACTCTTGTCAAGCACCCCACGACGCCAAAGTAGGCTTCGCGCTCGCCTTGAAATTCCTCCTCCATTTCCTGTCACAAAAACATGCCCTGAGACTACATGCAACTGCCCATCCACGCCATCCATACCCGAGGGGTTACCGATCGATTATGAACAAGCATTGAATGGGACAATGGCTGCGTATGCGCAGCAGCTCTTAGTCTGCACCGGGCAAAGAGATTGGACGAGCCGAATCGAGAATGATGGAGAGAACCAGGGCTGGGGAAACCTTGTGAGAGGCCTTAAGAAGCTTCTCGGTCGTGGGGGACCATACCTCGATGTATGTGGCTAATAGGCTCCATTACTGCATGAATTATTTACTAACTAAATTACTTTCCCATTTTAGCCATTCAACAATATTCTTGTTACTGCTTCTTCTATTTCACCTGCTTCGAATAGTCCCTCCGCTGCCTCAGGTATCCTCTTCCCAAGCTTCAAATACATCCCCTCGATCCCAACCGAAGTCCTCTCGTCCTCTGATGCCACCGACCTGAGAACATTTGTTCGTGCATTTCTCCTCCCAGAACGACTACACGATATGCACTCATCTCTACCAGACTCGAAACAGATCGACATGGCAAGAGCTCCCACATTGGCATCAAATTTCCTCGGTACCGTGGATATTGAACACTCGCCGACCATTCTTATCTGCGGACATGGAGGTCGCGACATGCGCTGTGGCGTCATAGCCCCTGCACTCGAAAAAGAATTTGAACGGGTATTAAAAGCACAAGGGTTTACCTCCGCCGGAAGCGATGGCACGACAATTGATGATCCCAAGCATGCAAACATTGGTCTGATCAGTCATGTCGGTGGCCACAAATACGCTGGCAATGTCATTGTTTATATTCCACCAAAGATGACGATCAACGGCTCAGAACCTCATCCACTAGCAGGTAAAGGAATCTGGTATGGCCGTATAGAACCTAAGCATGTGCAGGGTATTGTGGACGAAACTGTTTTTGGCGGCAAAGTCGTGACAGATCATTTTCGCGGTGGTATTGACCGGAATGGAGACATTCTACGGTTATAGAGAAGGGAGATATGGAGCATCCACTGTACATTTTGTATGATTATTGTATATTCAAGACGAATAGATACGAGAATAGACCCTCCCATCACAACTTTGGAAATATGTTGATCCCAATATCAAAGACATACGTCAGCCTAGGTGACTTCATAAAGTCTGGATGGCAGCAATTCGGACAATTTATAAGCTATTCGTACAGAAAGGCGACCTCGCTATTCATACCACAGACTATCCGACCCAGTATATGACTTTGAATATTATCAAACGAGACAATGGGTATAGATAGCCTTAAGCTGTCTCTTTACGGCGCTCTTGTATGCACTGGCGCTAGTCCCGATCGGGACTAAGCCTGGCGGGCTCCGGGGAAGTTTTGATGATGAAAGACGAACAATCCACGATCTTCAACTTAAAATCACCACGCGCGCCACAGCGCAAGGCTTCTTTTTTTTTTAAATTTCGATTTGACATAATGAGACATTTATAGCTATGCATACCCTATCGCGTATCCGATCGGTCTCCCTCGCCGCGCAAGTGCGGAGGTGCGCTCGCCCTGGCGTGCGCCCATTCGCTCTCCCCTTCAACACCTTTACTCGTCTTTCCACGACCACAGCAAGCACCCGAAAGCTTGATCTTCCCGCCCTAGACAAAAAATGGCAAGCAAAATGGCAATTAGACGCGACTGCACCGCAAAGCAACTCCGATTCAACTACCGAGTCCAAACCGAAGTCCTATGTTCTGTCAATGTTTCCATACCCTTCCGGGACCTTGCACATGGGTCATCTCAGAGTATATACCATTTCAGATGTCCTGTCAAGATTTTATACGATGCGCGGTTATGATGTTATACATCCCATGGGCTGGGATGCTTTTGGATTGCCAGCAGAAAACGCGGCAATTGAACGAGGTGTTGATCCTGCAGAATGGACGGCGCAAAACATTGCGAAGATGAAAGCTCAATTAACGAGCATATCTGCATCATTCAACTGGGATAGAGTATGTGGTCTCAATTGAATTGGTCTTTATTTCCTTGCGAACGAGAGGATTAGCTGTGACGGTGACCTGACTCGAAATTACTATCTAGGAACTTGCGACTTCCGACCCCGAGTTTTACGAGCACACCCAACGGATATTCCTGATGCTATACGAGAAAGGCTTGGCATATCAGGCGGAGGCTCTAGTCAACTATGATCCTGTCGACAAAACTGTGCTCGCTAATGAGCAAGTTGATGCCAATGGATTCTCATGGCGGTCCGGGGCGAAGGTCGAGAAATTGAATCTGAAACAATGGTTCTTCCGGATCACAGACTTCAAGGAAATGCTATTGAAAGACCTTGACTCACTTTCTGGAGGATGGCCGGAGCGCGTCTTATCCATGCAACGAAATTGGCTTGGAAAGTCCGAAGGCGCTAAGATCAGGTTTCCGGTTGCCGTTGATGGGACCAATGTACATGTCGATGTGTTTACCACACGGCCAGATACCCTATATGGCGTTGAATATTTGGCTCTTTCACTAGATCACCCGATTGTTCTGAGTGCGGCCGAGAAAGATGCTTCCCTTCGCAAGTTTCTGGATGAAGCAGCGTCTCTTCCGCCTGACTCGAAGGCTGGGTACCGTCTCACAGACGTGACGGTCACGCATCCTTTGCTCAAAGTTGACGAAAGTACTTCACACTTGGAGAGAAAGCTGCCTGTCTTTGTGGCGCCATATGTTCTTAGTGATTATGGTGAGGGTGCAGTTATGGGTGTGCCGGGCCATGACGCTAGAGATATGATGTTTTTTAAAGAAAATGCAAACCCTGAGACTATCCCCGTTGTTATTGAGCCTGAGATGAAAGAAAATGACACCCAGACCATAGACATTCCCGTCAAGGATGCGAAGGCTTTCACACAGGAGGGCATTCTTACCTCACGATGTGGAAAGTACCAAGGCATGCACTCCAAGGAGGCTGCGCAGCAGATAGTCGACGATCTCAGTAACGAAGGACAGGCAAAATTTGTCGAAAGCTGGCGACTACGCGACTGGTTGATCAGCCGGCAACGATATTGGGGGGCTCCTATTCCCATTATTCACTGTCATGAATGTGGTCCTGTCCCTGTACCGGAAGAAGACCTGCCAGTCAAACTGCCCAAAATTCAAGGCGAATGGCTGAAGGGCAAAAAAGGCAACCCCCTGGAGTCTTCTGGGGAATGGCTTCACACGGAGTGTCCGAGTTGTGGAGGACCAGCAAAGCGTGATACTGACACCATGGACACATTTGTGGATTCATCTTGGTACTATCTCCGTTTTCTGGACTCGGCAAACAAAGATGCACCATTCTCGCCTTCGTCCGCGCGGCCAGTGGATATCTACATTGGCGGCGTCGAGCACGCTATTCTACATCTACTCTACGCTCGGTTCATTTACAAGTTCCTTGCTCAGTCGAAGCTATTTCCGGATTCCAACTCTGCTGAAAACTCAATAGCAGAGCCTTTCAAGGTACTTCTATCCCAGGGCATGGTGCATGGTAAGACTTTCACAGAGCCATCTACCGGCCGATTCTTGCTTCCTGATGAAGTGGATATCACCAAACCCGATAAGCCCCTCATCAAGGGTACTGATATCACCCCCAATGTTTCCTTTGAAAAGATGTCAAAGAGTAAACACAACGGTGTTGATCCAACTGCCTGCGCATCCAAGTACGGCGCAGATGCCGCCCGTGCTCAAATTCTCTTCTCGGCACCAGTCAGCGAAGTGTTAGAATGGGATGAAACCAAGATCGTCGGCATTGAGCGTTGGTTTGGTCGTCTTTGGAAGCTCGTCATCGACGCGCAACAGACTCTGTCTAACACATCGTTCACTATTCCCGTGGGCGATTTGAAGAACCCCACTGGCCATGCTATGTCTCTACCGGCATCGATCCATGAACTAAGCGACTCCGATGCAGATGCGATCCTAGCAACCCATAATACTATCTCATCTGTCACCACCTGCATCGAGAAAAACCCATATGGCCTGAACACTGTAATCTCAGATCTGACAAAGTTAACAAACGCTCTATCTTCGGCCCCACCCTCCTCACCTCTTGTCTCCTATCTATCAATCTCTGCTCTCCTTCGCCTTTTAGCACCAATTGCGCCTGCACTGGTCTCTGAGTCCTGGGAGATGTTACATGAGTCGGTTGTTAAGCGATCAGATCCTACTGTGCCTTTACCAAGCATCTCCTCATCCCCCTGGCCTTCCACACTTCTTACCTCTGAACAAACAGAAGCACTTTCAACCCGAGGGGGTCAAACTGTGGCTGTTCAAATCAATGGAAAATTACGTTGTGCTGTGACAATCCCACGCTATCCTTCTTCGGAAACTACGCCTTCAAAGGGAAAATCCCCTACACCTACGAAGGAGGAACAAGACTGGATTATCAATCAGGTCTTGGAGACCACCGAGGGCAACCTATGGTTGCGTGAAAAGAATGACTGGGAGAACAGGCGACGAGTTATTGTTGTCAAGGGGGGTAAATTGGTGAACGTCGTGTTCTGAGTTGGTCATTTGGTTGAATTTGATGACTTTCGAGTCTAATCTCATTCCTCCAATATTGTATTTTACATGCATGAAATAGAACTGTATATACATGTATAAACAGGAACCATGATTCAATCTGAGCCTGCATATGTATTCCCAAAAACTTCATGATTGAGGATCAATAATCATTAGACTCGCTCTGAGTGACGCTAAAAGGAAACCAAGACAGTAACATGCGTAAATAAAAATTAATCTGGAGGGAGGAACGCTGATAAGTCTCTTGATGTTCATTAACTAGAGAAGCTTGATCCCCTTGAAGTCGCAGGGGTGGAAACAGAGGAAGAGAATGAGACCAAAGCATGATATGACTCGGTCAGAGGCCACAGGAGCCGTGCAAAGGCCACGGCACCAAAAACAAGTAACAAGTAATACGCAATAGTCCATCCGATGCTTAATTGATCATCTTCAACCTCGATAGGGGATCCATTGAAATCTTCCTTGCCGCGGGTCATGGGTCGGTCGAGAGGTTCGACGCCTTCAACACGGCCCCAGAAGCGTGGCAGGCCACACCAGTTACAGAAGCTGTGGACTAGAATGACAGCGAACAAAGAGCCGGTGCGCAAGTAAACAAAAGTGGCATACCAGCCGAAAACAGTGGTGTAGCCGAATTGGATGAGAGAGCGCACCAAGGCCGCCCATGCGGGGGTGTCCGGGTGGGTGAGGCGAAACTCATAGAAATGATGAATGTGTGCAATGCCAAAGTACAATGGGGCGATGAATACAATATGCTTTGGAGCCACATGGGCTAGCAAATGAAGTGGGATGATAGCTGAGCGGAACATGATCTCTTCCGTGAGCGGGCCCTGATATGAGTGTTAGTACTTAATGTATATGGAGATCCATGTTCGATGTTCAAAACTTACAGCGACATAATTTCTCCAACCGATCCAGCCTCCAAGGCTTTCGGAGAGTTTACTTCCCCGGAGCCACGATCGCCATTCTCCCTCTACGACACCACGCTCAAAAAGTGGGCCAATGAAAAGGATGGCCGTGAGGAGCAGAGTGCGGGCAATATCGGCGAAGCTGATAGGCCACCAGCCCAATAGAGTGATTGCGGCGGCCAAGGAAGAATTTCCTTGATCAATGATCAACCAGAGCACGACCAATGAAGACAGAATACAAGAGCCCGAGACGGCGCGGATGCGGGCGCGGATCACGGATGGGGCATCGCGGCTGAGACTGGGCGAAGGCCGAGTTGTGGGTGACAGATAGAAAGGCACCACATAAACCAAAGTAAGGGCGACCTAATAAATCGGCACGAAGGTTAAAAAAAAGGGGGTGGGTTCTTAAATCCTCCAGATTTTACTGGAGATGAGGATTGAAGTAATTTACCGAGAATAGAATGACGGTGTGTACCGATAGGGACGGCTCATCTGGAATGGATTTAGCTGATGTGTCTGAACAGAACTGGAAACTGGAAACTGGAAAAAAAAGGGAAAAAGAAATACATCATCATCATCATCATCATCCACTTACCCTGATGTTTACTGTACAGACTCTTGAGACGATCCAGGATGCCGACTGGAGCCATAGCTCAGATAACCAGGTAGATAGAAGGACGAAGAGAACTTGAATCTTTTGCACTTAACAGTTAACAGTTGATCAAAGGGCAACAACGTCTTTTGTTGGGCCATGACAGTACATGACACACATACGGGTCCGAATGGGTGAATGGGTCCAGGGGAAAGCGGGGGTTTGGGGAGAAATGGTAAAATACGGTAAATACCAGAAGTCGAACCTTGGTTCAGTCAATTCCAGCTATTGTTAACCACTAACAATACTATCTACTACACTACTATACCAGCAATTAACAATATCTACCAGGTAAAGACCATTTTTCTTTTTTGCAACACGAGGGTTCCTGAATTATGAGGCATCATCTGCACCTCACCCCCCTGCACATATAAATTTCCCCATCTGAGTCAATGCGAGGGGATCGTGGGTGTTAAATCTCCGAGCTTCACGAGTTTCCAGGGACAACTGATACTGTTATTGATATCCAGGAGTAATTCAAATTTGAACAAGCCAATATTTGCGACAATCTGTGAGGGCACGCCGGGAATACTGGCCCCATTAAACCACATGAGGTCAGCGTGGAGGGCGCTAAGGATGGGACAACGCATTGACTCCACCAAGGGCTGGACTGGACTGAATCCGAATATAGAGGGAAGTAGAAACTCGAACTAGAATTAGGATCAGGCATTGACCTACTCCAAGTACTAGTTCATGGAGTATACAGAGATCATAAACTATAAACACCAACGCTACACTTCGGGAAAATTTAGAATAAAATCAAATCAAAACTAAATCTATCAAGGAGAGAGAGAGAGAGAGAGTCCAAGAGTCCACATGGCCCGTGCCATCTTGCATAACGCGCACACAGTGATAGGCGTAGAGTGGTTCATAGCCTTGGGTGCTTTAGCGGGCGCTACATCGTACACCGCTGGGCAACAAAATTCCTCCCCCCTTGATCTTCTTCAATGTCTCACGTCTCATGTTGCTGCGAGTTGTTATTGTTTTCAGTCCTTGTCTGCCTGTCGTTTGTTTTCTAGTTTAATGTCCCCTTCACGCTTGATGCTCTTTTTAATGTGCTGAAACGATTTTTCTCTGACTTCACGCCTCCTGATGAGTTTGCTGATCTCCACATTCTTTTGATTCGATTCTACACTCTTTACTAGCTCCCCGGTTATACACCAGGGTTCTTGTCCATTCATTCTTGCATTACCAGCAAGCAGCATCAGCATCAGCAAGCCGTCGAGGGCCTCCACATTCTTTACAGTGAAAATCCCAAGGAAAAACACTACTCAATTGGGTTTGGCACGTCATTGTTATTTATTGCTTCAATTCGGATTCTTTGTCAATTGTTGCCGATTTTTGTTTATTATTATATACTTTTTATATTTTTATTCTCAGTTCTTCGACTTCGCCTTCGACCTTATGCGATTAATTGTGATTTGACTTGATTCGACATGCCTCACCACCACACCAAGTCAGTTTCTCCACCTCCCCGGAGACGGAGAGTGTTAGAAGAGCGTAGCTCCGCTCATACCAATGAAAGATCCCCCACGCGCTCCTTGCGGAGGATACAAACACAAGAAGACGTTGATGATATCTATATGGCCACACCGTTTCCGACCAAACCAGAGCAAATTTTGTTACCACTTCCAGGCAAAGGCCAACGGGAGTACATCTCAGATACCGGATTCACCTATTCTTCGACTGCAGGTCCTTCAGCACCAACATGGGTCTCGCCAACTTTCAGCCATGATACAGGGAGTAGTCCCGAACAACCATCAATCGGGGAATGGGATTCTTCGACGGTCGATGCAGGCAACTCGCCCCCTCAGATGTGGGATGAAGATCCATCATCGAGCAAATCATCTTTGCCCGAGATCTCATCAGCCAAACCAGAGGAATACGTTTCCGAGGAATCGGATCCTGAGTTTTCAGATGATGATCTGATTGTACTCCCCACTGCCACGCCAACTATCAAGGCAGTCGTCTCTGAACCCCCCACATCCCCCAAGTCAGAACGAGAGGAGGACGATGATGATGTATCGACCATGGGATACTCCAGCCCTAACGTCCAGCCTATCGGTGCCCCTTCCAGTCCCAATTTTGTCACATTAGACAATTCGAGTGTCAACTTTTTGCCTCGAGGCCCGGCTTCTAATGTCGACTCAGACCCACGATCGAATTCCTTGTCTTCATATAACTCGCGAGGAACCGTCGTAAGGCATATGGGCGCAACACCATGGATCTTCACAGCATCATCCGACCAAGTGAACCTTTCTCGTTCACCATCTTTCCGTTCTAGCCCGCCACTTCAATCAGTGGCATCGTTCCGCTCCGGGTCTCGACGTCTTTCTACAAGTCGATCACGGTCTGCGACTTCATCCTCGCGCAGTCTTCGTTCGGTCTCTGACATTGTAACTGCTATTGATAATGGTATCCCGATTCAATACCCTCGTATTCGTGCCCCATCGTCTAGTTCACGTGCGGAAACCTCGGTGTCTTCAGAACGGGATTTCACCCCGGGTCCAGCTTCTGGTCGCTGGAATCCACATCTTTCCAGAGTATCATCTGTCTGGTCAGCGGAGGAGTTCGCGGGTCAGGAATATGCGGGCCCAGTCTCTGAAGAGGAAACCTCAAGCAATGATTCGGAGCCCGCCATTCCATCGTCCGTTGCGCTCAACACCAAAACGAGTGGATCGACGGTCTGGCTAGTGAACGACTCCGACGCAGATGAGCACCTCGATAGCTTGACCAACCTGCCCACTCGCAATGGATTCTTACACAGCTTATCCTCCGGCTCCAAGCGAAGTAATAGCACGAGGAGTAACAGCATGCGCAGTCTCAAGCGCCCCGGAACCGGGTCTAGCACCATTCTGCACATCCTGCCAACCTGGGCTAAGATCTATTACCGAGCAGATGCCCTTGGTTTTCATCCGACTTTGTCTATGATGGAGCCCAGTCGCCCACCCTCTGCTCGCCCTGGATCTGCCCGCCCTGGAACTAGTAACTCCAGCGTCTTCAATCTGATGCCTCATCCGCTCAATGTGCCCCGCCCTCGCTCACCAGAACGGCCTCGCTCGCCGGAACGAGTACACTTTGCTCAGCGACGCATCGATAGTGATCCCCGTGACCCGCGTGCTCATTGGGTCTCACCGCCAGAGTCCGAAAATAGCGAGGTAATTGGAACTCACCGTCACCGACTGCGACACAGTTGGTCACCGCATCTCTATACCGACCGACGTACGATCCAGCACTCGGCCAGCGTATGGACGACTCCTTCCTTTGATTCAACAACGGAACCCATCTTTGGGCGAAGGAATATCCAGGTCTACTCATTCTGCGTGGGATTCATCTTCCCACTTGCCTGGATCATTGCCTCTTTTCTTCCACTGCCTCCCCAGCCGAAGATAATTTCAGAAATGATGGAGTCCCCAGATGATATAGAGGCAGCGCTCGAGTCCCAGATGATGGGTCTGCAGCAACGCCGCTATAATAACGCTCGCTGGTGGCGCAATCTGAACCGTTGGATGATTTCACTTGGAGTCGTCATTATAGTAATCATTATTATCCTTACTGCCATTGGTACCACGACCGGCTTCTGATAATGTTACTGATACCCTTCCTGCTCTGGCCTGTCCTGGCTAATCACTTGCCAATAATCGCCTCTGGCTTGCGCCTCGATCTCTTATTTAAATACGTTCCTACGACTCGGGCCTTTGATCCCATGTCTCTTTCACTCAACTTCACGTTCAATCCTCCAAGTTTACATTGATGAATATTCCGGGATATACTACATTCTCTGCCATTCGACCTCGATTCCACTTTCTGCTTTTTACATTTCAATGACTACCACACCAATACCGGTTTCGTTTCTTTCCCTCAAACTACTGTGATCTTATCGACCGTTTCAGACATTCTTGCTCGAAGCCATGACTTATTCATTCTTTCTTCTCTTCGCTGAACATTTATCAACACGACTACGTGACACGACTAAACGCAACATAATATTCCCCTTCTCTTCGATGCCTGTAACTTTTTCTCTGTCTCATTCGTCTTCATACATTCTTCTCTTCTGTTCTCCAGCGATAGCTGTACCCTTTCTATCATTACCCTTTACTGTTCTCTTATCTCATGTCAATTGACTTACATATACCTGCCAATCGAATTGTATGCTACTTTACACTACGTTCAAAATAACTGTTATTCAATCTTTAGATATTAATGCCCATTGAAGTTTAAAACAATAGTCCTTTTCAACCTCTAAAACAAAGCTGAGTATTATGTCTACGTCTGGACTTAACATTAGTTAAGGCAATACGTCATCGCGCATAGTAGCTGGAATCTATCCATTTGTACGTATCGCTTCCTATGATGCATCGGTAACTGTTGTATTGGGGAACATGATACATCCAGAGCGGCGAGTCAGCATTCTGTATTTAAGATGTGATCAGATATTCTAGCAATTCAGACCTCTTCTCCTTCGGACTACCCTACCGGTCTCTGTCTTAGTATTCCTACTATCCCCTAGAGGACGCTCCTGGTTCGCAGACAGGACATCTCCTATGATAAGATGTTTGGCGTGGGTGTCTTTACTCACTACACTGTGTACCCCCTTGTCTACTTTTTTCATGATGGCAAGGGTCTTGAGGGAGGAAAAAGAGTTATCGATTCAAAGATAGAACTAACTATTGCTTCGCTTTTGCATTTGCACAAAGAGTGCAGGGAAAACCCAAAAGGCAAGATACTGGCTACTGCCTATTATTCAAATAGATAAAATCAATTATTTAACTTGATTCTCAACGATCCCAATTCTAAACGGTGATTGGCCTCTCAAAACACATTTTCAATATTCAATGACCTCGATGAATACAATTGATTTCCTTTAAGTGTCAAACTCTCTGTCTGCCTCATCAAAAGCCTCACTGATGCGATCAGAAGATGGTTTGATCTGACGAAAGATACTCGGCGGGAGTTGCTTTTGGCCCTCTTCCTCGAAACGACGTTTCTCCACATGTAAATTATCCAAGTATGTCCGCGCTTCTGGTCCTAGACCAGCCTTTTTAAACAAAGGAGCCTATCCAACCGTTATCATAATGAGTCTTGCATAGTGGCGTGGACCACATACCTTGTTCTTGGCGGAATGAATGGCATCTAGAAGAACCGGAGCCATCTCATCATAGCTTTGAAGGAACCGATCTCCTTCTTCAGCGTTCATCGGCTCGCGATCCGCAAGGGATTTACGCGTAGACTTTGCCGAAGTTTGCGCAATTGTCAAGGATCTAGCAACCCCAAGAGCAGCTGGAATTCCACCATTGTAGTTGTCCAGCGATTTTTTCGCCGACTCAACCTTGTCCGTTAATTTCCGCATATCAGACAAATTTTGGTCTATGGTTGTTGCGCCCAGCACAACCGACACAACACAGAAAGCTCCAGTAAGGAGGGTACTCATTTTGGATACACGCATGGTGATTGGGATTGAGAGGGGCTGTGGACAGCAATTGTCTTGAAATGTCACGACGCGGTAAGCAAGGTGTAGAAGCCAATCGTAACATGAACCAATCCAGCTGGGCAGACCAGCTTATATCTGGAGGGATCGGGGATTACGATATGCCCATACTACAAGGTATGTAGTCATGGTCGCCAAAGGAATCTGCAAGGATCTGAAGATAATAGCACTTTCTTTCTCCATCTCTCATTCTTTGTCCCGAGGTGTAGTAATGAGGGGGACCCAGAATACTTGCCACATTCCCGACTGCCCTGTCGATCTATCTAAATACGAATTAGTATTTTTATTGGTCACAGGGAATCATTGTCTTTTTATATTTTTGTGCCTCGTTGAGACTCAAGGCTCCTTGCGTCTTGCTGTGGGGGTAACCGAAGCAGTAGTATGGTCACTGGTGCACATATGTTACCTTTCAAGATTGTTCTATACCTGTAACATCACTTCTATACTCATGATCCATGGCCATATCAATCGCGGATATTCATTTTGTATGCAGCAGAAATTGGTTCGGACGCCGAAAATGGTAATCAGGCTGTCAAAGAGGGCTGCTTATGGGTGGCGAGCAGAAGAAAAACATGACTACCTACTTGACCCATGTTATGTGCATATGTTAAATCAAAATTGGAACCAATGCCACGCAAAGATCATTTTTGAGGTTTCACAGACACACATGGATCTTGAGGACTGTTACACGCATACCCCTTGGGTTATAATAAACCTAACAGTATTTTATCACTTTCAGTTCCAGCCTCTGAGCTGTAACTAGAGTGGAAAGAAAAAGAAACTCTGTCTCATCCAATATTATAGAAAAAAAACTAAGAATCTCTGATACAATAGCGAGAGGAGAGAGGATGTGTGTGTAACAATTCTCAAGATTCACCATGACAAAAGATGCTGCATCGCAGATCGGTGGATACCACTAGTACAATGAGCAACAGTATTACAAGTAGCTCCTCGCTCCCTACCTGATAACCCTTCCATGTCTTCATAATCCTTCTTTATTCAGGTTACTTGGTCACATTTATCCCTAGTCGCTTTCTGCCATCGGGACAGTTTATCAACCTTTGACTGTAAATCCAGCCTGTCAATTTGAATATTCCCAAGCCATGGATGACCATCCCGAGACGTCGTCCAAGATGAATGGCAATGTGACGGAAGCCATACATGAAGATGTTTCAGGGTATAACGCTCATGCCACGGGCCAACACGAGGGTACTTCTCCGATCGCGATTGTGGGCCTAGGTATGCATCTTCCTGGAAATGTATCTACAGCTGATGAATTCTGGGATCTTCTGATGAGCAAAAGAGACTGCTCATCTGAAGTCCCGAAAAGCCGATATAATGCGGATTCCTTCTATGGTCCCGGAATACCCCAGTCCCTGAAGACCAAGCGAGGATATTTTCTCCATGATGACTGTGTGGGCAAAGGAGACAAGAGTTTCTTTAGCAATATGCCAGGATTTCCACTTAGTGATCTCGATCCGCAACAGATGGCGTTGATGGAGGTAGTGTGGGAGTGTATGGAAAATGCAGGACAAGTTGGATGGCGAGGATCAGATATCGGACTTTACGTAGGTGTATTTGGTGAAGATTGGCATGAAATTACCGCGAAAGAGACAATGGCAGTTTCTCGTGCCCATGCATTTGCAAATGGTCAATTTGCATTGTCGAATCGAGTCTCTTACGAGTTCGATCTCAAAGGTCCTAGGTATGATAAAGACTCAAATCTGTCAACGTTGGTTGGTTAAATCATGGCGCTGAGCAATGTATAGTATGACTGTCTTAACAGCTTGTTCATCTTCATTGGTGGCTTTGCACGAATCATGCCAGGCAGTACAAAGTGGAGCCTGCAGCTCGGCGATTGTCGCCGGAACCAATCTCTTGATGACCCCAGCCATGAGTGTGAATATGTCCGAGAATATGGTTCTCTCGCCAGATGGCTACTGTAAAGTATTTGATGATGGCGCGAATGGATACGGCCGTGGGGAAGCAGTGAATGCAGTTTATATCAAGCCTCTCGCTCAGGCTATAGCAGATGGAGACCATGTTCGCGCAGTCATCCAGGGAACGTCCGTGAACTATGATGGAAGGTCTGACAAGATATTTGCGCCAGATATTGACAGCCAGGAGAAATTAATTAGGCAAGCTTATTCACAAGCTCGGATTCATGATATTTCACAGACTGGATTTGTCGAGTGTCACGGTACCGGGACAAAAGTGGGTGACTTTGTCGAAGCAAAAGCTATTGCTCGTGTATTTGGTGAAAGGGGTGTCCACATTGGATCTGTATGTTAGAAAAATCGACTGGGACCCGAGTCCAACTAATTTTCTGGTATAGGTGAAGTCCAATGTAGGACACGGCGAAGGTGCCTCCGGATTAACTGGTCTCATTAAGGCTGTGCTAGCCCTTGAGCATCGTACCATCCCGCCTAACATGCACTTTTCACGTCCAAATACTAAAAGTAAGACAAAAAAAATATCATACTATTCAGGACTCATTTATTGAATCGAGCAGTTCCCTTTGACAAAAATGGGTTGGTTGTCCCCACAGAGCCGATCCCATGGCCTCGTGATCGCCTGGAACGAGTCGGCGTTAATTGCTTCGGAATCGGTGGTAGCAATGCCCACGTAAGATAAGATCTGTGTTAATTCTGAGCCATTCAGCTTGTTAACACATCAATATAGGCCATTTTAGATTCAGCTACAGCATTTCGAAACCCGATCAATGACATTTCTGAACCATTGCGGCCCCATCTCATTGTTCTTTCGGCTCAGAGTAAAGTGGCACTTGATTCAAGGGTTGCAAAAACCAAAGGATATGCTAAAAACCACCCCAATTCTTTAAAAAGTATTGCGTACACTCTAGGGGCTCGTCGTGACCACTTGTCTCATCGCGCGTATCTACTATGCGACAAGACAAGCTCTGTAATACAGGAGACTCGCTCTAGCTCTCCAGTTCAGAAAGTGCCCGCTTCTCCAGTGTTTGTTTTCACAGGACAGGGTGCACAGTGGCCCGGTATGGGGAGAGAGTTGCTGGACACATTTCCATTTTTCCATCACGATATCCGTATCATGGACGAGGCCCTGCAAAGTCTGGACCCTAAGCCACTGTGGAGTATAGAAGGTGTGTTTCCTTTCCATCCATCTTAACTGCTGCACTTTTAGCTAATTGTGTGCTTCAAACCTCTAGCGGAGCTTCGAGTGACTGCAAATTCTAGCCACATCGATGAGGCCGAGTACTGTCAACCACTTTGTGCTGCCATTCAGATTGCCCTAGTCAACTTATTTGCCAATTGGGGTATTCACCCCTCTGCCACCATTGGCCACTCCAGCGGCGAGGTTGTAGCAGCATATGCAGCGGGGGCAATTTCCATGCGCTCAGCTATCATTATGGCATACCTTCGTGGATATAGTGTCAAGCATGCTCCATGTTCTGGAGGCATGGCTGTAATTGGCCTTGGGGAAACTGTTGTCAGCCAGTTCCTCCTGGAAGGTGTGACAATATCCTGTGTGAACAGTGCCACCAGCGTAAACATCTCTGGGGAGAAGAAAAAGTTACTAGAAGTCATCTACAAAGTTCAGGAAGAAATGCCCGACACTTTCGTGCGACAATTGCCAATCAATGTCGCCTACCATGCTTGTTTGTACCCCCGATCTGTCCGTGATCGTTGAAGTTGGCTGTTACTAACTAATTTCATAGCTGATATGAGCCTTATTGGCCCAGTATTTGAAGGGACCATCACCCCTTACATTGAATATAGAGACAAAATGCTTCCAATGTATTCGACAGTGACGGGAGTAGTGATTTCGGATCCACGTCAACTCAATGCAGGGTACTGGCGGAAAAACTTAGAGTCACCTGTGCTCTTTTTACAGGCCATGAATACTCTAATTTCCGAGAATCAAAGTACAATGGGCCTTTTCGTGGAAGTAGGAACCCATAATACACTTTCTGGACCTTTGCGCCATATATTTTCCTCCCACAAATCCCAGAACTACTATATTCCAACCCTTCGCAAGAATCAATGCCAATCGATCCGCCTTCTTGGAACCGTCGGTGAATTGTATTGCTACCGTTGTCCCGTTGATTTTGCCGCAGTCAGTGGAATCGGCAGTGTTCTTGTTGATCTGCCAGTGTATCCTTGGGATCGAAGCAGTATCAACTGGCAAGAAAGTCGCCTTTCCAAAAACTGGAGATTTCGGCAACACCCCCACCACGAGTTGCTAGGCTCTCGAATGTTGGAGGCTACTGACTTGGAGCCTGCATGGCGGAATTCGCTCAACCTTGAGAATGTTCAGTGGCTGAATGATCACCAGGTCTCACAAGAAACAATATTCCCCTGCGCAGGATATATCGCGATGATAAACGAAGCCATTCGCCAGCTTCATGGAGTGCAATTCTGTACAATTCGGAGACTATATATGAAGACTCCTCTGATCTTGCCATCAAACTCTGGCGAGACTGTAGAGCTCGTCACAAGTATGAGATCTATGAGATTGAATGATCGAATTGACTCGGATTGGTACGAATTTACCATTGCATCATTTGATGGATCAAAATGGACCAAACATACAGTTGGCGAAACAAGACCAGGCGCTGAAGATTTGAAGGCACAATCACCGGAGATATTGCAGTTTCCAAGGTTGGTTTCATCAGAGCTCTGGTACGAAAGATTAGCAAATCTAGGCATGGAATATGGGCCACAATTCCAAGGCCTGGAAGATATAACTGCAAATCCTGTGCAATTTGCCGCAAATGCTAGTATTCGCGAGGCTCCAGAAAAGGATAATAGAAGAGATGCCGTGCACCCAGTCAACATTGACCAGTGTCTTCAATTATTCAGTGTTGCTGCAAGCAATGGAAGGTCGGTAAGATTGACAGCGCTCTATTTGCCTATGTATATCGAAGAAATCTGCATCGGTTGTGGCGGATCTCGAATGAAAGCTGAAGCTCATGGAACTGGCTCTGAAGGGAACAGGGCCCAAGGTGATGTGATATTGGTGACTGATGACCGAATGATTCTGCATATGCGTGGGGTGACTTTTGCTCAACTAGACAGAGTCGATTTGACAGAGACATCCCATATCCCATTGTTCTCACATGCAGTGTGGCGACCAGATATCGATCTTCTCTCGGGTGATCTCCAGCTTTCTACCCCAACAGAAAACTGTGAGGAACTCAGGTTGTTCGGTCAAGCGTCTTTCCTATCCATGGTCCTCACTCTTCGAAAGATATCTAGGAAAAAGGCATACTCCGAGCCTTTGGAGATGTATATGCGATCGCTCCAAAAAGAGGTAGACGCACTGGACAAGCTTGGGATTGAAGGAACCAGTGGCGAAAATATCTGGACACAGAAAAGCATAGAAGGTCTAGAGCTTGATTGGAATTTGATAAGCCAGAGCCTCAAGAGCAAGCATTTGGGTTTCATGTCGGAATTGGGCTCGGCTACAATTGACAACGCCACAGCTGCCTTCGATCTTCCTTCGCACGAGCTAACCCCTCTGCATCTGGGCGACGCACAGCAAATGTATGAAGATTGGGTCACATCTCTCCGCATATTGCCGGAGTGGATTTCTCTTCTTTGTCACTCTAGACCATCTCTATCCATTCTCGAGATTGGAGGTGGGGATGGGTCGTTCTCGTCCAATCTTCTTCGCTTGCTGACTTCCGACAAACAATACTCATACTCACAGTATACATGGTCCGATATAGGGAATATTAAAGCTACAATTCAGGAACGACTTGCTGATTACCCGTCGTTACACTTCCAATCGCTCGATATCACCAAAGACCCAATTGAGCAAGGCTTCCAACCAAAGAGTATGGATCTTGTGATTGCTTCAGAGGTATGTTATTTTTTTTCTTCTGGGAAATTTGAATTGTAATGGCTTATTCGAACTTCCACAAGCTTGAGAGACTGCCCTCTTGCAGCCTCGTGTCCGCTTTGAAAAATGTCAAAAGCCTTCTTGTCCCTGGAGGCAGGCTCCTAATTCGTGAATACGCACCTGGTCAGTAAAACCCTTGATATATATTCGTTTTTGATCGACAAATTAACGCGCCAAAGCACTTTCTGCCTTCGACTTTCTATCGGTAAGCCACTCCCCGTAATGGTAGATAACAATACACTGATAGTTACTAGAGTTGCTCCTCGAGATTTGACCCTAATAAACTGGCAATGGCCGCCAATAGAACAGAGCTATTTACTGAAGCATGGACAACAATGCTTCAAGACGCGGGCTTTGATGGCATTGAGGTAGACGCATATGATGGGAAAGCTCCATATTACTTCCATCACATCATGATTTCTCGAACACCCCCTGAATGCTCCAAGGGCCAGGGGCTTATTTACCTGCTGGGCCCAAATCAAGAAACTTGCAGTCCTTGGATAGCGATATTTGAAGAGGATCTGATGCACAATGGCTATACCATCAAGCGGCTTACTATTGGAGACAGCATTCCTCCAGATCAATACGTGATATCATTGCTTGATATAGATCGTCCTTTCTTCCATCAAATAAGCCAAGATGACTGGGAGTGGTTCCAAAACTTTACTAAGTCCTCTCCTCAGATTCTCTGGATAACAAAGTCAGTTGAATTGAAGTGCCATGATCCGAACTATTCAATCGTAATGGGCGTTTCACGAACGGCCCGACAGGAGCAAGAACTGCATTTTGGAACTATACAACTTGACACTTTTGACGAATCAATAATAGGAAGTTTGACGAAGATTTGCCAAGGATTTTTCAAGCCCATGTTGGGAAATGCTTTAACTGATGCAGACTTCGAATTTGCTTTGCGTGATGGCGTGATCTATATACCTCGAATTCAGTGGAGGGGAACGAACGACAGGCCACTGAGGCCGACGCAGTCTGAGCCATCATCTATCAAGTTGGATGTTACATCTTATGGCTTAATCGACTCCATTTCTTGGTGTGAAAACGATTCCAGGACTTTGAAAGATTACGATGTTGAGATCGATATCAAATACGTCGGTTTAAATTTCCGGGTACGTCGAGAGGAAACTTCTGTTACAAGGGATTTGATGAGACTAACTTCTTGTAGGATGTGATGATTGGTCTAGGCGTCATGTCAAACAAAGAAGACCTAGGCATGGAGGCCAGCGGGGTGGTAGGGCGCTGTGGATCCAAGGTTGAAAACCTCCAACCTGGAGATCGGGTGATGGTGTGTCGACCTGGTCTATTTCGAACAAAAGCAGTTGTTCCTGATGGTAGCTGCACAATCATTCCTGAATCACTTTCACTGGAAGAGGCCGCCTCGATGCCTGTGGTATATGCCACAGCCTACCATTGTCTGATAGACGTGGGACGACTAGAGAAAGGACAGGTATGCCCATCAACCTCCCAAATTGAATGCATTATGCTAATAAAAAGTGATAGTCTGTACTTATTCACGCAGCATGCGGGGGAGTGGGTCTAGCTGCTGTTCAGCTAAGCCAGATGATCGGAGCAACGGTAAGTAAATTGAAGATAAATAGTACCTAGACGGAGTCGTTTGCTGATTTTGGATATGTCGTCCAGATATATGCCACCGTTGGAAGCGAATCAAAGGCACAATATTTGGTGGATCAATTCCATATTCCTCGTGATCATATCTTCAGGTCTCGTGATGCTTCCTTTGAGCAAGAGTTGATGAAGGTGACCATTGATCAAGGCGTAGATATTGTGCTCAACTCTTTAGCGGGGGAGCTTCTCCATGCATCCTGGAGATGTGTTGCAGAGTTTGGAAAGATGATTGAAATTGGTAAACGGGATTTCATAGAGCATGGCTGGTTAGACCTGGAAGGCTTCGGGGCGAATCGAGCCTTTTTTGGAGTTGACCTCATTCGAATTGGACAAAAGCCAGGTTTAATTCCGAGGTAAGCGAGCTTTGCTGCTTTGCTGCTTTGATTGAATGAAAAAATACTAATTCCGAGTTTGTGGCATAGAATTGTGAACCTGATATTGGGGCTTTACAAAGAGGAAAAGATTACTCCAATTCGGCCATGCTCGATTTTCTCTAGTACCGATATTCATGAAGCATTCCGTAATATGCAACGAGGACTCCATATGGGCAAGCTTCTTGTCAGAATGCCCGAAACAGACTCGACAGATCTCATAGTGAAACCTAGGGATCATGTGAAGCTATCTTCGAAACTGACCTACATTCTCGTTGGTGGACTTGGAGGTATCGGGCGGGCAATAGCTACTTGGATTGTAGAAAAAGGCGCTCGAAACTTGATCTTCCTGTCCCGATCGGCCGGTGCTTCTGAAGCAGATCAAGCATTTGCGCACGAGCTTCAAGTCCAGGGCTGTCGTGCAATCATGATCAAAGGGGATGTGTCTGTTTTGGAAGAGGTCCAGTCCGTCATCGAGAACGCACCTAGTCCAATCGGTGGAATTCTGCAGTTATCTATGATCGTTCGGGTAAGAATTGTTGAATATCAAACATAAAGCCTAGGGCTAACCTAAAAACCAGGATCAATTTATACCTGACATGAGCCATAAAAACTGGCGGGATGTTCTTGCAGTCAAGGTGGCTGGTGCTTGGAATCTTCACCATGCGCTCTCTGGTTATGATTCTGCTTTGCACTTCTTCATCGTTTGTGGGTCCGTCACAGGTGTGATGGGGAACGCGGGCCAGGTGAACTATTCATCAGCAAATGCATTTCTTTCCTCGTTCGCTCAATACCGCATCGAAAATGGACTTCCGGCATCTGTGGTGAACTTGGGGGGAGTCGATGATGTAGGGTTTTTAGCAACACAGGACCTCACACTTCGAGCTAGGATGCGCTCCGCTGCTGTACGGCTTCTTCATGAGCAAGAGGTGATAGATGGATTTGAGCTCGCCATGGTTCATTCAGGCCCGAAGAAAACAATAGAATCATCGAATGGCTCATTACAGCCTCCGAACAATGTCATCGTGGGCATGAACAGCACTAAGTCTCTGAAGGGTCCTTCGGTACGGCCGCTCTGGGGACAGGATGCTCGTTTCCGAGCCTATGCGAACCTTGATACTAAGCACGAGCCAGCTCAAAGTACGCTCAATAAAGCTTCTCAGCTTCGACAAATACTGGCATCTATCAAAGATGAGCCGACATATCTGGATGATCCCCAGTGGTTTGAAAATCTTCTTCTTGAGACTGTTGAGGCCATCCAAGAATATTCCATCTTTGCTCGGGATCAAACGTATGCAGAGATAATCAACACGCCGTTTGACTCTCTTATGACCGTTGAGATACGAAATTGGGCCCGGCGTTATCTTTACTTGAATCTGACCCTCAACGGAATCACAAAGGCTGCAACCATTGAAGGATTGGCGAAATTGATAGTATCCAGCTCTGTAAAGCAACATCAGTCCGTGTTCTCGAAATAACCAAGGAGTGAATATCAAAATACTTCGGGCTACGCGATTACTACGAAGAAACATACTTTGGTCATGAAACATTTAACATTGAATGTACGATATTTCATATATGTTCTCCTGAGAAGTTAATATAATATTTGTCTGTCCAGGTGTACGTGAATGTCTACGGATATCTTCGTCGGAAATTATTATATTGGGGAAGTCTAGTACGGGGGCCCATAGATATCCATGGATATTTCTGAGATATAATCTTTCTTTCTTTTTAAATGAGTGTGGTAGTACTGTATAATCTAAAAGAATTGCAAGAGATATATTTCTCTATCTATCCTTCCACTTGTCTTTCTAGTTGACTTTCCACTTGATTTTATATGTAGAGCTTACAGTACAGGTCGCAGTGTGATACTAGGCGATAAAGTCTACTATCTATGGCCACATGTGCAGGGGGTTCCCCGATGATCTTCCGTATAGTATATAGCCTAGATTGACCATATTTCAGTTAATCAAAATTAATACCCAGTGACCTTGAAAAAGAGCCTAACAGACAACTTTATCAATACCTCATAGATAATTATGACCTGTCTTAGAAAATTCATGTCTTCATTTCTAACCATGGTCTCTACATAGCATTGTAGTGACCATGCATTCTGAACCAATGAAACGTGCTTCAGAGGCGAACTTTGTCTACCTCTTACAAAACCAAGGTTGTTAAACCAAATGAGAACGATCGAGGAAAAAGCGGATGAAAGATAAAACCGAGATGACGTTTAAGCAAGTAGCAAGTCGTGAATACCAGACCCTGACCGAAATTCCTCTATAAAGGCGAAATGTTAATGTATCGGACCGACAGGTAGCATTACAGCTTGCGTCCGATCTTCTGCTCAACGGCAATTTTAAGTTCCTCGCCACTGGGCATGGTAACAACACTCCCACGACGACGTCGCGACTCAATTTCCGAAATGATCTCTTGCACGGCTTCATCGAAGTCGCGTTCAGGGTCGTGAGGAAGACCCAACGTTGGAGGTCGTATAGCCTCCTGGCTGACGGAGCGCATGACATGAGGCCGGTTCCGACGCTTGAGATTGGAAATGAGGTAGCCTTTCACAGGGGTGGCGAAGACAACGAGAGAAGTGATGGTGCCGATAATGCCGTAGAAGTACACACGGGACCAGACAGTCATGGAGTCACCGAAGCTAAGAAGGACAAAGGGCATGACTGCGAAGCCTAGTGTAAGTTGAGTAGCAGCCCAACTGAAGATATCGTAATAACGCTTGTAGGGCATAGGCTTGGTCCCATCGGGAGTGAGGAAGAAGGGACGGATGTAACGACGAAAATCTAGTAGTGAGGCGGTAAGTAAGATGTTAGGATAGCCGAGGGGATCAAACAAACACATACTTTTGGCCACAGTTTGAATAAATGAGCCTAATACAAAAGTCATGTAGTAACCAGGGTAGAAGCCATGCCAGAGGGCACTCGTAGCGAAGGTAGCCATGCTAGCACGGAAACCAGGCTTCTTCCCCTTTGGAGTAACACGTAGATAGACATAGTTGCGCAGCCAGTGGTTGGTATTCTTATTCCAACTTCCAAGATAGGCGTGTGAGTTCTGGGCGGTTTCCAAGCCCCAGGGATCGACGTTTTCCAATCGATTCCAGAACACCTTACCAGACTTGGGATCAAAACCATTGTAACCCATACCAGATAGGATACAGGCGCCCTCGGTCAAAGACCATACTCCGTAGTACTTAAGGCGAGCGGTCAAGCCGAGAAGGTATACAGTGATCATGCGGCGTGGGAAACCGAGCTCCATAAACGCGTCAGAGAGCACAAAGTCGGTTGTAAAGATCCCACCAAGGTATACAAATAGACCAATCCAAAGCAGTCCTACCGCGGCCTTCTTGAAGGCCGGCGTACCGCTGCGGGGAATCTTGCGCTTCTTTCGAGTCGGTGGTACCTTAGATGGATCAGTACCTGGGGGAATGTCGAACAGAGTGGTATCGAGCCAACGGCAATAATCGACATATTCGAGAGGGGGACCGGCAAATAGCGAGGGGAAGAAGAGGACATAGCCTAGGTAGTTGACGATGCTGGGGAACTCGGTAACAGCCGAGTACTTTTGCGCATCGGAAAGCTGCCCCTGCGGCAGACGACCATCATGTATATTCCAGCAAAAAGACGACAGTTTCATCACGAGGACCATTTGAGCTCCCGTGATATCCACTACCCCCGGCTCATCTGCGATTTGACGGTAGATATGGCTGATCGACATGTGGGACATCAAAAAGATGAAACCAATCCATGGCATCAACGAACCATCTATGTAATATGCAATGGCGTATGTCCCAGCTGCGCTGTACAGCAGTGTTCGCAGACCATCCCAAAGACCAAAGAGACCGATTATGTATAGGAGGGACACGCCGATAATGAAGGCATTCTTCTTCCAGGGTTGAGCGTCGGGGATGCGCTTCAGCAAGGCGGCGAGTGGGAAGGAAAACAGGAAAGAACCGATCAGCTTGACTGAGATTAGGTTAGACGCTGCTGTGTGTCTTTAATTTTTAATTCCAAGAAGAGTCACGTACGCTCATCAACAGAGGAACCTGTGAGCCGAGCAGGAATTGCGAACACTGCGGGGAGACAAAAATTAGCTTAATGTCCGGGGGGAGCTATAGCTCTTCCTTCAAACATGGGGGAACACTAACAGCTATCGATATAGGGTAACATGATGTCGACCCCGACAGAAGACGTCCAGTCTTTTGGGTGATATCTTATAGAAAATAATTCATGCGTAAACTTTGGAGGGGGGAACTTGAAGCGAAGCGTTCGGAGTCAACAGACCAAATAAAAATGTCATGTGGGAAAAGGCGGACGCGCCCAACATTATTCAACACCTTCCATCTTCTCCACTTCCCCCCACGGTTACAACATCACCCGTTGTGATCCCACCTACCATAAAAGTTTGAAACTCTACACCGGTCTTTGGAACTCTTCCCTCTTTCTTCCTTACCTTATTATTTACTAAGCGCGCCTACGCGCAATTTTTTTTTTTTTTCATCATGGATGTCGTCGCGGCCGTCTCGGGCTACATCTCCAAGATGGTGACGGCCGGCGAATCAGCTTCGGGGTCTTCGTCCTCCAAGATGAAGATCCTGCTTCTTGATAGTGAGACAGTGGGCACAATGTACTCCAGCTAGTTTGATTAATGATAGCAACTGACTTTTGCTGTTCTAGGTTCCAATTGTCTCGACCGCGATGACCCAGTCGGCCCTCCTGAACCATGAAGTGTACCTCATTGATCGCTTGGATAACGCTGCGCGCGAGAAAATGCGACATCTGCGATGCTTAGTTTTCGTACGCCCATCCCCAAACTCTATACAGCTTCTTGTCGACGAGCTCCGTGAACCCAAATACGGCGAATACTATATCCATTTGAGCAACATCATTCGAAAGTCATCCCTCGAGCGCCTTGCTGAGGCTGACAGTCATGAAGTCGTTCAATCTGTGCAGGAGCAATTCGCCGACTTCCTAGTAGTCAATCCGGATCTGTGCTTTCTAAATTTAGGTTTCCCTTTGAGCCGTCTTTGGAGTCACTCCCCCGACTTGTGGAACGCAGACTCACTACAGAGATCCACGGAGGGGGTCCTAGCATTACTGTTGTCCTTGAAAAAGAATCCGTTGATCCGATACGAAAAAAATAGTCTCATGGCCCGGAAGCTGGCCACTGAGGTTCGGTATCACCTCACGCAGGAGGAGCAATTATTTAACTTCCGCCGGACGGATACACCGCCAATTCTGCTCATCCTCGACCGTCGAGATGATCCCATCACCCCACTACTCACGCAATGGACCTATCAAGCCATGGTACACGAACTACTTGGAATAAATAATGGGCGCGTGGACCTGCAAGATGTACCGGAGATTCGACCGGAGCTTAAGGAGATCGTGCTGGCCCAGGACCAAGATCCATTCTTTAAAAAGAATATGTATCAGAACTTTGGTGATTTGGGTCAAAATATCAAGGAATATGTGGAACAGTACCAGACTAAGACGCAAAGCAATACAAATATTGAATCTATCACGGATATGAAGCGATTTGTGGAGGATTATCCTGAATTTCGCAAGCTATCCGGCAATGTGAGCAAGCATGTCACCTTAGTGGGTGAGTTGAGTCGACGTGTGGGCGAAGACAGTTTGCTAGATGTGAGTGAGCTGGAGCAAAGCTTGGCTTGCAATGAAAGCCACGCCACTGATCTCAAGGTATGTCCGATTGAGTCTTTCTGTGCTTACTATGGATTGTTGCTTACCTATGTCATTTTAGTCCTTGCAGCGCCTTATCCAACTAGAGAATGTGCCGTCTGATAGCAAATTGCGCCTTGTGGCTCTCTATGCGCTGCGTTATGAGAAACAACCCAACAACGCTCTGCCGGTCTTGCTCGACTTGCTCGTCACCGCCGGCAACGTTCCCTCCAACAAAGTCAACATTATTCCCAAACTTCTCGCCTATCACCATTCGCTTCAAGCCCCACCCGTTGCTGGTGGATTCACTGATCTTTTCGAATCAACCTCGTTCTTCTCTGAAGCTCGCGATCGCTTTAAGGGCCTCAAAGGCGTGGAGAATGTCTATACACAACACTCACCGCGATTGGAAGTGACTCTCCAAAACTTGATCAAGGGGCGTTTGAAGGAAATGCAGTACCCTTTCCTGGAAGGTAGCGGGCATACTCGAGACAAACCCCAAGACATCATTATCTTTATCGTTGGGGGTACCACATATGAAGAAGCCAAGATGGTGGCGCAGGTTAATGCCAGCTCCCCTGGAGTTCGTGTCGTCTTGGGTGCCACCATGATTCATAATAGCACAACTTTCTTGGAAGAGGTCGATGATGCTGTTAGCAGCTGGCCAGAACCAGAACCCACAACAGCTGCTGGACGGCTGCGACGAGAGGTTGGGCGATAAGTGTGACATAAAGATGCTAGTATATATCCGACAACTACATGATACCGTGCTAAAACACGGAATTAAATTATTAAATTATTTCATTCCAACCACAAGAATGCATATAGCTCTGAATACCGTAGCATATGCAATATCTACACTTGTACAATAATGTGGGTCGCACCCCGGACTATGCGGAGTCCCGAAATTTAACCATGCACACCTCCGTTTCCTCCATTTCCTCCTCTTTCCACCCAACGCCATGGACCTTTCTCCTCCAAAAGGGGGTCCTTCTTCTCCAACTGCCTCTCGAGAGCCGCGATTACACCTTCCGTCAACTACAGATCCTCCAGGCCCCCAGAATCCTCCCAAACCGCTCGTATGGTTGGTAGGTGGTGCTCTTCTTACCCTCCGCTTTAACTCTATACGCCAGCCTCGGCGGCAGCACAGAACAAGATGAGAAGCTTGATGCTAACTGGCGGGTTTGTCAATGTTAGATCTTCGGTGCGACCGGTCATATGGGCCGTTCCCTTGTGAAAAACGCTCTGTCACGCAACGACCTTGTTTCGGCCGTAGGGCGCACATACGAGAATAGCCCCGAGGCTATGAAAGAGCTCGAAGATGAACATGAGAACTGCCTAGGTTTACTGTGCGATGTCAGAGCACGCGAAACTGTAAAACGAGTCATCGATTTAACAATCGCGCGATTTGGGTGCATTGACGTGATCGCCAATTGCTCCGGGTACGGCGTGATCGGGGCCTGCGAGGATCAAGACGAGTTCGATATCCGTAACCAATTCGAGACAAACTTCACAGGCACCTTGAATATGATTCAGCTATCGCTGCCGCATTTTCGCGAACGAAGAGCAGGTCGGTACCTTATTTTCAGCTCGACCTCCGGCGCGCTCGGTGTGCCAGGGTTGGGACCGTACTGCGCGTCGAAGTATGCGGTAGAGGGATTGATGGAGAGCATGCTATATGAAGTAGATAGCTTCAATATAAAGGGTACATTGGTTGAACCTGGTCATATGCGACGCGACGACATTGGTGATCTGGTGTCTCCTTCCTTCATGGCTGCAAACCCCTCTGAACACAATCTATCTTCCCCACTGCCTCTGTATGGCCACTTCTTGGTCAAGCCGCCGAGTGAACCATACAACACATCTACGTCGCCGGCAGCACATGCCCGTCGTATGCTCATGTGGCTCGGTGACAAACAACCTGCTTCCGCGGTAAAAGCAGCCCACCTCGTTTGGGAGCTTGGGCATTGCTCCTATCCTCCACTACGATTGATTCTCGGTACATACGCGGTCGAAAGTATCCGGGATCGACTAAAATGCATCATCGAGGAGATTGAAGATTGGAAGCATCTCAGCTTTCCATTGGGAGAAGTCCAACCTGTCACGTCCGGTCGGGAAAGATCATCTACGCAACCCGAAGGAAACGATGGTGCTGGCAACAATGACGGATGATACCCTCGGCGCAATTATTAGACCCAGCTCTTGTTTCAGCACTATAGCGTTCCTCCGGACTCAAATTTCAGCGTTTCCGAGCCTGCTTAATGGACCAGCTGCCATGACCTGCATTAAGGTGTGCAATGCCACAACTGCATCACGATAAGCTCGGCTTTAACGATGCCGAGCTCTTGAATAAGGAGTTGATCCGACCCAAGCAAGCATTTCTGGGCAAGATGCGCCTCACACCCCCGAGGTTTTAACAAACATGTTCTGTACCCCTAGCATTCGAGAGGAAAGCTGTAATGCTAGAACTATTGAGCAACTGCCTTGGTTCCAACGGGCTGCTCTGGGGAGAGGCGTAAGATAGAGCAGAGCTGCCCGATGCAGCAATTTACCCATGAGATGCATCTTTCACGATCTTACATCTAAGACAATTATTTCATGCGACGGTATAAACCAGCCAAGCAGTCAATAATTTCAGGAGCTTGTCATATTGCTTAAACACATTCTTTAACGCAAAGAATCTATAAAAAATTTGATCTGGTACTTCAAGTTCCGGTTTATATGATCATTTGAAATAGGTATTGTACATATAGGTCGAGATCTATAGGTATTTATCCGCTTGTCTGTAGATATCCCCAATGGTGATATGTCGCATCTCGGATTTGTAGACAAAGATGCACTTCGTTGATACGTAGTTCTCTCGAGAGAATTTCATTGAAATACATAAAGATTATTTACCACGCTGCAATCATGTACAAGGAAATTATCAAATGGGAGACATCATAATGCTACAAGACGCATCTCATTCGGCTGGGGAGACAGGCATTGGTATAACATGGCATGCAGTGGGTTCTATATTATATCATGATGTGGAGACAGAGAAAGAAGGCAATGAAAAAGATGGGAGGCATGGATCATGAAATACAGTATGGCACAAGGGACGTCAACACATTCATACAATGGCGTGGATGACACAGGTCTCCTTCGCATGCCAGATGCGTCTTCGTCGCACAACATCTGCTCCAAAGGTGTCCTTAATACCGTCGTAATGGTCTTGAACATCATCACTTTTTTCATGGGAATCGAAAGGTCGCAGAATGCGGGCCTCTTCTACACTGGCGCCGATCTCATATTCACCCCGGCAGAGTACTGTTACCCCGATAGAAGCTTGGGTAGACTCGCCGCTTGCTAAGATAGGAAGCGCTTGCTGGAGCATACCAGTCCATGCGAGTCGGCGCGTAAGATCTAGCGCAATGTTATTTGGTTGGTGACGCAGACTGGGCTGGAGACGGAGAAGTGGGTGAATAGGTCGCGAAGAACGATTGCGGATGGTGACAGATAGGGTGAGTAGGTCGTCCGCTTTCGCTTGGAAACGCGAGCGGCCAGTTTGGACAACCGGCGCAGATGATTCGGTAGCCGAGGAAGGCGTGGAAGGCGAAGAAAGAGAGAATGTGGTCTCGACGTCCTCCAGTCGCATTGCTTCAACCATACGCGCATTAAGGCGGATGTTTCGAAGATCAATTGTGCCCTCGCGACCTGTAGATTCCTCTTTCCAACCTCCAAGTACTCTTTTAAGAAGCTCTTCGCGGAACCAGAAAGCTTCGCGGGTTGCTGCCTCTGCTTCAAACGATAGCTTGTTGGCACTGACCACAAACTGACGCCGAGTACCCGTGTTCACGACGGGTATAGCGGCATGCGGGTTATCTAGATATAGGCGCGGAATGACAAGGACAAATCGAGACACTTGGCCGGGCTGGAGGTGCCCATCGACGGAGTACTGGTCATTGTGGTCATTGGGGTCATCCTTTGACAACGAAGTGTGCTCTCCGACTCGTAAATAGACAGACACAGGACTTGGCCATGCATTTCGTAGGTCAAGTAACACGACACAGTGGTCCGGGCCGTAAGATCCCTTCCCAAGGCGGGCGAGAATTCGAGAAAAGGGATCATGATCGGTGGCCGCTAATGGCGTAACCGAGTTTTGAGTCGAGTCTGACGACGCCTCGATATGATTTCGCCAGGCGAAATCGCCACTAAATGGGAGGACATCGCATCGAGCAACTTCTACGCTCGCATTCACTGTGACGGTCAAGGGTACAAACAATTGCCTAGTATAGAAGACATCAGGCAGCTCGCCCGGCTTTGAGCCAAGGCGAGAGTAGTCTATTTGAACTGTGATGTCTTGTAGACCAGGTTTACCCAGAACATCAATTGTGAAATTGGCTGTTTGCCCTGCAGGAATCGAGCAATCTTCCGGGTTAGAACCTTCACGACGCCATTTCAAGGCTGGTTGCGTCGTCAGTTTCAGTTCCAATTCATAGATCTCCGCTGGCAAAAGATCTTTGTTTTTAAGAGCTGACTGGAGTTGCCGGGTCGTCGAGTCTTGGAATGTGAATAGAACAAAATCCACGGGGCAAGATGAGGTGTTTCGAAGGGTGAGCGTAAAAGATTTGACCTCTCCTTCGAGAATCATTAACGCCGACTGCGAGAGTGACATGGATTCGATTAAAAGTGATGGTTGTTTACCAATAACTTTCACCTGGCAAGTCTCGGTGTCGGGTCCCTTCTTAACCGAAGTCTTCCCGTCTTTCGAGGTCTCTGAAGCCCAGGAAACGGGACGTTCTGAAAGGGGTTTCTTCGATGCCAGTCCAGTCCGCTTGAACTTGACTTCAGGTTCAGGCCGCCAGTATTTCTTGAATATAGGGAATCGTCGCTTTCGACAGTGGCGCACTTTGACAATGCATCCAGTAATAGTGAGAGCCCCTTCTTCAAGGGCTGTGCCGGGAACAACAATATCCTGAAGAGAAAATGGAGGAAGCGTGACGTTCTCTGTCACGGATTCAAAAGACACACCCTCGCTTTCTAGTTGCAGGTGCTCGATCTCTATCTCGAATTCGTAGGGATTCTGAAGTGTCACTCGGAATGAGGCAACTTCGTCTGTCACAGTAAGCATTTCCAGGGATTTGCTGCTAGGCTTTGCGAAAGGGTTGTATAAGAATGGGTCCTTCTTTGACTTTTCCGATGCAGTAGTGACGGCTTGCAATTCTGACTTGGACCGTCGAACGGGTCTTCTAGGGTCTGGTAGAGCTAGCAACTGAACGCCACGTACAAGGAAGTCATCCCAGTATTCCGCGGCCATATGAGAAGCACCTAGTCTGTTTGCTGCCCCAACAGTGCGCTTAATGTTATTCAAAAGACGTATTTGTTCTTCCCGTGGAAGGTATGGCGGCATTTGGTTTGAGTCAGCTACCATCAAATCTCCTCGAATAGTCTGCAAAAGCTCAACTGTGAAACGGAGTACACCTTCAAAATCAGGCAACGCTTCACAGCAATTAATACACGCCTTGAGAACATCAATCTTGAGATTGAGATCACCGTATCTATCCAAAACCAAATGTCGAAAAGCCCGCTCAGAAATGCCAGCCACAGATTCATACTCAGTGCATGAGTCTGAGCTACCCTGTGCGGATGATTGACTTTGCCGTTTCTCCCACTCATGGAATGCAGAGGGTTGAACGCCATATATTTCACCAACGGTAGCAAGAAGAAGACGTACACTCTTTTCCATATTCCCTGGACCAATATCGAGTGCATTTACATCGAATGTGGTATCACTGAGAGATGCCAGTCCTGCTGCTGGATGAATTCCCACCTCTGCAGCGCCGAGCTTACGGGCTTGCACCAGGCTGGGAACCATCACTGTGAGAAGCTCACGCATAATGAAAGCCTTTTTCCGAGGCAGATCAAGTGCATTGAGAACAGAAACAACTCCTACAACGATAGGCACTGCATCAGTAGCAGGCAAGTCGGCACCTGGAGCGAGGGGTAAAGCTCGATACAGAAAGTTTGCAATGTCTGATTTGCGAAGCAATACCGTTCCACGTGGAAGCTCTGGATGGAGTAAGGGAATCAGAGGTTCATTCATAACAATATGTTTGAGAGCATTGTCATCCAAGGAGCCGTCTCGGATGCGGGCTGACACTAGAAGCCTTGATAACCGAATGACTGTTTCAGAGTACACCAACTGGGGCAATGGCTCGTCTGTAATATGAGCCGCTCGATTGTATAGATTCAGAATAGTGTTTGAAACGTCGGGCAACAAATTTGCGAGGTTTTGAAGGGAGATCACGCGGTTACCAGATGTCAGAGTAGACATTGAATCTCTATGCGACTTTGAAGATTTGTCGATGACAGGGTAAAGGACCGAGGGGATCTATTTATGAGCGAGCTATGTAAGTGATCCGTTGTGGGCACTTTACTTCATAACATCTCCTGCAACATACCTGAAAGTCCATACCAGCCCACCCAAGCATGATAAGACATAGAAGAATCGATTCCAACGCTTTACCATGCCAGATATAGTCACTACTCGCGCGGGCATTGTTCACTGCCTCGATCAACTCTTTTAGTGCATCGTGCCACCTTCCTGCCTGCAGGAAAAGAGTTCCAATGACAACTCCTGCCCGTCCCTTGATCCGATTCTTGGTTCTATCAGTCGCGCTCACGCCACTGACTGACATTCGCTCACGGCTGTGCTCCTTAGCCGAAGAGATTGACGGGCTTTTACTTCCAGAATGTGACCGCGTCAGATGGATAGAGCGAGTAATCTCGTCAAAAGTTGTAGCGGTTTCGGAATTGGGGGTTTGTGTGCCAGAATCAGGCGCTGTTGGCGTTTCTGGTGTGCCATTGGGGTTTGAAGGCAACTGCGCAGGAAGCGTCATGCGATGTAATAATCGATCGACTGGCCTAGGACGCAGTTCTGTATTCCGGGATGGTCCCCACGAGGATGTTTTGGGCGATTCTATCGTTGGGATTGCTTGAGTGGTTTTTGCGAACTCGTCCAACTCCGACAATAAGATCGAAGTGACATCACATAGAACTGTTTTCATTGTAGTGGCCTTTGACGTTTCGGGGGATGGAACCCATAGCACATTGTCTGGTCCATTCGTGATTTTCTCCAATCCATCATAATTGAAAACTAGCAGCTGGTGCACGAGTGCTCGTGGACTCTTCTCCTTTATTCCATTTAGATCTTCTAAAAGTTCCTCGATTCCTTCCGGAGTTGGGTGGGGTTTCTTAGAATCCGAGCTCTGGGGAAGCTCAGCTCCATCCGCAATAGCAATAATCACCAATGGTTCTCTGTATATTTCGAAGGGGAATAGCTCAAGATGCGACGTGGGGGGAACCGAGAAGGTAAGGTCGTATAGAATCATGCCTGTGGGAAATGCAAGCGGCGAGAACATATCTATAGAGAAAGAATGTCAGTTCCTCATGTCAATAAATAGGTTTCATTATGATATTTTGCGGTTATTGCGTACTTCGATTTGGTCGAGCATCGGGACTAATGTCCCCCAACCGAACAACATTTTCAGCTTGAAGTCTGGCTGCAAAGCTCACAAAGCGCGAGCGCTTGATTCTGCCAATTGGCAATAAAAGCGCTCTTAAGCGCGCTGGCGCAATAGGGGACAATGGATCAACTCCCATGCTGTCATTTAGGAGAGACTGGGGCGCTGGCGGTGGGTAATCTCAAGCCCGCTTGCACAACAGTCTTGATTTTGGACCTTGCTTGTACAAGGGAGGTGGTGTTGAAGAAAGTGAAAGATATGTATGAGCTGTGGTACCAGATTCCCGCTGTTATAATTGCACTAAACCACGCTCATACCATGAAGACCAATCGTGCATCTGCGCATTGATGCTCCTGAAGCCGCAATGGATCAATGGAAACATTGCTGACATAAGTGGGCTGATCTAATCGCCCGATAAGAAGCGATAAGGCCTGGCCTCCGCGGCCTCTCCGTCAGGTACTTCCAGTTCTTATTTGCCCCGGAGACTACGGACTACACCCAGCGATCTTTGTGTTGATTTTTTTGCATTCGTTCGGAACCTGCCTGTCGTCTTTTGCATCTTTCATTTATACCGAGAGCTGCATTTCTTGTTTGCGCACCCACTTTACTACCATTTAACGACTTGTTTACCTACGGAGCTTCGGAGGATGACCTAGGCTTACGCATTCATACCTATAGTTGGACCTATGATCGGCTATCATCTCACTAGGCTTTTGGTGTCTCTGGAAATTAGACATCATTATGGCTCTGAACATTGATTTCAACGCCCTTAAGGCGCGGACCATGGGGTCTGGTGCCGATGAGGAAGCTGTAACGGTGGACACCCGAGGTTTGATTTCTAAAGTCCTAGCTCGGTATTCAGGGAAATGGTAACTATCTACGAATATAGCCCTTGGAAACATATTGAACAAAGAGTCTAACAAGCTTTTTCTAGGACTGTTCTACGAGAAATGATTCAAAATGCCGCCGATGCCTCAGCAACAAAAGTGACAATCAAGTTCGAAACGTTACCCTCTACCACCGTTCCATCCCCCTCATCCACAGATCCAACTGAACAAATAAAACATACGGTTTCAAACCATACCTTACAACGTTTATTGATTTCAAATAATGGTCTCCCCTTCAGCGAAAAGGACTGGGCCCGGTTAAAACGGATCGCGGATGGGAATCCCGATGAGACTAAGATTGGAGCATTTGGTGTAGGATTCTACAGTGTTTTTGATGACTGCGAAGAGCCATTTGTTTCCTCCGGTAATCAGGCCATGGCCTTTTACTGGAAAGGCAACGCGCTGTTCACTCGACGTTTGGATCTTGGTGATACATCGAACAAGGACACAACCTTTGTACTGGATTATCGGAATGATTCTTCTCCTGTTCCATCATTGCTACAACTATGCCAATTTTTGGCTAGCAGCTTGACCTTTGTCGCTTTACAGGGGATAGAATTGATGATCGACGATTGGAGTCTCTTGCAATTGTCCAAAAAGACTGCCCCGGGCGTCAACGTGCCTATCCCCAGAGATATCGAAACGAAAACGGAAGACGGTCTCATGAAAATTATGGGAATCACACAAGAGATTGCTCAAGTTGATGCGTCCTGGATGCGTATCGTGGAATGGAATCCACATGCAAGTTTGATTAGTCTCGACAACCTACGCGACACCACGAGCTCATTACGAACATTTTTCTCGAAATTTACAAGCCAAGGCGCATCTGAAAAGGCTGTGCAATCTCAAAAGGCTCAGGCGCCTGAAGAATCGGGTAACATGACTACGTTGGTGAAGGCGTCGGTGTTCCTGCATATCAACACCGCATCAATTCAACCCTCGATTGGCCATAGCCTGAGCAAAGAGCTTGAAAGAGCCACCCGAAAACCACCGCCGAAGAAAGCCACAATCGCGATTTTGACGCCTTCTTATGATGCAAACATTTCCACCGGCGAGTCTGCATCCAAGTCAGAAATCCTTGCGTCTATTCTACCTTCAAGAGGAGGTCGGGTATTTATCGGATTCCCTACGGCACAGACCACAGGGTTGAATGCTCACATTTCGGCACCATCCGTCATTCCTACAGTTGAACGCGAAAGCATCGATCTGAATACTCGGTACATTAGTAAATGGAACATTGAGATGTTGCGAGCTGTTGGAATAGTGTGTCGAATCGCATGGTCTGCTGAAATGGCTACCATAAAATCCAAACTAGCAGCCAAAATTGGACCGGAACGCTCCAAGGTTCGCAGAGAGGATATAGTGGACGTCCTTCCTGAGTCAATCCACACTGCGAATCAATTTGTCTTTCGCGAGTCAACCCCATCCTCAGCTCTCGGCCAAACCATTGAGGACGCCTTTTGGATGTGTAACAAGAACGCTTCGATCGAAATTCTCTCTACGTGCGGTGTCATCCCTAGTCACCAGACACGCATTGCTCCCAAGGATCTCAGCTTCATGGACTCGATTCCGGCCCTTCCCGAAGAATTGGTTTTGAATGCAAAAGACTTTGTTAAAAAGCTGACAGATTTCGGCTTGGTCACTGAAATTACCGTCTCTGACATCAGACGGGAACTTGAAGCCAGTACCTTACCTGCCAAACATATCGTCGAATTTTTGAGTTGGTTAGGCCACAAAATATTGACAGGGCAGCTTGATAAGCATTCAGTTCAGAGCCTTCTCCGGGTTGCTGTAGCCAACGATGAAGATGAAGGTGGGAAGTCCACCCGCTTGATCGTTTTTGCCGATATTAGCGGCTTTTTGAACCCACAGCGAATCCCAGCAGACTTACCGGTTCCATCGGCTATAATGCCTTTTAGATTCACCAAATCGATTGGGAAACAAGAGCTTGAAGCTTTAGGTTGGGTTGAATTGCAGGTTGTGCCCTGGCTTCGCTGGCTTGTGATGAACGCTCAGGACCGCAGCTTGTTGTCTTCAGACCAAGATATTACCCAGAGCGCCTCATTCTCAGGACAGATTCTTCCCGTCTTGTCTAGACAATGGGAGCTCCTAAGCCAAGCCTCGAAACAGACTGTGATTACCATGCTTCAACCCAAGACAGTAATCCCAACTAAGCTTGGGATGAAGCAGCCTGATCAAACATATTTTCCCTCTGTGCGCCTTTTTGATGATCTGCCTGTTGTGCATGGTCTGAATGGCGTTAAAGAAAAGATTCTGGTATCGCTGGGTGTTCGCAAGACTGTTGAACTAGGTGTAATCTTTGATCGGCTCATAAATGCTACAAGCTCCAGTGATTCCAAAGACTCCACAGCCCGTAAATGGAATCATGTGGATCTCATTCGCTATCTCACGTCAGTACGTGAAGATATTCCTTTAAATGATATCCAAAGGCTGAAGAATACAAGCATTTGCACTGCAGAAAAGATGGGAGACACGCAGCCTGGTACTCGCTACAAAATTTCTCAATTATATGAGCCGAGAGACTCACTTCGCGCGCTGGGTCTTCCCATAATTGAATGGCCAGGCGTTTACAACAATACGAGTAACGAAGGAAAATTTCTCTCTATGATGGGTCTAATGAAATACCCAACAGGTGCCGAGCTTATTGGGCTCATGATCAAGAGTGACACAGAGAAAGACAGTCCTCGAAAGACCAAAGCCTTGTCTTACTTTCTGAATGAGTATCACACCAACGGATATGCGGCATTTGACACCAGTGCAGTCGGGGTGCCATTTCTCCCAGTTGAAGGTTCAGACAACCGTGCTGTGCCCAAAAAGTGCTTTACAGATGAAGGCGCCGCACTGTTCGGCTTTCACATCCTTCAAAGGCACCTCCATCCTCATGCTTCTAAACTAGGAGTTAAGCCCCACCCCCCTATGTCTGAATGCCTTGAAGTCCTCATCAAACAACCTCCAACCACCCCGAAAGAGGCTAGTGTTATTTTTAAATACTTGGCTGGAAGAGGCTCTGAGTTGAGCCGGCGCGATGTTGACCGAGTTGGAGAGTCTTCGATCATCCCCATTATCACAAAGACTCAGTCAGAGAAGGGTCAGAGGACACGATTTGTTGCGCCTAAACTCTGTTATCTTGGTGATGGGGAAGACTACAAAGATATTTTTGACTTTGTTGATTTTGGACAAGAAGCAAACTTTTTCCTCTTGGCTGTTGGCTCCAGGCGAGAACCTACGAAGATCGAGATTGCACGAATGCTGGTCAAAGAACCAGCACGCATTTCAACCGCATTCCAAAGCTCCGAAAAATACCTGATGCTTTTACGAACTCTTGCAGAAAATCTCTCCTTACTCAAGAAAGATAACGATCTGTTCAATGATATGAAAAGAGCTAGATTCTTGCTAGCAAGCCGTGACATTCCACCTCAAGATACTAACAAAGATGGGAAGGGAAAATCAGTTGAAACGGAAGCTCTAGATCCAGATGAGGATTTGGATATTCGAGAGTGGAGTTTGGCCGCAGCGAAAGACATCATGGTGGTAGATGATTTCCAGAGTTTCAATTTGTTCAAAGAACACATTCTTGCCGCGCCCCAGGAAGAAATATTGGAAAATTTCTATCTCGCTCTTGGCGCCCATCCACTTAGCAAACTTGTTGAGGAACAAGCACGATTTGGAGGCGTTGCAGCTGATCAAAAGCTGGCTCTCAAATTACACAAGATCATCCTGGAACGAGCACGCCTATTCTTACATGACCAACCCCCGGATGCCATCCAACACGGAGCTCGATGGCTGGAACATGACTTCAGTGTGCAAGTTGTCAACTCCATCACGCTCACACGATCGCTCAAGGGCAGACGAGTATCTCACACCCAGAAGCGGAATGCTATCGTGGCCCGCCTGTCCAACAGCTGGGGCCTATGTATTAATTCCGGCAAGTATGACTTGTATGAAATTAGCCAATCTCTGGTTCACTTGATCCTGAAGCGACCCAAGCTTCATTCAACCCTGACATTGGAGATGTTGTTGAAAACAGACCTTCTTGAGCTTCGTGCTCGAGGCTACAATGTGGAACGGATCCTTAGACAGAAAGCCCAGGAAGCTCGAATTACAGAAGACAAAAGGCAGAAACAGCTCGAGGAAGAAAGACAAGCTATACAGGAGAGAGAGGCCACTTGGGCTGCTGAGCAGGCTCAACGATCAAAAGATGAACAGCTGGAACGCCAATCGCAAGCTTCTATGCCCGGCTTCTTTCCCGAGTCTCCAAATAACCAGCAAAATATAGAAGAAACACAAAGCACGCCTCCAGATCCCGCTTTACCCGGCAGGGCTCCCCGTGGCCTATTCTCTGGGCTCACCAAGCGATTACTAGAAGGCCGTTCGGGAACAACCCCGAGTCCGAATCCTGGGCAGTCTCGTCCTTTACTCCCGGAGTCCACCGACGCTCCTCCACCCCCACCTTATTCCTCCGAAGATCCGCAGAAGCCACGTCCAGAGCAGCCTGCGTCTGTATCTCCACATCGATTGCAGAACGAACTCCTTTCTGCTGTGCAGGCTTGTCGTCCTCACAGTTCATCGGACGTTTTCAGCCGCCCGGAGGTCAACCAGATCTCGGCAAGTGAATCATACTGCGATGAACGGCCTGGTCAGAATTTAGAATTCGTGGCGACACTTCCTAGTGGAGTTAATGTGTTGTTTGTTAAGACTATTACCGAGCGATCAGCTTTCCTGGCAAACAATCGCACTGGCATCAACATGTTCGCATCCGTGCTTCTTGACTGTGGCTCTATTTTTTCGATGCGAGCAGATAGTTTAAGCATCTTCTATGACCCAGGTAGCAAGACCATTGCATTTAACCGGGCTGGCAGCATCTTCTGCAATTACTTCTACTTCCAGAAGTTGCAAGAGCAGCCATTGCTTCAAAATTCTACACCGGATCGCACGGATGCTATCGTCTACTGGTGGGTCACCCTTTGTCATGAGCTAGCACACAACCTTGTGAGCGACCACAGCTCCGCTCATAGCTACTACACCGAGGGCTTCGTGGCTCAGTATTTCCCCAAGGTGGCTACTAAACTCGCCACTCTCCAATCCGCAGCGAATCCGCCGAACGCGGCATGATCAATGACCTGCTTTCTCCTTATTTGATTTCTTTTGATACAATCGGATACCCTATCTCGCTAGAAGATCCCCCATTAGCAATTATGCCCAAGTATATAAAGTCTCTAGAATTCCCATAAAGCAAGATGCGTGGCCAACCGTGTCCATCCACTTACTCTATCTTACTCTATCGGTTCCGGTGGTACCCGCTTTTTGCCTGCAAACTCCCCAACCTTAAATTTTTTTTCACGTTTTACGTTTCAACTTTCACCCGAGGACAATGCATTGTTAGATTCATAATTCAATTTCAAAAATCACACAAGCCGTGAAACAAAAGCCATGAGGTGAAACCCCAGCACATGCTTGATCTTCCGCGGGAAACGGGCTTAAATCGCCGAACCTAAAAAGTCGAAATTGCCTGCTTCCGTGCGGCATAGACCCGGTATCCGAAGACTACATAAAGTGTTAGCCCTGTGAGATACAGTAGTGCAGGTGCTTATTACATGGCAGTCTTTTCTTTTTTTCTTTTTCTTTACTTACTTGAGATATCACAATCTATTGTCTCGGCCGTTGAGCGATACTGATATCAATCCCGCCAGGGCCGCCACCCCGCAGTGACTGACTCCATTCCACCATGGCGCCGTTACTAGGCAGTTGGGATGGTCCAACTACTTCAATTTCTCAAACTGGCCCACTCAAGAGCGTTTTGTATGTCGATGCATATGACTCATTTTCATACAATGTTGTCGCGATGCTCGAAGAGACTCTGGGCGTTAAGGTTACCGTGATGACCATTGACTCAGACTGGCCCGATGGGAATATGAACGAGTTTCTGCGCCATTATGAAGCAATTGTTCTAGGACCCGGCCCGGGAAATCCCAACTTGCCGAAGGACGTTGGTATTATGAAAGACATCTGGGATCTTCAGAATGACGAAGTACTTCCAGTTCTGGGAATCTGCCTCGGGTTCCAGAGTCTATGTTTGCATTACGGGGTGCCAATTGAACGCCTTCCATATCCTCTCCATGGTCGGGTCTATGAAATCTCAACGGCCTCAAAAGATCTATTTCACAATATCCCTAACGTGGAGGTAACATTATATCATTCTCTATATGCCAACTTAGATGCGTCAGCCTCTCCGCCGACATCGGCCGTTGACGATCTGGAATTTTTGGCCTGGCTCTCATTGGAAAAATCAAGCAGTCACATAAAGAAGATACCAATGGCAGTTCGCCATCGTCAAAAGCCCATTTGGGGTGTTCAGTTCCACCCCGAGTCTTGCAAATCAGAAAAGGATGCCTGCAGACAGATCCTCCATAATTGGTGGAAAATGGCACTCAGCTTCAACAAGTCTGTTGGAAGAGAAGCATATGCCTCCCTACCCGAGACCATCATCAGTCCCCAGGATGAAATCAACACGTTCCCAGATATCGCTTACGAGATGTTGAGATGGAGTAACTCGACTTCAAAGGCCTCAGTTTATCGATCTATCGAACGAGGAGACTTGACTGCAGAGACCATCAGCGAGTTGTTCAACAAACCAGGAGCTCCAACAGTAGTATTTCAGTCCAATAACCGATACAGTATTGTCTCGATTCCCAGCCATAATTCTTGGAGGCTTGAATACAGCGCAAAGCTGGAAAAAGCTACCATGTATCGATTACGCGACGAGACGCAAACGCTTGAGAAAAGCCTCACAGTCGCTCAACTCTGGGATGCCCTCCGTTATCTAATGGAGGCAAAGAAGGTTGATTCCGGAAGCATTCAAAGTCCTTTCTGGGGTGGATTCCTGGGCTACTTTTCTTACGAACTGGGCCTTGCATGTCTACCTCACCCCAAAGATTCACCACAAACACTCGCTTCTCACAAAAATTCGACCGACAATTCTTCATCAAATTTAGATATCGAGGATCCGCCGGATGTTAGTCTGCTGTGGTGTGAAAGAAGTATTGTTGTAGACAATGAGACAGGTACTGTCATTGTACAGTCTACTTGCGACTCGGATGAACACCCTGATAATTGGCTTGGTGAATCCTTGCAACTCCTCAAATTTCATGCCAGAAAAGTCGAAGATAATGGACAGTCCGACCTCCAATTTTTGGATTCGATTCTCCGCCATGGTATCATTTCATTTCCTGATGAAATGGATTACAAGAACCGAATCAAAGCCTGCAAAGCTGAATTAGAGGCCGGCGAATCCTACGAGTTATGTCTTTCCTGTGAGACATCAATCATTCTACCATCTCCGACAACAGAATCCGATCGTGCTGTGTTTCCCTGGAAACTATATAGGCGACTCAAGAAGTATAATCCTGCTAGATTCAGTGGATTCGCAGATCTAGGCCAAGTGAAGATCGTCAGCAGCAGTCCGGAATGTTTCCTCAATTGGGATCGCGAGTCTATGCTTGAGATGAAGCCCATGAAAGGGACAGTACGAAAGTCTCCCGATATGACACTAGCCAAGGCCAAAGAGATTCTCGCGTCAACGAAGGAGATGGCAGAGAACCTTATGATAGCTGATCTAATTCGACACGACTTGTACGGCATCTGTGGGCCTGGTGGAGTGCATGTTGAAAAGCTTCTTGAGGTCGAGGATTATGGTCGAGTCTACTCCATGATCACACATGTCAAAGGTCAAATTCGTCCAGATCAATCTGGATATTCGGTTCGCAAGATTCCTCAATTGAAGACAACAAACATGTCTGTTCATGGTCTCACAACCTTACAAAAATGTCTCCCGCCCGGATCCATGACCGGTGCGCCCAAGGAGCGCTCATGCATGCACCTTGGCAGAATTGAAGGTCGCAAGCGTGGAATATACTCTGGCGTGATGGGCTACCTTGACCTTGGCGGCGGTGGTAGCTTCGCGGTCATGATTCGCATGGCGTTCACTTGTGGCTCTTCGGATGCAGAACGCCAACAAAGTTGGCGGATTGGTGCTGGGGGTGCCATTACTACTTTAAGCACGGCGGAGGGAGAATGGCAAGAGATGTTGACCAAGCTGCGTACTGTTGGCAATATCTTTGCTCCATTCGATGCCCAGTAAGAGACTGGAATGAGGGGTCTCATCGTTTCTAACAATATATTTCACTGTCTATATCTATCAGACCGCGGGACACTTTGAATGTGTCTTCAACATCCGCGTCTTGCATCTATCCATTTATCATAGAGGAGTCAAACTCCAATTAATTCAACATAGAGCGCTGGAGCGAGGGCGTTAAATTTCAATCATTCTGGAATCACTTGGCTGCATGAATACGTAAATGATAAATACATGTACATCAAAATAATTATTAGCGCTTACGATACAGATAGCGGTATACTAGTAAACGTCAGTAGGTATAAGGCCAAGGGCTATCGGCGTACATGTGCAAACAAGCTAAACATGACTTCACCGCGGCCTCCGCCCTATCTAATCTTGAGATCGTCCATGCGTTGTCGATTTCTTTCATCTGGTCATTATTCTCTTCGCCTTTCTCGATTTTCCAATACGATAGTCCTTCGGGGTATTATTTGGTGATTGAAACTCCCGGTATGGCTAACCAAGATACCTCAATGGAGGAAATCCTCTGGCGGTCTCCCCCGCACGTCCAGATGATGGGAGGTTTCCTACACTCGAATAACAGTATGCCCAGTGCTCTATTAAAACAGCAATTAAATCAAGAGCTGACAATCTGACTGTGCAAAGTTCTCTTTTATTTTGCGGAATCTCCATTCTTCGACCCAACCTCCAACAACGCCTCCCTCGCTATTCAAGCCAACTACAACGAAGCCTTTCGCCATTTCGTCGAGACTCGTGAAGCCTTTGAGGCGCGTTTGAAGACCATGTCAGGTCTAGAATTTATCGTTTCACACGATCCCTTACAGGCAGCCGCGCAGTCAAACACGCGCTTCGCTAACGAGCCCTCCAATATATGGGTGATCCGAAAGCAAAACCGGCGCAAGCGGACAGGAGCTGATGATGAGGTGACCGTGATTTCTACCTATTTTATTGTGGGTGACTGTATATACATGGCTCCCTCTGTGGCCAGTGTTGTAAGCAACAGAATTGTATGTTATTTACGTTCCAACTCAATATTTGCCGTGACTACCTGCTAACCGACATGTTCCTCTAGCTCTCGGCCGTCACTTCTCTATCACGACTCATGAAGACAGCCTCTACACTACCCACCTTCACATCATCCTACGGACATACATACTTGCCACCTGTAACTCGCGCGACCACCGAGTCCGGGGCGCAGGCGTCACAACAAAGCAAAGAGAGCACGCCCATGACCGACGCAGCACCGCCTTCCACAGCCGACACACAAACAACAAATAAGACTGGGCTAGGGATCTCAACGACCAACTCCAGCTTCCAAGATACACGGAATCTAGCCGAATCATTCAATTTGTTCACCCAGTATGGAGATGAATATATGGATGAGACCCCACTTGTGGGAGAACCAGGCTCCTTTATAATGTCTCGCGTGGGTGGAGACAATGAGCGAGCGGCCAAGAATCCAGTCATGTCCAAGGCGCCTCTCGGTGTGACTAGCAGCAGCACCCCCGGGCCACCTGGTAGAGTCTCAACTCCGCAGGTCCGGGTTGATACGCCTGGGAAAGCATCCGACAAAAGCAATTCCCCGCCTAGCTCGGGCGAGAATAAAGGAAAACGGAAGAAAAGTCGAGTTGTCAGCTGATTTACATTTTATGATACCCTCGTTGTGCTACATAAAGGAACTCTGGGCGTTTTCTTGGTAGATCCAAAAGGATCCAAATTCTCTCATCTATGCACACATGACATACTACCTGCTCAATGCTCAATGCTCAATGCTCAATGCTCAATGCTAGATTAAATATACTTCAAGGCAAGCCGATTTGCTCTGGGTAGCTAGTGAGCAGCTGATCACGGCCTAGACCTTCTACGTCCATGTAAACTGACGTAGCTCCACTCGGATCTTTTTCTAAGAGTTAATATTGGAGACGCACAATCCCCGTAACATTTTCGCTGAGCCTGTCGACTTGACTGATAAAAAAGCAACGGGCCAGTGCAGCCAATGAAATGACCAACGTGCAACATTTGAACATTTGAACTATTACGGATCTATCTTATCGCAGTGGAACCAGTTCTAGCCACAGTTCCAACAAGTAGTACCCGCTCCCGCCCTCTTCCTCGCCACTTCCTCTCTTACTTTCCTCTCCTGTGAAACATTTAGTGCATATATAGATTCTCCTTTCTTGTCCTTGGATTTTATACACAGACATCTTTAATACTTTCCCATCATGACTCAAGACAAACAGCCCGTGATTTGCGTTTTGTGAGTCAGACCCTTCCTCAAAGTCATACCCCCTCATACCCCTCATACTCCTCATGACTTCGGAGACCATGATAAAAGTCATCATCCAAGAAATCAAACTAACATATATTGGTATATAGCTGTGGTGCCACACCTGGAAACGATCCGATTCACCTTGAAGCCGCCCGAACCCTCGCCTTTGAACTCCACAAACATAATGTCCAGCTAGTATATGGCGGCGGCACAACGGGGCTAATGGGCGAGGTCGCCCGGACACTCGTATCTCTATCAGGCCCAAAGGCTGTACACGGTGTGATCCCCCGCGCGCTCGTTAAGATCTCTACAAAGAGCAACGGCAACGGCAATGGCGAAATAGCACCCAATGGCGCCGGCGCGGGCAAGGCCGCAGAACGGGTAGTATCGGAGGCTATGGCAGAAGACGATGGAATCCCCGAATCCGAGTATGGGGTTACAACAATTGTGCCAGACATGCATACACGCAAGCGGCTGATGGCGACCAAGGTGCTTGAGGGAGGTCCTGGATCTGGGTTCGTGTCATTGGCTGGTGGATTTGGAACCATCGAGGAGGTGATGGAGATGACAACCTGGAACCAGCTGGGGATCCATAAGGTCGGGGTGGTACTACTCAATATTAATGGATACTGGGATGGGTTGTTGTCGTGGGTTCGGACTGCTGTGCAACAAGGCTTTATCAGCACAGAGAACGGCCGGATTCTCGCTGAAGCCCGAGACCCCAAGGAGGTTTGTGGAAAGCTTTTAGAGTATCACGTTAGCAGCGAGCGGATGCAGTTGAACTGGGGCGAGGAGTGATATATTCTTAATTCATTTTCGGTCGAATCTGCCATCTGGATACCCTATGGTGGGCTTGGACCACTATGCCAATTGCCACCCAGGTGCCTAACCCCGGAGGATTAAGCTATTAGTATTAGACTAAGGCTACCAATGTAGAATATAGTCCATGACATATAGTACGAGATAGTAAATGGTAATGATGTAGATAGATGGTGTTTGTAATACCAGTCGTTATTAGCAGATGGAAAGATTCATTTCCTATCATATACAATTTTCATATGCACATCCTGATGTTGATATTTACTATAGTACTTCTGTTTTGGAAATGATTGAAATGAAGTGGAAAAAGTGTATGCATTAAAACAACTCAACGCCCTGATGCACCCGTGGATATCATGATCTCACTTGATACATAAATAGCCCTTAAACCCCTTGGAATAATGATACATGAACCCGCAAATTAACCTTATAGTACAAAACTGGGAATGACATCTATTAATGTACAAGAGTGGGACGATACCATCCCCGAAAATCCACAAATCAATCACCAACAGAGATGCCTCATCACTATGGAAGGCAACCAGTCAAACAATGCCATGAGGAATCATAATTATGTCGACGTGTCATACGTCACAACACCATGCTCTTCATCCAGCGCATTTTCCTGGGCGCGGTGAGTCCGACCTTTTTTACTGATTTCTTGCAGACGCCGGATATACATGTTGGTTGTAGAATCGACCTCATCCTCGCCACCGGTATCAAGACACTTCTGGCGACGGGTTTGGCACATATTATACAGAGCGCGACCCTGGGTTGGGGAAAGCTCACTCAACTCATAGTCGACGACCCATTCATCATTCTCGGTTAATTTCTCGGGTCGTTCAACAATCTTGCCGTTGACTTTATTTTGAATTGTTAAGGCCATGGCAATAAGTTCGGTTTCTTCCTCCGCCGGTCCTTCCGTGTTGCTCAATTTATCATCCAAGGGAGCGTCTGAGTCAAATACAGGATCAGAAGTCGTATGTGACTCCGGCTTTGTTGTTGTGGCGGTTTCGGTTTCTGACGTTTTATCAAGATTGGATTCGCTGGTTTCGGGTGTCTTCGGGTGGAGATTCAAAATGCGCTGCTGGTAAGCTTCAACCTTGTCTTTGTTTTTGGTTTGAATGGACGATATCTGCTCCTTGGTGACAGGCTCAGCGAAGATGTACATGAAGGGTGTTACTGCGTCTCGGGTTTCGAAGTGAAGACGAAGGGATTTCTTCGGGAAGCGCTCGGTAACCTTGTCGAGGACCTTGTTCCATAGTCCCAGACTGAGCTGAAACTCGGCATCTCCCAGGGCAGTGTCTGATTGACCGTGCAGAGACTGGTCCATCTCAGGTAGACTGACATACTGAAAGCCGAAGATACGTTCAATATTATGGAACGCAACGAAGATACCATCCATGCGACCAATACGCACTTGTAAAGAGTATTTCAAGAATGCGGCCCGGATCATATCGAAGTATTCACGCTCATATGATTCGTATTCGCCATGGAGTCCCTTGATCTCATAGCCGAGTCCGCGTTCGAAATTTTGTGCATCCATTCGAATAGAAACTACAGCTCGGGTCTTCAGATCAAACATACCAGTGCCGGGTAACCTTGGATCATACGCATCAAGTTGGGAGCGCATAATGAAATCTCCCATGGTAGAGAAATGGTAAGATTCAGGGACTGCGCTTTCCTCCTCGGGTGTGACTTTATTTTCGTGCGTTCGACGGTAGCGTTCAAAGTCCTCTTTAGGCATGGTAAGCAACTTCTCCATCGACTTGCCAAGGTTCATGAGGATATTGGCTGAGTCAAACTCCTTATCGGCATCAATAGAATAAGCACCGTCTTGATAGTGAAGGAACATGGCGGCCGGGGATCGAAGCAAACGAGTGAATGTGCGCAGCTTGTCGGGGAAGCCTTGGGAAACCATGCGAGTGTCGATGCCTCTCCAAGCTGAAAGCAAGTAGTGGAATTGCGAAAGAACCGATGTCATGCTAGATGAAGAGCCGGCGTACTTTTTTCCTTCCTTGATAGCAATGTCTCGAAGTGTCATGTCCTTAGATGAGGTGATGTATTCTTTGAGGGTGTTAAAGTCGAATTCGGTTACCGGCATGATGGAACCTAAGTAGGGATCGAAGTTGTAGACGCGGGATCGAGGGTCTCGTAATTGATAAACTCCAGGGCTGCATGGTGTTAGCATATCACTGAACCATTAGAACTAGGGATACAAAAAGGCCTTACTTGAAAAGAACTCTGTCAAGACCAAATGACAGGCCAGGAACGGGCGGCTGGGGAACATCAAGCGCTGTAAATAGTTAGAACATCTTCAGCTGCGTATAATAAGGCTCTAGGACTCACGCTGCACTTTTTCTTTCATGGTCAAAGAGCCCGTGAGCTTGTTGTTAACGAAGGGCGCAAGATGTGGAAGTTTTCTAAAAGTATTCTTCTGGCTCTGGTTCTCAGACTGTTCAACCAATTGTGAGATTTTATTGATCACTTTCTTGCTTTTCTTCGTCTCTTCTCCAGTTTTCTTCTTGTCTTCCCCGGTTTTCTTCTTCACGTCTCCAGTTTTCTTCGTCTCGTCTCCATTGGAATCTTTGCTACTTTTGTTTGGTTTCTTGGCCGGTGGTCGTGCCTTGAGTTTGCTCTGCGAGCCGGATCGATGTTTCGGCTTTTGTTTTTGCTTTGGTTGTTTTGATTCCGCATTGCCGCCTTCCGATTGACTCGTTGATGAAGAATTGACCTATACAAAATTAAGTTGAGCATTGGTCTGTATACAGGCGACATTCTTTGTCCGCGGTTAAGAATCGATGATGGACATACCGTTTTCACCCCATCAGCGTCGGAGTTTTGTGTTGAACTAGCCAGCGCAGGTTGACCATTCAACCAAGGTCCTTGTCCACTTGATGTGAAGCGTAGCGGGGATGCGCGATGGAATTGGCGTGAGGTGCCTGGCGCGGCATTTCGGCGAACTAAACAGGAGAGACAAATGTAGTCTTTAAGAGGGTCTGAGACCGCTCGCAACGATGTGCGAAGCATACAGACTGTGTTATGAAAGCGAATGACGGAAAGAACGGAAAACGAAAAAGAAAAGAAACCCGTCAAAAATGACCGGGATATTGGGATAATCACAGCATTGAAAAGCTTCGGGGGATCAAGTTTTGGCGCGCATCAAAAAAAACTGCCACCGCTTTCCGATGGATACCTTGTTGCCTTGTTAATATAGCAAAAATCGATCTAACTATAACTAACTACGCAAATCCTAGTTGACCCAATAGAAAATAATTTTTTTAGCACGAATATTTCAATTGTGATGCTAGCTCTTGCTGTTCTACTTTACGCTCAAAAGCCTTTAATCTTCAAGTTACAACAAATCCAACTCTTGATCTGCTGTTGAGAAAGCTATGTATTGCTGATTATGATTGCCCTTTAGCGTTAAAGTATGCGGTTTTTTGCGTTTTTCGTTGTCAATATATGAATTTCTAGCACAAGTGTCCTTTTTGATTAATTCATCTTGCATAATCCTACTTTTTCCTTTTTATTCTCCCTTGGAGCTGTAATATCATCTCTTGAACTACCCTCGTAGTCGAATAGTGCACATAGTGAATGAAATACAACGGCTAAAAGTAACTTTATTGCAGCGGAAAAATGAGGCAGAAAAAAAAAGATTCCACCTGCAAAGAGTCACATTCTCATGCTCATTCCACTTCCCCCCGCAGTTGTTTGTGAGGTCTCTTAAAAAGAGGTGAGTGATTTCAAGTTCAGATTATTTCAATTGAACACTGCTCGATCAATTGCATTTCACCAAATTTCCCACGTCCCCTCTCTTCTCTCTCTATTCGACGAGGGGCAATTGTATACCCCGCGGTGGCTCCCACAGATCGCTAATCTCATAACAGTCAGTCAAGGCACTGCTATCAAAATGGCCCAAGAACAACTACGCATTCTTATTGTCGGCAATGGTGGCCGTGAGCATGCCTTCGCCTGGAAGCTAAGCCAATCGCCCCTCGTCGACATTGTGTATGTCGCTCCCGGCAATGGCGGTACTGGTCTGGGCACCTCAAGCAAGATCGTCAATGCCAATGTCAAGGGCGACAACTACCCTGCTTTGGTTGCATTTGCTCAGAAGAACGGTGTTAACCTCGTTGTTCCCGGCCCCGAGGCCCCTCTGGTGGATGGTATCCAAGGATACTTCCAAGCTGGTAAGTTAATCATACTCTTCTTCGCCGGCCGGTTATATAGAGTCACGGGTAATTATTAACACATACTTTTTTGTTTAATCAGTTGGTATCCGATGCTTTGGTCCTTCCAAAGCTGCTGCCCGCATGGAAGGCTCCAAGACCTTCTCCAAGGACTTCATGAAGCGCCACAGCATTCCCACTGCCGAGTTTGGCAACTTCTCCGACTACGAAGCCGCCAGTCGCTATCTCGATTCCGTATCTCACAACGTTGTTATCAAGGCTGATGGCTTGGCTGGTGGTAAGGGTGTTGTTCTTCCCACTACCAAGGAGGAAGCTCACCAGGCTCTGCGGGAAATGATGCTGGACCATCAGTTCGGCAAGGCTGGCGATGAAGTCGTGATTGAGGAATACTTGGAGGGAGATGAATTGAGCATTCTCACTTTCAGTGACGGCTACACTATTCGCTCTCTCCCCCCTGCGCAGGACCACAAGCGCATCTTTGATGGCGACAAGGGCCCCAACACTGGTGGTATGGGATGCTATGCCCCAACACGTATTGCGCCTAAGGAGGTGCGGGAAGAGGTTGACCGAACCATCATTCAGCCCTCCATCGATGGCATGCGTAAAGATGGATTCCCATTTGTTGGTATCTTGTTTACCGGTCTGATGATGACCAAGAACGGTCCCAAGGTTCTCGAGTATAACGTCCGTGGAGGAGACCCCGAGACTCAGACCTTGTTGCCTCTCTTGAGCGAGGACACCGATCTTGCAGAAATCATGGTCGCCTGTGCCGATCACTGGCTCGACGGTGTTTCAATTAAGATTGAACCCAACTACTCTACCACCGTCATTGGTGTTGCCGGTGGCTACCCCGGCTCTTACGCGAAGGGTACACCCATCACATTGGATCCTACCCCAGAGGGTACTCTTATCTTCCATGCCGGCACCACCCTGTCTGGCAACGAGCTGCAGACTTCTGGGGGCCGTGTAATTGCTGCTACTGCTACTGCCGCCACTCTTGAGGAGGCTGTAAAGAAGAGCTACGAGGGAATTTCCACTGTTCACTTCGATGGTATGTTCTACCGCAAGGACATTGCTCACCGCGCATTCCGTCAGACTGCCGACACCTCGCTCACCTACGCGGCTGCGGGTGTGTCCATCGACGCTGGAAACGAGCTGGTCAACCGCATCAAGAGCTCGGTCGGTCGTACTAAGCGCCCAGGTACCGATGCTGTCATTGGTGGTTTCGGAGGTCTCTTCTCGTTGGCCGCTGCCAACCCCCAGTACCACCCCCACTCACCAACCCTGATCGGTGCCATCGATGGTGTCGGTACCAAGCTTAAGGTTGCTCACTCCGTGGGTATCCACGACACCGTTGGTATTGATCTGGTTGCTATGAACGTCAACGATCTTGTTGTCCAGGGTGCCGAGCCTCTTTTCTTCCTTGACTGCTACTCTTGCGGTCATCTGGATGTGCCCACTGCCACCGCATTTGTTACTGGTGTCGCCGAGGGTTGTGTGCAGGCTGGTTGCGCCCTGATTGGTGGCGAGACCGCTGAGATGCCTGGTCTTTTCGTTGATGACAGCTATGACGCTGTCGGTGCTGCCGTTGGTGCCATCAACACCACCGGTGACCATGCTCGCCAGATCCTTCCCTACACTGACTCCATGCGCCCTGGGGATGTTCTCCTCGCCCTGGCTTCTTCCGGCCCTCACTCCAACGGATACTCTCTTGTGCGCAAGATCGTTGAGCGTGCCGGTCTGAGCTACTCTGACCCTGCTCCATTCACCATGCCCGGCCAAGAGGGTCAAGTTTCCGTGGGCCGTGCTCTCCTTACCCCTACTCGCATCTACGTCAAGTCTATCTTGAACGCCCTTGCCACTCACCCAACTGCTATCAAGGGTCTTGCCCATATCACCGGTGGTGGTCTTGTTGAGAATGTGCCTCGTATGCTCCCCGCTACTCTGACTGCTGACATTGACGTTCGTGCCTGGACTCAGCCGTCTGTTTTCAACTGGCTCCAGCGTGCCGGTAATGTCTCCGCTGCTGAGATGGCTCGTGCCTTCAACTGCGGTGTTGGTATGATTATCGCCGTGGACCCAGCTTCTGAGGCTGCTGTCCGTCAAAGCTTCGAGGAGAAGGGCGAGGAGGTCTACAGCATTGGTAAGCTTCGCGCTCGTGCCGAGGGTGAGGAGGGCTGCGTGCTGAGTGGCCTGGAGTCCTGGGCATGATTTGCTGGAACTTCTTCTCAAAATCCGTATTTTTTTTGACTTCTACAATTTGTTCCTTTTCTTGGTATATTTTGCATTCTCTTTTGTTTTCTTCTTTTTTCCTTTTCTCTCCCCTGCCTTTGAAAGGCCCCAATAAAAATGGACGAGTCCGAAACGACTGACGCTGATCCTGTATGATGGATGAAATGATACATATATATACTCCCACAATTTTATCCTGCAATGAGACTTTCTTATCAAAGACATGTCTTTACTTTTATGAACTGCCAGTGGTTTAACAAATAATCTTCCAACAGTGATCGTAACCATCAAATATCTAGAGTCGAATACGGAGTACTGGGTATGTATTTTACCTACCTGTTGATCCATCATATTGGGTCTTAATCGAGCTCGAACATTGAAGCTCAGTCTAAAAATAACCTCGTAGTATTATAAGCTTGGGAGCTCGGGAACATCTAGTATGGATGAGGCTGTGTATGTTGATAGGACCATAGGGCCGGGAGGCCTTAATCACGGGAACCTTGGAATGAGACAACATCCGCTTTTTAAGAGGACATCATAAACCAAAGGACCATGTGCCAACCATAGACTAAATTCTTAAACCTGCCAAAGATCTACATAAGCATAACCTAATTCTAAACTTTGTGTCGCCTTCTGCTCATAGGTGCGCTCGGCAGTAGCATGAGGCGTCCGGCAAAGGCGTCCAGCGATCCACTTCAGGCCTAATGGACTTCTTTACCATGCCAGTTCCAATTTGCTGGACACTGTAAAGGGTCAATGTAACTCCAGGCCTTATTCCAGACATAGCCTCTGATCTACACGTCACGGTGACTCCAGGTAAATCCGGTGACCAGCAAACATCCTGCAAGCAGGCCTTGCGACGAACATCAATATCAAGTAAATAATTCAAGTATAAAAGTATCCATTGATCTCATTTTTCATGTATATTCTCGTCAATTAAAGCAAGATACATTCCAATAAAGATACTGTTTTCTACATCTACACCTACACTTCAATTCTTACTCAATCACCATGAAGACCACCATCATCTCCACTGCTCTCCTGGCCGCTGCTAGCACTACTCTCGCAGCCCCCAGCACTGCCAATTTCAAGCGTGCCCTTCAATCCTTGGAGCTCAAGAACTTCTGGGGAAACCTTTACTCCCAAGAACTCCCCACAAGCTACAACATCGGGTTTGCCTTGAATGACCCCAACACCAACGTCAACACTGACTGCGATGCATTCTGGTATGTGCTTCTACATCTCGACTGTTATACATACAGAGTGAAAGAATCAAATACTAATTACATTGTAATAACAGGTCCCAGGGTCAAGCTGGAAGTTTGATGTTCAACTGCTCCAACCCAGCTTATCAGATTGGCTTCCCCAGTGGAATTTATAACATTGAGGACTTCGTTCTGCGTGTTTCTCGTGCTGATGGTACTGAGGCTGGTCAGAACACTGTCTCTGGTGATGATTGGCAGTGCACGAAGCATGATGGTTACCCCGAGGAAACCTGTGAGTGGGTTGGTGTTTTCAACATCAATTTGTCTGCTTCTTCTTAAGCGAGGAGCCTGAAGCATGAGATGTTTAGTTTGTTGGCAAATAGTAGATAAAGAATGGAAACTGGGACTTAATTGGCATTTACTTAGTATCTGGTGTTGCCCATAAGAATAGCCCTGGAGATGGTGCTTATACATAGCTGCAAATCATGTCTCTATTACATTGAAATATATGGATTGCCAATTCATACTACACACCGATCCGTGAACAACGGAAGTCATCACGCAATGTATCTCTGTTTAACTCTATCCATATCGGTAGCTTTTCGAAGATCCGTTACACATACTACTATATGTATCGTCCTAGCTTCCCCAAAATGCCTTGTCTACAAACTTTTTCACTTTAGGTGCGTAGATCATCATTTGAGCCTCAACCTCTTTGGAAAGCACATGGTCTAAATTTACGGAGACAGTGACAAAGGGCATAGCTCAAGACAATTTGGTCGGAGATACAACTCATAAGGCTAGAACAGGAAATAAAAGAAAAGGGCTAACGCGATCGGTGCCAACTCCATGTACACACATCAGCTACACCGAGGCGCGAAAGGATCTGCATCCCCAGGCCGTTTTGTAAAAGAAAACAAGCAACAGCGTTTCATCAGAGGGCGGAAACTCGCGACAACGAAGCACAGTTCGAAAAAATAAAAAGTAGGAACAGTAGGAGAGGAGGGAGGGCACGAGAGAGAAAAAGGAGAAAGACGACCGACTCTATTCCACTAAAATCGAGATTTCCATTTTCAGGCTATCCGCTTGGTAATGCGAGTCCAACAACGCTTGCTATCCACCAGTGCCTCCATCCGGCCTTTTAATACACCAGGAAAGTACGAGCGAAAACGATCAATGTAATCAAATAGCTTAGAAGCACTTGCGGTGCACAATGGAGGGACCAGACTCGTCGTACTCCTGCTTGGAGATCCACATCTGTTGGAAGGTGGACAGAGAGGCGAGAATGGAACCACCGATCCAGACAGAGTACTTGCGCTCGGGAGGAGCAATGATCTTGACCTTCATGGAAGAAGGAGCAAGAGCAGTGATCTCCTTCTGCATACGGTCGGAGATACCGGGGTACATGGTGGTACCACCAGACTAGTAGTTTTATGTTAGTAAAAGGTTCACGGAAGAGGTCAAAAAGAGAGAGAAAGGGAAAGATGAGAAACTTACCATGACAATGTTGCCGTACAGATCCTTACGAACATCAACATCACACTTCATGATGGAGTTGAAGGTGGTGACGTGGATACCGCCGCTCTCCAGACCCAGAACGTTAGGCTGGAACAGAGCCTCAGGAGCACGGAAACGCTCGTTGCCAATGGTGATGACCTGTCCGTCAGGAAGCTCGTAGGACTTCTCCAGGCTGGAGCTCTGGGAAGCGGTCTGGATCTCCTGCTCGAAGTCAAGGGCGACGTAGCAAAGCTTCTCCTTGATGTCACGGACAATTTCACGCTCGGCGGTGGTGGAGAAAGTGTAACCACGCTCAGCCAGGATCTTCATCAGGTAGTCGGTCAAGTCACGACCAGCCATATCAATACGGGAGATGGCGTGGGGGAGAGAGAAACCCTCGTAGATGGGGACAACGTGGGTAACACCGTCACCAGAGTCGAGAACGATACCAGTGGTACGACCGGAGGCGTACAGGGACAGAACGGCCTGGATGGAGACGTAGAAGGCGGGGGCGTTGAAGGTCTCGAAGACGATCTGGGTCATCTTCTCACGGTTGGACTTGGGGTTGATAGGAGCCTCAGTCAAGAGGATGGGGTGCTCCTCGGGGGCGACACGGAGCTCGTTGTAGAAAGTGTGGTGCCAGATCTTCTCCATGTCATCCCAGTTGGTGACAACACCGTGCTCAATGGGGTAACGGAGAGTGAGGATACCACGCTTGGACTGTGCCTCATCACCCACGTAGGAGTCCTTCTGACCCATACCAATCATGATACTAAGCACATGTTAATATCATCTAATTTCTTTCCTTATATGGGCTGAGCATATTTGATTGATTTTGATAGCCCAGTTTGCAGATTGGGGAGGAATATTTACCCATGGTGACGGGGACGACCGACGATGGAGGCTATTCATAAGGTTAGTAAACGTTGCGTTTTTTTTCTTGGCACCTCTCTGATCCCATATTCTCAATTTGTTCCCAGCTTGCTTAGTGGCTCGCGATGATCGAAACCCCCGCGAATGCCGCCCGACGCAAGGGTTGGTGGGATGGGTCAAAAGGAGGAGGGGTGGGCAAACCCTCGTGTTAGGGGTGAAACTTACGGAAGACAGCTCGGGGTGCGTCGTCACCGGCAAAACCGGCCTTACACATACCCGAACTACACGAAGCATCAGTAAACCACTCTTCAAATTGTAAATTGACATTGTTGCTGGTCGGGCGGGCTTCTGGAGGGAGTGTGGGCCAGCGATTGGGCATCAATTTGTCGGTGTGGATGAATAGGGGAAGATGATGGCATGCACCGCGACCGGGGCGGTTGACGCCCCCCCCCCCATAACACAGCCCCCCAGCTTCCCTCCGACTAGCAACAATTCATCACGTACCCATTGTCGATAACGAGAGCTGCGACTTCCTCTGTAAGAGATGAAATAGATTAGCGATGAGGTCAAGCAAGACGATGGGTGACAGTGATGTTGATTAGGCAGTTGAGGCATCCAGCTTAGTGGACAATCACTTTGAGGGGTTCAGGGAAAGCGGCTAAGGTGGCCACAACAAGACAAATCAAATACAGGGGACCACGAACCTTCCATGGTGACAGCTGACAGGGAGATAGACTAGAAAAAAAAGGAAAAGAAAATGGAGATGGAGGAAGAAGATATAAGTGGATGGAGGAGAGGTAGGGGAAAGGGAGGAAGGAGAAGAAGGGAAGAAGTGGAGAGGAGGGGAGAGTTTGTGATGGTTGGGACACCTGGTGTGTGCGCAACAATTGGTCTCGACTAAGCCCCCCCAAAAGTGATCGACTGGTTCACTTTCCACCCAAGAGAGAGAGAAAAGACTGATTCCTATATATGTTCTGAATGATATCCTAGGCAGACACTATGAAAGAATTATTCAGATCATGAATTTCCATGAATTTATTTGGGAATTGAGGGATTGTTCCGTTTAGAGTCGTAGTCGTGGGGCACTATGTCGGAGCCTCCAGACCCTTGGGCCATTGGGAATGCTTCTCTCTTTATCTGGACATAATCTAATATTATCCCAGGCTACGACTTTTATCTCCCCAAGTAAGATGGTCATTCTCTCATGTGGCGGGGGGAAACAGTAGAACCAACCCGAGTACGAGTACCCGTGGGAACATCGAGAGGTTACTTCTAAGTATAGAAACGCCCGGCTGAGCAGAGATTCGGTACTTAGAGGGTACAAGGTTTTATCGCATACTGATACTAACCAAGTGCTAGATATTACGCCCCCAATTCCTTCCTTTCAAGTTCAAGCAAGGTGTCCTCTAGCCTTACGCAAGCTGGGTTACCGCCATTTCGGGCCAAAGACCGCAGCCTAATGTGTGCAGCACTTGAGTGCCCGCACCGGTGCTCCTCCTGTGGGCTTCCAAAGTGTGGCAAGTCACCTGACACGTGCTGGATCCCACTAGAAAAGTCCAGTGACTTCGACGTCAGATTAGGTAAGTTGAAGGTTTAATATAATATCACCTATCATTCCTACTTTATATCTTGGTTTTTTGAAAGTACACCATTGTTGCGTTATACTTCATCATGGCTATGGATCCTCAAATGAACAAGCTCCTCAAATGGAGTGTCGAAAACTCCCAGCAAAAAAACGAAGATGGCACCGTCACTGCCCCTCCTTCCGCCACGGAGGCTTCTCGCAACTTGACCCCAGACATGATCAATGCTCTTCTCGGTGGACCCTCGGACGCTGATCTCATGAAAGCGGCTATTGAGGTCGTATATTCTGATGAGTCGGACCTAGAGAATAAATTGATTGCATTCGACAACTTTGAGCAACTGATCGAATCCATTGACAACGCCAATAACCTGGAACCCTGTGGCCTCTGGACTCCTTTGGTTAAGCTTCTGGAACATAAGGAAGCCGAAATTCGCCTTTATGCAGCCTGGTGCATTGGAACCGCTGTCCAGAACAACGAAAAGGCCCAAGACAAGGTATGTGCACCCTTCAAAAGACAAAAAAAAGAAAAAAAAAACCCCAAAAAAACTTGCTATAGAAATCGCAGAAAACCAATTTTTTCTTTCATGTACAGCTCATTGTTCTCAACGCGATTCCCATGCTTGTGAAGGTCGCTACCTCCGACTCAGACTCCGCTACTCGCAAGAAGTCCGTGTACGCGCTCTCCTGCGCCGTCCGCAACTATCAGCCATCTATGAACGAACTGGTCAAGCATCTCCCTGAGGGCTACCCCACTGAGAAGGTCGACGCTGGAGATATGGATGCCGTGGACGTCATCATAGACAAATTACGCGCTCACCCCGTTGATTCTGCATGAACTGTTTAACAACTTTTCAACATACCCCGAGAGCAATACGCCCAATGCTTGATTTGAGAAAACCTCGGAATTTCCTACGAATCCACACCCGCCGTATCTAAGTCTCAACACTATGATTGTCCCGCTCCAGCATACGACTGGATCACAGGGTTCGCTCCCGTGAGTTTTTATCGCCACGCTACGACTGTCTTACATCGATAGCAACCTACTTGGCGACTTGTTGCGCCCGAGAAACATTAAATTCTCAACTTGGCGTTCTGTTGACGCGTCATGCATCGATCGGCTCAGAGCCACTTGATCTCATATGTACACAAAGATATATCTGCCTATATTTAATGAGACTTCGGAAACACATTCTAAGAATTCAAACCTGGTTGCCTTGAAAGCATACTATTAACTCCATATAACCATTAATTCATGCAGCGAGCTGACGACTACATTCAAAGTCTGAGAGCACCAAAATCTACTTCGCTGCCTGACATCAGATTATCCCGCTGCCTATTATGACGAGGACAAATAATTTTTTGGCTTCAGAACATCAAAGACAAAAGTATCATTAAGAATCAGTTTCAATAGCAGTTCAAAATAAAACAATAATCATATTATAAATTTACTTCCCATTCATAATCGCTTTCAGTAAAATCGTAGTATGAGAAAAGCAATGTCACTCGATTCCCCTCCGCCTCGGCCCGTTATTTCTCCGGCACAAGTCGTCATTGGATCCGCCAACAGCTCTAACCCCAGCTTCTATCATCAACATCAAACAAGCACATAAATTCACCACATCTCCAACCATGGACGTCTCAGGCAACCGACTATTTCGCTTCTCCAGGCCTGAATGGATGAATAACGCAGCCGTCCGCAACGTGGGCGTCTACATCTCCGGTGCACTGGTCAGTGACCCCCAATCAACCCATTTTCATCCTCGAACCCGGGCGCATGGTAGTCAGCTTTAAGAGCCGAAAGCCTCGTCGCAAACATTCAATGATCCAGCATTGTGAAATGAAATATCCGAACCGTGGAAAAAATGCTAATGTTGAGCTCTACAGTTTGCCGCGGGCTTCTTCTTCCTTATTGACGTTGCCGCCTTTTCGCATAGCCGTCTCAATGGCTCCGACGTACACATTAAGTTCGTGGACTGGATTCCGGGTATATGCTCTGCACTTGGAATGCTGGTTATCAACTCCATTGAGAAGTCGCGGTTGCAGGCCGATAGCTTTAGTTACAGCGGGGGTGGGGTGGCTTGGAAAGCGCGCTTTGTGCTCTTCTTGGGCTTTGCGCTGTTAGCTGGCGGCCTTGCTGGAAGTGTGGTATGTATCACTTATTTTGATCGAGTACATTCGTTTGTTCGATTTACTGGAAGTCGTCTCAAAATCGGGGCTAATACTTTCATGCAGACGGTTATGGTTCTTAAGTATCTTATCAAGGATTATCCTATCCAAACGCTATACTTTGGAATTGCAAATGTGGTAGCGAACGGTCTGGTCATGCTCAGGTATGTTTACTCTTGCGCTCAGCTCTGCTATCTTATTAGGATCATTCACTAACCTGTCACAGCTCTGTTGTTTTGTGGGTCTCGCAGAATATCGAGGATGACTACACCTACAATCTCGCCCTTTAGTTGCACTGAAATCAGTTTTACTGTCTCGGGCATAGATATTGTACTTTACGCGTGTTATTATGACTGCTTGGTTTTTACATTCGCATCTCTGGCTATTAGGGCTAGAGCTTATTTAGCTAGCGTGATGGAATTAAGTTGGATCGATGAACTTGGTATTCAGTTTCAATTGTCTCCTACAAGGAAATGTTGATAAGATAAATCCAGATTACTGGTTGTCAAGCATCAAACTGTCTGATTCAGTATAGACGATAGGTATAGAAAAGTCGAGGTGAATGTCACAAGCATTAAACATGAGTGCTCCCAGCAGATGTTTTGAACTAGATATTCAGGAATCCAGAAATTCAAAATTGCTGTAATATTAATCTAAGATATTCCACGCGGACCACATATACCTAGATCGGCTTTTTGCCCAGATGGTCGTCTAGTAGGGGTTTCAACAACATTTTAAAAGACCGAAACCAAAGATTCGAATGTTGAAAACTAGATTTAAACCCACATATGCACCGACCGCATGCACCCGTGGAAACGCCAATACCAAACCATATGCATCATCAGTTCATAAAGTCATAAAAGTATAACGCAGTCAGAAGTATCACCCCATCAATGGTCTTCACAGAACAGTCGAAGCACCTCATCAATACATGTCATCGCTTTTCCTTTCTCCAACAATACGGGCGTAGCACCACCGGCGACAGCTGGATCTTTCAAATATTTGCGCAATGCAAATGCCGCTGCTTTATATGTTGCATGATACATCGCCTTGAATTCGTCGTCGTCAGCTGATGCCCCAGGACCCGGTGTCTGCGCACGGAGCCCTTCAGCAGCTGGTGTTGAATTGGAAGTCTCAGGATCTGGATCTGCTCCTCCGGCGATCAATTTGCTAGTTGAAGATCGTGTGTTCGAGCGATGAAACCCAAAAAGCCGCATGCATGTCAGAATGGTGCGCGTAATTAAGTTTTTATTTTCTGCGATGATGAATTCAGGGTTCTTAGGAGGGGAAGGTGGAGGAGAGCTTGATTTTGTTTCGACGGTAGTAGAAGGAAGAGACTGTGGCACCACCTGCTGTGATCCGCGCCGGGGGCCGGAGTCTAGGAATGGATTTGGCGTCGCAGGACGCTTTTGAGGGTCTGCATTAGCACTCGGGGCAGCGCGTAAACCACGTGTACTACAGGGACGGTGCATGTTGGTTCCAATTGAAACAGATCGTGATCTGCGGGAGACTAATCGATCGAGGCTTGGGAGGCTTGGTGCGTCGTCGTCAGGTTCGCGCTTGACTCGGAGAGATTGGAGATTCTGTGACGAGGATAAGGGTCGCGAGGGAGCCATCAATTGTGAAACAGCCTCGCCGCCCTTTTGCCTTACACGGCGGTGATGTTGTGCAGCAACCTCAAAGAGGGTTGCTACCCGCTTTCGCTTGGGGCTTGGGGAGCTGATGTCTGGTAGGAACTCAGCTGGCGTTGACAGAGAGTGCCCATCACGGCTTGGTGGGGGAGATGGGAAGACTTGTGCTTGGGTAAGTAGCTCTGTTGAGAGCGGAGCTGCATAGATCCTCAACTCATAAGGTTTACTGGTTGAAGCAGTGGCGGGATCATTTGAATCCAATGGCGATGAGTGGGGCGGGGTGGGTGGTCGTGTGCACGATGATAACACGCCAAAGACTAAGAGGTCTGATGTGTTTGCGCCGCTCTTCCTAGATGGAGTCCCGTCGACACTAACCAGCAGACCAACGGGACATTGTATAGATTGGTGAAGTTCCAGCTCATCTTCATTCAGCCAGAGAGCTCCACTCAATTTACGTTGGAGCCATTGCGATGTTCCAGGGTTGGTTGTATGTAGTTCAAGGCTTGGTCCTACTCGGGCATGAAGGGGAATTAAGGCCGGGTTGACGAAACTGCGGAGGCCAAGTTTGGCGGTTTTGGATATGTCGCATTGCCAGCGAGAAGTCGGGTCGAATAAGCGGATCCCTAATAGGATGGTCAGCGCGAAGTTACAAACGAAGACGCGTCGGTGGCTCTACCTTCTAGGGGGCGGTCCGGATCGAGAGCAATTGATCCCGACCAGAGACTCATATTTGAAGTATCTGGAGCAGATCCCGATTTCACAGTTCCATTTTGCAGGTTTGTCGATTTGCAGATGTCTCATGAACTGTGATCTTAAAGCCTTGGAGTAACGCATCAAGTGGGGAACGCGTCTAGCCCGACCCGTGGTCACGTGCACGCATTGAACAAGTTTTCCTGCTTGGAAAGGCAATATAGTTCTACATGTTGCTGTATAGAAACCAAGTACAAGAACATTTACACCGGTCGAGGATTGGTCAGAGAATAAATGAGAAAACCCTCCATATTTCAGGGAGTCTATATATCCACTGTAATATAATACACTAAAGGTATCAAAGCCAAGAAATGCTAGAGCCATTAAGGATGGCAACTGAGACTGGGATCGCTCCCCAGTGAATCATTCGAAATATGTCGTGCGTAACGTAGAAAGCTCAAAGAAACAGCGCAAATATAAATATCATCATGGAAGCAATTTGGATGTTTGCAGGATCCCCGTGACCTGACAAACTAGCCTGTCAACCTTCGGCATCCTAGCCTTATTCAATCAGAACTCTTCCTGTTCCTGGAAGAACATGGAGAAGCTAATGATGGTTCCGTAAATCAGGAGACCACCAAGAATGGACATAATCATGGCTGGGATTTGAATCTCTCCACTATGCGCAAGGACAACGGGAAGTGCTAAAAGAACGTGGAGTCAGCATCTCTGATTAAGTCACATTCAGATGTACATCATGAATCATCTTGTAAAGCAGGAATATGCAAGCCATGCCAGGGAGTCGGAAAGCGATAACATAGCTGATGTGTTCTTTGTAGGTAAATGAGAAGAGGGGAGGGAACCTTACCAATGCCTGTCAAGACCAAGAAGCCCGTCATGAAGCGACCGAAGTCCATTGCCGCATTGGATGAGCTATCGATGAAATCATCTGGGTTTGCACATCGCGAACAGATCCAATTGGGGAGCGGCGCAATCACATAGATTGCGACCACTAGCAATGGCCAGTACTTGTGCCACAGGGCGGAGGAGAGGATGACAAGGAGGAATCCGATCGCGAGCACCTGGTCCAAGTTAGTATGGCATTTCTCAATCACTCTTGCGACTATGCAAAGTTGTTATAGGCTTACAAATGCAAGTGCGATGATGGTCTTAATGCCAGCCGCCATGATTGCGGAGCTAAAGCTGTCGGGTTAAGATGAAAAGTATTCGAGTTGAAGAGTATAACGATGCGCGCATAGATCTCAGTTGGTTAATATCTCAGTAGATGCGGAGGGATGGCAACGCCATAGGTTCGAGAAGGGGGCGGAGGAGCTGTAAGATGGGGGAGAGTGACGTTGGGTATTGATGAAAGGCGAGTCCGCGGGCTTGAAGGTCACTGGATGTTCGTGCCTCAGGCCACAAGAGCTCTTACACCGCGTCACCTTAACTGCCTGCTTCAGCTTCCCCATCCGCCCCCGGTTACCTTCCCTCGTCATTTAATCTATATCTTTCTTGTTTCTCTATATCAAGATTGATCTGTTTTTCTCGACTCTCCTAACCCATCACTCCCTTTCACCATGTTCCGAAACAACTACGACAATGACGCTGTCACCTTGTAAGATGTCCCCTCCCCATCAGCTGCGACTTGCACACATCAGATCCTAACTGGATATCCAAAGCTCCCCGCAAGGGCGAATTTTCCAAGTGGAATATGCACAAGAAGCAGTCAAGCAAGGTTCAGTCGTAGTGGGTTTGGTCAGCAAGACACATACCGTTCTGGTCGGGTTGAAGGTTCGCTCTTATCCCAGGTCGCAAGCTTAATCACAGGCTAACAAGATCGTGTTTGTCAAAATAACAGCGAAATGCCGAAGAGTTGTCCTCTTATCAGAAGAAGATCATCGAAATCGATTCCCACATGGCCATTGCTATTGCCGGTCTGGCATCAGACGCCCGAGTTCTATCCAATTTCATGAAGCAGCAATCGCTCGGTTCCAAGATGACCTACGGCCGCCCAATCCCACTAGACCGTATTGTTAACCAGATTGGTGACCGTGCCCAAACCAACACCCAGCACTACGGCAAGCGTCCTTACGGTGTCGGTCTGCTGGTTGCCGGTGTTGATGAAGCCGGTCCTCATCTGTTCGAGTTCCAGCCCTCTGGTCTGACCCATGAGATGGCTGCTTGTGCTATTGGTGCTCGCTCACAAATGGCGCGTACATACCTGGAGCGCAATCTGGATAAGTTTATGGACTGCAGCCGGGATGAATTGATCACGCATGGACTGCGTGCCCTCAAGGAGACTCTCTCCCAGGATAAGGAGCTTACGGTGGATAATACTTCGGTTGGTGTGGTTGGTTTGGCAGCCGAGGGTGCCAAGGGACGGATTGAGAGCTTCAAGCTGTATGAGGGCCAGGAGACTGTTCCTTTGTTGGAGGCACTCGAGCAGGCTGAGTCCTCTGGTGCAGGGGAGGATGAGAACATGGAGGTTGATTCATAATTTTGCCTTGTTTCTTATTCTTAATGATATGCATAGACATGAATCTTCTTGCCTGATGCTGTGGCTTATATGGAAACTTTTCTTCGTGTTCAAATTCCCTGGTCATGTCTTCAAGCCTGACTTTCATTTCTACGATATGATAATCTACCGGATGTATCCTGGATATCATGTCTTACAAAAAGAAGAGCGCCGAAAAGCATATTAAAAAAAAAAGGAAATAAGATGAAAAGAGGGACACCATTTCCAACTCCACGCATATCCGCTGTCCAAAGCTGACAATTAACAAAGACAGGGAGATCTCGCAAGAAAGAAAGCCCTCCCCCCCAACGATATTGACGGAGGACGACAACATGGGCCACTTAGAAGGCAAACAGCTTAGTTAGTCAAGAGAGCATCTTTAACACAGCCAAAGTTCGTGTCTTCGCTGCTGTCTTCGTGAAGTTGGAAACACGGAATTGCTCGAAATTAAGATGGGATCGAAGATGATCTTTTGGATAGTAGTTGTCACTAAGGCTCGAAAACAATAGCGGTACTGAATACTACTCATATCAAATATGCATATAGTACCACAATAAGGAAAAATCCTTTGCGATTGTTGACTTTTTTCAATGCATTAGTAAGTGCCTCGTGGGCATCGCTCCCCGTATTTTCACCGGCAATCTCAACCGGCTTCGATTCCTGGGGCATGAAGAGGACTCGGGGATATCATTGTTGAAGACTGCAAGGCCATTACTAACTTGTAGTATAGCGGCTGTCAGTGTATTACTGATATCTTAGTTTTCTGTCGGTCAAAAAAATGTTCTTCCCCGCTGGACGCTATCGTCGCCCGTAACTAGGTTCAGTTGATAACACTGCGTATGTCATATGAAATCAACTGATTAAACAACTTAAAAGGGCTGGCGCTAAAAACACGAATTTTATTTGCTTTTATTTCCATCGCTAGCTGCCAGGTCTTCTGGGTCTCGGTAAATCCCATGACAATGCCAGAGATAAACTTCAAGGTCTTGATCTACAAATACTAGTATATTCCGTTTAGAAAAGGCTTATTAGAAATGAATGATGGCGAAATTGACGAACACCAAGATCATAGTCAACCGAAATTGGTAATATGTTTAATTATCCTCCATTTTGCACTTCCCGTTGATGCATTCGTGACTGCAGCACTCGTTACCTGCCTCGCATGATTTACCGACTACATTGCCAAGATGTATCAGCACAAACGATTCCGAGAAGTTTAAAATAGAACTGCAGTGTATTCTTTAGTTGGGCATACCATCCAAGCACGACTCCACTGGCTTGTTGATGTTGAGCTCGAGGCCGGAGTTCGTGGACATGGCGTTTGTGAGCAGTGCCAGCGCACCGGTGTAAACAAGGGCGACAACCTTCATATTGAGATGAGCGAAAGCTTCGAAGTCGGAGACATAATAGTTTGAAAAGAAGAATTTTGCTGTTGAAACAAGGCTTAGAAACTATCATGCAGTGTGGGGTCCCCTTGTTTATCTACCGGGGGATCATGATCTACATTCCCTCCCTCCTTGAATGTTAGCATTCCTTACTAGGGAAAATCGCCCAAGTCCAACGTCATCCATGCAGATTCAATAGTAAATGAAATTTGCAGTAGAGGATGTTCAGAGAACAATCGTTCAAGCCAATGAATCAAATAAGTCTATTATCAGCAAATAGCCTTCTATGCGCTGTTGCTTTTGGAATGAAAGAAAACTAGTATACATATCGGAAATAAACATTTTCCTTATCTGTCAAATCCTCAAATCCTAGTCGATCACGCTCGGATTCTGTTAGATCGAGTGATTCTCGTCGTTTATTTTCGCGCCAGCAAACCAAATATAGAAGCGATGCAGACAAAATGGCGATGCAGTAGCTATACGTCCTAGCATTAGTATGGCAGCAAAAGAATCCAATAGTAACAAATTAGAGAACTGACCAGATAATCAGACCAGTCCATAGCTCCGGGTAGTGCTGGTTTTTTGTTTGGCTGCGTATCAACTGAGGACCTATAATATTGCCCACACAATAGGCTACAAATATGGCCGATGCCATGAAGCTGCGCTTGGTGCCACCTGCAACGTTTCCGGCTCCGAGTGAGATTGTCAGGCCTACGACAGGCCCAAAAAAGCCAAGTAGTGTATATCCTGCCACAGGTACGGCCGGCCTATAACCCCAAGTCGATTTCCAAATCATAGCAAACCCAGCAATTACTGGTAGACAGCAGAGAACCAAAGTTATGACCCTAATATTGCGATACTTTGAGCATAACCAGCCAGTTGAGACGATACCTATACCCGAGAGGCCACCCAGAGGGAATTGAAAGAGGATACTTTCTAAAGTAGAGTAACCAAACGTTGACACGATCAGTGGACCGAAGCCAGAAACTGCACCATTGACGGTATACCTATTCATTTTGACAGTCAGTTGGGTTTAGCTAATAAGTGACTTGACCGCACGACTTACGCAGATGCCATTGTAATTGCCACCAACCAAAGCTTAACATCAAAAACCGCTTCCTTGATTTGTGAAAATTTGATTGTCTTGTTATTGAGTCCAGTTTGGCCAGCCCGCAACCTCTCTGCAGCCACGATCCGCTCCTCAGGATTCAAGAACCACGCGTTGAGAGGCGAATTTGGGAGGAAGAAACACCAAATCCCGAAGAGGAATGTCAGAGCTCCGGCAAATACGAACACATACTGCCATGGCTTCAGTGATCCCTCAACTTGAGCGAACCCGTAACTTATAGCACCACCTATGATAGTGAACCAGCCAGTTCCTGACCACCACCAACTTTGTCGTAGAGCTTGTTCTGATTGTGTATAGAAGCCACTGACGGTCACCATAAAACAAGTTGGAATTATTGATTCAGTGAAGCCTGTTGAATTATCGATAGTGTCAGGGATCAAAGATGTAGAGAAATATTGGATACTGTTGGCGTACCCAGAAAAAATCGTTGTACAAAGAGGCCTTGCCAGGTTGTCACGCTGGCGGTAGATGCACAAATGATAGCCCAGAGCATGACCACTGGGCCGAGAACATATCTTGTGTTGAAATGTTGCAGTGCGTATGTCAGAGGATAAGAGCCGGCTAATTGACCAAAGTAGAAGATTGAAGTTGCCCAGCTTAGTCTAGAAGTGTCAGTCGTGGGAGGGTTGACAGAGGTATCAGTGACGGAAAGCTGAAGATCTGTGGTCATTCCAAACAGAGCAGCATTTCCGAGAAGGGCCTTCAAAAATATGCTATATTAGCTTTTTTCCACTTCGCGGTAATTTTTTCAAAGCCTACTTTATCGTAGTAAACCAATCCATAGCCTGTGGGGTGTTAGTTGTAGCGCAGAAAATGAATAATCTATACTAAACGTACCGATGACCATTGCGGGCATGAGAAATAGGTCGATTTTTCTCAATACTCTTCTTTCGATCTCTGGGTCGATTGGTAATGCTTCATCTCCAAGAATATCGGTACCATCGACGAACACATTCTTTTCAATGGCATTTGGCTCGGGCAACGATGCAGCATCCGCCGTCGGACTATTTTGTGACATGATCGTTGAATCAGAAGTCAGACCTCAAATAGTATAAGATATTTCTTTGCAGCGGAGTATTAACGGTATATAATATGCATTAAATCCATAAGTTGGAAACGAGACAACGACCAGCAACATCAGAAAAGGTGAACCCCCATTAGTAGCTTTGATAAAATGCATCGGAGGGATTTGAAGCTCTCCAGGGCTACCCGGACCTTTCGCGTGTATGGGTCTAAAATGACACCATCGACGAATATTTTATCTCCGGAGAGAACCACCAAGGATATTCTTTCCGGAAATGGGGATTTTTGTAATCAATAGGCGAATAACGCTTCCCTCGCACTCCTACTAAAATACAATTAGATCTAGAATCGCGATTGGATAGGAAAATATACCGATGGCTGGTGAGGCATCATTTGAATTGTGGATGGCGTCAAAGTAGAGATAGTAGACAAGATCTAGGTTGGATGTTCTACGACTTCTATCGATCCACCAAGAGATGCCAGAACCCGACAGAATGGTGAAGGTTCAAACCCCGAGACCCCGATACTGTCCCAGCCAGCTGGGCCGGGGTAAAGGACTAATGTTACGTGCAGGAGGAATAGATTTATGACATTTGGTCGGCTACTTCGTGCAGGGGTAATAGGATAAGCGAGCATATTGCATCATGATAGCTTTGGTGGCGCCATACTCTCAAGATGACATGATTCATGTCATTGGGGTGTTGATATTGATCATGAAACTGGTTTCCTGGGATATCCTATACAAGCCAGTGCGGTTTGATTCTCCCCATTGTAGAAAAAAAAGGTCAGAAATATTTCTTTGACAATGGCTACAATTACGGAAACGTTGGATTATGTACAAGTTCCCGAGACGTCAGAGTCTTTGGAATGGGCAGATCTGATTACATTAGATCTTTCCAAGTTTGATCAGCTTGGAGGAAAACAGGAGCTTGCGGCTGAGTTCACCAAGGCTATTGAAGATGTTGGTAAGTCGCATGTATTCAAATAACATTGGAAAAGAAAAACTATCCGAAGAATTGAATGCTAATATGGCATCTTGTACTAGGATTCTTTTATGTCAAAAATCATGGCCTGAGCAGAGAAGATATCGATAGACAATTTGCTTTAGCGAAATCAACCTTGTTACTCCCAAACGAGGAAAAGCTCAAATACCGCGCTGCCCTCGAAGAGGGTGACTACAATGGCTGGAAGCCAGCTGGGACAAGAAACCTCATCCCTGGAGTGAAAGACAACTTTGAAATATACAATATCCCTAAATTTATTCCGGAGCATACTGACAGGAAGCATCCAGAAATTGTCAAAAGCCACATTGACATCATCGAGAAATTCTCAAAGCATATCCATGATGAGATCGTGAAAAAGCTTCTCATTATCTTTGCTCTTGCGTTGGGACTTGAGGATGAGGAGTGGTTTGTCAAGAAGCATCGTTATGAGAATTCAAGCGGTGATCATCTACGATACATGAAATATTATGCTCGAAGCGAGGAGGAGAACCAAAAGCTGGGCGGAGTTTGGTTGAAAGGGTATGCTGTTTGATCGTGATTTTCAGATTTTTTGGGGCTTGAGTCTAATTTCTACAGGCATTCTGATATGGGAAGTCTTACGTTGCTGTTCCGTCAGCCGGTTGCTGCACTCCAAGTACTGACTAAAGATGGAACTTGGAAGTATGTCAAGCCGCAGATGGATGCTTTGACTGTAAACATCGCAGATGCACTTCATTTCATGACCAGTGAGTCTACGAGATACCCCTTAGAAGATTCACGGTAATAACAGCCGCTACAGATGGCTATCTAAAATCAAGCATTCACCGAGTGGTTGCACCGCCGAAGGACCAAGGTCACGTTGACCGACTCGGAGTCCTCTACATGGTGAGGATCGAGGACGACGCTGACCTGATTCCAATTAAAGAATCGCCTATCCTTCAGCAAAAATCCCTTGTGAATAAGCCATTGCTAGGCGAAGACGGAAATCCTATCAAAGCTGGCGAATGGGTCAAGGCAAGAATCATCAAAAACTTAGGGGAGTCTACAGGAAAAGAAGGCGATAATGATATCGGCGAAGTTGAAATTTTGAAGGGCGTGTCTATCAAGTATTTTGATTAGGATCGACACTGCGATATACTAGCTACTAGGAATGCAATTTGTGATGGATCGGGAAACTTCGGCAAGACTACTATGTATTTAAGGCTGACTTTCACATAATAAACATAATAAAGACTTTGCATGAATTATTCTTTGGAATGCTCACTCAGGTGCTTGAATAGCAGCGCGTCCACTCTCAATAATCTCCTCTAACATCTCCAGACGATCCTGTCCCCACAACGGCTCATTTTGATAGAAATAGAACGGCGCACCAAATACCTTTCGTGTTTCTGCTTCCTTAGTCAATGCTGATTCAAATTCTGCAAGTTTGCTCTCATTCCGAGCCCGTTCTAAAAGGCGGCTCCCTTCAAGTCCAGCTTCATCCGCAAGTTGAACGATAGTTTCCGGGTTCGCAATATCAAGTTCTCTCGCCCAAACGGCCTCAAGGCCCTTATGCACATACTCCTGCACCAAGGGACTATCATGTCCTAGTTCTTCCGCTGCTGCAAGGAGTACTCGGTGTGCAAGTGACGGATCTACTGGATAACACTTCGGATGTAAAACGAGTGGAATGTCACGAATACGTTTCCAGCGCTCCATCTCAATTAACCGGTAGGTTTGTCTTTGCTCTGCGCGTTGCTTGACAGGGAGTCCGCCAGAAATTGAGAATGTATACATCAAGTCGATCGGTTTGTAGATGACTTGAGATTCAGTTTGTTTAAGAAGTTGTTGGAACCGACGGCTCCCAATGTACGACCATAATGAGACAAATGAGAAGTACAGCTCGACTGTCCGGTGACCTGCCATATTGTTGATAACCAAAAGAGAGAGATGGTTTTTTGAGAGGTGTAAGCGTTGAAAGCTTGGGGAGTGAGATGGTCTCAATGTCGCTCGAGTGTGAACCAATCAATGTCGTATCAAACAATCAATACATCGCTCGAAGATATTTCGCACATCCTCGGTTTTTCGGTGTTTGAGCTCGGGATTCAAACGTCGTGCTCAAGCTTACTAGTATGTTCCTTCTTGGCCTTTTGTGCTGTGTTCGGGTCGGCTATGCCATCGATGCGGGCCATGACGAATATAACGCCATAATAAGGCTGACTCAAGCCCATAAAACCTCGGTGGATCTTATCAAAAAAGGTAAAATTCTTTCGGCAAAATTCCGAGATTGACTGCGGAGGAATATGCCTGGCTAGTCCCCGGAAGTTTTTGTTCCGATAACAGCCGCTAGTTAGTATAGGATCACAAATACATACATGAAGCTTTTGAGAGAGAAAAAGGAATCCCTCTCTCTTTCTTATTTTCTTTTTGTTCGATTTAAAGATTCAACATTAAAAGCCGTAATGTCAAAAGATAGGCGTGTTGCCATCATTGGAGCCGGCCCAGCAGGTGCAATTACAACAGATGCGTTCTTCAAAGAACAAGCCTTTGGCACAATTCGAGTATTTGAACGCCAGAGCCGCATTGGTGGCACATGGTGAGGCTATCCTGTGATATTCTCTCCTACTTATATTTGCATTGAATACTAAATGCTACTACTAGGGTGCACAATGTTACCCCAGACTCTGGGATCCCATCATTACAAAATCTACTTCAAAGGAAAGCCGACAAGACCATTGATGTCCCGACCAGCTACCCATGTTCTACTCCAATGACAGAGCATGTCAATTCTTTCAAAGAGCGCTTCTCGGATACAGGGTCCCATGAAAATCTCCATAGTAACTTACCACCCGAGATTATGTGCTTCACACAAGAGCCAATTGCTCAAGAGCTCTCGAATCAGACTTTGAAAGTACATGGTCCTGATTCCCCCTTTCGCCACAGGGAAGTGGTGAATAAATGGGTTGAAGATATATTCGAAAGAGGAAATTATCGGCAGCTTGTTGAACTGGAGACTACTGTCGAGCTTTCAGAAAAACATGGAGACGAATGGACTCTAACGCTGCGAAAGCCTGACCCAGCTAATAACAAGAACTATTGGTGGCAGGAAAGCTTCGATGCTCTGGTTGTTGCCACGGGACATTATTATGTGCCCTTTATCCCGGATATACCTGGTATTTTGGAGTATAACAGGAGATTTCCCGGCCGAATTCAGCATAGCAAGCACTATTCAGGCCCCGAAGCCTTTAAAAACAAGGTATTCATACATCCATGGAGGGATTCAAAGTAAAGGAGCTTCTTATACTGACTCAATTCTAGCGAGTCATAGTTGTAGGTGGATCAGTTTCTGCCTTCGACTCGCTCCATGATATTCGACGACTCGCAAAGTCCCCGGTGATTTCTTCACTCCGCAAGCCATCATATCTCTTCGGTGAAGCGCCTTTCACACACCCTGACATCGAGAACCGAGGCCAGATTTCTGCCTTCGATGCTGAAAATGATGTTATCAAGTTCACTGGCGGTACATCGACTGATGGCGTTGATGCCATCCTTTTTGCAACCGGTTACGACTTCAGCTTTCCTTTTCTTCCGACCCTCGGGGCAGTACAAAAGAGGGTTCCTGGCCTGTATGAGCATGTGTTTAAAATCGATGATCCAAGTTTAGCATTCATCGGCATGGTAAGTCTTTCTAGAATCTGGAAAGAGAAGATTAATGAATTGACAGGTATATACCAACAGGTCACTGGTGGGTTTGGGATCCGAATTTTTGAATGGCAGGCAGTTGCTGCAGCTCGTGTTCTTTCCGGTCATGCAAGTCTGCCTAGTCAACAGGAAATGAAGAGATGGGAGGAAGACAGACTGGACGAACGTGGAGAGGGAGTTCCGTTTTGGACACTCATGCCAGATTTCGAAAGGTATTTCGAACAACTGAGATCTATTGCAGGGAATCCTGCTCGAGGCACAACGGGACGTGTACTCCCAGAGTACCAAGCGCAGTGGGCGGAAAGCTTTTGGCGGCTCATCCGATATCGTGTCGAGTGGTGGCAACGCGAAGCTAACAGGGCAGCCTCTAAACAATCGCAACTATAGAGCAAAAAAATTGCAAATCTTTATACCACGTTTCAGGATTGCCTGGAGTGCATCTTTGAACTGTGCAAGATAGTATTCAGATAATTAATACTATGATAATATGTTTTTGAGTATTGTTCCTATGATATGATAGTATTATGCATCCTTAGAACTCCCAAAGGGAACGCCATCGCCTTCGAATGCTTGACGCCATATGATTTAACAAGAAAACCCACCTAAGCCACATGCCAACCAGACCAGACCCGACCAAAAAAACAATATATGCGGGCGCCAGGTGACAATGGATAGTTTTATTATTGAACAAAAAGATGGCGCTTCCAGCAAAATGACCAAAAAGATATGAATGATGAGACAGGCTAAGCAAAGTTCGTAAAGGACCAGAATTATCTGATCAGATAAAGTACCAAACGCCTCAAAAAGATGGGCGGCAAAAACGTGAGATTTGATTGCATCTCAGGGTATCAATACCAGGTAACCGGCATGTGTGGAATATAGAGAAACAAGGAGTAAATATCCACGGGGGTGTGGAATGGAGAAGGTAATGAGGAGCATAATACAGTCAAGTACTGTGCCCATGATATGAAACATGAGGGGAAGTGGGGAGGGGAGAAGAGAGATAGTATGATGTGGGTTGAAAGTCTGCACATTTTCTGTACAAGATTCCCATGCGTCAAAGGAGCTGACTAGAGCTCCGGCAAGTCCAGCTTGGGTGGTGACCAGTCCAGCTGAGGGGGTTTGTCATTTGAGACACAAACAGGACGCATCGCCTCGACTCGGCGACGGTCCTTCAGGGCACTTCCGGTAAGAAAACCTCTCAAAGTAGAGGATGCCATACCGTAGGCGCTGCGAGTACTACCGGTATTGGTTGAGGTAGTACTAGAGCTGCGTGCACTGCGAACACTGTTCGCTTTGGTAATCGCTGAAGGCAATGCAGGAACAGGCGCTGCCAAACGAGCAGATGATGCACTCGACGAACCATACTCAGGAGGAAGAATATGAGATCCACGTGCAGCGTGGGAAGTATGAGGCCGAAGATTAGGCACACTTTTCATTCGAGTGGCTTTGCCCCCGATCTTGCGCTTAGACTCCAATTTGGTCTTAGGAAGAGACTCGGGGTTTGGTGTGGGAAGTTGAATAGGCGCAACAGGCTCCTCGGGGGGACTGGCGTGCACTTCATCCGCTGATACGGCTACTTCAAATTTCAGGTTGTCCAACATGGTTCCTAAGCTGGCCGCAGTTGCAGGGCGTCCGTCACTGGCACCGTCATCGACATCTGAATCTACAATTCCATGAGAGATGTTGTAGTTTCGGGAAAGGTATCGTTGAAGGCGAACAATTTCCATGTCCCATTTGCGTTGCAAAGATTGTAAGACCAAATCCACATTTTGACTAGCGAATGCCGTGGAATCGAAGGATGATGATGGAGAATGAGCTGGTGCATTCTTAATCAAGCGATGACTATTCGACCCACTAGACCGAACGCCCATCGCCGAATGTAATGAGCGACGAATCGAATTTGCCGTGGAGTTTTGTACTGCGCTAGTATCCCAACGAACACTATCAACCTCTCGACGTACTCTATCAAGCGATAGAGCCCGGTCTCTATCCATGGCGGAAAGGTGTAACAAAGTGTGGTTGCACTGAAGACCGTTTACCAAAACCGTGAATGATTGAAGATTAATATCGTTGTTCTCGCAGTGTACCTCGCGCAGATAATCATTATCTTCCAAAACAGAAGCCAGTGTACTCGCACCCTGGAGGCCTAATTTCTGATGCTCTATGCGGAGAACTTTGAGAGATGTGTTCTTTTTCAGACCAGTCAGTGCTAGGTTGAGTCCAATGCCAAATCGAGCAACGTCGAGGTGTGCGTTTTCGCCGCTGATGTCTAGAGCCTCGAGAGTGTTATTCTCTTCAAACATGCGTTGCAGTGCTTTGCAAGTATCAGGACCAGCATCATAAGGCAACGATGCCTTGGAAATATCCAAGTACCGGATTGTAGTGTTCTTTCGAAGAGCATCTACAAGCTGCCGGAATTGATCCTCCTTCTTGAAATCGATCATCTGCATCGACAGATGGGATGGGGTCACGTTCTTAGCAATTGCATCAAAGAGGAAGGAACATCCATTGTCCAGCCTGTTTTCATTGACATGCAAATGAAGAGTGCGCGGAGCATCTGGTCCCGCAGACATCGAGTGCATAAACATGGCAACATCCTCCCCACTGAGACCACACTGATCTAGTCGAAGCATACGAAGGTTCCGTGAACGATCGCTGGCCAAGTATGTAGCAATCGAGTCGACAGTCTCACGATTGACGGCTGTGCGACTGAGAATCAGTTCTTCCAGCTGCCAATTGAACAGCATCTCTGCTGTGATCAGCGGCTCCGAACCAGATGTGCGCGAAATGCGAGAGAGGTTGATCTTGCGGATTTGACCAAAGTATCCAATGTATTGCTGCAGCACATCGGGGTTCAGGCGACCTTGCACCCCTGAGATGTTGATTGCCTCCAGTGTGGATTCCTGTGCCACCAAAGTAGACAATATAAGATCCAAGTCATGTACAGAGAGTCCACAGTCCCCAACCTCCAATGCGCGCAGGTGACTCTGGCTCTGTGAAGCAGCATCAACGAGATAATCCAGATCCGACTCGCCGAGCTTGATACCGTTTAAAACAACCCAGTCGACACTGGTCATCCCACGCCGACAGACCGGGAAAATTGCCTCGGGAATTCCACAACCCGGGTCCCGGCTACCTTTGTCCAGAGTTGGCGTTCGCGTTAAAGAATAAGCAAAGTCCAAACGACATAGCCATGTGCTCTTTAGGGCCAATGCACGTACTTCCTGTGATAAAACGGACAAGTTTCCTTGGCCAGGGATTTCCACCAGACATCCGGACCTATCAAGGTGAACATCGGGATCCACCCCATGGAGATCACGGATTCCTTGGAGGGCATCTAGGTTGATACCGCGGAATGAGATGGACCGGAATGACTCATTATATCGAAGCGCACGCATGACAGCGATAAGCTCCAACGCATTGTATCTTGATACCCTGGTGGAGGCTGGCCGGAGGAGGCGGAAACACGGAGCATCTTCGCATTCCAAGTCAATGGTGTAGCGAATGTTCGAAGTATCGACATCATAACTGGCTGAATAGGCCACCAAAGTCCGATCAAAACAACCGTAGTCCTCATCCAAAGGTACGAGTGGGAAGTTGTCGGCGTTGCGCAAGTCAGGTGGCACGACAAATTCATACGGCTGCCTGGTCCACAGTGGGCGTAGGAACTCGGTGTGTTGCCGAAGCCAGCACGCGATCTCTACAGAATGGACAGAAGCCAAGAAGACGTTGAATGACTTCCTTAATGGTACCCTAGGAGGTGTTGTGAGCAAGGAACTGGTTTTCTTTCTTTCTTTTTCTTTTTAAAGGACAAAGATAGCAATAGAGCAACGCACGGGAAAAAATGAGAAATACATACCGGAAGGTTAAATGCAGACTATCATCTCCATATTCCATAGATAAACCAGTCAAGTTCATCAAGCCAAATGAAGTAGTAGTCTCCATATCAGAGAGGGACACCACTGATGACCGATTGGTCGCTTTCTGCATCGGGATCAAATGCACTTTATGCAAGCCAATTGCCAGATAACAACCCGTCGGAGACAATTTAGTCAGATCCTCAGACGAAGAACGTGTTGGAGATTTACTTGACGCAATCTGTATAACGCGGAACATTCGGAATGAAGCCGGATCGTAATCTCGTTCGTGTTCCAGCATCCTGGTTACATACTCCACGGCGCCTCGATCGAAGGGCAATGGGTCGTTTGCTCGTGTCAACTGCGCTGCCTGGCGAATACCAACCATCCAGAGGTTCAACTCTTGAAAATCAGGTGTTTGCATCTGGATTAAGGAAGCTTTGTGCGTCCGTTCATCCAGATAGGCCACCTCCACCGTAGGTGATAGTCGTGCATCCTCCAACATGTAGACAGCAATGATGCTATTCAGCGGGATACCGGCTGAAGTTTCGGTAGAGGCCATCAGTTGCATGTCCTGCATTGAACTGATAGAGGCCACGGATTGACGGTGCGACGCCGGAGCACGGGCGTTATAGGAAGGCGGGATTGAAGGAAAGGAATCCGCAGCTTTACTCTGGTTCTTGAAACGAACCAAATGCGTATCAGTTAACACGAGATATTGACTTTTTCGCTTCCACATGCCCCCAGTGGTCTGGATTTCACCATAATGGAGGATTGAGGAAGACCAAATGCCGTTTCGAGGACTGATGACGCTTTGATTGTCGCCCAAAGAACCCACAGATGCACTTAATGGATCTTCATCTTCCACCGAGTGCATTGATTTTAATGAACCAAAGACCGAGGGGCGTTTCTTCTGTAGTGATTTTCGGCGTGGGCGTGGAATCTCTAGGGTGGGTGTCGAGGACATCGCCGCAGACCAAGCCGCAGAGTCCCCTCCTGCTGACCCTGGTCGACGAAGAACATTAGGACCATTTGTCTTCCTACTTGGGCTCTGCGCCCGACCAAAGAAACCTGAATTGCGGCGGGCTTTTTTATCCCTGGTCAGGGTATCGTCTGAAGGTGTACGGATATGGGGAGGACGAATCAGCGGGGACGAGGCTGTGGAGGATGGACTGAAGACGCTGAGACTCTTCCTTCGTTCTCTCTTGCTGAGGAATTCGGCCATGACGGGGAGGGGGGGAGGGGGGAGTTGGAACGAGTTTGGGGAGATGATGTGATCTCGAGGGTCAAGAGCGATCGAATGGAAATGGCGCCAGGGTAGGGGAAAAAAAGAAATGAGACTATCTCATCGCCGACCTTTCGTCGTTCTCACTGAATCCGCCATTAGTATGAGGGAACTTAGGGAGGTTCAAATGTGATGTTGTTTCCCTGCTTGGCGCATGGAAAGAAGAAAGGTTTTGGGTTGGAGAGGTGAAACGGGGGCACGAACCCCAAGCAGATCGTTCAGGGTTGCGTAAAAGCGGGGGCAACTGTGGAGGATAAACACGTACAGTCAACTTCTTACGACGCCATGAGAAGAGCAATTGACGAGAAGTTGTCAGAAAGAAGTCGAGTCTATGACAATGAAGTGAAAGAACAAAAATTAAGAAAGAAAAAAAATCAAAAAGTGCAATCCTTCTAGTCCCACCTGTCAACAATGTGGCGAAGAAGGTTGGATGGTTGCACTGGGAGGAAAAGGTTCGCCGGAAGAGGAGGAGTTTCCTCTACACAGAAACGGTTGTCTCGAGCTTATCAAGATGATCAATGGATGGATCGGATGCTAAATTAAACTGGTCTCCAGGTCTAATTAATGATGAGGTCAGAATTGTCGATCAATATGGAGCCGTTCAGGATGGAGTCCGCTGTCTCTGTCAAGGGGGAAAAGTTAAAACCCCAAAGATTAAGGAATAATCCAAAAAGCCGAATGCAAACAATAAAAGAAAAGAAGAAAAATTATTAGGATTGAAGTTACAAAGCCCGGAGGAAAAAGGAGAGGAATGGCCGGATGCAGTCAAGAATGCAGACTCTTGAGATGTTTCAGATTCGAATGCATGAGACGACAGATACAGTACTTACAGTGGCTTATACAGTAGCTTAAACCTTGAACTAGGAACAATGCGGACATTCTCCAGTCAAGATTGAAATAACTGTTTGATTCTACTATTGTACGAAATACACAAGAGCTCTAAACATTGAACATCATGGGAATATCCATACATAGAACAGCATATCGAACATTGAACTACATACACCTTCAATTTACAGTTCGTTCAGCCGATCGTCGTTGACCCGGCCACGTAAGAGGCGTTCTCCCCCTGGTCCATCTGCATCGGCAAAAACCAGCATCCTATAGTGCAGCCGACTGTTGACAGGGATCTAAAATCGCTCGGGAGATCCAATGCCATACAAACTGCCTAGGTGGAACTAGGATTCCCACTACGGTACACTATATACACTATCGATGTAAATCTTTCCTCTCTACAGCTTAGGCCTCGAAAAAAGGAACAAGAAATCAACAAACTAAGCAGAAATTAAATCTTCCATCAAATGAATTTGAACCTATTGCAATCTGATGCAACGGAAATCGACGGATCCTCAGGCTCCACTTCCTCTCCGCAATCGATACCGCGCTCCACGCCATGATGCTCCAGCCTGAGAGTCCAGGGGTAAATTGCATATCGAGGATCCCATGAATGTGTAATAGTACGGAGATCCTAATATGATCGACAACGCCACAAAAGAAGCTTGCCCCAGGAACATAAAGAAGCGGGGACCGGAAGATGGAGTGTAACCCACTTCCTGTCTACAATAGTTCGCCTCCTCATTTCTTATACTCCGTAGTGGTGCGTCATAGGTGGTCTAGTACGTAGTAAGCGGAGTACACCGTTAAAACAAAAGAAAATAGAGAGCGAAAAAGAAAGTTCGGCCGTGATAGAAATCTTCAGACTGTGGCTTACCAACCTCTCTGCAGAGTGCATACGAGAGCGCAGTGGACGATCAGTCTAAACCTTGGAAAATCGTCAATTGCGATGCACTCTTGACCGTCTCTTCGATTCCTTTTATTTTCTATTATTCTTCTTATTATTCTGATTCTTATTATTCACTCTCTAAATTATAGGTACAGTCTCCTAGAACCGCCGCGAACCTGAAGCCCGCTCGGCCTCTATTCTCTCCGCGCGTTTGATCCGCCGTACCACATCAATATACTCAGTGACTCGTCGCTCAGCCCAGATACATCCGCCAAGGGTCATAGCTGCAATCTGCAAGAAAACCTTGAATTGCGGTGTGAGGCCGCGGTAAACCCGCGCAGTCGGTGAGATCCATTCCGAGAAGCCCTCTAGCGGTCGGTGAAACAGTCGCGACCGCAGATACTCGCGTGAGAACGGAGATCGCCGTGGTTGAGGTTGGGATTCTTGTGTAGCTGGCGGAGTGGGAGCGGAGAAGATGAATGGGTGAGGGAGGATGAGAATCATATGCGCGAGGATGGAGACGGAGCCGAACTGTAACACGGAGCGTAAAAGAATAAGAATTCAGTCATTCGTTCAGATGAGAAGAATTATATAGGTTGTAGGGTATAGAGTATAGGGGATATGCTATATGATCATGATCCATCAGGGCACATACGCGAAAAACGCCCGTCATGAAGCCTTGGGCAGCTATTGACGTAATTTCCTCCGGTGGCTCGATATCAGCCCTCTGGTTTGATGGAGGAGGCATAATGGCGGCAATTGAGTTTATGCCAATCGGATTATCTGTAAGGCGCAATTTCCGACCAATTGACAAAGCAGTGAACTTATCGATGCTCAATTGATCCCAGACGTGGGGGGGGAACTAGAGGGGAAGGGATGTAGAGGGAAGTATGTACACCCAAGAAAGATAGTAACCCAGAGGGAAATATGAAAAGAAGAGAATTAATTTGAAAGAAAATGTCAACTAGGTAGTGAGCATAAAATCCGGACCAGCCAGCTTAAATAAGAGCAATATTGAAAAGAGAAATTAAGCAGAATAACAAATCCCGAATCCAAATCCATGCGGCGTCTGTCGGCGAAACGGGTGGATCAACGATTCTCCCGATAGCGACTCAGATGGAAAGGAAAGCGGATTATGATCAACGTTAAAACGCCCATAAGAAAAAAAATCAATTAAAAACCACGCCTACCCCTCTCAACCCCTCTAATCTCTATTATCCTTCACAATGGGTCTCGCCGCTCGCACTGCTGTCGTGTCAAGGGTCACAAACGAGACTAAGATCCAAGTCTCCCTTTCCCTTGACGGAGGCGTTCTCCCACCTTACGAACCCACTACCCACTGGGAAGCCCCGACAGACCCCCAAGAAGCCGAGGCCGCAAAGAAAGGCATTGTCCCCGAGAAAGGATCCGGCCATGCCACACAGTTCACACCGACTCAGCAAGTTACCATCACCACCGGTATTGGCTTCTTGGACCACATGCTCCATGCGCTGGCCAAGCACTCAGGATGGAGTTTAGCAGTGCGGGCCAAGGGTGATCTCTTCAGTACGTATTATATCGCGAAAACAAAGAAGAAGAAGAAACAAGTGCCCATAACTAACCTTTTCACCGCAGTTGACGACCACCACACCACAGAAGATACCTTCCTCGCTCTCGGCACAGCATTCACTCAAGCCCTCGGCGCCCGCCAATCCCTCACCCGCTTCGGTCGCGGTGATGCGCCTCTCGACGAGGCCCTCTCCTGGGCAGTCATCGATCTCTCCAGCCGACCATACGCCGTGATCAACCTCGGCTTCAAGCGCGAGAAGATCGGCGACCTGAGCACAGAAATGATCACTCATGGTCTTGAGAGTTTTGCGCAGGCCGCCGGTGTGACGCTGCACATTGGTTGTACCTACGGCGATAATGATCACCACCGTGCGGAGGCTGCCTTTAAGGCCTTGGCGGTTGCTGTTCGAACTGCTTGCTCGCGGAGACTTGCGGGTGAAGTTGGAGCTGGAGATGTTGTTAGCACCAAGGGTGTGCTATAGATATTGACATTGGGACGGAAAGAAGAAAAATAGAATAAAAGACAATGTAAATAGTTATATGTCGGAAAGTTAAATTTTCCGCACAGAAGATGAGGTTATGGTTATGGTTCGATGAATATATTTGATTTATGACTGATTTCTATTCCGGCTGGATTGATTTAACCTCGGGTGAATGTGTATACCGATCTACAAGTATAGTGATAATGTCTGCCTCTGGGTATATGGCCTATATGGACCTACAAAAAGAAATGCAACGAGACAGTGCAAAACGCATCACATTTAAATTGATCCCGTAAGCCATAATCATAAAGTCTATCAAGAACACAAACAATCCGAAAACACAATATCAGAGTCCAGCTCCGATAAAACAGCAAACAAAAGCTCCACACCAGCCGCAGAAAAAGTCATCAATCATCAGAATCAACAAAAGAAAGCCTCGTGAATCCACTGAAAGACGGATAGACTACTGGCTCGCAACACCAAGAGCCTTGATAGCCCGCTCCCAGTACTCCTTTCGGTCATCAGTAACCGAAGTCCCAACACAATCACTGATATAGCGCTGCCATCCAGTCTCGGAACCAGTCTGCAACGCAGAACGAACATCCTCCGAGCATTGTGTAGTCAAGAACCATGCACCAGAGCCAAAATCGTATGTTTCGTCATTGCGCAGAAGATCCAGAAGATCAGCAGGGCTATTCGAGACCGATGCGATCTTATCCTTTAGAGCTGGGATAGACGCGGCGTATTTCTTGTTAAAAGCAGGAGACTGCATGTTGCGAGCTAGGGAAAGAAATAAAATGTTAACGATCATTCTTAGAGTGTGCGGTATTTACAAACTTGATTTCTACCGTCAAGTGCAAGTATACCATCTATATTGAGGTGAGTATAGAGTTACTTACTGCCCTGGCCAGGAGTTCCGGGGAAATGATTCTTGTTATACTTGAAATCATCACTCTCAAATGCCATCAGACTGATAATAGCAGCTTGCTCAGCCTTAGAAGTTACTTTGTAGTTATCGAAGGACTTGGATGTGGACTTTGCAGCTTGCGAAGCAGTGGCGCACTCTCCTTTGGCTGGGGGGTTGTCGCACGACTTGGCAGTAGGAGCGATTTGGACCATTTGGGCTTCGGTGATGGTATCATCGCGCATAAGAAGTGAGAAGTGGATTGGAGATGCAGTTGAAAGAAGGGCAAAAGCCAAGAAGACTGCGATAAAGATACTGTGGAACATGATGGTTAATTTATCGTATGTAGTCTTGAAGAAAATCGGTATGTAGAGATAGAATGAGTAGGTGCTGAGAGCAGAAATGTTTCCAAAACTTGAAGAGAAATGGGAAATCGATGGCGAGATAGATAGTCAGCAACTATGAGACTGAATGTCGTATGATATGAGAGAAGGTGGTATAGAATCAAAGGAGTGGACGCTAGGCTACTTTATACATAGGCACCTGTCTAGCAGGCATTTCTGAAGGAGGATGGTAGGAAGGCCGTAGGAAGGCTGGAGAGGGGGGAGGCAAGCGTTTAAATTCCTTAGGGACATACTCAATTACATAGTATGCTATGATCATAATGAAACTGGGGTGAAACTTGGAAATTGTGGCCGAAGAAGGGGTCCCATGGCGAGGAATGTGAGGCAGAGTATGTTTCATAGCTAACGTATTTACAATCGGGATTTGACTTTGTTCCTTGGATCAGGTGGCTTTGACAATGAATGGATGCATACAAAGAAGTGATAGCCGAGAGTTTTTTAAAAAAAGAAATAACAATAGAAGCACTCCTGGAAACTTATTCAAGCCGAAATAGGCACTGCAGAAGGCATATTCATGTTCATTATCTCCTCCTTTGACATGCCAAATTCTGCAGGCAAAAATATCCATGTTACCTCTGATCCCAAGAATCGAAGTCTAGCTTGTTTACAAATTGATAATGGTTAAATAAATGTGGGACAAAGAAGTCCGAAGCGGCCAGGATAGACACATTTCAAGCGCCCATCGCCAAAAGCAACGTAAAAGACAGAAGAACCCAAATGTGCTCCAGGTGAACAGCAACAATCCCGGATCCCGTCACGGGAATTGAGACACCATGCATGCGCTCTCAAAACGAATCAAGAAAAAGAAAAAGTTGTACAATAGATGCTGATGCAGAGATCGTGTCCAAGGCCGTATCGATACACAACAAATACATAAAATATCGACTCAAATCTCTAGTCGTCGCGACGACCGAGCTCATACGAGGTTTCAGTAGCCCCGCCTAATTCTTCGTCTTCCTTAAAGCTAACCCGTCGAAGCAGGGAAGGCATCATGTTTCGCGCACGCCGGGTGGGCGATGAAGAAAGACGGGATGGGCTGATGAAGGAAGGCACCTTGGTGTAGCGATAACGGTATTGAGCTCCCAGGAGCATAACGCGGCCGTAAGTCCACCAGAGGCAGATACCCACAGTACCGGCGATGACGAATCCAAGGAAGGTGAGGAACACCCAGTGTTGACCCATCTAATTTAGAGTTAGCAGTTGAGTCGCCTGATTTAATGCAGAGAGAATAGGCAAAAAAGAGCATATAAATGTGTTACTTACCCAGAAGATCAAGCGCGCGTCCTTGCCATGCCAGCTGTTTCCAGTGTGGTGGGTGAAGAAGCTCCAGGAATATTTGTTATATTCATCTTGCATCAGAATGCGTACCCGGTTCATCTCGCTGGGCTTATCCTGCATGTACTCCTTCCAGATAACGGAGAGGAATAGAGGACCAGTCGAATACATGACCGTGATGTAGGGAAGCAGCCAGCTGCGGTCATACTTCTGCAACATTTCGATGGCGCGCAGGAAGAAAGGATGTTGAGGAACAGATCCCATCGCGTCGTTCGAGATACCTGTTGGTACAGTACGGCGCACCCAAGCTGGATAAGCAAGCAGGGGATCAAGACGGCGATTGCAACCCTAAAATAGCAGTTAGCATGGATTGAACATGTCGAAAAAAGAGATCTCAATTGTAGAGGGATACGCACGTCATCCAAATCAATGTATGTGCCACCATAGTGCGCCAGAACGAAGTATCGAATGGAATCAGCCCGCTGGATGGGGTACTTGTAGCCGTCAAAGGTGTCTAAGAACCAGGGATATTCGGCGGCGATGAAGTCGCGGGATTTTTCATTTGTCCATAGCTAAAGCATATGTTAGCACACTCAATTCTACCCCACAAATTTGATTCACAAACAAAGCACATACAATGTACTCATAGTCCGGGTGCAGATCAATGCAACTCTGCTGAGCCTCCTGCCAGACCTCGGGGATGGTCTCGTTCTTATAGGTCTGGTGGATGATCTTAGGAATGATCTGAGGGCGCGTTTCAATCAGACTGGAATTAGGTGATGGCAGCTCTGCATGGTGAATGGCGTCGGCAGCGGCGTCTTCGACTAGTAGTGACAGGAGAGTCGAGACACTGCGGATCAGGAGTGAGAGAATGAGAAGGTTGACGAGAACGAAGAGTAGGAGACCGCGCCGCATGGTGAAGAGGAGGGGGGTGGTCGTTTTCCCTTTCTGTCCAACGCGATCAATTCTTGTGTGAGAACGAGGTATGTAGGCGATTCCAGTATTAGTTGCGTAGGAAAATCCGAGGGGTCGTTAAGAGAGAAGAAGAAAAGTCGTGGCGAGATCGAGGTGTATTCAGGAGCTCCAAAGGTGGGTAAAATCGGCGGAGAGAATCGCAAAGCGCGCTAATGCACGGGAGGGAAAGAAGGCGCAAAGTATTAGTACTGGTAGGTCATGAAAGTGGTCTTTTTTGTTCTTGATCTTCGGTAGTCCAACAGTCGAGGATAAGGGGGTTGAGATTAAAGGAGACTGTAAGACGAGATTGGAAAATTGGAGGAATTAAGAAAAAAAAAAGAGAATTAACACGAGGACAGGGATTCCCAGACGATAATAAGGAGTGACGAGTGGGGAAAGACTAAGGCCAAAGCAGAAAGGAGCGAAATGTTGAAAAGGGAAATGCTGAGGGTGAAAAGGAAGCACATCGCCGTTTGTACCAGGGGAACGCTGTCTATTACATACATTACATACTAGTACGAATATTACGGGGCGAAGCCAAATCGAGTATGAAAATTGCGAGCCGCTACCACCAAAAGGTAAGGAAAAAGGGGAAAGAACCGTGTTACAACATTTTGAAAACCAAATTAAACCCTCGAATACGGTAATTTACCACTCAATATTCCCAATCTAGCGCCACGCGTTAAGCTTTGCAGCCCCTGGATTGGTTGGAGTGAGTCTGCCGGTGGGGGCGAAGAGAGACTGCGCCATCCCCGTTCCTCACTCGCTCCATTATTTTAGGCGGATTACGCAGTTGCTGGGGCCACACCGTGGCTGGGGCCGTTTTTTAACTTCTTTTTCTTGTTTCTTCTACGAATATGATTTTGTCTGGTTTGATGGTTGCCTGCGTGGATTTGAAGAGGGCAGGATCACCTGGGGCCCCATTCTATGCCAAGTAAAAAAAAATTAATGGGGTAGAAAGGGTAGAAAGGATAGACTGCATCATCGATATCTCCCATGTTGTATCAGAACTTGATGCACCCGTATGCGCCATATGCGTTGTATATGTATGTACGAACTAAACTATTGCCAAAAATATCGCTGAGGCTGACTGGCAACTCCATAATAATTTAAACATCTACATGTATCGGACTACGGACAACTCCCGTCCAACTCCTACTCCGTATATGATTATTTCACCGTCGGAACATAGAGCCCTCAAGTGCTCGTATAAATTTTCTGCCGAGGCTCGCCAAGTCCCACACTCTTCTCAGCATTGAAAACCTGGAAATAACCATGGAGATTCTTTTCTTTTCTTTTCTTTATGGTTTGAATTATGTGTATTGAAACCTTAGAATGACTGTTTTTCGTCTGAAATTACCATCCTGACTATCGTTGCGGGGGGAGCCATTTCACTAGTGCACGGAGCAAGGAGCTCAGGAGAAAAAGGGCAAAAACCGTACTCGTATCACTGCCCACTCTAGTCTGGGGGTGTGAGCATGAATTGGTCCAAATTCTCCCACCAAGCTGCTTCTTAACTGGCCCAAAACTATCACCGACCCGGCCCCACCAGACCACACTAAACCCACCGAGGATAGGAAATCGGCATGGAGTCCTCCACAGGCCCCCCCCCAAGGCGTCAAGGCCCCAAAATACATAAGCCTGAACAGCAAAGCGCTGGTACGTCCACCAAATCCATACCCCGGGCAACAACCCACCCACCTGTTGCGTCAGAACAAATGGGCAAAAATTGCTAGCCCACGGTTCGTCTATGTTGGGCTCTTTGTCCCCACTAAACCTCGGTTTCGGGCAATTGAATCTCCAAAAGGCTTGTGTGTCGCACTGGCTGACACTGGCACAGAGGACATACGAACCATCCCGTCCAGGGTGTGAGGGTTGGTAAAAGCATAGTTTGAACTGTGCACCAGCCGCGGCCGGAGCCTTTCACACGTAGGAAAAAGGTACAGATCAGCATTTGAAATAGAAGGATGACGTGAGTGGTCTCAACACTTTATTTGCGCCCTGTTCTATTGCTGGCTACCTTTTCCGTAGGCTGATCATCGATCAGCGGCTCATTTTTCTCCTTTGGTGCCGTGGCGGCACTTAGGATCAGTAGTTTTGTGACGAGACACGAGTACCACGCGATATACAGTTCTGGGAGTGGATATCTGTATATGCATTAGAATAGAATGATTACCTCCACCTCGCCGCTTCTTTCAAGATCTACAGTATGTAAAGTAAATGTAAAACCCAAGCATCTTCCACTCTGTCACCTCGTTTCGTTTCAGCTCAGCTCCTGATCTTTTTTCTCCAAGTCACACATGTCGGATGACATAGTTTCCCAGACCTCGCCCGCGTAGGCGGGGCAAGGAGGCGATCAGGGGGGGGGGGGGGGGTGCGGTACAGTATCAAGTTGGGGCCAAGAATGGGGGCTGTGAGGTGGCTCGCATTGCACTTGCAACGTATCTACATCCCAGAAAGGAAACAGCCGCGATCATGCCTCCAATGTAGCAAGTCTTCATTGTCGTGGGGAGCAAGGGGATGGCTCCACTATCTAAATTTATTATTCGAGGTATGTATGTATTGTCGTGCAGCGCGCAAATCTGCGCCTTTGCTGCGGAATTTCAAATCATTTCAATATTGAATTATACAGATCGGGTATCTATCGCTATGTAACGCTGAGAAATAATGCAAGCCTCTTTCCACCTTAAAACGATCAAGATTGGTCGTTTCTCGATATTTGTATACAACTGCATGGCACGACACACACCTTTCTCGCAAACCCACTTGCTGATAGTGTTCCTGATTCCGCGATACGACGCACAGCGACAATAATGGACCGGACCATGAGCCCCATAATGGGAATGTGAATAAGCTCGTCAGATCCCCATGAGCTAAATCGTGCAGAGAAAGGAGGGGAAAAGACGAGACAAAGAAAATGGCGAAAATGCGAGGTTTGGCCTTGGCCCTTACTCAATCCATAAAGTGTTCACCGTTTCGTGTCGGATGTCCTGAACAACTAGCAGCGTAATGCCACTCACCACATTGTTTGAAGTATACTAACTGATCAATTGGGTTCTTGCCCTGTGCACATATAGTCGCTTCAAGATCTCACAGCATAAAGTTCCAATAAGCATTCGGTGAAGCTCTCAGCGAACCTCCGGTGCAGCCGCCGCTGCAAATTCAGGGTTGACATTAGTGGCATCGGTTGGGCGGTCCGCAGGCTGCTCAAAGAGTCGACGCCACCACATGGGCGGATCAAGAGGCCGGTGGCCACCATGCAACGGTGGGTATACATCATTGAAGAAATACCACACATGGCCAACCACGATACCACAAATTTCATCCTTGGGTACGATACGGTGGACGATCACACTGAAAGCCATAAGCACCCATGGAAGGTAAGGAGCCGTGAATACTAGTAGACCCAAGAAGCTGAGGCGAGTTTCGGGATTCCGACGGGCCCAGATATAGACCAGGCTAGAGGAGAGGGCAGATCCAAGGAATGGCATCGATAGGAAAGGTGAGATGATCAAAAGCGAGGACATGGCGTAGAACATCAACCAAGCAAAGTATGCTGGTGAGCGGCCGGAGGATTCCTCCAACAGGCGGGAGTATCGCTGAAGAAAGAAGACATGGAATATAAGGTCGAGATTGAGTGGACCGAAATAAAGAAATGTTGTTAAAAGACGCCAGTATTGTGATTTGACATAGACCGCACGAAAGCTGTAAAATAGTTGGAATAGGGTGACTATATGACACTGCACCAATACCGAGGTCGCCACGGTGGCCACTGTCCACCAACGGGTCACTGGTGGCATCTCATAGAACCACTGCTCCAGTGGGAACTGGGCCATTTGCGCATTGTTTTCCCACAGTGCTGCCATCTTGTCGAAAGTCAAGACACTTGACTGTGGAGGGGGGAAAGAAAGCAATGGAGACGTGGGGGAAGTGTATATGGGAACAGTGATGTCCTTGCTGATAAAGTGATTAGGGAACTCTATCGGGGCTTATCAGCAACATAGTCACGTGACTGACGCGCGCGCGTAGAAACCCCAATTTGGCAAAAATAGGGAGGCGGGAACACAATCTCAAGGCTAAGACGAATTGGTTCATATTGGCTTTTCCCAGCCTCCTTCAATTGTGTCTCTTTTTTCTTTTTTTTTAATCGTCCTGGGATTCCTTGTACTCTTAGTATCTACTTACCCCCTCTATCGATCTTATTGATCACCGATCATTTTAATTCCATCGTTTCTCCCCGCTTCAACCTTTCATCAACACTGCAAGGGATAAGCTTTTCCTCGACGCGTGCACATCCGCGAAAAAGAAGAGATCAATTGCACAATCGCAACACTACCCCGCGATCAAACCACAGCAAAATCATTTGCGCATACAATCGCACAACCTTCCACAATGCCCCCTAAGGCCCGCAAAACAGGAGGCCCAGCAAGCCCAGCTCAAGCGCGCAAAGCCGCCGCGAAAGGAGCTGGCAAGTCCCCGAAGAAGGCCGCCGCAAAGCGCATGTCCAATGTCCAACGTAGGTGCCCACTCAGCAAACCAAACACACGAGCACGAGCTCAATCGCATTCAATCCCATCTTCCGAAATCTCAGCATTGAACTGACTCTGCCTCCCTTGAAAACAGCCGGTGATCCCACACCCCAAGGCCGTCGCCGCCGCTACAAGCCAGGCACCGTCGCCTTGAAAGAAATTCGTCGCTACCAACGCTCCTACGACCTCCTTATCGCCAAGCTTCCTTTTGCGCGCTTAGTCCGCGAAGTTGCTTTGGATCTCCTCCCCGCAGAAACTGGCGCCGAGCTACGATGGCAATCACAAGCTATACAAGCACTGCAAGAAGCTGCGGAAGCGTTCATGGTTCATTTATTCGAAGATACAAATCTCTGCGCGATACATGCGAAGCGTGTCACGATTATGCAGAAGGATATTCAACTTGCGCGTCGCATTCGAGGAGCTTGGGGTGGTCTAGGCTGAGCCAGAGCCCTTTTCTTCTCCCCATTCGCGGATATTTCCTTACTTTCCGATTACTGGTCCTATGGGACTCTATTTTTCTTTCCTCATGGGATATGCGTGATCCTTTGATCTTATCTTTAATAGCGAATTTTGCAATTGTTGGACATCACTAGAATCCCCGGGGCTAGGATCGTCCAGCAAAATCTGCCGGCGCATTGTGGGCACGGAGTCGACATGGATGGTGTTATGTTTTTTATCCCTTTTCTTCTCTTTTTGTGCTATCTGTTCTTTTATCCAGATGCACGCGAGGCTATACTCAGCTTTATGCTGTTATTTGGCGTGTGCGTGATCTTGTTCAAAGTCGATCGATTATACCAAGGAGTTTGTACATTAGCATGGATGCTGGGTGTTGTTTTGTCTGCCGTTTCTTTTATCGTCTTATAGGTAGTGTGATGCCGTGGAATGGAAGTCGAAAGGGTGTTCGCTCGCTTTGACTAGCGAACATCACCCTTTTATCTTGACTTGTTTATTACAACTCGAACGATTCTCATGATAGAGTGAAATATTTCCCAGAAAACCCTAATGGTTGGATATGGATGCAGGACAGAATATCTCATACACCTTGCATTAATCACGCTTTTTCAATAAAATAATCCAAACAACAAACGCCTTCTCCATGTCCTCAAGCGCTTATGGATTGGTATCATAAAACGGAAGCGCCTATCCAAGGAATTATAAGAGTAAGAATGAACAAGAAGGGAAATTCCATCATGGATGGCTAGCTTGGCACCAAGAAAAATGCCAAGGCATTCATAAATTCAAATTGACCGCTTCAGGCCTGGCGGCAGACTCATAATAAGTCGCTGGCCTTCTTCACGCACGCCGCGGGCTTCATCAGCTTTGCCCTGGCGTTCAAGAGTATCCGCTAGCATCTCATCAGTGACACTAGCCCACAAGCGGTCGTTGGCTCTCTTAGCCATGGCACGACCGGCCCGCGCACTCTTCTCAGCTTGCTCGCCGACCACTCCGCGGAAGTATCTCCAGCTCATGAAGGTGAGTGTCATGCAGGTGATCTGGCTATTGCTGATAGCAGTTGCGGACTGCAGTGCCTGCTGAAGGTACTGCTTGGTCTGAATAGTCGAATCGGTGTGTACAGTGGCGCAGACAAGATGGTATGCTGCTTGAATGTACTTGTTCTGACTATGTGAACAAAAAGAATACAGTGTGGCCATTGCATTAGAAAGGTGAGAATGGGATGGGTGGGCTGAGTCGCGGATGATCAGAACAGTATTGAGGAGGGCAAGGATACATGTATCGCGGCACGGATCATTGCGAGTGGTCTTGCTATCCGAAGGCGATAGGGATAGCAGTGGTGACTGGAATATTGAGAGAGCAGCGTTGAGATCTCCAGTGGCCTGCGCAATGGTGCCAGCGGCATATTCCATCAGACACTCTATAGAGCTGGGGACATCCGGCCCAATTTCCTGAACGACTTGTCGCAAATCTTTGAGAGATTGAGTGGCCATCTCCCAATCGGTTCGAGAACATGCCAAGAAAACACGCTGTAACAAAAAGTTGCAGTACAATGAACGACGCCATTCAACCCGTCGAGTTGCACTTACCATGCACTCGGGTATCTCTTGCGGGGCCGTGAATGATCCTGTAAGCAATGTTAGACTGTAGTACTCGGCAAGAATAGTGAAATTGTCCATACCTTGAATCATTCTAAGTCCCTCATCGAGATACTTCTCTGCTTTCCGACCATCAAAAGAGTTCTTGGCGCTCAAGGTGATTGAGCTCAGGAAATATGACAACGCGTAAAGATCATGCTGAGGCAGCCAATTGAAGCTTAAGAGCAGGGTTCCATTGTGAACCTGAAGAATATCGCCTGTGTCGATGGATGATGGTCCGGCGGACTTGCCGTTAAGTGGGATAGAGAAAGATCCATCGGAGCGCCAGTTTGTATCATTGAGTGTTTCATCTACCAAAGCCTGCATGACCTTCAACTTCTGAGAAGACTGATTGATATCATACTCAAGAAGGCTACAGCAGATATCTGCCATTTGGACGAGTGTCACAAGCTGAGGGATGTGACGAAGCTCGTCACTCAATTGATGGCTACGTGCCACAGCTACCGCACGCTGCGCCTGCTCAATAGATTCGGAGCTTGCCCCGTGTTGCAAATGTGCCAATGCTTCTATGACAGCTGCCATCGCAGAGACAGCCTTGTCGCCATTGCGACTAGCCATAGTTGAAATCTTATTAAGATGTTGAAGAGCCTGGACAGAGTCTTGATGTGATGAAGAGGACATCGATAACGAGACCCGAAGGAATCGAAACGCATATTCCCAAGCTGCGTGACGGTACCTATTTCACTCGATTGGCACAGATTCCAGGGCAAAGAACAGATGTACTTACGCTTCCACATCTTGAATCATGCCATCCACAGCCTTAAGAGAAGCTTTAGGGTTGTTTTTATGGAGCATGCGAGCTAAAAGATGCTGCATACTATATTTCAAGTCCAGCATGCGATTCTGCAAGGGTCAGTATGGCACGGAAATGGCTGTAAATCACAGTCTCTGATGGAAAGAGGGGATGACACTTACTCTCTCACAAAGGTCAATCCCTTTGCTCAGAGCCGTCTCTGCCTCGATATCATTATCCGTTTCTTCAAACAGAGTTCGTGCATATCGCAGTCTGACAAGAGCTTCTTTACGAGGTTGTAGCCGCCAGTTCTATTCAACGGGTTAGCTGATCCAAGCAGGGGATACAAGTATCGGTTAGTAAGGGATACCAACCTTTAATACAGCCTCCAGGCACCCGAGTCCCGTGGCAACGAGTTTATAGTAGTCTTCGACATCTGATTGATTAGACAACAGCGCAGTACGCGTGCCATGCATATGCGCAGCATTAAGATACTCATCGGCCAGCGATAGAAGCAAGACCTGATAGTCGACGGGTGGCTTATTAGACTTCGCTATCTTGTCAGGGGTTTGCGGAAGGCTTTGCTTTTTCTGCTGTGGCTTCTTTGGGTTCTGTTGTTTTTGAACTTTTCCTTGAAAATCTGGAGAAGGTGCCGGGACCATCACTTGTGGAATAACCTTCACGGGCTGCGGTGTAGTTTCAAGAGGAGCGGGTTTAGGTGAAGCGGGTTTCTTTGGTGTTGATACAGGGTTTGGAGCAACCGATGGGCGCTTCTCTACTTTGGCTTTGGGTGAAGGCTGCGGTGGAGGTCGTGGCTCAACTTTAACAGGCTCAGGTTGCTGGATTTGGAAGCTAGATTGGCCTTGAATTGGTGCGGTAGGCGGTTGTGACGTTTCTGGTGGGGCGACGTGCGCCGGGGCAATTGGAGGAAGAGTTGACAAAGAAGTAGTGGGTAGAGATATCGGGGGTAAATCGTTCGTGACCGAAGTTGAGAGGGCACTTGGGTCAACATAATCGGGGGGCGGGATGTACCGTGATCGTGGAGCGGTTGGAAGAGGTGGTTCAACAAATAAATTGGCGGGATTGACAAACTGATGCTGCAGCTCTTCCGATAGCATAGACTGTGGTGGGGGCGGCTGCAGGGGCGACAGAGCCTTTACCGGCTGCACCGGCGGCGCTGGCGGCGTAGAGGCTACAGGGGCCGCAGAGGCCAAAGGAGCCAGAGGGGGATGTTGTACCGGGGGCGATGGTTGTATGGGTGACTTGTGGGGTAGAATCTGTTGAGGTTGTGGTACTTGAACTGGGGATTGAGACGGCCTCTGGTGAGGAGATTGCTGGGGCTGGGGCTTTGGAAGTATAGGTGATGGATGCTGTGGTTGTGGAATCCTAGGCGACTGATGTTGCGGTTGAATGAGAGGCTGCTGCTGCGGCTGTGGCGGTGGCCTCGGGCGGGGAGACTGATGCTGCTCATGAGGAATTATGGGCGACTGATGCGGTGGCCTAGGAAGTAAAGGGGATTGTCGGTGTTGTTGAGGCCGCGGCGACTGCTGTTGCTGGGGAGGTTGGCGAGGTTGACCGATCGGTGGCTGTGGATGATGCGGCAGTTGATGTTGTGGTAGGATGAGAGGGGATTGTTGTAACTGCGGCTGCTGCATGGGCTGTTGGATGACATTTTGATGCTGCTGCAGATACTGGTTGTATGCCGAAGGATACGGCATCATCCCTGGCGAATATGCTGGTGGTTTTCCATAGCCATTATGATATGGCGGCGGCGGCGGCGGCGGCGCAGGGGCCGCGACATTATTGTAAACCAACTGCTGTTGGGGTACACGCCCGGGCTGGTATTGCGGATGTGGAATGTAGTGAGGATATTGACCGGAATTGGGTGGTGGAAAGCTCATCGCCCCGATGTGCGCTCTCACCAAGTGAAGCTGCCCGATATGTCCGATATCTAAGAATGCGCGGGATGAAGGTGATACTTTCCGCGTGTCGGGGCGGAGAAACTCGCGGCAGTCAGCTGATAAGCAATACGATATGAGGATTTAGGCGGAACAAAGTGGATCTACATCATTTACTCGTTGTTCCGCCAACTACTGTAATGTACATCAGATACAGCCCAACTATATCCTGATATGCCAAAGTATTTCCGAAGAAAGAAAGAACGCCATAGGGACACTTATTACAGGATATGGTGGATTAAATAGAATACAACAGAATAAAAGCTGTTTAACTCCCAAAATTCGAAAAATCCAATGATATTGCTCAAATGTTCAAGCCAACTTCACGATGACAATATATTATATTACAAATTGCGAATCGATGAATATAACGAATCCAGTGGTTGGTCTTCCACAACAGGTGAAATGACTTCCTCGCCTATGCTGGGTGTAAATGTGAGAGGTGGATGCTCTCGAACTGTCCAAGGACAGAGCTCATTACAATTCTCCACGCCAATCGATGGTTCGGCTGGGTGAATCCTTTGCGATGCCCACGTTGCGTCGGGCTCTTGTCCGCCGCCTCCAAGGCATCTTTCAGTATGAAATGAGTATGTGACTTTCCCACTTTCATTCGTGGTGTATGGTTGTTTTCGGGGGCATTTGAGTGTGGTATTGCAGGCAGCGCAGACTGAAATTCGTCGACAAGAGGTACAGAAGGAATCGAAGAGGCGGCAGATGGTTGATTGGTAAACACTCGAGAGCCAAAGGTCGACGGATCGATGAGCACATCCAAATCGAGGAGTCATGTATTCCTCCTTCCCCACCTGGCCTGACTCGGTAGTGAGATTGTACTCTGAACGTATCACCAGTTGATCCTCGTCATCAAGTTCGGGAAATAAAGAAACCTTCAGTACGGTGGGACCATAGGTCTCAGTACATGTATGCCAGCAGTATCTGTCCGACGTCATACTCCCAAATTGGGTCTGTAGAGCATTCAAAGTGATTTTTCTAACTCGCATCTGGTCTATCAGATCCAGTTTGTCGCGGAAAGTTATCTTCTTGCAAGGGCAAAGGTCGACAATTCCGGCTAGCTCACCCACATTACAGGTGCGGGTTTCTGACTTGCGCCTCAGTTCTCGAGATGAGAATGCAGATCGGGGGTGCAGTTTCAGGCATTTAGAACACACGCGCCATCGGTGATTTTCAATTAAGTTGATAAATTGCCAGCGCGGAGTGACAAAGTTATGTCCATTTCGATAATGATGGAAAAGGGGTGCGAAGTCACGGGCAAATCGTAATGATTTAGACGATAAGATTTCTCTAGATATGGAAAACATGCGTTTGCATGTCAATGCTAAGGCAGCTTCCGGTATTACTGTCAAATGTGAGATGATTTCGAGGAGTAGCTCAGTAGGCAGTTCCATCAGGTGGGAGCGGCCCGGTTCCTCCTTCTGCTGCTTTCGCAAACGAGTCGCAGGCCAGGTTCTCATCTTCATGATCATTTTGACCTTATCTGTGGCTCGTGAGAAGCGCTCTGGTACGTGGACCGGAGACAAAGCCAAAGCCATGAAGAGTTGGGGGGTCAGGATCTTTCGTTGAGCCTGAGATGGTTTAACGTGGGGGTTTTGAGCAAAAGGCATCGGAGACTTGATGGTGAAGATGATGGTCGTGGGTTATTATAATGATGGATAACGGGTATTCGAAGGTAGTATATGCTGAAATATCATATTGGAGTGAAGACACCATGTATCGTGTGACAGGGAGGAGGCACCAAGAGCAAGAGGAGAAAAAGAAGAGAAAGGAAAATCAAAGCTTGGATCTGTTGACTTTGAAGTAGGTTTTAACTGATAAAGTTGCACGAAAACGGACCATGGGATTGGGTCACAGAAGGTTGCGGACCATGCTATCAGCATTACATACTGTCAACTATAGGGCTTGAGGGTTCGGAACGGGCATGATCACCGTTTTTTGTCTGATGATCCCGATTCCCGATACAGCCCCAACCCTTTTGGTCCTTTGTTTTTTTTTCTCCTATTTGTTGTCCTTTCATTAAACCCAAACCCGGAGAAATGTCTACAATCTTATTTAGGAGGGGGTTCAAATCCACGAGTTGACTACCGCAAGCTATCTAGGGTTACCGCATGCGGAAGGAAGATTGCCGCATTAAGCATCATCCCGTCATCACTTAGTATTTTTAGTAGGAATGTTCTTCGGGTACTCGATATTTTCAAAGCAGACTAAAATGCTTGGACCGCATCCGCTCGGGGTGAAATGAAAATTCTCGTTTTTATCATCGTCATATTCTATGACCTTGTCAACTGACAAAACCCTATCTACCCCCATGACCCACCATGGGCTCCATGCGCCTGAAGATGTTCAAGTGGGTTGAAGTGATGATCTATACCAATTTAGGAAATATACCCGGATAGCTGACTCATCATGCATAAATCAGCTGACTTTCTGCATGGATAAAAACTCGTATGCCAAGACTTCAGATCAGCCGAGGTTCTTTCCTTATGGGGAGCCTGTTGCAGGCCATCAGGTTCCATAGAAAACACGGTGGGAGGGAAGTGGGAAAAAACTAGTTCATTTCACATATCTCCCTTTTTCCTACTCGCATTTTATATTTTGCATAGCCCTTTTATTCCGTGACGATACTTTTAGGTTTTGATACTAGCACCTTTCAACCCATTTTCTTGATTTGGTCTCTTATCAGATTTGCTGGCAATGGGCTTGTTGTCATGGGTCCTTCCGAGCGGTCGGATCGCCTTCTACCACGCCAAAGACAATAACCTCCTCCTAACCAAGGCCTCGGAGAAATCAGATGTAAAAGAGCAAACGTCTTTAGTAGACATATGTCGTGCCGCGACCCCCAAAACCTGTCATCTGAACCCCTTGCTTTTTAACGGGCACCTGCAGACTGGCTGGACCCAGATGAACCCTGATAATGTTCCAGTCTACTACAAGAGAAAAGTCTTTGACTCGGACATGCCCATGTTTACTGGACAATATGCCATCGATTTCGCGGTTAAGCCATATGACATGCCCCTAGAGGGAGAGCTAACGGACAAGGCAAGGGAGTTTACATTGCCAGACGGCCTGCCACCCCGCACATCTTTCTTTTCAAACGAAGAATTCTCCAATATTGAATCAGATGATTCGAAACCAATGTTGGTGCTTCTGCATGGTCTGAGTGGTGGCTCGCATGAGATATACTTACGCCATGTCCTGGTTCCTCTGTTAAAGGATGGCTCCTGGGAAGCCTGTGTGGTGAACTCAAGGGGCTGTGCACAAACCAAGATTACCTCAGGTGTACTCTACAACGCACGAGCAACATGGGATATCCGTCAAACCGTGAAATGGCTTCGAAAGACATATCCTAATCGTCCTCTTTTCGCCATCGGTTTCTCACTTGGGGCTAACATCCTCGCTAATGTATGTATTGATATCTATCTCGCCGTCTTCATCATAGGAGGCTAATTTGTGATAGTATCTTGGAGAGGAAGGGGAAGACTGTCAAATCAAGGCAGCTGTCATCTGTGGAAGTCCCTGGAACTTGGATGTCAGTTCCACCACTCTTCAGCAAACCTGGATAGGTCGAGAAATTTATAGTAAGACCATGGGAAATAACATGAAAGGTTTATTCGAGAGGTTAGTGAATCTCTCAAATGCTATCTGCGACCCAGCCAATTAATAAATGATAACAGACATGTGGACTCAATTTCCAAGAACCCTCGCGTCGATGTTGAAGCAGTTAGAAAGAGCACTTACCTACACGAGTTCGATCGGTAAGAATGTTTCCACTGACTTCACCCTTGTTTCGATTATTTTCAGTACACTTATTGCAAATCATCTAGGAATTTACAATGCGCCACATGGGGCTATCCTACTGAAGGTGCATACTACCGTGATGCGAGCTCTACTGATGCGATGCTTGGAATTCGCATTCCCTTCCTCTGTATCCAGGCCGAAGATGATCCAGTAAGTCCTAAAACGTGTTTTATATACAGTCCATCCTGCTTATTGAAAATCAGATTGTTTCACCAGAGGCGCTACCATACCAAGAAATGACTCAAACACCATACGGAGTTATGTTAACCACATCCTGGGGTGGACATCTAGGCTGGTTTGAGGCTGGGGGTTCTCGGTGGTTCGTGAAACCAGTAAGTAAATTCGGTTCAAGCTCACTCGCCAACTTCGAAATCATTGATTGATTGAAATAGGTCAACAACTTCCTTAATACCATGGCGAAGGAAATCGATACAAAGATCCCAGGTGTAGTTGAGCACCTCGATAAGTTGCCGGGCCAAGTCGCATACCACCCTGGGATGGACAAGGATGCAGACGTGGCTCCTAAGCCTGAGTTTGGTCCTGTTCGTCGCAAGCTTGACATGAAACTAGCGCAGTAAACTTTCGGGTCAATCATGCGAGGCAGTCTCTTAATTCGTCGCACCGGGTATGGCAATGGTGAACAGGCCAATTGATACAAGGAAACATTTACGAGTATCAATGATTTCGGGCTGGGCATAGTATATTAAATTTAGAACTTTTGAAACACTTTCCTTATGGGGTTGAAAATATCTACCCGCAAAGTAATTTATGATTGACATGAATTCATCAATTTTAGGAGTAACCCCTTCAATATGATCAACGCTATTCACAGTATTTTGGATGTGACAAATGTAACTATAACCCCATAAAAACGCCGAGTCCTGTCTAGGTACATGAAAAAGGGTATGTATATTATGTCCCTCAAGCAAAAGAAACACTTTTCCGCTTCGGCTTTGCCGACTTTGAGCCGGCATTTTTTGTAGAAGCCGAATCATCGCCTGCCTTTCCGGAACCACCATTGCCCTTCTTGTTGCGGATTGAATCTTTGACAGCCTCCAATTTGTTCTTCTTATGTGCCTGTCGAGCTTCGAGCTCCTTTGCCCTGGCATCCCGGATCTCTTCCAGTTGGCGTGCCTTCATCATCTTCGACTCAATCTGGCCATCCTTCTCGGCGTTTACCATGGCAAGAATCGTCAAAATGCCCTCCTAAACCGTAGAGAAAATGCATCGTTAGCTAAAAAGAATTCCATGTTGGACGAAGGGGAGGTGGCGAACCTGATCATCCACAAAGGTCTTTCCCTTCTTCTTGCCCTTGGGCTTTACAACACCAACTGGTGTAATAGTATTTAACTTGGGCAAGTCAAGCTCAGCCTCTGTATACTTGCGCTTCTTCTTCTTGGCCATAAGGTCGGTCTCGGTGCGGGCCTTTGATTTGACTTCCTTGGGAGGAGGACGCTTGACATTCTTCTTGCTGGACTTGCTCACGCGCGAAGCAGAAGACAGTGGCTTAGAGCCACCCGCAGAAGCGCCCTTGGCCGATCCTTTATTTGGCGGCGCCATTTTGGAGGAACTGGAGGAATTGGAGAGTGTATTGTCTTGAAGTCGAAATGCGCCGGAAGAGATAATTTGACGTGGGGTGAAACAGCCAAGAATTAGGCAAGAGTCGTAGAACTAGTATTTGCTGAAGACGAGTCGAGATTTATGCGATAAACCACAGAGTTCTCGAATGAAAAAGTCAAACAAAAACCATGGAGCAGGCAACATGCAGTTCAACAAGCAAATCCAGAAAAATTGAAGGGAAATTTTTTAGAAGGGAAGGCGGTGAGCCAAGACCCGGACCACCACTCAACCTCAACTGCGAAACATCCAACCCGCTAGAGCTCACCAGTGACAGTCCAATTCTCTCCTGTTCCGCCCTAGAGATTGTACCCTCACTGGACTGAGTGGGACGCTGATAAATTCTTCACCATGACTATCAACCCTACCTACCTCGCCCAGCGGACGCGTTCCTGTACGTACCTTTCCTTTCGTCGATCTCCCCGAGGAGTTCCGATCACCCACGACGCATTTACCACAATTGAAACCTACGAACATGTCAGATAACTAACAAAAATGCCGACAGCCGTCAACTGGAACGATACGAAGTTCCGAGTCCTCAAGTCCTACCGAGAGTGGCTGCGTGCGGTCAGTATACCCCAGATCTCTAGACCCGCCATGTTCTTGCATCAACAGCCAATCGCTGCCGAATATATGGTCAGCACAATGTTTGATCCGAACCACAACTAACATTCGATATTTGATGAATATAGTCCCCTGAGATCCAGACCATGTACTCCTTGAACATGCCCGTATCCGCCATCCGTACCAAGATCCGTCAGGAATTCGAGAAGCACCGCTATGTTAGCCAAATGAGCGTCATCGATGTGCTGCTTTACCAGAGCCACGCTGAGTTCCAGGTCAGTCATGGCACCATGCAGCTGAGGGTTCATATTTGGTGGAGATTTGGGCATAATTGCTTGTCTCCAGTGGGATGGCTTTTTTTATTATGCTCAATTACCTATACATCACCGAATCCTTGGCTTCTTCCCTGCTATTCATTGAATATAAGCTAATGGCTAGATACAGGAAACCCTCAACTACTGGAAGCAGTTGTCTCATGTCATGAAGTACTTCCGCCCCGAAGAAGACCCCGGTGCCCGACTACCCCGCAACTTTGTATCGGGCTTCTTGGAAGGCCGCAATTGAAAATATTGTTTCCCGTAACCATCCACTGCTTCAGTTTTCCCGTTTCCTAAAGTTCTAGTCCTTCGTGCAGCAGTTGATAGGACTGCCTTAACGATAGAGACGTGACGTGTGTACATATTGTCTGAGTAGATCACCAAATTACTTCTTTTTTTTTGTCTCAACTCAGGTGCATACTTCATATTGGATAACAAGATTTATCAGGTTCTGGTTTCAAACCTCGATTTCATTATTTTGGGTTGTTCTAATTATTGCAGTTTTCCTGCTCAAATTGCGGCGTATAATCACAGCTAAATTGAAATAGCAAGAACATTATCCCTTCTTTAGAACGAGCTCATTATGCAAATATCAAACTTCGCACCCAATCACTCCGTGCTAGTTTCGCCCGACGACTGATCGGCGCATTTGGTACAAAAACATCAAACCCATGCCAGCAGCCCGGCCATACATGCAACTCAGTCGAGACACCAGCTTTCCAAAGCGCAGATGCATAATTAACATCCTCATCACGGAAAACATCCGTGTCACCCACATCAATCCACGTGGGCGGCAATCCACCAAGATCCTTAGCACGAGAAGGAACAGTATACATAGTGACATGCTCGCGGTTCACCCCTAAGGCATAGTTACAGGCGTCGACACTATTTGACCTCGTCCACGGTACAATATCTCCAAATTGCAGCATGGAATGAGTCTCATTGCTATCATCAAGCCACGGATACATCAACAATTGACCCCGAATCTTTGGCCCTGCGCGATCGCGAGCTAGCAATACGACACCCGCGGCAAGATTGCCGCCGGCTGAACTTCCACACACAATCAGATGGTCGCGGCTATACCCTAGCTCTTGGGCATTGTCGTTCATCCACAACAGGGCCGCATAACTATCTTCTAGCTGGGCAGGTTGGGGATGCTCCGGTGCTAGACGATATTCTGCAGAAACAATGATAGCACCGAACTCTTCCACCCAGTCTAGTACACCTTCAATTCCCACGAAGCGGCTTCCGGACATGTGCCCACCGCCGTGCATGTGAAGAATTCCTGGAGTTTTATATCCTGGCTTTTCGAGGAGGGATTTATTGACTTGTTTCGGGCGGAAAATAGATGCTTTCAGCGTCCCTGCTGGTCCTTGGAATTCTTTTTCTTCGTGGGAGATGAGATGCTCTCTCCCTTGTAGAGTCTGTTCCAAGGAGAAATCCAGGAATTTGCGACGAGTGGCGATTTGCTCTGGCGTGCTGATATTATCATTTTGGGGAAGTTGGCTGTGCACCTCAGCGAGGTCGGGATGGAGTGGTGGCCTTGGAAGAAAAGAGACCATTGTGCTTGGAAGGTTTGTATATGTGTGTACGTGGCTTGAAAGTGGGTCACTTCAATGTTAAGGAAGCTGAGTTCAAGTTGTAAAGAATATAGTAGATACTATTCAGAGTTGAGTTCTCAAATGTGTAGTTTTGTTTATGAATAAAACAGGCGATTATACCATTTATATAGGGAGTCTAATGCTTAATATAAATGATATTATGTAGTTAATTTAATTCATAATTAGACCGTTTTGATTTTTAAGACGGCGACATCAGTTATCGGGGCCGAAAACAATATGCGTGAACTAAAGTCGGCGTTTTTGTCCGTCACTGACTAGTTGAACTTCGCAACTGTGGATCTCTCCGAGTTCGGGTGGATTTTGAGCCGTTGGATCTCTCCGAGCACCAAGTTGTTCTAGGTACAACATACAACATACAATGATCTTTTAATTTTTAATTTTTAATTTTTAACCAACGCTGGTCTAATCATTACAAACAAGATAAAAAATTGCTTGGCAGCGAGTGTGGTCACACGCGACAATCAAATCTACTAATGATAACCGACTTTTGATGTGGATTCGCAAACTCGAAGGGAGATATGTAAACAAATACCCAAAACGACTCGCGAATCTCGTAATTGGCAATTTAAAAGCTGCTTTTTTCATCGCATGTTAGCCCCTGGACCCTGAGCCTAGCCTTTGCCGCAAGGTGGGGGGGGGGGGGGGGGCAGAGCAGACTAATAAACTAGGCGGCAAACTATCGATCGCTAACTAACTTACGTCGGAATTTAAAAGAAAAATCTGTCTTCTTTTTTCTTATTCTTATTTTTCACCATCTGCAAGGCGACTCAGCAATGGCACTCGGGATCTTTTCTTTCGGCTCCTGGATGTACAAGGCCATTTCCGTGGCCCTTTTGGCTTCATGGTCAATATCCACACTGATCTTCACTCTTCTCAATGTCGTCAACGACAAAGGAAGTCTCATGGAGACAATCGGATCAGTCAGTCTTCTCACATATCTGGCATGTCGCCTGATCCTATTCCTCCAGCCAACAACTAGTCGAAACGATTCCATTGCTCACTTCTTTACAACCGCCCATCTACGATCACGTAAAGAGGCCCTCGTGATGTTTCTGATTTCATGGACTTGGCTCTATGAACTGGCATATCAATTCTTTTTCATGCTGTTCGCCACGATTTTTGGAGGTGCTATCGCGGTTGCTATCTATAATGATCCAGATCTAGATCTAAGCGAATCAGATATGGACAATACTGCCCTGGCTAATATCGAAGAATTCACAGAAAAGTCGGGATTGGATCTACGGACAAGCCTGAACTGGGTTCCACCTAGGGCGTTGGTTTATGTTGGTCTCATTTTGTGGCTTAACTTTGCGTCTCTGTGTGTTTATGTACTTCGCGTTTCGTGGAGGTCGGCTAAAGTCGCTCTTGGAAATTCATCCCACCCTCCAGTATAGGTGAATGAGGTTAAACCCCGGGGGCTTCGGATGTGGTAAGCTTTTCATGTTCAGAAGAGCCTCATTTGGAATTTTCAATATAAAAGCAGCATATGTGCCTGGTTGAAGTCGGGTACACATTTGTCGGGTTTCCAAGGTTGAATTCAAAGTCTACTACTGACCGGCCCCTGAATTTGTCTATCAAAAATTTCAGGGGCCGGTTAGTATCCGGAAATATAACTTTGGAAAAAGAAGACCGAAAGAAGACCGGGTTCATGCCGGAGTCGATTGAACCTAAATTCCCAAGGGCAAAGTATACAGAGATGCACAAAGTCCATAATTTTGTCCTTTAATATTTCCTAGTCATAAGCTACTTATGGACTATCCTGGAAATATTGCTGCTTCCTTCTTATCGCATTTGTAGTCACCAGTAGATGGGAAATCAGCCAATCAATAACCGTATATCCACTTCTATTCAATTTCCTTCTATCTGCTGAGGACTTGAATGTCTATATGCGAAAAGCAAAGGGTGATATACAAAATGACTTTTTTTGCACAGTTATGTTCATAATCACACCAGGGTGTCAACATTGACTAAGTCTTTTTTATTGGGGCACTCGTGGACCGACAGACCTCCAGAATTGACAGCGCTCACCACGGCCACCCTCCCAGTTGAACGCATCTGCCAGGCTGAACTCATTGGTAACGCCCGGTCCCTTTCGAAGCCAGTAAGATAGGTCATCGGTAACTTTATCAAAGACTGTTGTCCCACCAGTGGTGTTCAAGTTCATAAGCACGGGTGAATCTTCAGTCCACGCTGGCCAGTGGATATCTCCATTCAAGCCTTCGGGGACGGTTGAATTGTCTGCACCGCCCTTTGCGTCCTTAATAGAGACAACCGGGGTGTCATTAATGATAAAATTACCCCAGATCTTTTGGAATGCACTTATAAATCCACGAGTAGGAGTAGTTGCGCCAATGGAAAAGTATGCTGTCAAGTCCGCACCGTGATATGCGGGCGTGACAGAGTACTGGTATTTCCAGCTTTCTTTGAGTGAACCACCGGAGAACGCATCTGCGAGCCAGTATGATGGACAGCTGAAGTATGCCTCGGCAAATACATTAAAGACGGTTTGCTGGAGACCAGTTGCCATTTCTGATTGATTCAGAGCCGTTGGACCACGATACCCTAGTGTGTCATATCGAGGGCCATTGTTTTCAGGGGATGTGGTCCAGAATCCATAGAGATTCTTCAGGCTAGAGTAATCATGAGAGGAGAAGAGAGGGAATGTCGATTTTATATAGCCGAGGAACCTCTCAGTGGTGTTGATGTACGGAGGACTGAGAGGAACACCATCATTGGCATTATTCTAGAAATTGTTAGCATGCAAGGCGTCTTCGGCAACAGTGATACTATAATTTCCATGGGTCACTCACTCCAGATAACACACGCTTGCCGCTCACTCTTTTCCGAAGCAATTGCTTCGATGGAAGTTCTCGAATAAAATCGCCGTCGATCACAGGTAGGAAGGCCCAAGTACCCCATGCTCCTGAAACGGAGACATTGCCACTGGCATATTGCAATGTGTCGGTGTCTGTATCAACAAGGCAGTCGAACATAGCCGATTTGGATGTATGACCGCCCTTGTAGCATCCTGCTTGTGCTGCAAACTGATGATAATGATTTGTGGGTACTTTGGCGTCGTACTGGTACATTGGCGCAGTATACGGGCTCGCGGCAATGATCTATGTATGTCAGCCAGGAGATCTCAAATACTTGAGAGTAGACTAACATTGTTGAACAAGTGATCTTCGCGGCCGCCATAGGCCATTGCTTGTAAAATCACCGACCCTCCCCCAGAAGACTCACCGCCGATAGTGACACGGGATGCATCACCACCAAATTTACCGATATGCTCTTGAATCCACTCTAGAGCGAAACGCATATCAAGCAAGCCTGCATTCGCTTGTCCGTGTTTGTGTACGTCTTCTGATGACAGGAATCCAAAGGCGCCCAGTCTGTATTGAATCATGACAGCAATGAATCCATTGCCATTTTCCTTGATCCATTCACTTGGGTCGTACTCTGCTCCGAAAAGATTGTATCCGCCGCCATCTATGAGATGTCAGTTCCGGTTTCTTCTTCATTTGGATAAGTTCGAGGCATTCGGGTCAAGTATAGACTTACGGATCCACATCAGAACGGGAAGGTCCTTGGCTCCTGGCGGAGCGTACAAATTCAAGAATAAGCAGTCCTCATTTCCCAATGCCGAATTAAATCCATAAATCTCAGGAAGTTTCGCACCACCAGACTGCGGACAAAGTGGAGGCTGCTCAATAGCCGATTGAATCGAAGTCCTGTTCACTGGAGGGGGCTGTGGGGCTTGCCATCGCAGCTTTCCAACGGGAGGGGCCGCATATCGAATCCTAGCCACGAGGCAATAAGCAAAACAAAATTCCAAGTCGATTCCAAGACAGTATTTCTCTCACCCCTTGAAGATATTGAGATCATAGGTCTCGCTATAGGACCCCTGATAAGCGGTGTAACCAAGATCAACCACCGGGTTCGCCGTATGGAGAGGAGTAGCACCAGCCAGGGTAGCAGTGAGCGCCAGAAGGGCGAGGCTGCTTATTCTAGCCAAGAGGCCCATTTTCACTAGCTACCTTTCACGGCAGTTGAGTATGGTCTAAGAGGAGGGACAAGAAATGTCGGTATTTCTGTGGGTTGAAACGATGATGATTGGTGAGAATGCCGATCCCAGCCCCTTATGTACAGTTCATGTATGTAGGGTCAAGCGTCTGACTTTGCTTATGGAATCACGATAAAGTCCTCGTGCTTTGTCGAGTTCTTTAGCAGGATATAATAAATTGCGAGATGGGCTCACTAATATTGGTTCATAGCGACCGCGTAACTCTTCATCTAAGTTTGCTCTCTAGCTTTCGGTGACCTTTTTCGTTGATCCACCATGCTAGGGGCACGAGGCTAGACTGGATAGATTGTTTCTTGTCTGAGTCGTCGCATGGAGAAAAATGTCATCCTAGCTGGTTACTAACATTAGTTCCGAACCTTGCAATCCTGTTGAATCGTGGGATTATGAAGGAGTGGGTAAGCTAAGCTATCGCAGACGTCGGGATCGTTCTGATTGATTTCTTGTCTGAGTCGTCGCATGGAGAAAAATGCCACCCTAACTGGTTACTAACATTAGTGCCGAACCTTGCAATCCTGTTGAATTGTGGGATTATGAAGGAGTGGGTAAGCTGAGCTATCGCAGACGTCGGGATCGTTCTGATTGACCCGTCAGTTGCTTTTTATCCACAATCAATATAGTAACATGGGGGCCAAAGTGAACCCATTCAATACAGTAGTGTAACCTTGAAACTCTCGTTGCTAATATGATCCATCTGGTCGGGGCTGACGGCAAATGTTAAATGCGTGTTAGAATTGCTAAAAACCCACCTAAAGCCCTTTATTCTGTCGCTGTGACGGAAACACATACCAACTAAGTTAGAAACTTAATCGAAGCCCCAGACAACAAATTGAAGTGCATAATACTGCTACCTGCATGTATACAAAACGAAGCTTGGCCCTCCTATGGCCCCCTAGTTTAGAAATATTTTAGGGTCTGCTGAAGAGTTATATTTAATTTATCTATGTCCGTCGGTCTCCATGGAAGAATACCATCGATTTTGATTTGTCCTGCTATTTTTTTTTTTTGGTAGACCGACGCCCTTCATTCTTTTCCATGGACTTATCCCTTCGATTGACTTGTACACTTCACCTCCCACGATCGCGACCACAATGACGGGGGGAGTCGATCTCAGCCAGTCGCGAGTAAAAACCGTGACTATATGTTATTCAATTCCGATTCCATTAATGGTTTTGTTTACCGGGCTGCGATTTTTCGTCAAACTCCGACCCTCCTCTAAAAATGCAATAAGTTTTGATGATTTTATGATTACGGTCGCGACGGTCTGGTCCCACTTCATTTCCGTCGGAAACCACTTGGTCTCGCGTTTTTCTGGATATTCATCTTCTAACACTGTTTTCTTTTCGTAGGCCATATCTGTTGGGTTATGTATAAGTGGTTTAGTTTATGGTACGTTCCAAGGTTCCCGCGACGAGATCCCGGATGGGGCCGTGGACGCGAGACTAACCATACATAGGCCCACCATATGGTTTTGGTCGACATCAAGCTGCACTTCCTGATCATGAAGTGGAAAGTTTCTTGAGGGTAAGCTTCTTTTGAGTGTTAATATTACATTTGTTTTATGGTGATTCGTACTAAACAATCCGGGTTCTAGGGTGACTATGTCTTCAGTCATTTCTATGACTGGGCTATCGCAAGCATTAAATTATCGATCCTTGCACTTTATTATCGCATTTTCAGCACAGTTGTCTTTCGGCGAGTCATTATTGGCACGGCTTTTTTTATCATATGTTGGCTCGCGGCCATGGAAATCGGGCTTGGTCTAGAGTGTATCCCCATTGAGAGAGTTTGGAATTCCAATGTTGCAGGGAGCTGTCTAGATCTCGTGGCCTTTTCCTATTTTACCAACATCACGAACTTGCTCACAGATATATGGGTGTTTCTCCTCCCACTGCCGATTATATTCAAATTGCATGTCACCCAAAGACGGAAACTCGAAATAGCAGGTGTTTTCGCAGTTGGTCTTTTGTAAGTTTTCCTCGAGCTGGGAAAACCATACAAAACACCCGCTAACTATAGATTTCCTAGCACATGCGGCGTTACTCTTGCTCGTTTAACTGTTGTGGTCTCGCAAGGATCTTCCGACTTCACGTGTATGTTCAAATTGTATGCTCTCCGATTTCAAATTCACACGACTAATAACTGATTAGGGAATGGCGTTCCACTTGGAATCCTGTCTGTGTGGGAGCCCCTTTGTGGGATAATTTGCGCCAACCTCCCTTTCTTATACAAACTAATTATGGGATTCTTCAGAAAGGCCGATTCTCATGGGACCTCGCAGACTGGGGAGTCTGCTTCGCATTCAGGGTACAGGAGTGGGCAAAATGCTCAAAGGAGACATACAAGGAGGCTTAGTATGCATAGTGAGTGGATGATGATTTCACGGAACGAGAAGGACTATGCAACAACAACGAGTGAGACACGGATCAATCAGAGTCCTGAGATAGAATTGTTGAGGGTGCAACGATCGCCTTCTATGAACCATTCAGATACCCAAGAAATACTATTAGAGAGGTGACATTGGTTCAAGGTCAGTGGAATATATAATACTATAGAAATCAAAGATTTAAAGATTACGGTTAAAATTCAACTACATGCACTTGCATTTCATAATAGCTATTCAATTGTAGCATCTTTCAAGTTGGAACCGATTTTCAAATTCCAGGGTCCTATTGCGCTACGAGTTTCTGTTGCTAATATTACGTAGTACTATATACCAGGTATATAGTAGTTCGAAAGGCTCCCTCTCTAGATGGAACTTAAACCAAGCCAAGTACAGTATGCCTGGTTGGAAACTTGAAGGTTCCAGGGATGTTCATTCAACCATGACGGGTTCAATGTTGCTGATGTCGTCGTCAACTGTATTAATATGTGTCAATTCAATCATTTTAACTTGAGTACCTCAGCACCCGTGGCCCGACACTGGCATTTGGGATCAATCATTATTCCAAACATTTGAAGTTGAAAAACCTTTTCTGGTTGAACCTTGGAACTTGAAGTTGTTGAAATATATATTTGTTTATAGTGGTGGTGGTGAAAAGTGGATCCATTCAAAAATTCAAAAATTCAAGTTGTGGATGTTAGAATTTATTATACAATTACGTTGATTTTATGCCACGAACTTTGAGAGAATCCGGAGTATTCATAATGAACGAGACCAAATATCATGGATGTATCATTATTCAACATCCTGCAGCAACTATGGACGTCGGGTAGCCCGGCAGACTCAACAGTCTTAAGTTCTAACTAGTATACCGAGCCTCGGACACTGCCCCACTCACATCCCGCCTCCCCACTCTTGATGGCAAATTTTCATAACTCTTCAACAACCAGGCCGGCTGGCCCAATGGCAAGGCGCTTGACTACGAATCAAGAGATTGCAGGTTCGACCCCTGCGTCGGTCAATCTTTTTGTCTAAATTTTTTATTCTTTTTCATCAAGCAATGATGGAGGCTACTGTTGCAGGCATCGGGAGTGCATCGGGTCGGGGATCTGCATGTATTTTGCGGGCGGAGGCTTATAACGATATGGTTGAGTTTCATAAATTGGATTGGCTATTTGAAACTTCCAGACATTCAATTTGTAAATCTAAGACAAGATAGTAAATAGGTATAACAACATTAGCGAAAAAAGACAAAGAAAAAATCTATTCATGCGTTCAGGACATTCATCACATTCTCAACCACATCACTAATCATCTTTTCCTTTGCCTGAGATGAGTCAAGTATGATGACATCGGGCTCATCTGTTGGAGCCTCGAGGAGATCAAGCTGTGAGTCAACCATAAAGGATTTCATGTAATGCTGCTCTTGCGTGGACCGTATCGTCATGCGGCCCTTAAGCTGTTCCCGATCCTGAGTTGCCAGGAGTAGGAAGGTTACTGTGACAGGGAAATCAAAGAGTTGGGACAAGCGACGAAGCTCATCACGGTAAGTGGTGCGCAGTGCTGAGCATGTCACCGCCACAGCGGGAGAGTCAGTATTTTGTAGTCGTTCCATAACAGCCCCGCGAATGTGAGCTAGCCAATCCCAGCGATCAGAATCCTCAAGGGGAATGTTGTTGGTCATCTTTTGACGGGCGGCAGGGGAATGGAAGTTATCGCCTTCGATGGTAGGGATTTGGTGTTGCTGCTGGAGGGCCTGGGCGGCGGTGCTCTTCCCGCAACCACAAGGACCGATCAGGAAGAAGACGTCCCGCGGGGCTGCGAGAGAATCAGGCTTAGACCAACACTTAGTCCGCAAGTAATTGACAAATTTGGATGTGAAGTTGGTGCTCAAGCTGCCTGCATTGGCAAGTAACGGAGAGCCTGCCGTAGCAAGCTTAGTATCGTACAAAAGGACCCGACCAGCGGTATCATTATCGTACTTGGAAGCAAAGAACTCGAGAAGCTTGATGGGTGGATTGACCTCCGGGTCCTGGCTTGAATTTTTCAGGCGTTGCAGCCATGCCCTCTTAGGGAGCACCTCGAATTCCAAGCCGGCCTCACGGAGGAGAGGCAGGAGTTGCTGGGTCCAATGGCTGAGTGTCGGGTTGGTGACATTCATCACGTCGGCCGCATCATTTGAAAAGCTCAGCTCAATGATGCTGGATGCCATCACATCGACTGGAGTCCAGGATAGCACATCGTCCAACTGCGGAAGCGCTTTAATAGTCTTTGCAGTCTGCAAAATCATAGGAATAGCCTCGGTAGCATTCCAGATACCATGAATTGTATCGGCAACGATTTGACCAGAACGAAGGACGCGGGCAGTCATACCAGTTTGTTTAGCAGCGCGATTGACAATATTCTCGGCGACTAGCTTGGATTGTGCATAACCCATACCCTGCGCATAGCTAAGAGACTCAGGCAGAGACTCAGGGACCCAGACTCCAGGTGTGCGGGCAACAGTGCTGACGGAAGAACAGAAAGAAAAGGAGGCAGGGCGCGGGCTCTCAGCACTTAGACATAGATCCAGAAGGTTACGAGTGGCCGAAATGCAACTTTGTTCAAAGCTCTCTAAGGCCCAGTTGAAATTGACCGACCAAGCACAGTGAATGACGCTTGTCACTGTCCTCTTAATATGAGCAAATGTCTTCTCTTCAAGACCAAAATCGGTGGCGTTCGAGAGATCTGCTGGGAGAGCGACAATCTTACGCTCAGCAGCTGGTGATAAAGTGAAAGAAACAGCACGAGTACGCAAACTCTCAGCAACACGGCGACGAGCTGATATCAATGACTTAGCTCGGACAAAGCAGTAAATCTTGCGTACGTTGTCAGATCGAGCAAGCTGGGATGCGATGTGAGCACCAAGGGAGCCAGTGGCACCGGTAAGAACAACATATTGGCCGTTGGCATCACGGGAAACAGGTATATGCGATTTGAAGTCCGAACTATACTTCTCAATCAATTTTTCCATTCTTTCCTCGACAGGAGTTTGCTTTTTCGGTTCTTGTCCAAGACGAAGGTGAGTTATTGCGTCGGTCATTGACCGAATCGAAGGGTTTTCAAAGACGAAATTTTGTGACAACCTCTTCCCATTCAGATTGAGTGTCTTTAAGATGGAACTGCGGAGTCGGATCGATTGAAGACTATCTATACCCAAGCTAAAGACATCTGTAGTCTCTTGTAGGATGGAGGGCTCAATAGCTGACGCAATCTCAAGAAGACTCTCACGAATAAACTTGACCAAGTCAGCACCCTCAAGATCTAGGTCACCTTCTCCATCGGGAGCATCATAGATCTCGTTGATCTTGTCAGCGAAGTCTTTGTAGAAAGCAGATCGGATGACGGTGCCTTTATCGGTTTTGCGATACTCGGCGTCTATCGGAAGCACAAAGATCATATCGCGAGAAATGTAAGCATAGGCAGGGGACTCCGCGTTGCACTTTTCAATATCCGGGAAGATGGCGTCAACCAGCTCCCCGTTGGTTTTGAAGGGACACTTCTCTGATGGAATCACGAATAGACCAAGGCGCGGCTTGCCACTGCCAAAAGCGATCGCCTCGCCGACATTAGGGTTTTTGCGGGCAACACCTTCAATTGTCAATGGGTTTGCCTTTTCACCATTCTCGAGAACAAGAGTATCATCCAAGCGAGCGTAGTATCGCCAAGCATTTGGTGTCGTCGGGTGTTTTTCAAACAGATCCTTGGTGGCATAAGAGTTATCAGGTCGGTTGCTGGCAACCTTAGAAGGCCAGCCTTCCAAGATACATAGTTCATAGACCCCGGGCATTCCGGGCTGTTCCTCCCAGCGAACATATGGCAACAATGGAGGCCCTGGGCGAACAAAGTCCCAGTCAAGATCTGATCGATCGCGGAAAGAGGTCATGAGCTGGCCAGTCTCAGTAGTTCCGTAGTGGGACACAAGACGTACACCATTCTGTACCAAGACATCACCGATGGGCTTAGGGCAAGATGAACCGCCAAACATGACAAGCTCTAAGGGAGCCATACAGCGAAGACCTTCCTCTGACTCAGAGAGAAGCTTCAGAGCGTACGGTACAGCGTAAAGAATTTGAATATCCGGGTGCTCTTTGAGAGTGGTAAGAAGTGCAGTCGCTGTGAGCGGCAGGCTGGCATTGTACATGTAGATTAATTTCTCCGAGTGGACAGCTCGGAACAAACAGCTAATTCCATGGGCATGAAATAGAGGTAGGGTGATGAAACCTTTCAGGCTAAAGTTGTTGGCGTAGTTTTTCAAGGCGCCCGAATGACTCTGGTAAATCGGCTTAGGGAGGCCAGTGGATCCGCTTGAGTGAATAACCCAGCAAACATTCTGATTTTCAGTCGGTCCATCCAAATTTGCTGCTGGTAGATGAGCATGGCGAACTATCAATGAGTTCGGATCCAAAGGCGACATAACCGAGATCTGAGTGGCGCCAGTGCGCTCGGTGACATTTACGCCCATTGCATTGAAGTTGGGATATGTGATAAGGAAAGAGGCCTTAGTGGTTTCCACCAGACTGGTGTAGGCATCTTCGGCGATACGAGTCGACAGGAGGAGAACAGTGTGACCAAGGCGCGAAATTGCAGCCAAGGTGATCAGGTATTCAAAGTCAGAAGGACCGAGCAAGCCAACCACTTGTACAGGGTCCGCCGATGTAAAGCGTTGTGGGATAATCTTGGAATAGTGAACAGCAGCAGCCTCGACGAGCATATCCAACTATTTCATTTAGTATTCCACATATTGGAGGCGAGGGAAACCCATTGGCCATACCTGATAAGGAGTGTAGTAAACATAGTCGGTTCCGGATGAGGGATAGGCAACAATAGAGTCATGTGCCGTCGGTCCTTTTGCTCTTGTGCGTACAAGGTCATTTATCGTATAGAACTTCTCTTGGGGAGTGGTCTTAACTAGCTCATCTAATGAGCCAGTTGAATGTAAAGACACCGCCGGAGTTGGTGGAGAAAGGACTGAAGCGGCCATAGCGAGGTTGTGGTAGTAGTAGAATTGTATCAAGTCCCTGTTTCGAAAAGATGAATATTAAGTTCCTTTTTACATCGAGTTTGGCCCCGGATGAAAACGACTTGCTTGGCTAATACTTCATTGTCACAGGCCTAAAGTCTCCGCAGATGCCTGTTCAGATGATTCGATGATGAGTTTCCGACGTGGAAAACCGCCTGCATGTGGGGTTAATCCAAAGAATTGTTAGTAGTACCAGGAGTCATCATAGGCCATATCCGTCTTAGCGGATTTCTGGTTGGAGAGAGGCGGAGATTGCCCGAGAAGAGGAAGCTTTCCCCGCAATCCACTTTTCCGAAAATTGTGGGGTCACTGGCGGAAAAGTGAGATTGGGGTTGGGGGGGGGGGGGGGGCCTCGGCGAGCACTCAGCAAGTCTGTTATTAGGAACCTGACAGGGATTTCAATGCCATTCTATTAATATCATCTTACAGAATGAAATGCGTCGAGTAACACGATATGCCCCGAAAAAAAAAACCTAAGCGGTATGATTCCAAGGTTCTGCGGCTTTGATTCACACGCCTAGTATACCATTTCTGATTGTCTCATCGGAGACTACCCATCATAGCAGCCTTATGATGAGTAATTTAGATGGCAGTCATATCAATACCTAGGTAATAGCTGGATATAATACCTGTAGCTACTAGTTGCATTAGCCATTACGTGGGCTAGTAATTCAAAGAGACCCAGCAAGAGACCCAGCAAGAGACCCAGCAAGAGACCCAGCACCCATTGTACGTGACCAACGAATATGGACGAAATATTTTACTCATAGGGGAGGCTCCAGTGCTGAAAGTTATTCCTTGGAATCATATTTTATTTCATACATCATACATCATGCTGTCTATTTTGTGTATCTTTAACAAGGAATTAATCGAATTTTAAACAGTGAATTTGACCTTGTTGGCGGGGCCTGCAGCCACAGCAGCTTCCCGAACCGCCTTCTCGCCTACCTCCTCGAAAATATCGTAGCCCCAGTTGGCGGGGAAATTGAAACGCTTGTGGCGCTCAAGGCCTGTCAGCTTGGCAAATGCGGCATCGGGCAGAGGCTTAACCTGCAGGTTGGAGGCAATGCGGGAAGGAGTGACACTCTTGGATAAGACGACGGTGCCGCGCTGCACACCCCAGCTGGCAAGCAAGGGGCCCGGATCCATGCTGGTATCATTTGCAACCTCGGCGACCAGAGGATCATCAACAGTGCGAGGCTCACCGGACTGGTTGTTACCCAAAGGGGAATATGCTTCGACAATGATTCCCTTGGATTGGCAGAACTTGAGTAGTTCGGGCTGCTGAAGGTATGGGTGGGCTTCAATCTGGTTTGCGGCGGGAACGACGGAGACCTTGCTCAACAGCTCTTCCAGGCGACGGACATTGAAGTTGGAGACACCGATGGCCTTGACCTTCCCAGAGCTTAGCAGCTTCTCCATCTCTTTGTAAGTGGTGATGTAATCAACATCGGCAAGTTGAAATACACCCTCATCACTCAGAGGGAACCACTTGTTACCAGATTTGAAGGCACTAAATAATTGTCAATATAATCTTTAGGAATAGAAAAAAAAATAGGAAGATAAATCATACACGGGCCAGTGCATCAGATACAAGTCAAGATAGTCGGTACCGAGGTCTTTCAAAGTCTTTTCAAGAGCTGGAACCACATCATCGGGGGCATGGTTGGTATTCCATAGTTTGCCAGTGATGAAGAGCTCTTCGCGTGGAATACCTGCCTTCTTGATACCATTGCCAACTTCGGTCTCATTGCGGTAGATAGCAGCGCAGTCGATGTGGCGGTATCCCTGCTTCAAAGCAACCTCAACGGCATTTTCAACCTCGAGGGGCTTTGCCTGCCATGTTCCAAATCCCACGGACGGAATCTTCGCACCGGTGTTGAGAGTGAAGTGAGTCTGAATAGCCATTGTGAACCTTGGAATGAACTTATGGATGGAAAATATGAATTCGAAAAAAAAGAGGATCGTGAAGAGACAAACTGTTATTAATTAAGGCAGGTTCGAGATATTCCTGAAAACTTGACAAATACGCGAGCTTGCACTTTCGTAGGGGTTTATGCGCGTCTGTAGTGTCGGAAAAAGGACTTGGTCCACATAATTTGGGCGGATTAAACGCGGATAATCTTGTCGAAAGGGATCCACTCATTTGATGTATGCGCGGCACCTCTCCGATTCCCACCTCGCATTAAAACCCCGCATTTCAGGATATGATTATTGCCGTAAGACTCAATTTTTTCAAAGTCGATTATATCCACAAGTTGGAAAGACCTCCTATACATCTGTATAATGGCCAAAAATATTGCATTCGATGACCTTCCGTTACGCAAAAATGGGCCTCGAGGTAATGCGTGGGGCTTGTTCGGCGAGAAGGATGAGTGTGGAATGTTGAATCTTCTCACTCCAGAGAGAATCAGTGCTGCTTCAAGAGAAATTACAGACGGCGTCCGTATTCCCACCGATTTGCCGTTGGATTTCATGTCCAAGCCGTGCTTCGGACGCGCCGCCTTCCACCAGAACATCAAAAACAAAGCACCTCGTTCTGTCAACGATGACACCCTTCAATTCAATACCCAGATAAGTTCTCAATGGGACGGCTTCAGGCATTACGGATACCAGGAGACAAAGCAATATTTCAACGGATATATCCTTGAAGATTTACTGTCTACCAAGGTCAATGGAATCCATGGTGTGTTTTTGAATTAAAAAAAATGGTTTGGTATACATTTTCATACTGACACTTCGTCCCTCAACAGCATGGGTTGAGAATGGAGGCATAGTAGGACGCGGCGTGCTATTGGACTTTGCTTCATGGGCAGAGGCCAACAATGTCTCAGTCAATCATTTTTCCACACATGCTATTCCAGTCAATATTTTGCAAGAAATCGCAGCACACCAAGGAACCGAGCTAAGAAGAGGGGATATCCTCTTTATACGGTCGGGGTGGATTAAGGCCTTTTCCCAATTGTCCGAGGACAAGGCTGTAGCTCTGGCAGAAATTCCGTCACCTCCAGCTGTCGGTATAGAGTCATCTGAGGAAACTTTACGTTGGCTGTGGAATACAGGATTTGCAGCCGTTGCAGGCGATATGCCGAGCATGGAAGCATGGCCATGTCAAAACACAGAGTTCTGGCTTCATGAGTGGCTCCTAGCTGGCTGGGGTATGCCAATAGGAGAGCTGTTCGACTTAGAACGTTTGAGCGAGGAATGTAAAAAGCGTAAGAGGTGGTCCTTCTTTTTTAGCAGCATGCCACTCAGAGTAAGTCTCCTCCTCGTTTTTTCCTTAACAAGTCTAACCAAAACCAGGTTCCTGGGGGAGTCGCGAGCCCGCCTAATGGTGTTGCCATCATGTAGTATTGATGGGGGGAGTAAATAAACCACAGATTTTAAGAACTTTGCTTTGATTTAGTTGATGATAAAAGGGTGCTTTAGGCAACTTGTTATCCATTACCCCTCTAATTCGTAACTTAGCTTATCATTAACCTTGATTACCCTTCCTTTCACCACAACCTTTCTAGAGATTTCGGCAAACTAGATAGAGCCTAAATCTTTGTCTCATAGAATGTGGAAGAAGTGGAAGCGATCATGCAAGTACTTGAGCATTTACCTTTATATAAACTAGAATTTATTTTTATTAGCAATATTCTGATAAACGTCAAGCTATATCAAGATACCAGAGATGTAACGTATAAATTCTAGCCAAATTATTGACCGTTGTCCATCGTATTGCATCCAAGTTTGAGATGTAAATCTGCCCTATGGAAAGATAGTAGAACATTTGAACCTTCACGTCGACTCAGAGCTACTACAAGGTGGTGGTGTAGATTATGCCCGTATAAATTATTAACCAACAAGCCTAGAACGAGTAGCGGAAAAACATATCCTCTTTGTCTGTCTGATCAACTGGAACATCGTCCACGGGTTGAAGGTCTGCATCTTCCAGTGCCATTCCTTGACTGCGCAGGACTTGTTCTTTTTTTCTGTTCAGGGTCGTAGCGTAAGCTGAAAAAGCCAAAAGTAAGAATATCTCAACACAGTAGGCTACTAGCATGGCCACAATTCCAGAAGTATAAGTGGGAGCCTCGTTACTCTTAAATGAAAACGGCCCAATAATGTTTCCCACACAGTATGACACGAAAAACAAAGCGTTCACAGTAGTTCGCTTTGTAGAGCCTCCGACATTGGCCGTAATAAGAGACATGATCATCGCAAATGAAGCGGTGTAAGTGCTCGTCAACTAAAGGATCTTTTGGTCAGTGTGTGGAGTACTTGTAATGTCAAATTAGATTGTCACGTACCCAGTAGCAAACTAATAGTCCAGCCTTGTGGTTTCGGGAAATGGTGTGGATGCCCACTGCTCCTGCTAGGGCAGGGCAGATATAAAGTATAGCCACAAAGCAGCGTTTCTGCCCTGGCAGCCATCGCTGAAGATACATGGCAGAGACGTTGGAGACTAGAATGACCATGCCGTAGGGTATTTGAAACAAGGTCGTAACGAGGTTCGAGTATCCGAATCCCTCGATGATAAGACTACCAAAGTTACTGGCAGCTCCATTCACAACCTGAGTGGCGACTCCGCAAAAAAAGAAAAGCCAAGTCTTTGGATCGGTGAGTGCTTCAACAATCTGGTATTTTTTGATCTCTCGGTGGTTCGCTCCAGGGTGCCTGGGCCCCAATCTTTGTACAGCGGCTTTCTTTTCTTCTTCTTTCAACCATGGACTATTTGGTCAGAATATGTTTGATAGCGGCAATGCGACGGACTTACGCTGTTGAAGGATGCTCAGCAAGAGTGAAGAACATGAAAATTGACCAAACGCAGGAAATTGCGCCGATAAAAATAAATTGGTACTGCCAGGACTGCAATGAGCCGTTGATCTGACCCACCCCAAAAGCGAGAAGACCTCCAAAGGAATTGGCAACACCAAGGAAAGTCGACCACCAGCCAATACGAATCGGCTGTTCTTCAATAGTGTACCATGTGGCTGTGATCAAGAGATAGGCCGGAGTGGAACATGACTCAAAGGCACCGATTAAAAAGCGTAGCGCTAGAAAGGAGTTGAAGCCAGAGCAGCCAGCCAAAGCCATTGTAATACCACCCCAGATGAACAAGTTAACGGAAAGCCATTTTGAGACCGGTACTTTCTGCATGATGAATGTCGTTGGATACTCGAACTGCACAGGAATAAATGAGTTATTATATCAAAAGCAATGTTGTAGTCGTACTTACCGCGAGATATCCAAAATAAAACATGCTTCCTATTTTTAAGTTTTAATTCGGACTCTTCGGTCATCAGAGTGTAGAGAAACAACTTACCAAGCCAGCTGTATTGTGTTCCATGCAAATGCAATCCCTCCTTCAACCCGAAAACGGCAGAATATCCAAGCATTGCCTTGTCAACATAAGTAATAAGATATGTAATGCAAATGAATGGAATTATCATCATGTCGATCTTGCGAATCACTCTTCTTTCCAATGCTTCGTCTACTACAGGAGCGAAGGCCGTGAGCTGGGCTTCTTTTTGGGCGGCTACACGGCCATCGTCCAATGATTCAACATGCTCAGTCGTGTTCTTGGTCTGGTCTGACTCCATATTTAATTTCATGATGTAGAAATATAATGGAGAAGACGGTTGTAAAACGGTGGGCATATAACACCCCTGGGGGAAGCGGATCTTGCTTTTCTCCACGGGGTAAAAATGCAGGCGCGGGGACTCCGCTCAGACCATATTGGGCGGATTTCTTGAAGAGGAAAAGATGGTGACCAATAAGGTCAAGATCGTACCATATGAGAGTCTAGTTAAAGTTGATGCTGTGGTCCACTTTCATAGCCAATAAATGGAATTTTCGGATTTGAGGCGGAAAAGGGAATGGCAGGAGGCAAAATCACGGACGTTCGCATATTTTATTTAATGAAAGAATTGAGATCCATGTAATAAATTTGAAAGGGGCATAGTAGGACCTTTCTATAGTATACTATCCTGTATAGCCGTATTAGTCGGTGAAATGTATGTTTGCTAGCAATATGTCCACCCACGCCTGGGCAGTAACCATACGTCCTGCTGTCCATGGTAGTACAAGTAGATACCGGAAGGCGGTACGGTACCCTGCCGACGGTCGGAAAAGGCCGGTCGCGTAGTAAATGCTGCTTCTCTCATCGCCACAACCAAAGGCGTCGAGGAAAAAAAAAGAGAACCATACGCCGACCAGAGCTGAGGAACCTGATAACGATCGTTCTTTGAATGAATTCATCATGACTGATACAGGGCAGGAAAACAGATCACATAGGCGCCGAGGGCTGTCATCCCGCACCCTGCGGAAAAGAAGCAAGGTCACTCGGGCTTGCGACGCATGCAAATCGCGGAAGAAGGCATGCAGCGGAGATATCCCATGTAAATTTTGCTTACGTATCGGCACAAGTTGCACTTACAACGTCCCCTACCATAGGGGTGCGGCTTCTTCCCCGCGACCAGCGACGGCACAACAGGGTGAAAGCACACGGGCGACGAGTCAGCCGCAGCCTACACCACAGTCAGATCCTCTTCAGCCAAGCCCCGCAGCAACGGCCTCAACTGCAGATGGCTCAATTGAAATTGGAGGACAGTATAGGGGCCCAGCATCTGCTCATTCGTTTCTGGCCAGAGCTATGAGAAACTTCCACGACCACCCTCTGGGTACGTCTCAAACGTCATTGGCGCCAACGTGTGAGGATGCTCAAGGATCTATCTTTTCATACGGCGATCGAAAGGCTCCAAGAATCGATCCATCTCAAATGATTTGGCCTGACCGGATGACGGTGAACAACCTAGTACAACGATATTTTGAATTCGCGTCCCCGACATACCGAATATTGCATCAAGGGGTCGTGGAAGAATGGATTGGGCGACTTTTTAGTGAAGAGGTCGTTGCAAGTGCCAGAGAAAATGTCAGTAGTACGGTCTTGCCTGATTCCAAGGCGATAATACTCCTCATATGCGCTCTTGCCTCCTTGTCATCGGCCTCCGAAGAATCGATAGAGCATCAAGTGAGCCCGGGAGACATGCAACAATGTGAGGCATATTACCAAATGGCGGAGCAAATTCTTGCGAAGTCTACAGGAATGCCGTCTTTGGAATCAGTCCAGGCCCGATTGCTCTCAGTTCTTTACCTTTTGGGTGCTTCACGAATGAATCAGGCCTGGTTCAATTTCGGGCCCACCGTGCAACTTTTGATGGCAATTGGACTGCACAGAAAAAAAACGCAGTCTAGTTCAAGTCCGTCGAGTTTGGTGCTCCATGAATGCTCAAAGCGCGTCTTGTGGTGTTCGTTCACATTGGATCAGTATCTAAGTCTCATCCTGGGACGGCCAAGATTGTTGCATGAAGAGGATATTGATCAAGAATATCCGTCCTTGGTGAACGACGAGAATTTGAATATCATCCAATGCAGCCCACATCCACTCAAGAACTGTCTAATGGATGCCACTGTGTGTCATTCAAAGCTATCGCGCATTCTAGCTAGGGCTTCCCAAGATCTATATTCCATAAAGCCCATTGAAAGAGACCAGGAAATCAAAAGTGTTAGAAAATTGATGAGTCAAATTGCTCAATGGCAATCTGAGCTTCCTCCAATTTTCACAGACACGGTTTGCCCCAGCAGTTTGATTACTGTTTTTAGAAGACAATCAACAGTCATCAGACTCGCTCGCTTCCATGCTGTGATGTTTGTAACGCGCCCATTGCTCCTTTGGGATTGTTCTCATGAACCAGACTCTGCAGAGCTGATACAGTTTCTTCAGTCTTGTGTCACAACCGCTCGCGATACCCTCGAGGTGGTATTGGATCTCGTCAAAGACAACCAGCTTTTTCGCGCCTTTTGGTATACTCAATATATTGCATTCAACGCTCTTTCAATCATCTATATCTATTTGATTCACTCCAACAAAAGGCGGATTCCGCACAGTTGGTTATTTTCACCTGGCTCGAGTACAACGGACGCAGAGACCCCTACGGTCGAGCAAATGCAATTATATAAATTGGCCGAAAGAACCCAACATTATTTGGGTCAAGCGACGGAAAGAAATGCTCTCGCGTGGAGATATACGCTTGTGCTCGAAGTCCTGAAGTCAGAATATAAATCGCAACCTCATCATGAGCCTGGTGGAGAAGAGTATCAACTTACTAATAGACAGGATCAAGCACCGGAATATTCTGCTTTATCACAGTCCCATTCTCTGGGCGGTGAATTTCCTGTCGACGGCTTTATGTCTGGACAGGGGCCAGTCGACTGGGAAACCCTTCAAGCGTCGATCCTAGACCCAGAAGCCAATAATGATTTCCAAGGCCGGACATCACTTTATACAGGAATCGGCAATCTTTTTCCTATATTGAATCCGACGGATGATTTTTCTCTGGATTTCTGGCCACAGCTGGATCGCCTTCCAATATGTAAGTTGCACCAATTGGTGGTTTGATTTGTATTGACAAATTTTACAGCCCTTATCAATCCCGAGAACCCTTTGTAATACTTTGGAATTGTGAAACCTCTCTTGATTTTATTGGAAAAAACGAATCGGTCAATTCTTAGGTCTCATGATTATCTATTGCCAAACGTATAATCTTATTTATCTCTTCACACAAGACCGCTGTTATTCTTGCTCCCAGGTAACGGATTTGATTTTTGCCTAAGTCATCAAAAAAATATTAAAAAACATGTATTCATGAAGATTACCAATCGAGTCATCTATCATAATATCTGCAGGCAGATAAAGAATACCCAAATCGAATTTGACTATCTGGTTATAGTATTAACCTCACGGAAAGCCGCGTTTGAGTAGTATATCATCTATCGTGTTTATTGTCTCGCCCTTTTCCTCGAGTCCAAGAAAGAAATAATCAGATCACCTGCATAACTACTAGGCGGCCGTTTTTGTATGCGGATCATTTTCCGCCCTTTATCCGCTAATGCATATTGGATCTATCGACTGCTCCATCATCATCGACAAGGACCATATATCATTAGAGAATACCATAACTGATTTTTAGCATAATTAAGAACGGACTTTATTCAAGCCGTAAAGTAGAGAGTATAAATGTACGAAAGAGAGTAGTGCAAAGAATATTCTAGGCTTATATGAACTTAACACAATCGAACTAGACCAGGTTGCAATGATGGTCGGCAGATGATGGACGATGAAAAAAAAAACAGAAAAGCAGTTGCTGGTATTACTGCATCACATAATCAATGATTTAGGTGAGTTATTCTTTCAAACTGACGTATTCTCCTCCAGAAATTGCATTATCTCTCTCGGTTGTTCATCGTTGAATAACGTACTAGCGGATTTGTAGCGGAAAACCGCCGGCCAAAGCTTGATGGGCCAGCTATGTGGTTCCCGTTCCCGGGCGTATAACCAATGGCAGCCGAAGTTCTGGATCCAAGATATTCACTCCTGGTTTCCAACTGGCAGCACGATCGGCATTGTCCACGAGTCAAGCAAATCAAGGCCGGCCGCGAACGGAATCGGGGCACCGCATACCCCGGGGAAGCAATGTTGTTGTTCTTTCGGGAAAAATTGGGGAAATGCGGGACTGGAGAACCGAAAGACCAACAACGCTATTTACAAATATGCCGCTGCACGCTTCTTGTTAGGCCAGTCTATTTGAAGTTTCTAATGGTATTTTCCTTTTATCTTTCATTTTTCCAATTCACATGAGCCTGCGCTTCTTTCGATTTATATTTTCTCGACTTTCGTGGTTAAAAGGTAGTCAGCATGAAGCTGGCGTTCGGCCTAAGAGGCAACAAACTCACAGCAGGCCACGTAGCGACAGTTATTATTCCTGCCTACATATGCTTTGGCTACCTCAATGCAGTTTCGAGTGGCATTGTCGACCGGCAATCATGGGTAACTCAATTCCCGAAATTGGACACCGTGAATACAACTGGAGCTGCCAAATCACAGAATTCTCGAATTGAAGGAACCGTCGTGGCTCTATTCAATCTAGGATGTCTGTTCAGTTCAATTGGATGTATATTTATTGGTGATAAGCTGGGAAGGAAACGCACCTTCATGCTTGGACTGTCCATCACCATTGTCGGATCTATCTTACAAAGTACGGCCTTTTCAATGGCTCATCTTATTGTCGGTAGACTGGTCACAGGGTTTGGCTTTGGGGCTGTGACAGCAACGGGACCTAACTGGTATCTATTAGAAATTTCTCTTGGAGCAAGCATGGAGAATAAAAGGCTTACAATGGAAACAGGCAAAGTGAGACAACGACACCCAGTCTGAGAGGATTTGTTGTTATGCTTCAAAGTGGCTTCTTGGCCACTGGTTTAGCTTTGGCAGGGTGGCTTGAATATGGCCTTGCTTTTACAGAAGGCTCGGTCACTTGGCGACTGCCGCTCGCATTTCCCGCTTTTCTATGTCTCGTGTCCCTCATATTTGCTCCATTTTGGCCAGAATCGGTATGTGTCTACTTATTAGCAATATCTTGTTTCTAGCTAACGAAAACAGCCCCGGTGGCTAGTTAAAGTAGGCCGAATTGAAGAAGCACGCGAGGTTATAGCAATCCTTATCGACGAAGCCCCCGAAGGAGACCAGGTTATACGCCAGATTGAAGAAATTGAACAATCTCTTCAAGAGACTGGAGAAGGTTCATTCAGGGATATCTTTCGCAAAGGACCGTCGCGGTTCGGTCACCGAGCCCTCATAGCTATAGCAACTCAGATGGGACAACAGATATGTGGCCAGAACGCTATCACTTTCTACCAATCAACAATATTCAAGGAGTTTTTGGGCATGACAGGAAATATGCCATTGCTAATGTCAGCAGTACTCTACTCTTGGTAAGGCTCACTTAGATCTGAGTTGTCTGCAAATTTCTAACAGCAGAATAGGAAAATCCTTATCAGTCCTTTTGGGGCATTAACAGTGGAGAAAGCAGGCCGTCGCAAGCTTCTTATATTATCATTCATCGGAATGGGAATCTCTATGGCAGTAATGGGAGGTTGTATCTCCCAAAAAGGCAATAAGATGGCGTCAAACACGGCTGTGGCCTTTATTTTCCTCTACGTGTTTTTCTACGTTACAGGATGCATTGGTCTAACGTACTTGTACTGCTCTGAAATTGCTCCCTTAGCCGTGCGAACACAGATCACCGGCATGTCGACCGCTTCATCATGGACATTCAATTTTATTGTGGTAGAAGTGACCCCGGATGGGTTCAGCTCTTTGGGGTGGAAATACTTCATTGTATATGCAGCAATTAACCTTGTTTTACTTGTGCCGAGTGAGTTACTCCCAAAGTTCTGTCAACCTATGATAGCTTCTAATTCGCGCTTTCCAGTGGTTTATTTCTTCTTCCCCGAGACCAGAGGTCTTCATCTTGAGGCAATTGACAATATATTTTTGGAAAGCAAAAGCATTTGGCACCCCGTCAGAACAGCACGGGCAAGGGGGAAAGACTTTCTACTCTATGGGCAGAATGGGCATGCGAATGACGAAGAGAAGAAACAGGAAGAAAGACATGAATATGCTGTTTAGGTAAAAAAACAATTGCATCGTCATGGTTGCATCGATAGGACGCGACAACTTGAAAGACTTTAAGTGCCGGTTGGACTTTTGCTCGCCTTGTCAATTTTTGCATAGTATTCAATTTTTGTCATTATCACCAATTATTACATCCTGATTAGCCACTCTGTTTTTTTCTTATATTTAACGAGTCATTGCTACAAAGAAATGATATGGTAGAAAAGAGCACTTCATATTTTCGTGAGAATCTACCACTCCAGGGTCCACCGATCTTCAGTCCAGGCGGAGATATTGAATCCAGAAACGACCAATGTCTGCTTGGTTTTATCAAAGTGGACGTTTCTTTGGGGTAGAAGGCGACCGTTGAACTTGACTTCGTTGTCCGCGTTCTCAATGCCCCAAATAGTAACGTTTCTTAGAATATTGCCATCAACCCATCCACCATGGTCAATTACGGCGTCTAACCTTCTATTATGAACAGTCAAATTTGCAGTCAAAGTAGCATTTGGCTGAATGCTTATGCCGTCGTCGAGGTATAAGTTTCCATTTCCATTTCCATCCTTATCGAGAGCCACTAAGATGTCCCAGGGAGTTTTTCGTGCATCTCGAGTAGTAAGAGCACGCTGCTGAAGGAGAAGGACAGATCCACCACGGACATAGACTGGGATATGGCCAAGAGGAGCATCGATGGTTGTATTGGCTTGGGATGGGACTGATACAGCAGTATTGTTGTACCAATCATACCATGTTTCCTGGCCCTGGGTAAGACCGGGAAATACTCCCTCGACAGATCTTGTATTAGGTTCGAGGACGGGGATAACAAGAATTGAGGGACCTAGTAGAAATTGTCGATCGGCACTGGCCAGGGACGGGTCATTGGGGAATTCCCAAGCAAGTGCTCTCATAACAGTTTGTCCTTCTGTGTGTGCGTGATAGAAGAGCGTGTATAGATATGGCAGGAGCTGGAATCGTATAGCCATAGCTGTCTTGCTTGCATCAATCACTGAGTCCCATCGATAAGCTTCCTGGCTAATGGCACTAAGCGTATTGTGGTTTCTGTAAAATGGGAAGAACGCGCTGAGTTGCATCCAGCGATTACACAGCTCCATATCAGTATTATCCGCAAAGCCACACGTATCAACTCCAAACATAGGAATTCCCAGAAGGGACATTTCAAGAGCCTGTGGGATAGAGAAGATCATACTGGGCCAATTAGACCAGTTATCACCGCCCCAATGACCAGCAAAGGCTCCCGAGCCAGAGAATGTCGAGCGACCGATAATAAAAGGCCGGAGACCCGGAAAGACGGCAGAGAGAGCGGCATGCGTTGCTTTGAGTATTCCATGGCCCCAAAGATTGTGCATTTCATATTCCTGGGTGCCGTCTGCGTGAGTTGCGTTAGGCGAGATGGCGGATACACCTAACGCGCCTTGGACGTTGTTGATTGCATACGGAGGATAGTTGACATCACGAATGCCAGGTGTAGGAGTGCTTCGAATTATGGAAGTGTCAGTGGAGGTTGAGGCTGGATAGGCACTGGAGAATGAGGCGAGCACGGATGATGCAGAGGCCGCTTCCGTCGCATTGGTCTTATTAAATCCCTCGGGAAAGTTGAGCACTAGGTTAGAAGGTTCTCCCGGGAGAGCGAAGGGAGGATGCACCGGATTTTGGTCGAGGTGGCCACTGCCGCAGCTGCCAACGCAGAAAGATGAAATTTCACTCATATCAATCCAGGCGCCATCAAATGCGGTAATGCTGTGGTATCTGACCATTTCATCAGTCCACCATGGTACGGCACTCTCAGACAACCAGTCTGGGAAGACAGTGAATCCAGGCCAGACGTCACCAATATATAGGCTGCCGTCCGGGTTCTTCAGGAAAGATCCTGTGTCATTTCCTCTCTCAAATACAGGATAACTGGAAAATGTAAGTTTGAGAATATCAACGCGCAAAAAGAGCCAAGAGAAACTTACGCATCACTTGAGTCAGACGGATTGGGAACATAGATAGCCGAATCAAAGATAGGAACATAGTGTCTACCGCCGTCATGAAGATGCCGAAGGAATTTCTGGCCTGGAGAATCTCCAAACCCAACAGGGTTGTTTTCAAAGTCACGGTAACGAAGCATCCAATCAATATCAGTCCTTAAACTTGTCAGTACGCCTGACAGTCATAGTAAGATGGTAATATCGATCGCCTACCAAATAGTTTCCAATGGTATTTCAAACTGGGTGTAATTGCCAACGACATCCTCAAGCTCTTGCCAGCTCTTGTAACCCCATCGACACTGGTGGAAACCAAACGTCCAGTATTGCTGCATGGCAGGCAGACCGACAGCTTTCAAGTATGACGTTGTAACTTTGGGCTGAGTTGGACCGGCAAAGAAGTAAAGATCAATGCTACCACCGATGGCCCGATATGTTATACCATCTGATTGCAGCAAGATATCCTGTCCATGCGCATTCCGAGAGTAAACACCGTGAGACTGCGATGTATAGTTACCATCAGGCATGGTTTCGTTGGCTGTGACCAAGGTGATATTTCCATCATCGCCCTCGGTAAAGTAACGTGTCTCTAAATAGAAGGGATGTGTGCCATAGATATTGCTATTTTCGTGAGTAGATGCATCGATGAACAGGATCTGAAAGGGAGCTTCACTCACACGTCAACTGTGGCGCCATCATCTGCCGCATAGTAGGTTTTGGTGTAGTTATTCCCCAGTCTGAAGGCGTGTATAGACTCGCCCAGCCCATATAGATTGTAGTCTTCAGGGAGAGCACTTGCAAATTCAACGAATTGGTTTTCAAAGACCAATTTCTTTCCCTTGGTAGAGAAAAGGACATCTTTTGTGGATTTTCTTGTCACTTCAAATGCAAAGGTTGGATTATTGGACCAGGAGAACTCCAAGTCCGAGGCCACATTCGACTCTTCTACCTCGGGTTTTGCCGCTACGCTGGAAGGTATGAAGTATTGGGTTTCATTTGCCGCACTGATGTATGTGGGAAAAATTGCAACGTGTAAGCGATCCGTTGTCTGATACTCAATAGTGAGGTTCAAAGCCCCAATGTCGGTACCATAGACATTGCATGCCTCCCCTGCAAGGGCAAGAGAAGCAGTAAATCCAGAATCGGTTTTATGGACATTCGAAGCAATGTATCCAGGGCAGATTGTTTGGGCGTTCACTGCTTGAGGGTCTTTGATGTTGGGGATCACTCCAGGAGCTTCATTCACTGATGCGGGGAGAGTGTACTGAGCCGAGGAGGTTGTGGAAGAAGACGGAGTATGTGCTTGGGCCACTACCCAAGCAAGACTAATCCCAGCAAGGGCGCTCCGCCATGTTGGTGGGATACACATGTCGCGTAACCGACTGAGAGAAGAGGAAGACTGGAGCTAACAAAATGTTGAGGCGTTCCTTGAAGAACCAACACACCGAATAACAGCGGGCTCTGGAATGTTCATATACCCCTTCCCTCGTGAAGTACGAAACCTTGAAAACCTTTCAAGAACCCTACGTGTATGAGCTGAGGTCACCAAAAACTTTCTTTTCCTGATTAATTCACTTACTGTCTGAATCTCCACGTTCTATTTTCGTAAATCATTCCTTCAATAGTAGACCGGTAAAGAGGTAAAGAAATAAGTCACCCCGAAAGAAAATACCTCATCAAATCCCCAGTTTCCCATACTGCTGTAGCATATGCGGGGGTCATAATCCACAGCGTATTTGAATGGTCTCAGTTGATCTCGGACCGACATACAGCCAATTAATGATCCCATAACAGTGTTTTCTGTACGATGATGTCAATATTCCCCACAATCATTAAACATCGTGGAGAACATATCCATTGAGTGAATATAGTCTCCATCTTAGTCTCGAACTAACCTCCAGAATACAATAGATTCTCGTGTCCAGTCCACTCCTCGGGAAAATTTCGCAGTGATTAAACTTTAACGTAACCGAGACAGGATCCGGGCCGGGTTGTTTTTGATGGTGGCTTGTTCGGGTTCCCGAAACGCCCATAGAAATTGACCGTGATGCTCGGGATGTTAGGTATTTTAATCTGGGGTGGCACAGGTTATGGCCTAAGTTTCAAGAGACAACTTGCTATACCTCTCTGCTAACATTGGACAAACCCAAGCGAAAGATCGTGGAGGAAGCCGGCGGGCAAATATCGGGCTAAAGCCGGGGATTCTATAGTCAAACACAAAACTTGCGCGGTGTGAAATCTTGCATTCTGCTTAGCTCATTATCAATTGCCGCTAGTGATTTTCCCACTGGCTTTGCGAAGTAAGAACCCCCCCAGACGTGGGAATAGCCATACAGCCACCTATTGTGCAAGTATACGCAAATGATGTTGCTATTTTGCTGTTCTGACTCAAGGCGGGATATGTACCTCAGAAAAGGCCTTCCTAGCACATACGATGTTGAAGGTCCGTTGCTTTGAGGACTGATAGCCATTAAAAATTTGTTCATTGGTAAGGGACTTGAAGTAGAGCTATATCTTAGGTTTGATATGGCTTTTTAGTTGTGGTTGAATGCTAGTGTGACCAGGCGGGGTGTTTGGAGGGTGCATTCTGATGGAATGCATTGGAGTCGGTGTCTTTTCCTTGTATCTCAGCGCTTTTTCATTGGAGAGGATGTTTGCTTCGAAATTTATTTTTACAATTTTACAATTGTTCGCGATGCTCAGCAGCCTGAGCCTACTCTACAGAGGTAGCCATTGATGCATTGAGGAATTGCGCGTTTAAATGTTACACATGTTCAAACATTGACCACATGCAGTTGGCGCTTCCAAGCTTTTCAACTATCTGTCTCAAATGCTAGAAAATATGCCATTGAAGATCACAAATCCCAACTAGACACTTCCAAGGTAGGAATCCCTGGGAATCCGCAGAATCCGTGGGAGCCAGCCTCCCGCTCTCCAATCAGCCTACTCTAAACTTGGTTACAAACTGATGCGAACCTCTCGCAGGGGATAAGGCTCAACAGGATGCTCTGAAAGTCTCGGAAAGTCGACATGAAGATATCCTGGATTAAAGACTCCTTTGCATGACTTCAAGTTTTCCTTAGGATCATATTTGAAAAGAAATAGAGCCTGATCATGGAATTTTCGCATGAAGCGTCTTTCCTTTCCCTTCTTCCCCGGGTGTCTGGGATCTGGCACCAAGATTATACCTACCCTCGTATTCGTCTTGCTGTTGTGCATCACCTGTGCGACATATTTCTCCTCGGAAATCTCGGAAACTCGTATGTCGCCATCGTACTTGATTGTGATGGTGATTCGAAGTATTGTCGTTGTGAGAGTAAGATAATCATGGCCACGTTCATATCCAATCGACGTCTGAGCCTGGCCATTCCAGTTCCCATCGAGAAGTCTCTTTGCTGAGTGCTCTTTATAGAAGAAGTCTACACTTGGTGCCAGGATACCAAAGGTGGGCTTCTGTTCGACTTGATGGCGCTTTTTGTAAGCCTTTTCAATATCTGTCGCTTCATTAACAAACTGACAAACGAACATTTCCATAAGTTGAAAGGTTTTATTACCAGTGTTTGTATACCATGCAAGTATAGAGATGTCTCGATACTCCTGGATGAGAGCCATCTGAAGACGTAAGAAGGCGTTATTTCCCTCTCCATAGTTGATGTCTATCTTGATCCGTAACAACCCAAGAAGCGAATAAGCTTGGTCTTCCACGCGACTCAGCTGCCGTCTCGCAGCCCATGCAAGTTGAGTGGCCATATCATTTGACAGGACCGGGCGACTCCCGGTGACTATTTCCTGGGTCTGACGACTTGGATTGGCCAATACATCTTGTAGCGCGCCTGGCGCTTCCATTGTAGCTGCGTTTCCGATTTCGCGCCACTTCATGTCCACATAGATTAGTGTTTTTGGGGCGAGAAGTTCCTGCAACGTCCAGCCTCTGGTGAACCACCTTTGTGACATAAAAGCGCCATGCCAATTCATATTACCTGTGTCTACCCCATAGAGGTAGGCATAGCATACCGTGGCCTGCTCATAGAATTCATACATGCTTTGAATAGACTTGGTCATTTCAGTATGATTCCTTTTATTGATACAACAAGTGTCCATCCAAACATATTTATGCGGGGGATTGCGGCTTGCTGCAAATCGGCAAAAGTCCTTCACCTTTCTCCACCCATGCGGCTTCACCTGATCTCGGTGGTGATGGAGCCCCTGCATGTCCTCGTATTGGACTTCAGAAATTCCTGTTCGCGATTTTGGCAAAGACCCGGGCATTGATGGTTCACGGTAATTCTGTCGCCAAGTGTGCGATAGAATAGCGTACTGTCTTTCGCCTTTTGGTAATTTTTGTGCGTCGACCAAATCACATGTTGTCGAATCTATGAGCCACTTCATCTCAGGATGAATAGTATTGTCCTTTCGATTCATCTTGGACTTGTTTCAAGTCTGGTGTAAGTACTATGTGCATACACCGGAAATATTCGGTTTAATGGCGGGGTAGGGAACAGGCCAAGCGTTCGAATGCTAGAAATAATTTAAGCTGTATACCGGCCACTTCAAGTGCTAGAATATAGTGGCCCCTTATACTAGTATAATTGAATTATATTCAGCTCCTGATCAGTGGAAAGGGTCAATGCACTACACCTGCAGGGTCGCAGCCTCGCAGGAAGCGGAGTGATTCTCTCGGCGAGAGACTCGCCCCGCTTCTTTTTCTCAGCCGCTCCCAAGGTTGTCACCCTGTCTATTTCGGACTCACTCTTCTCATCTAACCTATGTCTGTTTTTTAATTACCCATCTTCAATACTCAAGCTAATGCTCTAGCTCGTACATACGACCACAGGGTGTGGAGAACAGGGCTTCCCGTCCGCTCAGCCGTACTTAAGCCACACGCCGGTCAGTTAGTAGTATGGTGGGTGACCACATGCGAATCCTGACTGTTGTATGTTTTTGTTTACCCAGTTTTTTTTGATTCGTTGGGAAAGAGCCCTTGCCGCCCTAACCAGCCCTTCACCTTAACACCCTAAAGACCCCTGCACGGATAATATGGCCACTCGATTAAATCTGTTGGTCTTCCTGCTATTGTAAACTAGCCTTAATCTCTATCTTCTAAGAGCCTAAAACCTAGCTTTTACTAATATTGTATATATAAATTAGTAAATAGGATAGGATACTTAAGATAGTATAGTCGGTATATATAGGTTAAATAGGGTAAAAGGGTAAGGGTAGATAATATCTAACTAGATCTATCTGCTAGTACTCTCTCGAATAGACTAGAATTTATATTATTGATAGTAGATACTAAGAGATACTATCTAAATAAAATTATAAAGGCCCTCTCTTTAGGACTGATTTTCCTAATATAAATTACTATATCTCTTGACTTCCGACTTTAGAAATGATCGCCAGTTGGCTAGTGCGCGGGGATTGACTGTGATGAACAAATGGTAAGCAATAAAGCAAGCCCGGGGCTGCGCTGAACGTGTACACCTAGCCTCGTGTCGGTTCCAGGTCTATGATACTTCGATGTCATTACTTAGATCCATTATGAGTCGCCGGAACTGTTTGTGACGCTGAAGGATGACCGGAGTTTCGGAGCCAGATCAAGGGGTCCGAAGCCCCCAATCCTTCCTTATTCTACGAGCAATTAAATACCTCAAGGTCTGACTCTGTTATCCATATCTCCCATTTCCAAGTTCCATTTTGTACAAATCCAAACACTCAAATGGCTCCCAAGCTTGAACTGTGCTTCAAATTCCGCGGTTATATCTCGAAACAGAATACTGTCAATTTGGGATCAGTGAAATCAGGTGCTACTCGCGTCGTAATTCCTATCACTCATGGCTTTATTGAAGGAAAGGGACTTAATGCTCAGGTTCTTCCTGGAGGAGGTGATTGGATCACGGTTGGTACAAACGAACCTTTTCAATCAAACAAGAAAATAATTTTGGTCTTTTAGAGCGACTCAGAGATGAAGGTCGCCTACTTAGATATTCGCACTCAGGCACGAACAGCTGAAGGCCATGCAGTTTCCCTGCGATACGAGGGTATCCTTCACGGGGATGAACAATCTCGAAAAGTACTAGGATGGGCTCCAGATGCAAAGACAACCGATTTTGGAGATCACCAGTGGTTTATTACACCACTAATGGAGACGAGTGATCCTAAGATGAAATGGATAGAGGAAACGATGTTTATGGGCCAGGGTCATTTTGTGGTGGAAGAGGTCCATTCAGCCGTGGAATACGAGATCTACAAATTTGTGAACTAGAATGGCGATCGGAATACTATCACAACTCATATGAAAGTTCCAAAGACATCATTCAGTTGAATATTCTTCCCTATGATCCATGGACCATTTGAAATCACAGCCTGTTGCGGCAAGACTGCCAAAGGAAAGAAGCTTGGTGAAGAGCACATCGAAAGTTTCTCGAAATCGTTAGCTGCCAGTGAACCAGGAGACTGAACTTGGATGTAAATTATGTGACATCCGCCGGTTATGGCTATTTACCAGCGTAGGACGTGATTCAGGCCATTCCATCAAGGCAGGTGATGAAAAACCCAAAATACACAGCCCTGACAGAATTTTAAGCTGAATAAACACAATACTGTGTATAAACATCTTGTTTTGCATCTAGAGACATGCGGACTTTTATATCCCTGCAATGCCGTTACATAAAGTCACAGCGTATCGTAAAGCCTCCGAAACTGTCGCGCACAACATACGTGAAACAAATGATATTCAAGACAGAGACAGCTTACCATGAAGAGTAGGTGTCTTCAAGCAGCCAATGTAGAGAGCATATATTGATAAAGCACAGAGCACATTTTGATAAAGCACAACTTGACAATCAGAAGAGTTCAGAAGTGCCTCTCATTTAATTCACTCGATAAACACTCTTCCTGAAGAAGCAGGCCGGAGCTTAGCGGAATTTAGTGACAGGAAGGCAGTATTATTTTCTGAGCTGCCGAGCCTACATGATAGAGAAGCTTCCATGAAAAAATGAACAAACCAGGGCAAAGCCTGCACCCCACTATCAGGGATTCGCTACTGCTACACGGTGGCCAACATGAAAATAACCAAACATGCTCTACCAAAGGAGCATGACCACGGTGGCGACCCCATGTCAGAATCTCCCCTTCCTGTCCAATAATTATCATATCAGCTTCCCTCTTTGAGAGCCAAGTGACTAAGGAGCATCTAGGAGATAATAAATGAATCTGGTCCCTGGGTGGGAATGTGAATAAAGTCGGAAGCGGTGGAATATGTAAGGCAGTGCCAAGCCTCCCATCCCCCCTGAGTTTTTTGTTTTCAATCACAGATCAGCCATTTGAGCAAGCAAGGACGTTTTCGTTTTGTGATGATACGATGGCAACTGGGTCGTATCCTTCTAGGGGAAAAAGAGGGGAGTGTAAGCTGTTGCGGACTTTCTCACCACCATGTCATTGAAATTTTTATTGGTCTTTTCTAATCCATGCTAGCTCTTATTCCTCTCGCAGGATGACGCTAACATTAGGACTGTATGAATTTGGAGTCTAAAAGCCCCCGGGGCCTAGGGCCTTATGCTTACAGAGTCCGCTCTGGTAGAATGGCAACTACTGAGTGACTGTGATTAATTACATGTCAGAAATGAGACCGAGCTAAAGGAACAGGACGAAAAAGCCGAGTCGAAATTTCAGCGAGTGTCGGGTGATAAAATGGTACTCCAAAAATCAATGCTGCACTGCGTATTTGCGCTGCTCACTTGATTTCCCCATTTGGGTTCTTGATTACCACTACGATCAAGATCAAGCAGCCTGGCCAGCTCGGATATCTTCTTAATCCACCTCAACTTCAGGTTAGAGGGTATTCCTGTCTGATTTGCCCGTTCCTATAACCCCGTTGATCCACCCTTGGCTCCGCTTCATTGCTTAATCGAAGGATCAACTACATTCTGACGTACTTCTATTTGATGGCGAATAATATCCCGAACAACGGTAATTTGTCAATGGTTGTCACAGTGATTTCTGATGAAGCATTTCGGGTTAGTGTTAGACCCGCTCCGCCCCCCCGCGATTCCGCAATTCCGTGACTCCGCGACTCCGATAGACCATAGAATCGCATCAGCTTATGCAAACTCGATCCTCCGCCCATCCGGAGTCTCTTCCCATCAGGTATGGCTCGGGGCATGGCATTGGATGAAATACGCACACTCTATGCAGAAGCCCCGAAACTGCGATTTGACCTCTTGTGCATAAATAGTAGACAACCGTCCTTCGAAAAAGAGACATCAACAATCAATACAGAATTCACTCGGAAACATCAGTTCCAATTCTTTCTAAACCAACATTCTCAGTACCTCAAAAAACAACTTCCACTCGAAAAACTCATCAACAATGCCTGCCCGCAAAGCTCTCATCGCCGTCACTTCTGCCAGTGCCTCGCTTTTCAATGGCAAGGAGACAACTGGCCTATTTATCACTGAAGCTCTGCACCCATTCAAAGCACTCGTTGCAGCTGGATTCGAGGTTGATCTCGCTTCAGAGACAGGCACTTACACCCCAGACTGGCTCTCTCAACAGCCAGACTTCCTGAATGGCGCTGATCTCGATATGTGGAATGACACCAACAGCGATTTCCGCAAGAAGCTTGACAACATGCCGAAGGCTTCTGAGCTTGACGGCTCCCAATACGGGCTCTTCTTCGCATCTGCAGGACACGCAGCCTTGATCGATTACCCTAAGGCAAAGGCCCTTCAAGAAATCGCAGAGCAGGTTTGGGCTAATGGCGGTGTGGTAGCATCTGTCTGTCATGGTGGTGCTATCTTCTCGGATATCCTTGACCGTGCGACTGGAGAGCCAATAGTCAAAGGAAAGAAGGTTACCGGGTTCACAACTGAGGCGGAATACACCATGAAAATCATGCCCGAACTGCGCGGATGGGGATCCGAGATGATGGATGAGGTCGCAACTCGCTTGGGTGCCACATGTAAGTTCCAAAGCTCTTATCACTCGTATTCTTGCTGACCTTCTCATAAGACGAGCGTTCTGATGGTATCTGGGATGACTACCACGTTGTGGATGGGCGCCTTGTCACTGGCCAGAACCCTGCCAGTGCCGCCTCGACCGCGAAGGCTGCTATTGAGGTCTTTGACAAGCTCTAGGGGCTAAAGTTCGATGTGAACTCTTTGATATTTTTATCTTAACTATAGCTTAATTTTAATTTGGCTCCCAAATATTACATAGAGATGCTTCACCGAACCCTTACTCTGAATTGGTAGTGAAACTGCCCAGTCAAAATCTGATTAGATTGCGGATCATTTCTGTAGATCGGAATGAAAATTCAATGCATCTAACAATACTCCGTACCAATGCCCTAAAGTATTACTTACTAGTGACCTCGCACGAAGCCAAGAGACCAGGGACGTGTTAATCTATTCTTATTTATTTATTCTTGCTAGTCTTGCCGCCGTAATCTCCAGTCCCTTCAGCCCCTTCATCTGAATCGCTTGTCGCTTCACTCAACTTTCCTGCAGTCGCCTGAACAGGCTGAGTTGTCTCTCGACAAAGTTTCCCCTGCTCTTGCTGCGCCTTACCCCGCTTAATCCGGTGGTGATATTCATCGTCACGAGTGCCATCGTTTAGAGTTGCATCACTTTTTAGGCTATTAGTATAGCTCTCGGACCGGGGCTCTAATTACTGTCTGAATAACTCGGTCCGATACCGAGTCCATTTCTGGCCGAAAGCGATGTGAAGTCATGTGATAATATTGCATAATATATGTGTCTAATTGGGGCCCGTCTAGTTGTAAACATGATGTAACTATCCGATGTAAGCTCTCTAGATAACGTTTCCTCTTTCTCTTCTCTATTCCCCATACGCCTTTACAAAGGGATGCTATATTGTGAAGCCTGGTTTCAGAAACGGTCTAACGTTTTCAGTTTCACTTCATTGCTTGATCTTCGGTACAAAGGAATATCATCCGCACAATGCGCAATATACCTCGTCCATCCCCGATGGCCCGCAAATTCTTTCGCGCCATTGCCTCTAATATGACAGACGAGGAAATAATGCCGCACTCGATCATATCTGGCACCTCTTGTGAAGATGGCTGGCCTCAAGACCCTATCCGAGACGAACAATGCTTTTTCTACGGGTCATTGATGGATCCACAGACACTCTCACAGGTCTTGAATTCATCTAGGTCACCCCCTATTATGCGTCGCGCTAGAGTTAGAGGCTATCAGACCAAGCTTTGGGGGCCCTACCCTACTTTTATTGAGGACCAGACATTCCATTTTGTCGATGGCACGGTATGCGGGCCTTTGTCGCCGACGCAACTTGATCGACTCGCCGCTTATGAGACGGACAAATATCGGCGTCTATCTTGCTTGATATAAGTGCTTAATGACGACGGTAGCATCAAAGAAACTATCAAGGGCATTACTTTTGCGTGGAATAGACGGCAGGATGAATTACAAGAGGGCACATTTGACTTGAAGCAATGGAAAAAGGAAAGACAGTTGCAAGATTTGGATTAGTAATTGGAGGTGATCTAGACCTCTAAGGGATTATTGCTATGAAAATTGAGCTTTTGCTCGGAAACCCGGTATCCACTATATACTGTCAAGCTTCCTCATTACTTGACTCTTTGTCCCCTCTTTACTCTCCTTTGATCTGAGCTCCTCTTCCTCTGCCATGGCCAATTCTCGCATAGGGCTGGGTACGATATATCCGGACTTTCCCCGGAAAAGTGATTCCAGGATCCCACGATTGCAGGTTCTTGGAATACTACTATCAGTATGGATAAACTGTTTATCTAAATTGAAGACATATGTAGTACTAGGTAATCAATGCACTACATAGTACGACTAGAATTTTAATATTGGATCATATAGTCAACATCATCGTGAAGCCTTTTTACAAGCACAAGGGACGCTATATATCCATACGTAGTCAGCTTGAAATCATGATTTATAACGGAAAACCTGGGCGATGAGCATGGTATGATTTTGCAATGATCTCAATGGGGACGCGAGGCTTGTCGCTGAACTATATGACTGGCCTTACCAAAAAATCACCTAGGGCTAAGGGAGGCAGAGACAGCCCGGGACGTTTATCCCGTTGAATATACCAGCTGAACAGTGCCTTGGTAGCAGATGCTGCTGTTGCTGCTGCAAAATGCTGCCAATCTTTGTTCTTATGGCTATCTGCATAGTCACAGACACCTTTAATAATGATGCAGGGCATTTCGTCCCATACCCCGGCACCTTCCATCTCGAAAGCAAGGAGATTATGCACACTGGCGACCCTGTCCCGCTCCTCTCCCGACTTCATCACAGTATCTCCAGATCCGATTGTGCCAACAAATATGAATGGAGCCTGGGCCTCCTTCACACGTCCAGCTTCTACTTGCTGCCTCTTTGACTTGACACGATCCCGCAAAACAAGCTGCTTACTATCGCAGCCAATGTCATCACATGATGCATGGTGGGAGTCAATGTAGGTGCAGATTGAGGCCTTGTGCGCTTTCACAGTGGTTGAATGAGAAGAATAACGGTGTCGGTGGTGGTACCCAGGCTTAAAGAGCTGGTCTTGCGAGGCTCCTGGGTACCGGTATTTAGGCCCTCGAACTTTTTGAGCAGCTTTTGCTTGGATATCCTGAAGGTAGGTAGAGGTCAAACCCTCCAGCCTCTCACGTCCCATACTTGTCTCAACCAGTGCAAGGAGGTTCCGCACATTCTTGGGTGGCCTCCCAAACCTGTCATTCACCGTATCTTTCGTTTCAAATCCGTCAGGATTCTGCCGGCCAAGATCGTATTGTACAATGTGCCTGCTGATAACAACGTCTCCCAGGAGGATTTCTTCGCCATCTCCGGTAAGAGGCACCCCTCCACAGATGCCACTCATCAAGACAAGGTTTACTCCTGGATAGCTTGATCGAAGGTTGGCGCACGTGCTGGCAGCACTGGCTTTCCCCATATTGGAGAGAAGAAGGAGAACGACGTTGATCTTCCCGATGCGTGCGTTGATATACATATTCTCATCTCCATGAACTTTTCCATAATCAAAATTCCAGAAATCATCAACAACGGCAGAGACGGCATCAAATTCCAGTGACAAAGCACATACGATTGCAACTTCGAAGTCATCTCTACACGTTGGTCTAATTAGTTGGACATTTGGAGGGTGTGACACCCTAAGCTGCGTGCCTGTATTTGATGCCGGTGTGGCGATTGAAAGCTTCTTGGACAAGGGAAGCTCGGACACAGAATCCCGTCGCTTACGTTTCGAACTCTGAGGGTCAGCCATGATCTCCAAATTCCGAACTATCTCCTCATAAATTGTCTGTCTCATGATACTGCCACCATTTGACTCATCTGACTGATCCTGTGCTCTTCGTAGAGCGACGTGTAAGTACAAACAACCCTGCACAGCTCGAAGATAATTACTTGCTTCATTCTTCTCGACTTTGGCAACAAAACCGCACATCCAGGCCCATACAGGTAGATTCGCGGCGTTATCGGGATGGATCTCCTTGGTTATCCTTTCGCCAGTATCGATCTCGAGTAAGAGTTTGGCAAATGAAAGGAGGACGGGATCTCCAAGCCCGAATGCACCCAGTCGTTCGGGAAATCCACCTCTCTGGGCGCTTGGCCTGAGTGAGATATACAGGGTACGGTCTTGATGCTGGGATTGGGCAGACTTGAGAAAATATATGCTTTCTGGTTTCCAGCTATGGGAAGCCAGTTCCATATCATCGTCAAAGAACTCCAATAGGCATTTTGCAAGACCAAGAGCCAGGATCGATTTTTCGCGAGAGCTCAACTTCTTAACTGCCGTTCTAGCTTTATAGTCGCTAGTGGTTATTCGGGTGAGTGCCTTTTGATTGAGCAATTCCTCGAGCGTTTCTGAGGTCGTTTGTATGGAAGTTGAAGGCACTGGGGGCATTGTATCGGAAATATCAAATAATCCTTGCCTGTCAACGGATAGATATATAGCTCTACCCTGCGCCTTGGACCTTTGGATTGCTGCACATATGCCATCCTTTCGCCTCTCGCTAATAACGTCTCTGGTCCACTGTTAAGAGAGAAATGAGGCAATTAATTTGAAAACTTACTGACAAGTACCACATTTAGTTTGATGCCAGCATCCTTGTTCCAAACAACAGGAGAGAAACATATCCAGCGTAGTCTCATCGGAGCTAGTTTGCCAATCCTCCGAAACCTTCAACTTGATCTCGTGAGACTTTCCACAATTGCGCCGTCGGATATCTCTAAAAAGAGTGTTAACAACGAGACCTGCATGTTTTCGAGGCACTCCATGTTCGCCCGGTGAGGGCTTCGTAGCAAAAATGGATGTTGGTGGTAGTTGCCTCGAGTGAGGATATTGTTGCTTCCGTGCACCATTTGCAAACCGCTCCAAGACCTCTTTCATGTCGGCGATATAATTCAAGGCAATATTCCGAGTTGGCCTTCAGGTAGTACGAAGAGCGGTGAGCCTTGACCAGTTGTCAAGTTGAATTGGCCCGCGGAAGCCTCCAAAATGGTGAGCATCGTGTATAATTGTGGGTAGTAATTAAGAAGCGTTGTATCGTGCGATTGGAGCTTGGATTCTTCTGTCCTCGGCGCGTCGAAGGAGTCGATTACACAGCGATTAACCATGCCATCCAGAGCAGTGAGGAGATCATGCAATATTTTATTCAGCTCACTGTCCTCTTTGTGCTCATTGTACGGGACATCTGCAACCGTAGGTATCATCGTGAAGATGTAACGTAGGTCCGCTTCGAAGAAAGCGGCATCGTTCTGCACCTGTCGCGTGGGGTTTCCTCCGACGGCATTTTCATTTCTCTTAAATCTGATGAGCTTACCAGCCAGGTGCGATCGGAGAGCTTGAAGGCTGGTCCAGCCTATTTTCCTGATTGGAAGCATCGATTGTGTGACTTTTTCTCCAGAGAAGGTTGAAGGAGGATGGCTTTAAGCAGGATTGGAGAGGAAGGCTCACAATGAGCCATCGATGTCTTGCAGCCTTTTACGCCTTGGCAGCTGAAAGGTTGAAATCGACTGTGGACAGAAAGAAGGCAAGCATCAAAAAGCGACGTGGACGCATGTGTGATAAATTAATAGCAGACAAAAACCCAGGCGCTTACAGCTCTGCTGACCAAGTCTCTCCCAAGCAGGTCCGAGTGGGTGATCATGGTCTTGGGCGGGGTTTGGCAACCATTTTATCCGCTCATAGGTGATTAGTGCAACTAAATCTAAAACTCCTCTGATTTTCTTCGATCCTACTTCTACGGTTATACCATTCCTTTTTTGGCTTTCTGATATCTGATAACCGATATTGGCGTAAATATCCAACGTCCAGCCCCTACCCTGGGTCCTGTTGCTGCGGGGCATCGCTTGGAGCCCAACAAACATCCCTGGAACTTATTCATAGGACCATGGAAGACGTCGAGTATCAGGAACCGATCTTTGAGCTCGCCACGGAATGCGAAGCCCTCTATGCAACGCAAATTTCACGGCTCAGCAATGACGATGACCCAAATGCCGCAAAGCTGCTATCGGACGTCTATCAGCGGTTTTCGGCCTGGGCAGCGTTCCTAGGGGTTTTTGCCGAGGCAAACGTCTGCCTAGACCGAAGGCTGCGGCGTCATGTTGAGATACAGGACCAAGTTCTTCGTTTACTGGATATTATGCAGAAGAATTTGAGCTACTGTGCAGTACCCCTCTTCCACCCGGGCCGCTGATATATACCCAAAGCTGATGGCCATCGGAACAGTATTCGAAGACGATGACTTGTCTAAACATGTTAATATTGATTCTTGTGAGAGAGACGTCAGAACACCACAATCTGCTACAGTGAATACCAAGAGTCTAGATGGTATTTCAGGTGCCTTGGAACGATTGAACCAGCTCGGGACTGCCATTCGACAGTCTTCAGTAACTAATCAGATTTTCAAGGCGCGAGAGTTTGCCGCGGAGTTTGATATGACTTCCTTTGAGCAATTAGCGAATGCATTAGTACAAAAACTTTTCCCGGACGCCACCAATGGTCTCATCGAGCTGCTCACGCGATCCATGGCAGAGTCATACGCCCTATTTCTTCATCGCAAAAGCCGTCAGAAGCGACTACAAATTACTCGACATGTCCCGCGGTCCCAAAAACCTCTAATGCGCATTCCAGATGAGACTACAGGTACCCCCGACGGCTCAGCAATCATGGAAGTCGATTTGAAAGCACTTCGTGTTGGCGACGGTTTGAATAATAGAATAGCCCAAGCTCCTCTGTCTCTGCCTGTTCATAGTGTTCCAGAATCCGAGCCCACATCTGTGGACAGTAAGGAGTTACATAAACGACTACGAACATTGATGAGTCCCACGGAAAATACAAAACCAGTTTCGATTTTGGTAAATCAGGCAGAGTATCCTCGCCCATCCAAAACAAGCATTATCTGTGAGTGGTGTTTTGGCCCTCTTACAACAGATTTTCGCGATGATAAACCGAAGTGGCAGTGAGAAATTTGCTCTATTCAAATGACTCACCCAAGCTGCACTAACTAAATGTATTAGAGAGCATATAAATGAAGACTTCAAGCCCTATATCTGTCTCTCTGAAAAATGCGCCGAGTCCATGCCCCGATTCGCGTCTTCATGGCAATGGCTCCAGCACATGGGAACCATTCACGGCGGCAACTGGCACCGGGAGGTATATGCACCGGCATCTTGGGTTTGCCCTCTATGTACCAAGGTGGATGTTTCGTTTAGTAGCCCTGAGGATCTCTCAGCGCACTTGGAAGGCTGCCACACAGGCATTTTTGAAGACCAGCAACTGAAGGCCATTGTTCGTCAGAGTCTATTCCGAGCTCCACGGCCACAAGAGACGTGCCCCCTCTGTTGCTTCTCAATTGGTGATGGGCAAGCTCCTCAAGCAAACCAGGAAAGCACCCCCTCAAGCAATCAACATATGGATCATAACGCGGCTAGGCCCGACGACAGTCACTTCAAAAGATTAAAGACAGATACGGGTTACACTGAGAGGGACGATCATACCAACGCCAATGTTGATGAGAGGAATATGTCGATCGAGAATCCGGAAACCAGGGATAACACAGTCTCGAAGAACCGGATCGAGACCAGATTTATAGGAAGTCATGTGGCTGCTCATCTTCAGATCATCATGCTTCTTACCCTGCGCTTGATATCTATAGACGGCACAGCGGAAGAACAACCCGGAAGCCAGTGTGGATCATCAGAGATAGGCTCTCAAGCTTCCTGGTTCAGTTCAGAGCCGAGGGGTCTCGATCAGGAGATGTCTGATATAGACCGGAACTTGTCACCTCAGCCCTACGAAAATGCTGATATTGACACCGGGGCCCATTTAACAGAGAATGTCCCAGATTCAGAACCCATCCACTGGGATGATGTTCTCGGAAGGCCTTCAAATGCGCCTCAGGATCAAAATGTCACCGTGAGCGCCGTAGAGCCTTTAGCCCAGCCGCAATCCTCGATTGAGGACAAGGGCAAAACGCTGCATGATCTTTCTATATACTACAATACCATAAAAGAGCTTGTGGATTCCGAGTATTTGTTTGGAAATGACATGAAAGTACTTGATGATGTGTACAAAGGGACATCGGGTTCCTGCGCTGTTATTTCCGCAGATGACATCAGAATTATCTTTCGAAACTCAGATGAAGTTACTCAACTCTCTCTGGACTTCCAAGTCCACCTTAGACAAGCTACAAAAGGCGTCTATATTATGCCTCGATCACAACACCGGTCAAATCGCCAGTCAGAAAGAAGTCACACACCGTTCATCAATGACGAGCATTCAGCCAGCCCAGCGGTAGTCTATCTACAGGCCAATGATATTCACTCTACATCTGCCGGACAGGCTTTTATGGCGCACAGCACTCGTATGCAAGAGGTCTATATGAAATATTTGATGAAGCACGACTTAGCTGATAAAAGACTTCGGGATCTTGAGAAGACTCCCAAAGTGGCTATTTGGCTCCAGGAGTGCCTAAAAGGGGCGTCTGATCTGACGACCGCAGGTGATCTTCACACATTACTAGCTAGGCCGATTCACCGCATGTTGAACTATCCTCGAATTTTCGAAACTCTCCTTTCTTTCACGCCAACTGATCATCCAGATTGGCAATCTCTTGATGCTGCACTCAAAAAGGTCACCCACATCAATGTTACTGTGAATGAAGCTATGAAGCAACAGACCCTGATACGGAAGTTTTCCAGAGAAAACCGAAGTAGACAGACTCGGATTTTGAGGGCCCTGGATTGGCGGAGCAGAAAAACAAGCACAATCTCTGATCCAGATTCGGATAAAGAATATGCCGCTCTTTCTCAGAGCTATGATGATAATATGTTCCAGCTACAAGTCGTAATACGAGACATGGAGAATTATATGTCTAATTTTACACAGCAGATCAATAATTTCATGGATGTTATTGATAGATTTGATGAACTTGTTCAAGTTAATGCATTTCCCAGCTCTTGGAGTGAACTGGAGGGCAAGTGGAGAGTACTGAAGACTAGTATTCAAGATATCAAGTCGGCTGAGGGGTCGGCGCATGTAAGTCACTCTTTTCATTTTCGCAACGTCGGAATTACAGCAACTGACGGAATCAATAGTTGGATATAGTTCAACGATGTGTTATGGACCCACTTGTTCAGCTCCTCAAGCTGTATGCCGGACCAAAGAATCCCATGACATCTCGAGACAATTCTCTATCAGATTACTCTACTTTCATGGCTGCGAAAGAGCGCGGTGAGAGGTCAGGGAAGAAGACGACGGAAAACGCACAGATATTCATAGCATTGAACGAGACCCTCAAGAGTGAGCTTCCCAAGCTCTATACTCTCACTGCGAGATTAGCACACACATGCCTACACAACTTGGTTCAAATAGAAAAGGCCTGGTTCTACCTGGTGCAAAAGAAGCTCGGGCCGCTCATTGATAGCTTCTCAGACAATACCCAAGATATTTTGGATGACTGGGCCGCAGATTTCCGTTTGGTAGAGACTCAAATACTGAAACTTGGAATTTGCAACGGTTCATTGCTTGAAAACACCCTATTCACCCACCGTCCCAGTACCTCAACCGGTAGTCAGCAACCACCACCGCCACCACAACCACCACCACAAATTTTCGGTGAGAATGACTCCAGCATAATAGACACTGAGCCTGATGCGCCGCTGGAATTATCGGCTTGGAGGGATTCAACAAGACCCGACCCATCTAAGCGTCAAGATCTAAATCTGCCCCGGGCGGCGAGTCCTGTAGAGACCGAGCTGGCAGGTACTGGTCTAGCAGGTGCTCGCCCGAACGTTCTCTTTCTTGCTGCCAGCGTGTTTGAGTTTAATATCGATTATTTTAGAAAAGAGGCAGGATACCCGTGGCTGACCTATGCCGCGGGGGAGATTTTTGAAATAGTCGGCGAAAAAGGCGAACTTTGGCTTGCCAACAACTTAGATGATCCTACTCACAATTTAGGTTGGATATGGAACAAGCACTTTGCCAAGTTACCACAGTGAATTGATCCGGTATAGGCTCGGAGTAAGGGCATATTTATAGCTGAGAGGCCTTGTTTGAGCAGAGAAAACATGAATAGAACGGGCATGAACAATCTTCTGGCTGTTTGACGTTTTTCGCACATTATTTTTCATTTTCCTCTGTATTCCCTAGCGATGTTTACATTTACCCCGCCTCGCTGCCGGCACCTACGAAATGGGCAGATCAAGTGCGCGGCGACCTTCTACCCGGCCAAAGTGAGTTTTTTACACACTCCCCAACATTTAAAAAGCCAGTAAACTGTAGAGAAGACTACCCCATTGCTATGCTCAAAACCAGATCGTCACACTATGATGAAGATTGAAGCACATTATCAAGAAACCCTGACGACAAAGTGGATAGAATGCAAAGTCGCGTATGAGCCGCCTTCGAGGTACATGGCCTTTGATATACTGAATTGAACCTGCTACTTTTCAATGGGAAACAATTGAAGGTTTTAAAGTATATATCGAAGATTGTGTATGAATAAGAAGGGCAAAACAGATGATTAGAAGAATTTGTCCTGAACTAAAACCTGGTATATTCTCAGCGTACAGCAAGGATAGGCCACACGGTGGTCAAGTGATCTCATTTCACAACGATTGTACGGTGACATATCAAAGATCAAGCGGATGAATGGTCGATTCTATGTTATCCGGGTAAACCAATTCTCCTTGTTGACGCACTTTATCCATCACTTCCATGATGAGAATACTCTCTTTCCAAGGAAGGGTTTCGCTCTCAAGTTTGCCATCACGCACACAACGAGCGACTTCATCAGCCTCCCAGAACATTCCACGTGCATTTCCAGGGACAGGCACATGAATATCTCGGACAGTCGCTGTCTCGTTTGGCTCACTCTTCAGCACCACTCGGTATCGCTCCGGGCGAAAGGCAGGTCCAAAGATCAGAATATGTCCCTCGGTTCCCTGGATTTGGATTGACGGACCAGCGGATCCACGATTATCTGGGTCCGTGGCTACTCGGAAGGCTGTCATTGCCACGGCATGTGAGGTGCGATTGGGGAGTGCGGATGGCGTTGTAGTCGGAAATGTCAAAATCATAGTGGCCTCTTCATCTGACCCAGTCGCAGTGTACTTGGACATGTGAGATGTGATTTGGGATGGTGCTTTACGCTGAGCGGGAGGCAAGGTGTGGTAAAGAATTTGGAAGACCCAAGTCAGCGCATATACGCCCACTATTATAAAATTAGTTGCTGATACGTTAAATGTCAAGGGGACCGCACTTACGGTCAAGTAATGCGCCACCTGCCAGATCCTTATTGATCATGCGATGGCTGTTGCTCCAAGCAGTCTCGGGCTCTTCTCCAATGCTCAAGTCAGAGACCACACGCAGAACCTCTCCAACCGCTCCAGACTGCACCAGGTGTCGGACTTGGATGCTGAGAGGAAAGTACCGAGTCCAGACAGCTTCCATAAGGAAAAGGCCTTTCTTTTGGGCAGTTTCACAAAGGATCTTTGCTTGGGCTGCATTCACAGTGAAGGCCTTCTCACATAGGACATGCTTTCCAGCTTCCAGCGCTAGCATCGCGTGTTGAAAATGGTGCGAATGTGGACTAGCCACGTATATCGCTTGAACATTGTGGTCATTGACGGCCTCCTTGTAAGATCCATATGTCGCACACGGTCCAGGAATTTGTAATCTTTGAACAAACGAATCGGCTGAAGATTTGGAAGAAGAAGAAGCGACAGCGACAACGGTGTGGGCGACATCCGTAACTCCTCTTTCACTCGGTGCCAACAACAGATCTCTCACGAAGGCTTCAATGTTTGATTGACCAGATTAGCTTTAAATAGGCGACAAAGGCAAATTTGACCTCTCACTTTCTGCTATTCCTCCTGTAGCTAATGAATATCTGAGTCAGAACGAACAATTCGGTCCAAGTAATTTACATGATCTGATCAAACCTACCGAGAATTCCCCAACGAAGGTTATAGGCCATGATTTAGCAAAGACGATGCACCTAGAGCTTGAAGGTAAAAAGAAAATTGTAAAAAGATGGAGGACCAAGAGTACGAGATGTATGTACGAAAGAGACTGCCTGCTAGGGATATTTATAAACACCCTTGGAAGATTGTGGAGATTTCCAGCCGCGTTCTCATTTATCAAGATCCTTCTTTCGAGTGAATAGTGTCGAATCGACCCGCTTAGCATGTCAACCTTGCAAAAGACCGTCACCACTGATACTGTACATCGAGAGGTGCATGGATCCATGCAGCCAAGCGGGGTAAATAAGACACCAATGGGGCTTTTACCGGGCTAGCACAATTACTCGGTCGGACTGTAGACCCACTCTACACAAACTTAGTCGTCGCATCCACCTGCCAACTCTCAATTGCTGACATCAGTGGCAGTGCCTGGTTCCATTTCCTCTCTATTTTTTTTTTCTGTTTGCTCTTTTACTTGCCCAGTATCCATAATATATTCATTTTGTATACCCATCTATGCACAGAGTTCGTATTACGCCATTCCAATTCCTCCGCATATCTTCTCCAATCAACAATCTCAGATCGGGGAGCTTTTAGCTCGGCAAAATTACTGGATTGGGTAATAAAGTCGAAGAGCAAGTACACTCGAGGGTTCCAGGAACAGGAGACCGGAGAACGTCAACTTTGAGATTCGCCGGTCGCATAACTGGAACAGACCGCAATGGAAAAACAAGCAAAGAAGCTCACTCGAAAGTCATCCGCTCGTTCTTGCCATGGGTGTACAAACTGCCGCCGAAGCAAGGTTAAATGCGACGAGCAAAAGCCAATTTGCACTCGGTGCTGGCAGAAGGATCTACATTGTTCAAGCCCTTTTCAACTAAAATGGGAATCGACCTACCATGATCGTGGAATTGCCTTTGGGAGATCCGGTCTCTCAGGTAAAAATCCCCCGAAAAAGGAACAGAGCCTACGACCCCCTTCAGGATCAAGTTCTACCTTCCCTAAAGAGACTATATGGCTTGGAACTCCGGCCATTCAACCATGGACATTCGTGAACAATGATACGCCTTTTATTCGTCGACTTTGTGAAGAAGAACAAGATCATGGCAAGCGACGTCTCCTGCCGGCTTTGGACGCTAAACTGGCCATTGGGGAGCAGGGAACACACGAGCTGGTGCGACCATTTCCAAAGTTGCCACACCTTCTTGGTCGGTCAGTCAGCATTGATGAGGCTTTCATCCCGAATTTATCATCATCTCCCTCGCTATTTCCATCACTAGATCAGGTGGGGAATAGGATGCTGTTCGACTACTATATAAATCAAATATGCCCTCGAACGGCACATAGTTCTCTATCACAGTCCCCGTTTGCGTCGGTCATTCTACCCTACTGCTTAGCAGCTCCGGCCACAGTATTACGAGCGATCCAAGCGCTGGCCGCCTGTCATTGGTCTCAATATGACTCCAAATACAGCACCATCAGTCTGCGATTGAAGTCTCGAGTTCTAATAGACTTTCGAAAAATAATCCATGTTGACAAAAAGGCAGTCGTGGCAAACGACCCCGAAATATTAGTTATTGCGATGTTCTTATGCCTTTTCGATATTGTCGATCACTGTAATCAACAGTGGATTGTTCATCTCCAAGGAGCGAAAGATATCATTCGATTTAGAAGGCGACATCAATATTTGACAGAGGTGAATTGGAATAAGCAACAAGATGATGTATCTCACTTTGTGGAACTTTTCTTTGCTTTCCAAGATGTGATGGGTCGGACTGCTTGCGCAAAAGCAGATATTTTCGGTTCAAGCTATTGGCAGGAAGATGACACCGCAATCAATTCTTGGATGGGTTGTAGTCCAGCTCTCGTCTCGATATTATTCTCAGCCATGGATCTCAGTAGGTCTCGACAACACATAGTCTCTAATGAGGACCAATTGAACTTTAAGATCAATGCCACCGCATTGGACAACAAACTCGAACATTTGAAACAAGAACTTCATGACCAAGAAGAAGATCAGACGATTTACCGGGTTGCCGAGCTGAAGAGAATTACTTGTATCGTCTTTCTAAAATGTGCGTTATTTGGTGGAAAGCCATCAGACCCTGCGATCAAGACATATGTACGGGAAATTATGAGTGAAGTTTTTGGGCTGCATGCTTTGGAATCGGCATGCCACGTTATCTGGCCTCTTTTTGTCGCTGCTGTAGAACTGGACCCGCTTAGTGTTGAGCTTTTCTCAAATCCACAAACTGGATTAATGACTGACGGGAGAAGGCTTGTTTTGGAATTACTGGAAGAAATGGTCAAGAGTACAGTGTCGGGTATTTCTCGGATACGTGTGGTTGTTGAGCAGGTTTGGAAAGCGCGAGACTTCAATTTATCAAAGCCCATCGAGCCAAAGCAATCGCCAATTCCCGTTTTAAATGACTGGGAAGAGTATGTTGTGCCAGTCAGTGATGCCTTGTGCTTGGTATAAACTTGATTACTATATCTATCAGGCTTATATATCAAGAGTCTCCCGGGTTCATTCTTGCCTCTGCTCTCTACCTAAATATTTTACTATTTTATACTAATTCATCATCGATTTCGGCATATGAAGAGATTGTTAATGAATACTCCTTACCGGTCTGATGTTCCTTCCAAGGCTTTTTGAACGCATACTAAGATTTTATTTGTGAGAAAGAACAGTATCACCGAGATATTTAGTTTGACTGGGAGAAATATGGGGGAAATTATTTGAACAATGTGAGTTTCTAGAATAAAAGAGTTTTAAGTAGTGAAACGATATTATGTAAAAAGAAGGGGTATGTGTATGTTAAGCCCTCGAAGATGGGTAGAGAAATGCGCATAGGTGATTGTACAATCAAAGATCTAGCGCCTGCGCGTAAAACCTCATGCTTCTAAATTCCTTTCCAACTCGATCTCATATGCGGGCAAGGAGAGGGACAATGCTTTCCCTGTATTCTTGTTCACAGAGAACACAAACTCATTAATCGGAATGTCATGGTATGTTAACTGATCAATGGTGCTGGCCCATGAGCCCACATTGTACATCTCGGAGAACATGTGGCCTGAAACAGGACCCGTGGGATCAACTGTCTCCATTTGAAAAGCAATCTGACCCGACGATGCAATGTCTCGGATAGTTGGGACGATTCTGACCATGTTACTATTTGCTGGTCTCTGTGGAATGTGAGGAACCAGATGCACCAAGGTCTTGGCCAACTGATCGATAACATCTGTGCTGTTGCTAACCCACTTTGAGATAACGAGGCCAGGGGCCGACTTTGCGGACGAGGGAATAGTCAATGTCACACTAGTATTCAGTGCTTTTCCTTTGGGTGTGTAGGTACCCGCCAGATTTTTGAAAGCCTCATGACGAGCCTGGTCCATTAATGCCGGTATGATCGAGTTCGTGAGCTGATCTGCAATAAGCTGAATGGCTTGAGTTTGTACCCCAAGCGAACTAGCACCCAGGATAGTGAAGCCAAAATCAAAGTCGGGGATGACCACTAGCAGGCTGGCATAGCTTCCGGAGTCTCCTAGCTTGGTGTATATGTTCGTTACCACATTGTTGTCTAGGTGGACATATCGATAGATCTCCCATGGTCGGCCTAGGGCGTAGTGGAGATCTCCCGTAAAAGAAACAGGTTGAAGCCAGCGATTGGTCCGATCGACTGGTAAAAGCGTTGAGTTCAGGATACTGATTCCAACTTTGGACAAATCATTAATAGTCGAGTAGATACCACCAGAGGGTGTAGTAATGGGTACGTTGATCAAGTCAGTTTCAAGTGTCGAGGCAATCACTGTTCGATTCAGGAGCTCAGGCTTCGTAGGCGGGTTGGATAAAGTATTCTTGAGGCCGAGGGGTTTAAATAGAGCATCTTGGTACAAGTCGTCCATGGGTTTACCAGTAATATTAGATAGCGCTCCCCCAAGGAGAAAGAAACCACTGTCAGAGTAGAGAGGACTGTTTCCAGGCAGATATCTCGGTGGGTTGGAAGCGATGCCCTGAACATAGTCTTGTATACCACACTCTGTATCTGTTCCAAGTTGTAATTTTTTGAGGCAGGGGTACTGCTCCATAAACTCAGTCACGTTAGGAGTTGGCAGGCCCCAAGTTTTCAAGGTGGAGGGATCAGCAGTCCCCAGTAAGGCAATATCCGAGGAAACTGGTAGACCCAGGCGTGGGATACCACCAATATGAGCCGCAATGTCTCCGACAGTTATTTTGTCCCATGAAATGTTTTTGACTGCATCAAGATCTGAGGTAGTCGTCTGGATGAATTTCTGAAGCGACGGGTAGATCTTTGTCAAGGGAATGTTCCAATCGTTGTCTTCTAACTCGACCATGCCAGCGTAGGTAGTGATCAATTTTGAAACACTTGCAATGCGGTAAATCGTATCGGAGTCGACATGTGCGGTTCCGAAGGTTCCATTGAGAGTAGATGGAGATATGTGGTGGTACTGCAAGAAAGAGGCGTCCTTGTCGTACAAAGAAAACAAGCCCATAGAGAATGTGGAATTTTTTAGCAAGGAAGATGCTACCGGGCCTAGCCCTGCGCCAGCCAAAGTGTGCTCCAGAGTTTGGGTGACATTCTTCCAACTAGCGGCGACTGAGCTGGAGTTGCTGCTGATATCTCGAGGAGGCGGGTAGGAAGCACCTGGTAGACCAGCGTGAACTGCAGGGGCCCAAAATGGTGCCAGAAGCGCAACAGTACTAATGACCTTCATTATAGAGAAGGTATAATATGAATTTGATGAGGTTTTAGTAATACTGCGTCTCATCGATGGGAAGTGTTGGCTATTTATGTCTAGGCAGTTCATTTACGTGGAGCATCGGACAATCTCAATAGGACCTTACATTTCGGCTCTCACTTCTTGGCGACCCCAGCGGTGAATGAAAATCTGACATGAACCACTTATTAGAGTAACCTTCAACACGTAGTATTGCTAAATTTATAAACTTATGATGATCACATACTCTCTCGGCCGCCCATTCACGAATCGGATACTTTATCCCAGGCATTGTTTGGCCGATCTACAGGGATGAGCGCAGCGCTTTCCCTTATTCGGTTAGACTGTTTACTTTGGGTTTAGTAAGGCTTGGCACTGTCTAACCGCTTTAGGGGGTATACGCCGCTGGGCCCCAATATGAGTAGAATCAAGTGTCGAGCTCCATCAGATATATGGAGAATGGGAGGCGGAGTATGACATTACGTTAGAAATCAAGGAGGAGCTTGCGGTGTTATTTTCTAGAACCAGAAAAATACGGAGGATGTGCGCGATCAACGTCCACGGGTGTCTGATGATGATGATGATGATGGAGAGCAGATATACTTACTGAATGTCCAGCCTGAGGCTAGTAGCGACTACTAGTAGATTCTACGAATAATTAGTGAAATGAAGTTTTCGGAGCTTTTCATAGCAAAGCATCTTCATCTTCATTTTCATGAAAATCTATCTTAGCCTTACCAGATACTAAAAAATCCCCAAAAGAAATCCAAAAAGAGTCAAAAAAGAAAAACGGACGGGACAGGCAAAAAGATCTACAATTCGCACCTACCCAGGTAACAAGAAGGAAACCACAATTCTGTCCCACGGCCGAAAGGCCACGGTCCTACAGGGAAAATTTCAAAAACCTACAGAAATTTCCCAACGCCACATTTGAAGTAGATGACAGAGGTAGCGAGAAATATGATGAGAACCAAGCCCCCCACAAGTCTTGAAAGCCCCGAGTCCTTTTCATCCCAATAAGTTTATCAAAAAACTTCATCTTCGGCCTTCACTATCACAGCTATAATTGAAGTTCCTTATAAGAATACATCTCTTTCAATACAAATCGACAAAGGAGATAACTCCAGGTACTTGCAACTGCGCTTCTGCCTTACAAAAGTTCTTTTAGAGTATAATCTTGAAGCCAACCAGTATAGTATGTGATGAGGATACATAACTAGAATCATTACTTAATTAAACTACCAAGGGCGTGTCTATGGCCCGTTTCAATATCAACGTATAGTCAGGGTTAATAAAGAAAGAAAAAGAGCTACTATCACCATCATATGTATATATGCACTGTATAAAGTAGTAGAGAAAGGTCAGAAATTAAGAGAGAAATTCAAAGGCTCAACTTGAACTTGAAGGGTAACATATTTCCTTCCATGTGTGATCTGAAAGTTTCCAAGTCAGCTAGATAAACATCTTTTCATCCTCGTGCTGTGAAAGAAGTGAGTAATGTTGTATAGTATTTGCCATAGCAACTTAAGCACTTGAGGCAACTGGAAGCCATGAAGTAATCTCGGAATTCCGATGCGTCGAATAATACGCCTGAATAGCCGATATACCCTGAGATATATAGGTATTTGGACTCTAATAAAGAAATTGTTAGCGCAGACATACGATGATCCAAGTATCGTAACCAAATTGAAGTTTTATAAGAAAGGGAAAGAATCCAAAGGGAATGAAGGCCTTCGGAACTCGAATCTTCAATTATGTGAGTATATGGCCATTTGTATACCGCTCCTCTTTCAACATTAAATCATTCATAATAACTAGCCGGCTTCTTGTACCGGCAGGATTCGCGATAAACAAAACTGCCTTCCAGCCTCGTTTGCATGACCCGTCCAATTGCCTCCTCTTGTTCTTCCTGTATTGCCTTAAACTCACTCCATTCCTGATCGTCTTCATAATCTGCGCGGGAGTTGCAGAGTGCAAAGTCGATCATGATCACTTTAAAATGTTTTCGCTGCGCATTATCCAGACTAACGATGAAACTCCGTGTTTGAACATCCTTGTTGAGAATTCCCCGGTCGTCCATAAGATTGAGAATCCTAACACTATCATCACATATAGATTGCCGGATTTCCCTCGGAGAATAATCAGCAAGATTAGTCAAAAGAAATCCTTGGATATGCTGTAGAAGAATCCCAGGAAACCCTTGGGTGACTGGCTCTAGCACATCTGGATCAAAGCCAGATACCAAAACAGCCGCCAATAGGCCTGGAACTTCTTCCCCTTGTAAGTCCTTCAGCGTATTGTACACCTGGATTCCAGTCTTGTAGAGATCCAAGAGACAATCATGAAGGTATGCCTCTTCCTGGGGGGTATTCCATGATTCATCTTCCTCAGCCATCTCATCATGAGTATTAAGCCCGTCAATAAACGCCTCAGCACCGCCATCGCGAACAAAACGATGATAATCAAATTCAATATCCATTTTGTAAGGTTGGACTTTTTCGTCTTCTCTAAGCTGGGTAGCAAAGCGCTGATCGAAAACTTTTAGCACCATGTCGCTATTAAGAGCTAAGGCGGGACAAGATATTCGGAAGATCATAACCGGCGATAAGGTAAATGGCTCAAACACATGGACGATTCTATCATCTACCGTGACCTGGCCATGAATTGTCTTTAGATTCAGTTTTATCAAGTTCCCTAGGACATATGGACAGCCACTACAATAAAAATTATTCGACTGGCTTCCTGAAGAGAATGTTACTATGGGGTTTCTTTTTGCTCCATAGCAATCAAGGGGCTCCCTATTTAAATGAGACTTATCCGAGATTAGGGGTATGTCTGGGGCTCGGTGATAGGTGGGAAGTTTGTAGCAGGAAGTTGAAAGACGAAGAAAACGATGGCTCAGCGCTCGCTAGTGTGGATCTCGGCAACGATGGGAGGCGCAATAGTGGGGAAATGATGGGAATAGTGGGGCCCGTGTCTTGATCTGGCGATGTTGGCGTATTCGTTTAAGTTTTTGTTTCCATCCGGCTTCCCGAGGACTTGAAAGACTATAATTAGCATTTGAAGATTTGAGTTTTTTCACAGATCTGACCTAGAACTTGAACAACCATGATATTTATAGGTACCGAAGTCTAGCCTGAGATTCTCAATTTCTTTCAGATGATATCTCCGAGTTCAACTTGAATCTCACACACTGAGGTCCTCTATCAACTTCTCTGGTTCCGTGGCCTCTCATCACAATGTCACTTACAATATCTCTGGACAGTCAACTGACTCAATATTCCGGAAATGAAACAATTTGTGGTCGTGTGAATCTTCAATGCTTTAAACCAATTGAGATTGAAGAGGTGAAATTGACCTTTTCGGGGCTAGCAGAAGCTAAAGTACAGAAGACCAAAGGATCTGCGGCTCCTTCGGTCGGCTACCGTAGCAAATGTGTGCTTTTCGAAAAGGATCGTATTTTAGCTCATCAAGGTGGACAGCAAATGGCTATTGGGTCATATTCTTGGCCGTTTGAGCTAACTTTTCCATCGCATGTTCAACCTGAAATCAAGCCATCGAAATGGCCGGTGATTCCTCCATTTCGCAACGATGCAAACCATCCACTCCCACCAACGTTTTCTATCGAAACTAGTGATAGTCTTCGGAGGCTGGTCTGCTCAATTGGGTATCATATCCATGCACAAGTCTTCAAACCATCTTCAGGTTTCATGGGAAAGCCTTCGCCATTCATTTCGGAAGTTTTGGCCCTGCAATTCATACCTCCGATAAATAAAGCGGATATGGTTGACGTCGAAAACTTCAGCCACATGTCTTACCATCAGCAAGAACATGTCTTTAGTATTCAAAGTATGCATTTGCTTCAAGAATACAAGGGGAGAAGCCTTGGTGTTCAAGAAAAACTCCGGTCTTGGTTTTCTCCAAGACAGTTGCCACGGTTCAACTTCAGCGTATCCTTTTCTTATCCAACTCGCGCAGCTCAGTCAACCCCACTCCACTGCAATCTGACTGTTGCCCCTCGCATGGAAGACTCGTCTGTCAGCTCACCTCCAGTGATTTTGATGCAGTCTCTACATATCACTTTGGTGAGTAGAACCTATGCGCGAAGTGGGCCTTCGTTAATGGGATCGATGTCCGGTGAGGTGGATGAGCGCATGGAAATCCTATCCAGAACATCACTCAATATGGCAATGTCTGGAATGATTGATCTGACCGAAACTTTCGGTCCTCTTGTATTTCGACCTATTGATGTCTCTTTTGGTACATTCAATATCAGTAGGATGTACCGCCTGTGCGTATCAGGTCAATTTGAATGTGCTGGGAAGATGTCCAAATTTCAAGCCCTTGATTTACCAATCGATATCATCCCTCGATCTCAAAGAAATGCGACAGTTTCTCAGGGCCCGGAGCCCCCTATCGATGATAACCTTCCATCATATACACCATTTTCATTACCACCAGAGATGGCAGGAGTTCCACAAGACGCCAAAAAGCACGACAGCGGAAATTTTTGAATTACTAAAATAATGAAACTCCCTTTTTTTATCGAAGGCATATGTATTTACTCGATTTTGTGAATATAGTTTTATGAAAGTCTCATTAAGAGCTTCAAACAAACCTTGGGACCCAACAACCAGCATTAATTAACAAACATGCCCTGATCCGAATAACCACCTGATATGCTATGCAGATATTTCTTCAACCTTCACTGACATTTCAGTAGACACTGGCATCAGAAATTATTGATTTAGCGGGCTGTATATCCGCCATCTACCGGCAGACAGACTCCTGTAACCCAGCTTGCATCATCGCTTGCCAGAACAACAGCCATTCTGGCAATATCATCAGGAAAACCTGGCCCCTTCAATGGATGTCGGCGATTGAGGTCATCCCAAGGAGTGAGGTTAGTGGTAGTTTCCTTAAAGATCGCGGTCTGGGTATCTATTTATGATTGTTAGTCTGGAAGCTTTGCAGACACCATTAGCAACTCACATCCGGGGCAAAGTGCGTTGGCATGAATCTTATGCGGAGCATAATCTAAAGCGATCTGCCTCGTGAGCTGACTGACACCACCCTTTGATGCGCAGTAAGAAGCTATGGAATGTTAGTTCTGAATGGCGATGCAGCCTAGTCTGAGAAACCCACGGTTCTCTGGGCCAACAATCATGCCCATAATTGATGAAATGTTGACGATCCATCCCCGGTCTCCTGAAGCATGTGGCTCTTGTGCTAACATCTGCGCAAGGGCATATTTGCAGCCAAGGAAGACAGACTTGAGATTCACCCGCATCGTGGTATCCCACGTTGCCTCATCAGTTAAATGGAGCACCGCTGGAAGTCTTGCCTCGATGCTAATTCCGGCATTGTTAACCAAACTATTAAAATAATCAGCTTTGGTAAGTAGAGATGGCAGCGGTGGTTGCTATAATGGTTTCTTACACATCAAGTCTCCCATACTCATCCACAGTCGCTTTTACTAAGCTTTCCATCTGAGTAGCATCGCCAACATCGGTTTGAACGAAGATAGCTCTCCCACCACTCTGGATAATCGAATCATGTGTGGTGATCTCAGCTTCCTCTTTCGATCGAGCCACTGCTGTCAAATCAGCACAGACTAGCTTAGCGCCTTCCTGTGCATATCGAATAGCGATAGCTCGGCCCAAGCCAGAAGAGGCACCGGTCACGATGGCAACCTTGTTTTGCAGACGCGAAGATTGAGCCATTTCGAAGTAGAACTAAGCAGGGGCGAGGCGGAAGGTGAGAATGGTATGTCCAGGGTGAAAGTCGCGGTTTCGTTTTTTCCCCTCGGGCGCACAGTCTATTCCTGGCCTTCGTTCAGAATGGAGACGCGAGATAAAATATACTCCCCACATTGAACAAATCGGTTAATGAATGATGGCTGAGGAGCAGCCCCTCAGTTCGTCTTCATTGCTGCTTTTGTCATTGAATCAGCCCTTATAAAATCTTCCCAATTAGGTAGTGATAGCGGTGCTGCGGAGACCAAGCCGAGCACGGGTTACTATCCTATTTCAGAACATCTCCATTTTATGCTCCACCACCTCCACTTCCAGGCAGATCTACATACCGAAAGCCACGTCTGTCCAAATCGAACAGCAGAGTTTTTTTTTGACTTAAAGATTTGATCTGGTGATAGCGAATATTAAAATTCCGCGCAAATTCAATATCAATCGTGGTCATTGAAGCAACTTGCTGGTTTTCTTCTGGTCAAAATGCCTCCAACTCTCTATATCATTCGCCATGCACAAGGTGAACATAATGTCAATGTACTATTGCATCCTCAATTCACTCCCCAGATTCCTACCTTGAAGGTCCTAATATAGCATCTAGGACTCTCATCATATCAGAGATGCACTTTTGACCGATACTGGGAAATTCCAATGTCAAGAGCTCCAAGAAAAGTTTCCATTTCTTCAAGATGTTGAGGTTATCCTGGCATCTCCGCTCCGACGTACTATTCAGACGGCTGCCTACACATTTGCACCTGAACTAGAGAAGCGACAACTACCAATGATCTTGGTTCCAAATGCCCAGGAGATCAGCAGTTTGGCCTGTGACGTTGGCCACGATGCCAAGATTACAAAATCAGAAGCTCCAAACCTAATCAAAGACGCCGCCCCCTCATGGAATGCTATGAATCTTGACGCGACATTGGTTAATGAATCATGGAACTCAAAGGTAGGACATTTATTCTTTGTAAAGTTTGAAGCGTATATTAAATGTACTGTGCAGAAAGGGATTTATGAATCCAGTCTTCCAGCTGTCAAACAACGAGCTGCTGAGATGCGTAACTGGATTTACAGCCGTCCAGAGAAGCATGTTGCACTTGTGACTCACGGGGGCTTCTTGCATTATTTTACTGAGGATTGGAGAGGTTACGTGAGACGGAAAGGTAGGTTTGCAATTTAACTTACCCACCTTCATCACCTTCATTTGATCTTGGCTGACTTTGACTTTTCTCAGGTACTGGCTACTTAAATTGTGAATATCGTAAATTGGAGTTCACTGAAGATTCTAACGAGAATGAGTCACATCTTCGAGAATGTGGTAGCATTTTGGAGAAAGAAGCTAGGCCAGTCGGCCTTGATGCTCATGTTATTCACGAAATTGGCGCAGTTGAAGGGTTTAAATAACTTCTTTTCGTTTCTCTACTCTCTATAGACAAATCAACCGTTTCTGTGATGCTTCAGCTAGTTTTTCAACACCTTATCATTATTATTTGTTGGAACAGTCAAGGAAAACGGTTTAAAAGAAAAAAGAGAAATATTATATGAACTATGCCATAGACATTACAGGATGTTATGCTTTGGTCAAACCTAAAACCTATATTCAAAATGTATTTGTTTACCACATACTTCCCTTAGCCACTTAAAGTTTGATGGTTAATGAGATTCTCGACTTTTGTATGACATGTATCTCAATGCGTCTATTTTATCTCGTCAGGAATGATAATCACTCTAAAAATCATGATATCAAATCGCACACGTTTTTCTGACCCTCGAAGCTCTTGCATATCTTTGATCACCAAAGAAATCCTGACAGCTCTCTATTTTCTAGCACTCTTATTCCACTTCTTCGAGTTCTCATTGTACAGGTACTACTAGTGCTACCGTTTCAAGCTCTACTACCGAAAGCCTTATCATAGCCCACTCGAAATCGCACATTGCCGTTGTAAAACTTTTCCACTGCGGCTTTGCATCCATCCTCGCTAATGCCAATCGTTTCAACTCAGCTAATTTTGTTAGTATGGGAGTTCCAAGTAGTGTACTTCCAAGTAGTGTGGATTTAGCTTTAGGCACACCTTTGAAACTCAAGTTTTGCAGCCAATTGAAGCATAATTTGGACCTCTTCTCTACTTCCAATATGACTAGCTGCAATCGAGCAGCCATTTCCCATCATGTCCTGTGTCTTGAGAGGAGGGAATAAACCCTGTCTCTGACTCTGTGACCAGAAACTACCTGGAATTAAAAACGACACAATATGTTCAGTAAAAATTCTGATAATGTGGTCCTTGGACAGCTTTATATGTACCTACAAAATCGGATGGCTATAGTTTCGAGATTTGGAGAGACATATCGGCGGATTACTAGTACTAGTAGTATTATGAGTAAGAGCTATGCCAAGATGAAGCCGGGCGGGAGCAGGGAAAGTTCTGGGCTTTCGGAATCCGTGCCCTATCAAGAAGGTCATTATAGTGCGGGATGCCGAGAGACTAAAACGGGAATCGACCCGGGGGTCTGTACTGCACGGACCCCGGGGTGGATCTGAAGGCATGGGGCCAAGCCGGTTGATCGCCGCTGACAACTCTCGGATTCTTTTTAATTTAGAGGAAAAGATCGAGTAGGCATACATAGTTGATATGCATTGGGGATGAAGGACATTGGATTTACTCTACTTTCATTAGCTCTAGATCGTATTTTCCAAAACTACTAGCACTATTTTCAAACATATAAATGTAGTGCGCTCTCAGGCCTAGTATCACTTCGACTTCTATCTCTCCACAACTTGAAACTTCCAAGTGCCCATTCACGAAAGCCACTGGCACATCGACTGAATGTCTATTGACACGGACATTCTTATTATCGGGGCCCCTCCGGCCTACTAGGAATGGCTATTCAGCTTATTCGTAACTTTGGGACCAGAAGCTTTGAAATAATTGAGAAGACATCAGGTATTGGGGAAATACCAGTGGTTTCAAAACCCGTATCCTGGTTATGGGTGTGATGGTGCTTTTCTTTTCAATATTGTATTTTTCAAGTTTCGACCGCCCAATACAACGAAGTAACCTCGATAACTAATATTCTACAGGTCCCTTCGTATTTTTATTCTTTCTCGTTTGCGCCGAATCCCTACTGGTCGCGCAAATTTGCGCTACAGCCCGAAATCTCAGATATTTTATGTCTACTGCGAACCAGTACGAAATACGACCTCATATGAAATTCCCCTCTGCTGTCAAAACGGCGGAGTACGAACCCGAGATAGCAACATGGAAAGTGATTATTTCGGATCAAAGAACTGGACGTGAGACTCAAAAACGTTACCGGATTCTTATCTCAGCTGTTGATACCCTTTCGGTTCCTAAGAAGTGTGATATTCCAAGCGGAGAGACATTCAAAGGTCGTCTGTTCCACTCCGCTTAGTGGGATCAACCCATTAATTACAAGGACAAAGATGTCATTCGTGTTGGTAATAAGCGACCAAGCTCAACTAAATCTTCCTCAGTAGAGAATATCCTGCTGACCAAATTTAGTAAATGGCTGCAGTGCCACGCAGTGTGTGCCTGTCATGAGTGATGGTCCAAACAAAGTCAAGAAAATTACTCAATTTAGCCGCCAGGCTCACTGGCTATCCGAGAGGCCCAATCCTGAATACTCAAGATCTTTCCATTTCATGATGTGATGAGTTCCCGATGCTCATCGTCTCTACCGAAAATATCTCTTTTTATTACAAGAAAGGGACTTTGCGGATTTTCATGTACAAAATGGTCAAAAGGTTCGAAGTGATTGGACTGATGAAACCACAAAGTACATCGAGACGAATGCCCCTGTTCAATATCGAGATTTCCTAATTCCGGATACAGTTATAGGCTGTAAGCGCCGGGTAATGGATACCGATTATCTTTCCTGTCTGCACCGTGAGAATGTTGATCTTATCTACAATGACCCCATCGACCACATTACAGAGAGAGGCATCGTAATGAGGTCAGGACAAGCAATTGATGCTGACGCTATTTTCCTGGCTAATAGGTTTGAAACCCAGAAGCCACTGTTCCCGATGGAGATACGAGGGCAAAATGGACAAAGTATTGCTGATCATGTAAGTCACTTTCAACAGATTCGGAGTCATTTGAAGTCAATCGGTTGGTGGTGGCTCGAATTTGCAGATAGCTCACTGGAGGCTTAATTTGGGACTTGTCTGTCAGGGTTCTCAAACTTCTTTATTTTGATGTGTCCCAACACATTTTCCGGTCATCTCTTGGTGCTATATACTACAGAGTGTCAGATCAATCTCATTACTCGACTCATTCACCCAATATTGAGTGGAACTAATCGATCTATCCTATCTTTCTTGCCCAGCATAAAGTTTCCGGAATCAGTTGCTGTCACTTCTTTTGCGGGACGTAAGGATGTTGCTGTGATCGATGCTAAAGCCAAACAGTTCGTATGGGCCACTGGCTGTACTTCGTGGTTTATTGACCCTAATACCGGGCGCAACAATATCATCTTCCCTGATTGGTAGTTCAAGTTCCATGTTCGCAGTTTTCTAGTTTCGTGGAGGGGTTTCGTCTATCAAAAGCCCCCCAAATTACTCCCACGAGAAGTTATATTAACCCACCAAAATGCATTGCGAGTGGCTACCACAAGTGTTACTATCATTGGAGCCCTGTTTGCACTGTGCTCTTTGTTAGGCTATCATCCCTTGTCGAGGTCGAATGCCTTGCGTCAATATCTTTCAGCGCTGGTTCAGCGTCTTATTTGATCTGCAACTCGTTTTTGCCCTGCCAAGAGGGGTGCCTACATAGCTACGACGGGCTCGTTAAAACGCAAGCTTATGAAGATGGATAATTGAATTTTCTTTCGGGGGAGCAGTTTTAAAACCCGCTGAGTATCGTGAGTAAAGCGTATGTGCAATTAGTGCTAAGAAATAAACCAATTCGATTCATGGCCCTGCTCATTACGATCAACATTATTGCCTCGTCTCTCATTCGCCCATTCATCTTTTAGCTTGGTGATATGATATTTCGTAGTCCACCCAAGATCTTGTTCAATCCCAGCAAGTAACTCAAGAACTGCCTCCTGTTCGTGATATTCCTCGAAAACTTGGCCAGCAACAAAAAGAGCCTGAACAGAGTTGGCTCTGAAGGCCTCTGTTGAGTTAGCCAGACTTATCCCACAAACCGCCCGAGCATGAATTATAACTTCTCGAAGGGAATGTCGATACGACCTCAGGCGTGCTGATACGGTTGATCGAATAGCTGTTGATTCCTGTGGCTCATTCGCCAGTAACAGGATCTTTGCTTGGTGATAGCTTTGGATTACCGCCGCACACAGTGGCAAGTCAAACCAGATCTGCTCAAACGTATCAAAGCTCCGCTCAAAGCCCGGTTCTGCATTACCTAGTTTCCGTGTACGAGCAGTCGCACAGAAGGACTCTGGAAGAGAATCATGCCATCTATCCAAGTCAGCCATTAGCATATTCCATCTTTCTAGAAGATGTTGCTGGTTCAACCCAATGAGGGCCCGCTGAAACTGCGGCAATATGTTGTCCGCTGGAACCAAACTATCCCCTGCAGTAAGATGATTCGCAATTTTACCAAGAATCCATGTCAATTCATTACTTTTCATGTCTTCTTCCAATACCGTTGAATTCAGGCTCTCCATCATGTCCAGAGGACTGTAGGGTAGGAGTTCCCTATTCTCGCCTGTAGCTAGCCCAGCATTCTGCCAGAGACGCATATCTTTCAAGTCTAGTCGGGTTGGGGTTTCGCTTATAACTGAGTGGTTGGGTCAGATAGCTTATCTTCTAGTAATACTTCTGGGACTCACAGGCACATAATAAGTCTTGCCTCGCAAGACTCCAAAATATGGGGCCTTTGATGGCCAATTGGGGAATTGTGATTGAAGTATGATCGGAAATAGAATCATTTCCATCATCGAAAAGAGGCAATGCGCTGAGATGGGCTTTCCATGCACTCCCAGGGGCGTCCATCAACTCAAATGTGCAAAGAATAGCGACGGCAGCAAGGATCTCCTCTTTATCAGACGGGATAGTAGCACATGAATCCAAGCTAACAGCAAATTTTAGATGCCCAAGAGCTTGATCGTAAAACCTTGCCGAGTTGTATCTCCATATTTCTTCATTCGAAGATGAAATTCTGATATAGCTGGGAATGAAGCTAGATTTCGACCCGGGTTTGCTTGTAGTTCGACAAACATGTAGTAGGTGCTTTGCAGAGAGAGCGCACATTGCTGACTTCAATAATGGTTTGGATATAGCGATAACAGGCACTTTTGAAGAAAAATATGATGTGCTGTCAAAAAGATCCATCCTGTGTCATTGTAAGCAGCTGGTTCAACTTGAACTCGAATGAATTTGATTCATACCACTGGCCAGGGCCTTGCTTAAAATGCCGCAAAAGATAAGATATAAGGATTTTCTCAGAAGAATCAGACTCTGGTTGGTCGCTGCGTGGGATAGGAGTATTATATTCTCTTTGTGTACGATGACTAGTACTTGGTGTTTGGTGGAAGGAAGGTATCACAGGGGTCGCATGGATCGATATCGGACGAGATACAGAAGCCTCGGTCTCTTGGCCGGTATCTACTATCCCATCTATTTCACTGGCATCTACATAAGCCGTCGTCCCGCTGGTTTCCACCGTTGAGCTTTCATTGTGATCTGGCTGTTCCGCTTGAACAAACGTGACTAGCTGGTATGAGAATGTGGAAGTGTATTTCGAGCTCAAATTGAAAACATACATTCATTTGGGAAATCTACCCATATCCTTTGCTCTCCAGATTCATTGGCCTGTGTCTCCTGCTGGTCTCTAGTGCATTTCCGTTTGCGGGCTGGTGACGGACCAATCTCCTGCGTACGGAATATGGACTGTTCTCCATAGGTACAGTTTCGAGATGACTTGACACATTTGTCACATGCTGGTTTAGACTCGTCGCATTTGAGTTTCCTTTTTTTGCATGTCAGGCTGTAACTATGTGTTAGCTATGATATTCTGGACGAAAGCACAGGTCGGCTTTGGAGGCTCGACGGAGTTGAAAAAGCAAATAGATAACGTACCAACCGGAGTAAGATCGCATTACTTTCCCGGTGAGGTCAAATTTCAATAAAAACCCGAAAAATATTGTCCGACGCCCAGCCACCAGACATAGAACTCGAAACAGTTCATTCGCCAACTTTCGTTGTGGGGTGAAGTGAATGCAGATTGATACGAAAGTGGAAATGTTGCCGAGTACTCACCTGGTCACGTGGTCTCTGGCTGTTCCCACCAGCCAAGAGCCAACTCAACTATAGTGTTTTAGTTATATCAGTTGAAATTCGCACAAAAACAGATGAACATTTCGTATATTTCATGGCGAATACATATATGATTTCCGAGACTGAATCGATATTCTCGCAAACACTGCCTATACAAGATACCACCATCTGCGCCCGTGGTTCGGGGATTCACATACTCCCCACGCTCCCATTAATGATACGATTTAGACTGGTATTTACACAATAACAATACTTGTAAATTAGTACTTCCCTGGTCTTACGTCTGCTATAGGGCAAATTGGACAGACACTTTCCCAATCCATCTCTAGGAAGTCTGGTAGATAGTCGCCAGGCATTCAGATCAGGCACATTCATCTATTTTACAGCAAGGATGCTCCCAAAGCTAAAGAAGAAATATAAAGATCGCCTATCCAAAAACTGGCTCAAATTGTATGATAAGACCCAGCAGAAGAACCCAGCAGAACCACACACCCTAGTAAGCGAGTCCACAGGAAAAGGGCATAGAAAATGACACGCCCAAAAGTCTATGGGACAAAACTTTTATGTCGCTCAATCCTGATCAACAACGTTATCTCAAATTGCTTTTGTCAGAAACCAATCAGGACACCAAATTACATAGCGGCGATCCGCCAATAGAACGCGCACTAAGGGATGGGGCAGAGACCGTACAAGATCAGCATAGTATAAGACAGGCCAAAAATGATGATAACCGCATACAAGAAGCGGCGAAGGAGATTTTACGGGCAGCGTGGTCATTGGAAGGCACAGTCCCAAAAGTTGTTGTTGTTGACCCGACTGGGTACTCAACTGCAGCTTGGGGCGTTGTGTCACTAGGACTTAAGGTATGCTAATATCAAAGATAAACATCTGGGATATCGAGGCTTCAGTGAACGATAAACCAATTCGTGCTCTCGATACCTTCAGTTCAATGATTAAGATTGTTTTTCGGATAGCCGCTGGTTTGCAGGTCAGACAGTTCATGGGTTGATTCAGGTATGGGATATGGTCACAGACTCCGATACACCGTCATTTGTTTTCGAAAAGAAGTGCTCCGCTGGCATAATGGGGCTCCAGTTTTTCAATGATGGAAAAACTTTGGCTACTTGGTATAGACCATCCATCATACAGATCTAGAATCTTAGTGAGCCTTTTGCGTCGGTGGCTGTCTCGAACACAAAATGGGGCATACGTGGTCTTCGAATCTCAAAGAATGGAAAAATTTTGACTTCGTCGTCCTTAGACTCTGGTCTTGAGCTCTGGCTGGTTGAGGCTCCAGGTATTGTCACAAATAAATTTCAGTATAAGCACGCCCATACCTCGCACAGATTTCAAAGGGCCATGGCCTTTTCTCAAGATGGAGAGCGGGTCGCATTTTATTCTAAACCCAAAGTTTTGATACGGGATATCATTGAGAAAACCCAAGCTCTCTCACTTAGCCCTGCTGGGCAAGGTACAGCTTTCAGTCCAGATGGTCAACTCTTGATTGTTGCTGATGCATGTGAATTGAAATATGTCATCTGGGATATCACTAAAAACCCACCGCTCATAATGAGGGAGCTAGACCTTGAGGAACATTCTTATTTTCACACACTAGTTTTTGCACCAGATGGCAAGAGATTAGCGACAAGTTCTATCATGGGCCATATCATAATCTGCGATCTCGATGATGAGAACTCCCAGACACCTCGATGGATTGGAGAAAACTATGGGATTGTTCATTCGATGCGCTTCTTGACTGACACAAACCATATTATCACGGAGTACGGTGCATTTGATACTCGAGAAGATCAAACTCAAGAGCCGAAGAACTCTGAATACTGGCAGCTGGCTCTCAGAATTCAAGACGAATGGGTAGTTATTGGTGGACACAAGTGTCTATGGCTACCTGCAGAATTTTGGGGTTGCTGGACTGCATACGAAGGGTTTCTTTATATTGGAACAAACTCGGGAATACATTGTCTTGGTTTGCGCATTGATAGGGATTTGCTGGCTAAGTATGGCATTCGGTGTACTAGCACATCATGAACCAAAGCACAAAAAACATATAATCCAAAGAATTAAGAATTTAGAGGGAAGCTAAGTAAGGAGTCTCATAGTTTTACCGACTCGGGATGTCATTAAACAATATCATAAGTTTCTCAAATGGCTATTAACTGTCTGACCGGATTCCCGTCGCGTACGGGCAGGTGTTCACAAACCTCACAAGGAAAATATTGAACCCACCAAGCCAGAATCCCAGAAGCAGGTTTTCTAGCTTTGGAATCACTGTAGAAGGTAGTTTACTACTGCGGGGCTTAATTTTTAGACATGCAGGGGAGGATGACCTAGAGCTGAGCTCTTTGAACCCCCCGCCCCCAAAATGCCCGATGGGGACGTGGGGGCTAGCGGTGGCGTTAAAAAGGGTGGATATATCCTTATATTCATGTTTATTGAAGATGAATGTAAATAACGCAATTAATGGGGCCATTTGTAATGGACTTGGATGCACCGGCATTGATATCGGTAAAAGTATGTGGATGCGGAGATGGACCAGGCATTGCCAGATAAGCGACCCACGAAAGAGTATGTAAGCGAAAGCTACACTTCCAAGGTTGGATGGAATGATCTTGCAATACAATAAGAGGCATACATCAAGGTCTTAGTAGACGATACAATTTACATAACAACCAATGCTCGAAGTATTGATAGTATAATGTTTTGCACACAAGTGCATATGTATTTAGAACAAGGTAAAAATGAATCTTATACCACAATCTGGCAAAGAGAGACTATCAACAAAGCTTTTAAAAAATGAAGCCGGAACGCCCGCAGTGCCATATGACACAAATGCAAAAAAAGCCTAGCTCAAGCCACCAATCAAGATTGCATCTTGTTGCTGTTCTCCTCGTTGAACTGGTCGCGAGAAGCGGTAAATTTTTCAGTAACAACATCACACAGATCCATCAGGTCGTTGAATCCCTTCTCAAGAGCTTCTAGGGCAGTGGTTGTTTCTAGTAGAGCGAAAGTTAGTTTCGTGATTATAGAATCTGGAGTGGGGAATGGCATACCAATAGTTTGGATGCGGAGGTGCATCTTTGCGTCGGAAGGGTGAGGAATGGTGTAACCGCAAAATTCAACAGCAGGGCTAAACAATCACATGTTAGTTACTGGATCTCAGACGATAATTTCATGCGAATCTAAATGGGCTTTGAAACCTGTCGCAAGGTACAAAGTACTCACTTCTTCATGATAGCAAATCGCAGCGCATTACCCATGGTATGACCTTCTCCCTCGAACTGGAATGATGCGGCAGTTTCGGAAGAGCCGGGTAGCTAGAATGAGGTATTAGACATGTGCTTCCGAACATCCATAATTCATCACAAGACATCCAATACATACCACCAGAATGCGGCGCTCATCCAGGACAAGCTCTTCTTGGGGCTGCTCAACGGCGTCCACCATAGACTGATCCTGGGGATCTTGAGAGTGAACAGAGCCAGGCATTATGATACAAAGTGCTTAAATGCAGCACAAGTACTTTGATGTTGGAACGTGGGGAGTTCGAGCTTGGCGCGATCGTTCGCGATCGGATGTGGGAGGGCTCGAGGGGAGACAATATGTATCAATTCGAGTCGTATCGAGGTAGACTGGACTGCTGAGCTTTTATCTGACAGTGCCGAGGTCACCGAGGTTCGTGAAAGAGGCAGCGATAAGATGGAAGTGCTGGATTGTCAAGAGCGTCGAAAATTATCGATTTGCATAGTTTGCATCGCAGAAAAATTAGGTGGGTTTATCGATAGGAGGGTCACCGCCTTCTGTTTCGGGCCGATATACATCCTCCGGCTGCATGGAACTATTCCGCTATGTAGTAACTTCTAATAATTCATTCATTATGAGAGGGGCATTTATAAATCGGCTTGCATTCTCTGTTCCGGATGGTGAAACAGCTTAGGTCTATTCCAACGTCGATCAATGTCGTGCAGGGGCTGTAGGGCTATGTAGCTAGCGGGTTGAATCCGTGTCCCACGACATATACGAGTTACAGACATATAACACTTCTTTATCATGATGGTACAGCTTGTGATATGTCAAATGGAAATTTCAAGTTCCCAGTGGATGTTCCAGTCCTGTTGACGGCAAAGAGAAAGTAAAAAAACGCGATTCCGCCAAAAATGAAACAAGTCCCCGACAAGGTATAATGTATGATATAAGGGCTCCGTCTCTGGCGATGAACTCCGCCTTACATACTATCCACAATCAAATCCGTGGAATTTCATCTGATGTCTAAAGCATCTCCACTGAGGTTCAAGCCAATCTAGGTTAGAGTGACCCCTGTGGCTGGTTTCATCGGGTTGTGGCTGGCCACACGGTTCGTGCACCATCCACCATGATTTGCCCAGCCTGGACTCTTTCAGTCTGGGACAACAGCAGTTTGACTCAAGACCTATCACATTATCAGAAGTATCATGGCAAGTCTGGTTCTTTATGGGTTGCCTTGAGACAGGTTTTGCCTGTTATTTTCTTTTTTGCTTCATCTCGAAAGGAGGCAGGAGTACTTAACCGGAGGATCATTGATGGCAAACAGGATGACAGGTAGCGGGGAAAGCTCATCAAAATTGGATGCCCCATTATCCAATCGATAAGCGTAGACACGAACCCATTAAACTAGTTGTCCAAGTGCCATTTGTCTTAAAATTACACATTGCGGGACCTCCAATAAGAATGAGGTCTGTATTTTGCAGGACCTTCCAAGTGTTCAAGTGGTAAAATGATAAAATTGAAATAAAATGAAATAAAATACCGAAACCAGCACATGACTGAAAGGGACCCAACAGGTGTAAGATGTGAAACTGATCTGTGCACCCTCGTGTTGGACTCCTGAAGTTTGAGTGACGTGCGCCATCCAGCGAACTGTGGAATGAACTGTGGGTTTCCTAGTACAATCAGGATTCAAGATTTGGTTTTCTTTTTTCTTTTCTTTTCATCTTATTATTTGATCTTTTCACCCTCTTAATCTACATATATCATTTGATTTCACGGTCGGCAAAGGCTTCCGTACATTAGTGACACTGACGATCCACATCTCGGGGAGGGGCCATGGCGATGATGGGCTTGAGTCCAGTGTCTGGAACATGTATCAGGCCCAAGGTTGTTGTTGATGATGATGATGATGATGATGATGATGGTTCTTACGACAGCTGTTGGAAAAAGAAGAAACAGGCACCAGTATTGAAGGGAAAAATAGCCCCAAAAAATGAGACAATCGGATCTGGTATGCAGCCCCCAACTCGGTGTCACATTTGATGCACCACACTCCTTGTCGCTGTAAGCGCCATGTTTGACCTCGAACGTGTGCCACGATGTGATCTGCTGGGATGAGGTCAGGGAAGTTTTGTCTAGGCCGCCGATCAGGGCGGGCTTTTGGGGGCTGGAATGACCCTAGATCATCCTCCCATGTTTCACGATGATCCAAAGAAAGAAAGCATCAGACAGCAGAAACGCATCGTGTCTCAGTGTGGGCAATCCTGATACGCCCAGCCCTGACTCCACTATGAACCTAGTTAATGGAGAGAACCAAAGAACCAAAGAACCAGAGAAGCAGAGAAGCAGAGTTACCAGACAGAATAGGCCGTAATCTGGGGCTGGAAAGTATCGGGTACCTGTATTCTCCCCTCTATGATTGATTAATACTAGTAATAATCATTAATCATTAATCATTAATTAAATAAAATAAAATAAAAATCCCAAACACCCCCTGGCACTATCATTTGTCTCGTTTCTGGGCCGTTTTGTTCCGTGCTAGGTGCATCATCCTGTCTAGTCTCTTTTTCTTCTTCTCTCTCTATCTCTCTCTGTCTCTTTTTTCTTTTTCCCCCTGCGATCTGTCACACTGCTTGCCGCCTAACCGCCGAACTCCTCCCCCTCCACCCCATCTCTCTCCCCTACCTCCCTACCACTCCTCCCCTCCCCCCAAAGTTGGACCAGAGAGCGTTGGTTTGGAATTTGACATACGTTAAATTCTCCAGCGACTCAGTCTAACAATACCCCGCCAAACTATAGCACCGCCGCCATCAGGTTCATTGATGCTCCTCTCTTAAAACTCCGGGGGTGCTTGGACGCCGATCGCTGCGCAGGGAAAAGACGAACCAAGGGAAAACAAACCCTCACTGAAAAAAATACGATCGAGGGAATAGATATACTTCCTTGGTGACAAGCAACAAAATATTACCCAAAAAAATAACAGCATTTCGCCAATCTGAGCTCATCCACACCTGTCACCATGTCGACGGCTGTTGCATCCGCGACTGCGGCGCCGTTATCCTCGCCGCATACCACCCGCGATCCCAGCCCCAAGAATTGCCCGACACTGGCCCCTCCTCCCCCTCCAGTGAATTCTTCTCCGCCGCGGGTGGCAGCTTCTCAAGATGCACCGCCCCAAGGAACCCCCGAGAACACACGCCCATCATCGCCGTAAGTTAGATGGTCTCCGACAAAAGAAACAAAAGAAACGAATGGTCCAGAATGCTAATCAGAGACAATTTTCGTATAGATCACAAGGTAGCGCAGGTCCGAAAATCACCGTGAAGAAGGAACCGGGCTCGCCGCCGCGCATGAGTCGCCCTCGTCCCCGCAAACTAGACCTCTCCACCAGTCTTCCTTCTTCAAGCGGCCTCTCCGTCCGACCACCAGGAGGCCCCATGACCGCTCGCGATGGTGTCAGTATGCAACATGTGGGCTTGGCTTGCTTGTCGCCAGGCTTTCAAACCCACGATCCAGTGATGAGAGAGCAACTCCAGCGTAGCCTCTCCGTTCGTGATCAGCAGCGCTCGATAATCGAGTCTCGATTGCAGAAGTCAGCCAAGGACGATGGACCCGACGGTATCAGGCCTTCTATAGCAGGATTTATGGGAATGCCGCCAAAGAGCAGCTCCAAGCGACGACCCCCACCAGGCCTTTCGATTGTTGCGCCTTCAGCATCACAATTCGCAAATGAACGTGTAATTCAGTCCGCCCCATTGCACCAGAGTTTTACTGGTCGACACCAACCCCAACCTTTGACCCGCCATGTCGTCAACCAGAGCCCGACTCTAGGTTCCACGTCTCACTTGCACCAGCTGCCGGCCACCCAGACCAACAACCGCCTTCCTCCTCTTTCTGATGTATTTGGGTCCGATGCGCTCGGTCCTCGGGATAGAGAGCCTGGCCACCAGAGCTTCTACGTGAATGCATCGAGCACCAACTCTTCACAGTCTAACTTGGCCCCTCTGCCTTCTCCAGGACTACCAGGCAACATGTCCGGAACACCAGGTCGCCCACGTGAATATCGATCTGCGGAAGAAGCAGTCCAAGAACTGTCTGGTGGTCGGGAAGAGCTACTGCCCCGGATTGTGCACTATGGAGGACACCAACCACCTACCCCGCCATCTCCACACACCATGCACACAGTCCCGAAGACTGCACCTCTGGTCAGCGAAGGGAGTTTCCCTGGTATCTCTTTAGCCCCTGTGATGCAGGCTGCCGATACTACTGCGCGTCGCCGCCCTCGCAGCGAATACGAAAATGACAATGGAAGCCCTCCATTAGGACATGGTCCAGATCCTCACTATCGGCCAAATCCCGCTACTATGCCTGGTCCCAATTCCACATTCCACGGACCCTTTGGTGCAGGCAGAGATTCTCCCGAGACTCAACGCAAGAAGAAGGATGAGTTCCTTGGTCTCTGTGCTCGGGCATGGGATCTTTTCCACTCCTAAGCAGATATTTCGCCTAGTCTGACTGCATTGGAGTTAGGCTATATACGTGACTTGTGCTTCTGTGAAGCCAATCAGCGAGTAAAGGCCTTATACTTTTTATAAAACGCTATAGGCGCCTGATTCTTTGACCTCTTAATGGAGCTCTCACTCTTTGACCTTTTGGAATTTTTGGAACCACCAGCCAGGTGTAAACCTTCCAAAAAGCAAAGCCAACCGAAAAACAGCAACAACATTCACTAGTCTTCCCTTGGAAGGCTTCATTCTTTGATTTGAATTTACGGCTAGTCTTGTGTGATCGAGACTGAGCCTTCATACCCTTTTACATATATGACACTGATGTTTATACCTATCTTTTATCAACGGTCCGACAGTGATGAGCCTGTGGCTCCTGGAAAACTCCGCACTTGGAAACGCATGCATTGTGATTTTATTGGCGTTATCCTTTGGGGCGTAATCTTCTTTTTGACTCACTATATACCTCTTTCTTTTTGGATGTCTTTTTTTCTTTGTTTTGTGGGGTTTAACATTTTGTGAATGGGTTCTCGATGCAAGTTTCGTCGCCAGCGAAATAATGCTGGCTTCGCCTAATACATATTGCTGCAATCTAATGACGTAGTATTCTGGATGTTTAAACCGACATGATTGTATTTTCAAAATGTTCCATACATACAAGAAATAATGCAAGTTTTGGGTATCTAAGCAAGTCGCCGACGCTTCATGTTGCCGCCATAACTCGGATAACTTGGAGGCTCGTCGTCGCCCATCCCACGGCGTTCCATAGGCATATCCTTTCGCTCCTTTGAAGCCATCTTCTTGCGCCGACGCTCCAGCGCCTTGGCCCGATCCTTGGATTTCATCCCTTCGTACTTCTTCTCCAGGACCTGCTTCTTCAGATCCGAATTCTTGAGGAAGTAAGGATTACTCTTCTTGCCCTCGCGAATCAACTGCTTCTCTCGCTTCTTATGTTCAGCAGCAACATCTCGTTCGCGTTTCTTGCTTTCCATAGCCTTCAACTTATCAGTAGCAGATCGAATCTGCTTCTTCAACTCCTCCTTCTGCTGCATGTTTTTCGTCCTGGCAAACTGCGCCTTAAGATCCTTCAACTCGGAGACTCGGTATTCGTCCAAGAAAGCATAGGCCTTGCTCGTTCCCTCTGAGAACCGCCCCACACCACTATGACCCATGACAGCAGCGTCAAATCGTGGGTCACGGGCCTTCGCAGTAGCCTCAGGTTCCACAACGATACGTTTTCTAGTGACGGCGCGCTTAGAAGATTGAACCATGGGCGCATGTTTGGATGCGCGCTTATCCTTGAGTTCTTGCTTTTCTCGCTTCTCTTTCGCTCCTAGACCTTTACTAGCAGCTTCTCTTTTCTGTTCGCGGGCCTCTCTGATACGGGCTCGGATGTCATCAAGCGGGGAGGCAGTCGAGGTAGTTTCGTTGGTCTCTTTAGATTTGTCCTTCCGCTTTTTGGAACCCATAGAGGCTTGCGCTTTGGCTAAAGCGCCGAATGAGATACCGCTTAGAGAAGATTGGAAATCATCTTTATCGGCGTCTTCTTGGTCATCGGAAAGTTCTTCGTCGTCGAGATCATCCTCTTGGGAACCCTCGGCGTCAGAGCCAGAGGCATCTTCGTTCTAAAAAAAGGATCATTAGTCAATTGGTTTGCGCTTTCGCTCGAATGATTAACAGTTTATATGCGTACATCTTGTGATTGATCGTCGGAATCATCATCTTCCGCGCCCTCACGTTGGATACCCCTTTCACTAACGTCGGAGCCTTCTGAATCAAAAGCCTCATCATCGGCAGGTCTCGCCTGCACACGGCGGTTCAATGTATCTGAAATACCCATTTTTCCGAAGTTGACTGGTTGGCTGGATCCTGTTACGACGAAGGCAAATGCAAATCGCAAAAAAAGAAAAGTACTGCCGCGACGGGCGGTGAACCTGATAACAGACTGATTAGATATTTTTTGTCATCTTGATCAAGATCCAATATCCAGCATACGCTCGAACATATTAGATGCCTGGCTTGTATAGCACTGGTATCCTACACATCTCTTCTATAAGGCCAAGTACTCGAAAATATCTGTGCAGGCCACAAAATCAGGTACGACTCAATTCTTGTAACCGGAGTCACGATCTCCGACGTTGGGTTTCGATCGAAGACACTGACTTTCGCTCCTTCTCAGTTAATTACTCCCTGTATTTCCTCTTCCGAGGCCAATTATTCTCCTCCGAAATCGCCAATACCTTTCAAACTGTCTTATCCAAGTAAAAAGCTCCGCCGTGTGTCCAACACCGGTAGGTTTCCAACTTTCACCGATTGGGCCCCGCGATATGCGACTCCTGCGCATAACATCCCCATAGCGAGTATTGAACCAATGGAGAATGGACAGAAAAGGCAGCTTTCTGGGGACGCCCTACCATATAATGGAATTCCATCTATAAATATATCACAAGGCGCGGATCCGAATGGAGGACAGCCCGCGCATAACAATAACGGAACGTACTATGGTGGTGCTACGTACGACCCGCAAAGATTCGACCCATACTACAATACTCAGCAGAGCTCTGCCATCCAAGGCTCATTACCGCACACCCAGAATCCATATTCATCAGGAAATCAACCATCGACAGCGTTCGGCGCATTCAACCTTCCATTGTGGAACCCAGCGGATGCGAATCTAAATAATTCTTCAACCGAAATACCCAGCATGCCTTTTATGAATCCGCAATTCTTCATGAACAATACACAGTCATTCCCCATGATGCCGTTCAACTCCATGTTCCCTTTCCCTGGCGCGCAGCCAATGAGTACATTAGCCGGAGCCTCGGGACAAACGCCAGATTTACTTGCACCAGACCCTCAAAGACAAAGATCGAAGACTCCCCCAATGACAATACCTACGGCGAGTGAAGCATACATGCATCGAGCCTTACAACCGCCACTAAGAACACCGAAACGGCCGTTATTAATCATTCTCGACTTAAACGGCACTCTGATCTTCAGAAAACATCGCAAGTTCCCACCGGTTTTCGCTGAACGCCACGGGCTAAGAGAATTTCTCGAAGAACTATGTAGAAAACATTCCGTCATGATCTGGACAAGCTCGAAACCTCAAACTCTCAACGCTATTGCTAAGACTCTATTCCCTACAACGAGCAAAAAGGAATCAAAGCTTGTCGCCTGTTGGGGCCGTGATAAGTTCGGTCTTACCCAAAGGCAATATAATGCGAAATTGCAGGTATACAAGGAGCTTAAAAAAGTGTGGGACACTCCTGAAATTCAGGAGGCATACCCAGGCAATGGGGGTAAATCGAAAGGAGGCACTGGTGGCAAATTTTCCAAGAAGCAGAAGCAGAAGCAGAACAAGAGGCAACCTTACTACCCTGAAGGTCAACGATGGGATCAAACGAATACCATCCTTATCGACGACAGCAAGATCAAAGCTCTCAGTGAGCCTTACAATATCCTTGAAATTCCAGAGTTTACCAACAACCCTAATGTTGATGAAACAATGCTTTTTCGAAGAGTTCTGGATAGACTCGATGCACTGTCTCATCATGACGATGTCAGTAAGGTATTCCGAGTATGGGAGGAGCGCCAGACAACGCAAAATTGCAAAGTCTTAGATCTAGATATCAATTCAGAGATGCCAGAAGGCCTGGAAGATGACATTGATGTATCGGAAGACGGTGGAGCTAAGCTTCCGTCTACATCCACAAACCTCGCTCAAGGCGAGGCATCTGGTGCTTCACAGAAAGGTCAGCCCCAATTTCGCAGCGATGCAGAAAAGAAAGCCGCCAAGAAAGCCAAAAAGGCAGAAAAGAAGGCAAATAAGAGAGAAAAGAAGGCCCTGGAAGACGCCGCCAAAGCCAACGCCGGATCAATACCGCAGGGCTCTGCTCCAGCAGTCGCTCCCACGGCTTCCATCGGTGGTACACCCGACGCTCTACCGTCTGCATCTGCAGCTACAGCAGTCGCGCAGTCATCCAATCCTCCATCTCAAGCATTGCCCAAACTAAGCCGCAACGAGGCCCGTAAAGCGGCTAAACAGCGCAAGAAGGCAGAACGCGAGCAGATGAAACAGCAAGAGATATTGAAAGAGCTCGATCCGAACGTATCCACGACGCTCGATAACCCGGAAGCACCACGATACAGCGTCAGATCTAAAGGACTAATTCCATCTGTTTCCGATCCAGTGCCAGTGGATGCAACAAGCCTTGGCGACCCTTCTACTGCTGCTGCGGCTGCTATGGACCCTCTGAATGTATCATCTTCAAGTGTCGCTGTTACGAATCCAGATTTCTCTAACGCTTTACATTCAGCCGAACAATCACCAGGCTTCCAATTCAATCCTCGTCAACGGTCGTTTTCCCCGGCTAGATCTGATGTATCGAGAAATTCGATGCTAGATCGTTTGGAGGAGGGACTTGGGCTTAAGAAGTGATTTCTCTCTTGGTTCGAAGCCCCAACATCATGGTGCAATAACTGGCATGATTTGGGGTATTGCCAATTGCGTGAAATGTCTTGTTTGTCCTGAAGTTGAACTGACTGGTTGACGTTAACCAGTCGTGGCTATTTTTGTATGTTTTGTGAATATTGCATATTTTAGAATTACATCAACATATCTTCCTATTATGTATGCATGCGCATGATTTCGTAGTTGATGCAGTATTGATGCATGTTATCTCTGTATGATTTAACATAGAAGCAACGTCCAAGGCACCATGGGGTCATATAATTAGTACGAGTGCAGTAAGAGGGAATGTATTGAAAAGGTGAATATTCATGAAAGATTGTTAAATTTCTTCAACTGAACTAGATGTTACGTGCTACAACTTTTGGTCTTCATAGTAGGTATGTCCCAGATCTTCAATGGATGTATGCCACCTCAGCCGAAGCTGTTGGACACAAATCTAGTACTCACTGGTCAAAGAGAAAAAATCCTCCACTCAATATAAGCACTTCTTCGGCACAACCACAACCATGAAAGGGTTGGATCGCAATTTGACATCCGTGCTAACTGTGTACTCTACGAAGCATCTACACGTGAAGGTAGAACAAGGGTAGGGAAAGGGAAACATGCAAACAAATTCATCAACACCGCAAGCAGTGTCGAAACAATTTATTTAATTGCTAGACAGTAACTAGCAGCGACGAAGCATTTCTGATCTAGAAAGCAAGTCGATCATCTCGCATCACAACGTATCATAACCATGAACATAAACCACATCGGCGCGTAACTTGTAAAAGATTTTGAATCCCTCCACGCCACATCAATTTAAACATGGAGGGATGTAAAAGGGGGGGGAGTAATGGGTGAGAAGGGAAGAGAAGCGGATGGACATGCTGTGGAAGGCCAGATCTCACATTCTCAGGGGTATTTCGGGGGTGGCCAAAGATAAAGGGAAAAGGGGAGCGAGCCGCTTATTTGAAGACGTGGCCGTCAACCATCTCGAGGGTCTTGCCATCGACGGTGACGGGGGCCTCCCAGGACCAGATGTCCTCAACGTACTTGCGGTCAGCCTCGGAGGTGTGGTCGAGCTTCTTGAATTCGTAGCTCTCCCAGTCGGGGCCGACGCTGAAAGCAGGGGCAGCCTCCTGGCCACGGACAAGGAAGACACCACGGATGACACAGGCGTAGTTGGCACCGAAGACACCCTGGCAACCGAAGAGGTACTTGCGGGAAGCCTCAAGACGGGCGTGGAAGCCACCAATCAGGTTGTTGGCCATGAAGGTGAGCTTCAGCTCACTGTCGTACTTGTAGTCGACGGTCCAGAGGGAGTACTCCTCTGGCTTGTAGTTCTGCCAGAACCAAGGCATGAAAACGGTACGGACATCGTTGTTGGAGTACTCACGCTTCACGTCATCGGTGATGAGAGTAGGACGGCCAAGAGCCTCGAGAGGGTGCTTGGGCTTGGGGGCGGCCTCAGCGGGCTTCTCCTCGGCAGCGGGGGCAGCGGGCTTGGGCTTGGGCTTCTCCTCCTTCTTAGGAGCGGTGTACTTGATGCACTCATCGGCGAACTTGGCCTGGTGGACGGCCTTGAAGGAGTCCTGGTTCACGACGGTGGTGAACCAACGGGTGAGAGCAGGGGAGCTGCTGCGGTACTCCTTGTCAAGAACGGTAGCGAAAGCACGGGTCAGGAGAGAGGCAGCGAAGATATCAGCAAGAGTGATACGCTCGCCAACGAGGTAGGTGTTCTCAGTGAGGTGCTTCTCGAGAACATCCAGGTTGGCCTTGACAGCCTTGACGGTCTCATCGACAGTCTTCTTGTTGTAGGGGTCGAGACCCATAAGAGGGCGGTACCAGCCGGCCAGGCGGCTGATGACGTCGCTGTTGAGGTAAGACATCCAGCGGACAATGGAAGCATAGTCCTGCTTGGTCTTGCCCAGAAGGGTGGTCTTCTCGTTCTGGGAGGTCACTACAAAACCAAACCATGTTAGTCAAGGTCTTGATAGATAGATCGACAATAGATCAAGCAATTTGAAAGCACCAATGTGAAAATGTGATCGGGGCATAAGAAAAGGGGGAATCCAAGATCCATGAAAAAGTTTTTCCCCTAAAGTGGGGTACAAGTTTCATGTTTTGATCGAGGTTTTCAGAGTTTGTTTTTATCAACACTGTTGTTCTGACAGGGATAACTAATTGATATATCTCATCATAAAAGGCAGAGGGGGCTAAGGGGACTGAGCCGAATTGAAGAAAAATGTTCCGAATCGGTCCTCGTGATTCAATCCAAAACGTAAAGGAACCGAAAGAAAATTGTGAACACGTACCATAGATGGCGATGGCAATGGCCTCAGACAGGTTGAAGCCGTTGGCACCCTCGAAAGCAGGGATCTTGCCAAGGGGCTGGATCTTGCGGTACTCAGCGCTGGTGTTGGCAGCGGCATTGGGCTGAGTCTGAACCAACTCCAGGTCCAGGTCGTTGTGCTTGGCAGCGACCAGGATGGAGAGGGTACGACCGTTCTCCTGTCAAACGAAAAGAAAAGGTTAGAATGATGGTGATGCAAAGTATATGAAGCTAATAGACACGTACAGCGAGACCGTAAAGCTTTCCGAAGGCCATTTTGTAAGGAAAAGGGGGGTTAAAGAAAGGATGAAAGGGAGAAGAAGGAAAGGAGAGAAGGAAGTGGAGGGGCAGGTTGAAATTTTGTGCGGCAATAGCGCGGCGCCGGGAATTCGGACTAACTCGCCTCCGATATTGGTCACATGACATGTGGAAAAACACTGGAGCGATAATTCAACACCCGAATCGACTCCATTAGTCGGCAGAGCTGGTCCCTGGCAAATACATCCACCATGGCCCGCCACGCACCCAATGGCATTGTGCAAGCAATGCAGTCACTGCGACTGAGTAATTCAACACACTCAGGGTCAAAAATCCCAACTCTTAGCCGCGCAGTCCGCAATTATGCGACAGAGGCCAAGACCAACCCGGAGACCGACACCTCCGTAAAAGCCGCACCCCAAATCGACTTCGAGAGGTTCAAACTCGCTCCCGCTCGAATGGTTCCCGCATCCCCTTCCTACTTCTCCGGTAACCCACGCTTCATCGATCATGTCCTCCGTCTTGAGTCAATGCAAGCCAAATACGCAAATCTACCCATAGTCGAAGCTGCCCAAGCCCCGCGCATGGCCTGGCTGAAGCTAGCACAATTCCGTGACTTCGTGGGTGAAGTCGTCCCAGTCAAGAAATACAGGAGTCTTCTCAAGATCCTGCAACAGATGAACCGAATCGTACCCGAGATGGTGCCGAACGAGGTGCGACAGACGCTGGCGTCCTTCCTGCGTCCCGGTAACCCCTACTCCAAGGAAGCTACACCGCGACAAGTGGACGATATGGGACGTGCCCGCGCAAAGGGCAAGCGTAAGGAGTCCACTGCTGTTGTGCAGCTGGTTGAGGGTGAAGGCGAGGTCCTGGTCAATGGCAAGTCTTTGGTGGAGGTTTTCCAGCGTTTGCATGATCGGGAGAGTGCTCTGTGGCCATTACGATGCACCGAGCGTCTTGATAAGTATAATGTTTGGGCGACAGTTCATGGTGGTGGTGTGACTGGACAAGCAGAAGCTATTACTTTGGCAATTGCCAGAGCGTTGTTAATTCACGAGCCGGGCTTGAAGCCTTCATTGCGGAGAGGTACGTTTTCCGTAATATTTTTACTCGAGCATTGGGCATTCACTAATTCATATATAGCTGGTGTCATCACTGTCGATGCTCGTCGTGTGGAGAGGAAGAAGGCCGGTCATGTTAAGGCTCGTAAGATGCCAACCTGGGTCAAGCGTTGAAAAGTGCACATGTGGAATTTGGTGCCAAGCGATGCTTCTCTTTTTCTTTTATCTACCATGTATTATTTCCATCTGCCTTAGCAGCCTGAGTCGGCATTTCTGTTTTATTATATATATCCTGTACTCCAATGCATATGGGCCTTCATCAGTGATACTCGCAGGACGCGTAACCTTAAATCTCGACGGATTAGTAGTACCTGGTCGGCTACTAGCCTGTGTTGGAATTCTTGAGATGGATATATAGTATGCTATATAGGTAGTATATTTGCAATTGCACGGTAGTACTACTGTGGAAAGTTGAAATCGTCTGGAAAACCCATGAATATATTGATCGCCTTGGGGGCAGTGATCATGATCGCCCGATCATCACATATGAAATATTCAACCAGGGGCTTACCACAACTTGAAGGACGAGGCTCAAGGCCTTAGGGACTATGGCAGGTGGCACCTCCAGGGCTGCCTGATGGATAGATAAGCTCTAGTTCGCTTTAGTTAAAAGTGCGGTTCTCCCGAGGTCTTAAACTGCAGCCTTGATATAGTAAGACTCGGAGGTACTATATCCATGGATCATAACTTCCTCGGGATAGTATGTACTATAGTAGTATGTAGTACTACTAGTAGTTGTATACTATATATTCAGAATGGGATTGAACATTTTCAAGTATCTAATGACAGTGGAACCATGGCACTATCCATGCAATACTATCAACTCAAAAATTCAACTACATTTAACTATGAAGACTAATACCGATCAAGTGCTAGAGCCAGTGGCTTTGGTTTTTTATTGGTGCTCAGTGCCTCACATCTATATTATGATGTAAATCAACACCACATGCCTACTAGTAAACCCGCCCTGGAAGAGAACAATCACCAAATAAATCGTGCGGATAAGAGAACATAATAAATTGAGAAACCTGGGATATCATGGTACCCTAGTAGAGAGCCCTGGTAGAAATCGACTTTTGGATATATACGACTTGTAAAGAGCGAAACACACAAAAAGAAAGCTCCATCATATGTAGCATAGATCATTTTATCACGCGTCACGTCACATTTTGGTGTCCCGAGAAGGCTAGACGAACCGAACTGGAGCCAAGTAGGTGGGTAAGAAATATAGGTAAAAAAAAAAGAGGAAACATAGGAGGGGGAGATATGGAAAGAGACGGGACGGCGCGGGTAGAGTGATTGAGAGGTGGAGGAGTTAGATGTGGAGAGTACGGACAGTTTGGAGTCGAGTATAGAGGATCAAGGATCGAGGTATGAAATGATCAACTTGATCACATGGATCTGACCCCGGTCCCTGGGATTGGGGTCAAACGCAAAGCCCATGAAGCGATGTCAAATACGGACTAAAGATCCTTTTGGTAAGAAGGAAGGACTAAAGCAAAGGGAAAAAAAGAACAAACAATTAGGTCGGAACCTCTTGGCGATCAGAAAGATAAACCAATCGAGGCCGGCGCCATGGGTAGGCTATTGCTCACTAGCGCCACGCCAACCACCCGTCCCGATGTGATCACAGCACGGACACGGAACACTTGCGATTAGAACCTTGGGTAGAGCTTTAGATGACGCCGATTGAGAGACTCGGAGTTGATATCTGGGGAGGAAACGGGAGAAGAAACGATACATATATATGATGGATATATGTAGAGTTAGGGTTTTCAAGGTTGTGGGGCTGCAGTCGCCGGTTCAGGTACCGCTTGCATATGGTGGAGTTCGGGTTTGCTTTCCATTAGATCGAGACATTGACCCAGCACTATAAAACTTGCATTAATGCTGGTGCTTTTTTTTTTTTTTTTTTTTTGTTTTTTGCTTTAGATGATTTGGAAGCATTCAAAAAAAGGGAAAAGTGATACATCTCAACTTACCACAAAGGATCTCCTCTTCCCAAATCCCCATCTGGTAATCCACAAGGCCGTACTGCTCTAATTGATCACAAAGTTGAATTAGATCCCTTCCCATTCCTTCCATGCGTTGCTGTGGGATGATTTGTGCAGGAGCGTGCCCTATCACAATATAATCCTGAGTTAAATCCTTCTGTTTTTGACAAAGGGCGAGCCAGCAGATATTAAATTCTCGCCAAAGATTCAAGCGATCAGGATAAGATAGATGGTCGTCGCGTAGAATTCCTATTTATCATAAAAAGTCAATTAGGTTTTGTTCTTCTCCTTTTTTTCTTTTTTATCACACAACAGAATGTCAGATGATGCTGGCATGACGCGCGCCTGCAGACAAAAAGTGAAAAAAAAGTCGTAGAGGGTTGACATGAAAAATAATAAACGAATAAGATCGAAGGGATCACAGAGACAAGGGAAAAAAAGTTAAGGGTCCAGTCCATAGTATGATCCGGTGCGACGGTCCTTTTTTTTTCTTCTTTTTTTTCTGGTTCCAGCCAAACAGAATCAATGGCCAACGAACCTTCGTCTTACCACTTGCAGGGAATATAAACCGAAATCCACAAATATAAATAAAAAACACGAAAAAAACACGAAAAAAGAAGACTGGGATAAATGAAAAAAAGCAAATCATCCCCCAAAGTATGCAAGATATCGAATCGCAAATTGAAATTCAAATCAAAACATGAAATAAGATGAACCTACCAAGATCCCGTGCGTGCGTCACAAGCCACTCGGAAATTTCCAACAATAATCGACTGGCTTCCACCAATCGTCCCGCACGGACGTGGTCAAAGGTGATGCGCATTGATCGCTGATAGTAAGAGTAAGCCTCCTCGAGGGAAGGAGGATCCGACGGAGGCAGCCGAGGTGGATCAGGCTGATGCTGGGGAGGCTGCGAATCCAATCGGCTCGAGGATGCGGTGCCGATCGAAGTGAAATCTGTCATAGTAGGGGGAAAGGTTTGCGTAGTGTTCGGGCGCGCGATGGGGCCGGGTTGATTATATGGCATTTGCGGATTGAGATAAGTTGAGAGCGCTGGGACCCCCGTCACTGACGGCTGCTCTTCCGGGGTGAAATACCGTGGAACGGCAAATGGATTCGACAGGGCTTCAATCGCTGCAGACTGCCGTGTCGGGTACTGTGGAACAACGTCGAAGGGTCCTTGTGCTGGACCCTGCTGACCGAAGCCGTACAGCATTGCCGACTCGTACGGCACGAACGGCGACGGATCCTGCGCCACCCGTCGCCGTGGTTGCTGCATGGTTTGCTGAATAGGATGCTGCTGGTGTTGGGAAGCATCTTGATGTTGATGTTGATGCGGGTGCGGATATTGATGGGGATTTGCATGCTGAATTCCCTGTGAGGCTGTCTGTCGTTGGCGGGCAAACTCTGTTGGGTCAGGCACATCGATGGGATGTAGCGAACCGCCATTAAAGGAGCTACCTGTATATCCGTAGTCGTAGGACATCTGAGACCGGTCCGGTGCCTGTGACATCCCCGTTGGGTCTCCACGTGGGTTCATGGCCGAGTCGAAATGATCGATGCCACGGCCACCGGTCGTACCATTCCTAGATCGTGCCATCAACCGCTCATGATGCTTCATGCGTTGGTCGCCATCCATGAGACTGTCCCACGCGGACCTGCGTAGATCGAGATTGGTCCAACGTTTGGGGGATAACGGTGGACTTGCGTAGGATGCCAGCTTGAACAGAAACCAAGCAAGAACAGAGAAATAAGAATGTATCGTTTGGGGGATAACCCTGGCTTGATTTTGATTTTTTCTCTGGTTTTGATTTTTCTTTTCTTGTGTTCTGTTGGATGTTGTTTATTTGGGTCTTCTTGATACTCTTGTTATGCTTTGCAACGCTGTGCACCGGTATGATCCTATATGGATCGGTGGTGGGCTAACGTAAACTGTTCAGCTGTGCCGGGCTATCGAAGGTCACCAATAACCAGGGTCGACAGGATGTACATATAGTCGTGCAAGAGGCTCCACGTAATCTAGACTTTAATCGAACGAAAGCCCGAGCCAGACTCCCAAGAATGGAAGAAGTGAGGAAAGAGAGAAAAAAAGAAAAAAAAATGTTCCCAATCCCCAACTCCCAGAATGTGTGTAGTTGGAATATGATGAATCTGATGGACCAGTGAGCAGGATTCCCAAGAAGCGAAGCAGCAAATAAAATGAGATAATCCAAATAGAAACTTAGATTTATTGACCAGAGAATCAAGAAAAGGATGACGCTAGAAAAGGAACAGCTGAACATACCAGTCAGACCTCAAGAACAAAAGCACGATGTCCTCATCGGGCTCGTGTCATGGTGGATCTTTCTTGGGTAGAGAAGGGGCATAGTATTTGAGACTATCTACGTATAAGAGCGCTAGAGCCCGCCGATCGGTGTGATCTACGCCTAAACTCGTTTCGGGCCTGTACTGCTGCGATCGCCCGGGAACCCGGTAGGCTGGTTCCTGGTGGGTTCCCGAAAGCTAGGGATAAGATGGGGTTCAAGAAGGGGAGAGGGGGGGAAGAGGAACCGGCAGGAAAAAGGGAGGGGAATTAAAAAAAAAAAAATATTCAAATATAATTTGATTTAATATTATCAGAATATATTAAAATACAGAGATCATCACCGAAAATAATAGTAATAATAATAATCTCCCTAATCCAATAATATCCCCAGTCATCTCCAGTCTCAGCTTCGGGTTTTAAGGTCAGGTGCGAAGTTGGATTGTCAGGATGATTTTGTATGTTGTATTTTGTATTTTGTAGTTTCTTTTTTCGGATTATTTGATCAATTGTATTTCTAATTTACGGAGGGACCCAGCCATTATCATTATCTGGGTTCTTGGTTGTTTTGATTGTGTAACTCTTATGCTTGGGGCTGACGATCCATGAAGCCGTGGCGGTGCCCTATGACAACAAACACACATCCCCTTGCTCGCTACCTCCAAGAGGACCAGCAGGGAATAGGGGGGAAATAAATAAAAATAAAAATAAAAATGAAGAATAAAAATTTAATTTAATTTAAGAAAAAAGCAAATCTATACGTCAAGTCAAAAAGGAACTGTCAGGTCTGCATCGTGACCCAGTAGCCTGGGAGTAGGAATCTGCAGTTCATACTATCCGCTTCATACTTTGAAGCCGAATAAACAGATAAAACCATAATCAAACAACCCCATGACATCTTGCCTTATAGAGACATACACCCTCGATCACAATGACAAATACCCAAACATGGCCATGTTAAAGTGATTAAAAAGTTTTACACAAAAAGGGGGTTTCCTCCCAAAGGGCATAAGGGCGGGTGGTACATTCCGAGGCGCTCGATTGCCCGGACAGCTGCTGGGTGCTTGCCCCCCCTTTCTCACCGAGGACTTTTGATTCCCTCGAACAGAAGAAGTACGCAATCAAGGGAAACAAATATTGGAATGCATTAAGGAGCAAAAAGGAAAAGGAAAAAAGAAACCCAAATACACTAACATAGAAAGATTCTTTTTCCTTCTTCCTCTCCTAAAATATTAAATTGATCGACAGAATACAAATAGAAATACAAATACAAATACCCAAAATCTATTAATCCGAGACATGCAAGTCCCATTGTCTGCCCGATTGCCGATCTGCAGCCCCAGGAACTGGATCTGTCAAAATCCAAAAATTCCCACTCGGCCGTCGATCAGTGTCATTGCGCCTCCAACCGGATCCGACGTTCTGGTTGGGATGGGGACATGTCGAGCTTTGGGTCGAGGGTTTCACCAACTATTTTACAATCTCCGTACATCTGTACTTTTGCTTGGGGTTGGAAGAGGTTGAAATGATAATGAAAATAGCCACACCGTACATGTCCAGTCATAGATTAATATTCAGAGCAAATATAAGGGAGAGCCCAATTTAATCCTGGAATGACCTGCAGCTCAATAATAGGCGAATATATAAGCAGAAATACCTATATATCAAGATAATATACTAGTACATATGTAATACTATCGGCGTACTTTGTACTCCCGAAACTCGTGGACCCGCCTGGCATCGACAGCCCTGTCAACCCAACCTATTACCTACTACTAGCATTTAATACATACTACATATACCTATCTATGCACACATAGTACTATATGAATAGCGGTCCCGACCTGTACTTCAATAAGCATCAGTTTAGGTCTCCGGTTAGGCAATAGCTACTAATTTGGATGTATCAATGTACACCTTCGAACAATGACATATTGTGAAGTACTAAACTGGTCGCACCAGGTAATGCAACTTGCGTCGGGACTCGGCCTGATATGGTGGGATGTATACCGCTTCTGACCAGGAGCCCGGTGGCCGGGCCAGCAGTTGCACCGTGAAAGCTGAAAAACTTGAAGCCTCTTCATCTTAGTCCTTCCACCTAACTGACATAGTATCTTAACTTGAAGTATGTCGATATACTTTCCCGAATAATACCCACTTGGGCCAAGTAGCTATACTTGGCCTTTAGGTACCTTATCTAGTGACCCTGGTCGAGGATGAAACAGGATTCATCTCTCGATGCATACATACCTCCGATGCGTCATCGGAGTAATCATAACATACATTAACCGGTGTTTAGGTAGAAATTCATTACAACCTTTCGTGACAACTCTGTCAGCTGACAAGTTGCCAATTATAGCATTGCCGCTCGTTGGGGATGGATCTCTTGAGTTTATTTTTAGTTTAATTTTTACTTTTATTTGAATTTTTGAAATCAGATCCAAAAGATAAAACGAATGTAAGAATGAAAGTAGAAATAATAAAAAAATAAAGTGCCCCGCTCGGGGAGATAACTTGGAGAGTGGGGGTGGAAGAGACAAGGCGAATCGGTGCTACTGTCTTCCCAAGGGGTCTTGTACTAGCAAGAGAATTGCGATTACAACTGCGCTTCTTCTGAGGTGTTGTGGACCACGTTGCAGTCCGGACGGAAAGAGGTTGGTCCGAGGAGTTCGCGGAGGAGGCTGAGATCTGACTCGGGGTTTGGGAGGTGTATCAGATGGGGCACAAGACACATGGGCGTTGATTGGTTTCGAACGTTTCATATTTCATAGGGGAGCAAGGTTTTATCTCCCCGTCCAAAGTCCCACGACCTGTTTTTTTCTTTTTCTTTATTTTTTCTTTGCCCCCAAACATTTTCGGAGAGCAAACCACTAAACTACATAAATGCACGTCGCTGGTCATAGAGTCATGTCATAATCGTGTGATCCACTTCCTTCCAAAATGAAGTATATTCCAAGGCCGAGGCGGAGTGGCGCAGTTTGAAACAAAAACTGAAAATGGTAGAAACGTATGGTGAGTAGATAAGAGGCGACAACATACAGGTACCGAGAAGGTACTCGTTATATTTGATCTGCATGGCATGTCAGCACCCAATCTGTCCAGCTCGTAAAACTCGCACAAGTACAGGAAGATAAACCTACTCAGAGTCATGCTCAGGTTGACATCGGTACTATCTACCATGTCCATAAACTCCTCGAAGCTGATGCGTCCATCGCCATCCTTATCGGCCTCCATGATGGTCTTATCAACGATTTGTTGCAGTTGGATATCCTTCAGGTTATTTCCCACCATCATCTTCAGCACAATAAACAGCTCTCCGTTGGAAATGTAGCCATCACGATCGATATCGTAGACCTTGAATGCAAAGCGCAGTTTCTCCTCCTTGTTGCCCTTGGAGCTAAATGCCGAGAGACCAGTGACGAACTCTTGGAAGTCGACATCACCACCACCGTCTTCATCGAAGATCGCAATCATTCTAAATTGTGTGACAGCCTTGAGTCAACCAAACATGTATTTCATGGCGGGATATGAGATTTGACGCCGACGCGATGGAACGAACCTTGTAGCTAAGGGGTTGGAGGAGACTTGAGGAAGGGAGAGGAATTCGTCGCGGTCAATAGTGCCGGAAGCATCCTGTTAATTGCTAAAAGTCAGCGAAAGATATCATCAAAGCTTTTGTGAAGTAGGTCGCACCTTATCAAGCTTCATAAATCGCTTTCGTAGGCGGTCGACTTCATCACGGTTGACTGTTTTTCTCCGATGTCAGCCCACGCTAGTGGAGAGTTTCCGACCGGGAAGACTAAGCATGAACACACAGTTGGAAGTAGAGACGATGTTATCAAACAGCTGAGAGGTCCCTACGGAACCACGTCGGCGTTGCACGTTGTGCATGGCGGCAGCGTTGGGTTTAGACGGCGACTCCATTATGAGGTAAGCGGGAAGCGGGAAGGGAGAGGTGGATGAGGGGGGAAGGTAAGTGTAGATTTAAATGTGGGGAAAAGGAACAGAAGAAGTGAAGATTTCGAGATCAGGTGATATGGCGAGCACGGCAGGAACGGTCGACGACCTAAAAGATATGGGGAAAGCAGGGGGTTCCAAAGGGAAGGCGCGATGGGGGCAGATGAATCTGATAATGCCCAGCCCCGCACTAACCCGAATCGGACCACCAAGCGAGCCCCTGAGCCCGTGCGCCCGCCCAAAACAGCCCATCACCGGGTGACATTGCAACGTCAACCCAACCGCCTGCCCCAAAGCCGCCTGTTTTCTGCCGTCAATACATCCCCCTTCCCATCCATTTTTTATCTCGAAAATACGACTACAACAAGGCGCATGACCTGAGCTTTACACTGACACCAATTTTATTACGAACCCCCCCATGGTCGTTGCTGTTTTGCCCGCTCCGACGCTATGACTCGGTACGGGGGCCTGGGCCGGACGCGCCCTAAAAAGCTCACGTCTAAGGCCTCCATTCCCATCGTTCGTGAGGAGGATATCGATGCTTTAGAAGAAGATATCCAAAATCTCCAGCAGATCGAAACTGGTGTCGAAAAGGCCGAGGAGTCGGTGAGTCATCACCCCCCCTTCTTATCACGCCCTAGCCACACTTTTAGCCTCATCCCTGAATATCACGTGATATCATCGCCAAAGCGACACGAAATTTTCACGAGACTGACCACCTCACGCGTATCATAGGAATTCCACTTGCAAGTTGCCATAAACCTCACCGCACAGGGCAAAGTCAACGATGCGCATATTCCCACCCCCGAAACCATCCTCAGTAGCCTGCGCTATGATGAGCTGTACCCTCCACTCTTTTCGCAACCCGCGACGTATATCCGCTCCTCGGCCACCGTCGAGGACTGCTGTGGATGCACTTACAACATGACTGAGGAGGACGCTGTCTTCCTCAAAATTTACAACCAGAAGCGCGACCCATCAGCGCAATGCTCCGAGGATAATTTCGAGGCGACAATGAATTTCTTTGAGGAGACGGCACAAGCCAAGCAACCATTTGCGGCCGTAGATAGCCCGCCAGTCCTGAGCTTCACAGAAATGGAGCAGGCCATGGATGCTGCCGTAGAGGAAGCTGTGAAGCACTTTGCCAAAGACATTTACCCCCACTGGAAATCGCGTCGGTCCGTGGAGAACAATAATTCTCTGGAGCCGAGCCTCAAGGTGAGTTTCGCATAGCTTCCGAGTCATAGGCAAACGTAAACCGTGCTGACTGTATCCCTTTTAGTTTGAAACTGGCCAGGACACTGACGATAGCGATCCTTATGTTTGTTTCCGACGACGTGAAGTGCGTCAGATTCGTAAGACCCGTGGTCGTGACGCGCAAAGTGCTGAGAAGCTGCGCCGACTGCGTAAGGAGCTTGAGGATGCTCGACAAATGGTCGCATTGGTACGGCAACGCGAAGTGGCCCGTAAGGAGATGTTGACAATGGAGCGAACGATCTTCTTGCAGCGCTCCGAGGTCAAGGACATGAAGCGCAAGTTGAACATCAAGGACGACGACGAGGATCTGATCAACCAAAAGGTAAGCATTGCTCCAGACACTCGGAGACATGTAAATGCTGACCCTTCACAGCCCAAGAAGAAGCCAATGGAGATCCCACCCGGACAACGTCCCAATGCGCCTCAGCTCCGGATGCCTCTCAAGGGGGGCCTTCAGGGCGCAGAAGATTTGCAATTGCTGGAAGATGTCCAAGCGGAGAAGGAGAACGAGATCTTGCGGGATATCAAAGCAAATATCACCAAGCATATCAAGTGGAACGAGGGTTATGTCGATCATACTCGCGCGCCACTTTCTCCCTCTCCCGAAAGGACATTCGATGCGACTGCCTTTCGCCCTGCCTTTACCGCACAATTACCAACCCCACCATCATCAGAGTCGTCTGGCGATATGATGGACACATCATTAGATATAACTAGCCCCCTCTTCTCTCGAGATAAGATTGCCTCCCGAGCCATGGAGATGCACGAGGAGCCACATCGAATGCCGTCATTCCGCAGACGTGTCGGACGAGGTGGTCGGTTGATGATTGATCGTCGTAACTTCGCGGCGCGCTGTAAAATTGATATGGATCCTTTCAAGGCCGATCGATTTAAGTTCGATCAAGAAGATTCTGATGAAGAATCCGTCTTCGAAACAGATGGGTTCAGCATTCAAATCATGCAGCACCGTGCCATTACCATGGCGAAGGCGCGCGAACAAGCCGCTGTGGCTGCCCAAGCTCATGCGCAGGCGCAAGCTCAAGCAGCCCAGGTTCAGGCCCAACGACGATTGCAAAATGAACAACCTGGGAACCAGGCACCACCCCCTGCACCCAGCGCAGTACCTGCATCGTCAGAAGCTTGAACAACCAACCCTCTTGTCATTTTTGTTTCCAGCATTTGGCGGGCGTTTCGTGTTACTCTTTTCCCCCTCCATCCTTTCGTCCCCACCTCTTGACTTCTTCCAACCTTGTAGTTTTAGTACCATTTTTCATGTTTTCACGATTCTGTTGGCGGCGAAAGGATTTGATGGAGTCCTGCCTTATCTTTCCTGCTTTCCCGTAACGCACCCTCCTCCACCTTTCCTGTTTCTCATACCTCTTTTTCCCATTTCTCTCGACGCAGGCTTCGATGTCGATTTGCGGGGTCCTTTATGATACCAAGCCATAATAGGTGGGTATCTGCATTTGTTAATGTACATAGTATTTTTCTTTTCTGTTGAAACCCTGGAGGATCGTGCGCGGCCAAGGCCGGCCGGCCTGTTTTTGTATGATGGACGATTCGAAGTTATGATGCCTGCATTTCTGGGAAAGGGAAGAAGGCCGAAAAAAAGAAGAAAAGACAATTCGAAAATCTAACACAATATAATATTTCGCGGAAAAAGAACTTTTGTCGCCATTTGCTTTTGTAAGGTATCGAGTCGAGGGTTGATGCTTCGCCGCGATTCTCATTGAATTAGTAGATGCAAGCCAGTGTGGCCATTGAATCATACACGCGCCGATTTGCTCTGTCGGGAGTCATGGTCATCCCCATTGGCAGACCGCTTCAGGGATCCATTGGCAACTAGGGGCTCAAGCATTGCTTGGACATCACGTAGAACTTCTTTTTCACCGAGGCGTACCTGCAAAGCCATCTTTTGGCGTCGGGCAGAGCCCTCCAGTGCTTGCGGAGCATTTGGTGGAAGAAGACCAGTAAGAAGATTGATATCCTCGTTGAGCGAAGTACCATACTGCGCTTGCTTAGACTGTAAAGTCTTGTAGAGAACACCCGCTTGATTGGCATCCATTGCCGGCTTGGATGGTTTGTTCTTCGAACGACGCTGCTCAAACTCTTCAGGTGATTGTGTGAGTGTTGTGAGCAAAACAACTAGCTCGGCCGGAAGAATAGTTTCAAGGGTAACGTTGGCAGTTGGTCGAGGAATCACGTAGCCGTCATCCAGAAGATCATTTTCTTCGAGCAGTTGGAGCTATTTAAGTAATTAGCTTTTCTATTACTTTCCAATGCTGCGAGGATCATGCCACATATGCATGTGGTACATCGCGTGACCTACTCTGGGTTGGGACTCGATGTCGTTGTTTGAAAGGCCAGCTGACTGGCAGATGTCCTTCAAGGACAGCTCAACAACATCGTACACACCGTAGTTGTCGGTTACATAGCCGTAGCGGCGAAGCAGATCAGCACGAGGGATTTCACCATAGTCGTTAAAGATCTCTTCGCCTTCTTGAATTGGCTTGATAGCTTTCATAACCAAGGATTCCTCTTCTTGAAATAGACGTGCCTTGAAAAGGGGTTAGTTTGAATGTGTTGAATATGAATGGATATCTTGATGCTTACGTTGTTCCTGTCTGCATCCGCATTGAGTAGATCAGCGAGGGGAACCATGCCCTTAGAAGTCTGCTCATCCTCGTCATCCGTCATGTAGCTTTCATTGTCATCATCGCCTTCCCCATCATCATCATCATCTTCGCCCTTTTCGATGTCAAAGGCATAGGCCATAATCAAGGACCCCATAGTATGAGCCAGCTCCAACAAAGTTGCAGTACCAGCATCGCCGTCAAAAGACGTAAGACCATTTATCGGTGGGAAAAGAGCCGGGTTAGCCCTCACAATAGGTGCAATAGACTGCAGAATAGACTCGTCGGCACCCTGCTTGCCAATTTTGCCCACGATAGCGCTAGCTTGCAGCTGGTTCAGCTCAGCCTCCGACCAGAACATGAGTGTATCGAAGCTGGTAGGCAAAACCCGAAAATAGGGAGCCCATCGTGACTGTTCACCACGCAGATATTCATAGAGCATGACCAGCATTAAGGACAGCCATGGACCGAGCGCCTCGACATCTTGCGGCAGAAGACTCTTCAGATCTGAGTTCTGGACGGCGAGGATTAAGGATCGTGGGATAGAAAATAATTCTTCGCCTTCAGATATGTTCGTCCGGGCAACTATATGGGTCAAAGAGGGGTATATAATTAGAAGCCGGTTTATTGTAAGAGGGTCTTTTGTAGGTGGGTTATGTCGCTTTTGTGTGGTGGGTAGTGGGGGGCCTTTGTAGTGAGCTTACCGACTCCTCGTCCTGCGCCAGTAGATCTAAGATCCGCTAAAATGATCCTTGGGTTGACTTTAACACCAGGATTGCTTTCAAGCCAGGAAACAAATCCGTTGGATTGTTGCTGGAAGCTTGAAGGGTCTGAGAAATGGGTAGAGGAAGACATTGTGTAGGGTCTGCTTTATGGGGCGAATGGGAAGATGGGAAGATGCAATGCAAAGCACCTGTGTGTGGGGAAATGAACACACCCCCGTACTAGACCCTCTCAGTAAAATATAGCAGGATGTCCAAGGGTGAAAGTGGGAAAATGGGCACAGAGGAGGAAAGAAAAGAAGAAGTAGATTGGGTTGTACTTTGTTTCGGAGCAACGGGGCCGCTTATGGTTTGGTTTGGTTCGACTGATAACGATAACAAAAAAACCACTCCTACTCCAAGAGCCCCAAGAACCCCAAGAGCTTCAAAACTTCCCACTTCACCAAAACTCGAGTCTATTTAGCCAATTTTATTCATCATGATTGCCATCGGGATGGAAGGTTCTGCCAATAAGGTGGCCATTGGGATCATGTCATATCCCTCAGATGACAGCATGCCCCAAATCCTTGCGAACGTTCGACACACATATAATTCCCCACCTGGCGAAGGTTTCCTGCCCAAAGATGTTGCACGTCACCACAGAACATGGGTTGTGAAGATGGTCAAAAACGCACTCAAGGAGGCGCGCATACGAGTTGAGGATGTCAGTTGTATTTGCTTCACCCAGGGCCCTGGTATGGGTGCCCCGCTACAAAGTGTGGTTATGGCGGCACGGATGATGAGTTTGCTATGGGGCAAGCCATTGGTTGGAGTAAATCATTGCGTTGGACGTAAGTCATTGATTATTGATTTGGAATTGCGGCTCTCAGCACTATTGCAAATTATTTTTTGGTATCTGCGACAACTGACACGGGGTTTCACTTACAGATATTGAAATGGGCCGTCTTATCACCGGTGCTGAGAACCCCGTCGTCCTTTATGTCTCTGGAGGCAACACACAGGTGATTGCCTATAGTTCAAAGAGATATCGTATCTTTGGCGAGACACTTGATATCGCTGTTGGAAATTGCCTGGATAGATTTGCGCGCACTCTCTATATCCCCAACGACCCGTTCCCAGGGTACAATATTGAGCAACTGGCCAAGAAAGGTAGCCGACTGGTGGAGCTTCCCTACATCGTGAAAGGCATGGATTGTTCATTCTCGGGTATTCTAGCTGCCGTGGATGCTTTGGCCGTGTCATTGGGTTTGAACGGCGAGGAGGCCGCAAGATTGGACGATGAGCGGATTGACCAGGAACAGGGCAATCAAAATCAAGACCCTGATGCAAAGCCCACTCGTGCTGACTTGTGTTTCTCACTCCAAGAGACGGTATACGCGATGCTGGTTGAAATCACCGAGCGCGCGATGGCGCATGTTGGATCCAAACAGGTCCTTATAGTTGGTGGAGTTGGGTCCAATGAGCGTTTACAAGAGATGATGGGAATTATGGCTCGGGATCGGGGTGGCTCTGTCTTTGCTACGGATGAGCGTTATTGTATCGATAACGGTGTCATGATCGCCCAAGCGGGTATGATGGCATACAAGACGGGTTTCCGAACCCCGCTGAAGGAATCCACCTGCACTCAACGCTTCCGAACAGATGAAGTCTTTGTCGATTGGCGAGATTAAGATACTAAAATATAAAGACAATGAATATAATGTGTTACGACGTTAAATATGTTTGATAAAGTCGGGATGGTCAACTCAATATCTTGCGTAAATCTTCATGATCAATGATGTATTTCAAAAGAGTTAAAAAAAAATTAGATCACTGAAAATAATTCTATAAGCAGAAGAAGAACTCAAAGCGCGCGCCTGCGCGGTCATGCAAATAAATCAGGTCTGTATGACCAAAATATCAACTCCGACACAAGCCTCCCAATCATGAAGCAACAACGCCTTCGAAAAGAAATTCATGCAATATGAGTGATGCCTCTGTTCATTGGGTCGGACTTTCAAAATAGCTCTTGAAATATTTGAGCGATGCATGCTATATCTCGAGCACAAGCAAGTTCGTTGGTAAAAGAGAGACTGGGTAGTCAGCTCAATTGAGTAACGTCTTTGCGTATGTTTAATGCTTCGGATGAAAGGGGTAGGCAACATAGGTGGATTGTTCTGTCCCTAACTCTGGGGGTTTGGATCGATGGTCATGTATTTCGAGGTTAATATTGCAGGGCTATTCTGGCAAAGAAAGCCACGCCATGTACTTGAATATTCCTTCACTCTCCAGTGATGTCACCGGTAGGTTTATACAAAATACTCGTGACATACTATATATATTGATCAGACCAAATATTTCCAAGATAATTCGCAGGGAAGGAGAGTATATTACCTTTCGTTTGTATCTGGTTGTTACACTTGTTGCAAGCACGCCATTCTTGATACTACTTGTCGCAAGATGGTTCAGGACGGTATGGTTGGGATAGTTCAAAACGCTGCTATCATCCTTGGTGGGAGTCGTGCTGTTGAGAATAGATTTGCCCAAGAACAGTGGGAGACTAGGCGGTTGTGGGGTGTCACCAATAACATTAGCAGCCTGCAGGTATGCGGGACTATCTTCTTCTTTGTCCAAGTCGGCAAGGAATTGGGGAATAGCGCTGCCAAAATCCCCCGGAGGTACTTCTTCAGCGGCTTCTTCTTTCTTTGGTAGTTCATCTTCCGTCTCCTCCGATGGTCGGTCTTTAGCATTATCCTGGGGAGCTTGCGGGGGGCCGGCTCCCGCTGAAACATCGGACTTGTCGCGAGCATCATCCGCACTAATTTCGATATAATTCACCAAATGATTAGTGAAATCGACGGCTGTTGGTAAATTATCGGACGCTCGCATTTCACCATCGATAAGAAACTTCAGGTGATGTGTTCCAGGTCGTAAATTTAATGTTGCGGTCATGACCCCAGGATCAGTCTCGCTATTCAATATCAGCGAATCAGCACTTGAAAAAAAACGGGGCTTTCAATTGGGTTTGACACAGACTCTTCATACCTTCTGTGTAACTTGAACTTCTTCTCCCAATTGACAAAGGTTCCAGTAACATAGATCTTCTCGCCGGGACCATTCCACTCAATCGTAGTGGGGACGGCTTTGCCGACTCCAAATGGCTGGAGCTCATCCACCATCTCGTCACCATCTAGTGTAGCATTGCTATGATGGGATGCCTCCATCTGTTCATCGAAAAGGCGATCCGCAGGCATGGATTGGATATGTGAATCTTCCGGTCCAATTATCGGTGACCCCGGTGTCGCAGTAGCATCGGCAATGGGCAATGGCATGCGTGGAGGCCTTTGCAGATGGGTCGACGCGGTATAGTAGGAGTTATGCGGCGGCGCTGACGGCGCCATCGGATCTCGCCCCGCGGCATGGCGTGCAACTGGCACTTGCACCGGGTTTGAGTGATCTGGCGACGCTAAATCTCCTCCCTGTGGTGTGTCAAACTTTCTCTCCACGGGCTTTTCGGGCCGAGTTATCGGTTTGGGCGATCCAGTGGATGTTCGACCCTGTAGCCGATGCTGAACAGAGCCCTGGTATGCTGCGGAGTGACCGGCGGCGGTCTCACGAGTTGCTGAGGGGTCTGCAGCAGTAGCTTTGGTCGTCGGGATTGTATTTTGAGAGGCGCGGCGGACCACCTTTCGATCGGTCGGGGCATTGGGGATGTGGCCCGACGGCACATCGGCTTTAGAAGGGTTATTGCCCATCGAAGGCGGGGTAGATAGGGGACGGGGTGCGGCAGAGGGGATGATGAGAAATGGAAAGAAAAGAAAGATTGTGAAAGGGAAATATCGACTCGAATTCAATCAAACTACAGGCATTAAGACTTGGGCCCTGAGGGTGTTGGGGCTAAATGCGGAACGAAAGTCGAGCCAGTTGGTTCAGAAGATCTCCCAAGAAGCTGATGACGGCGGAGAGTCAAATCGGGAATGTAGGGCTTAGGGCTTGCGGCTGTAACTCGACTTCCCCGGATTTTCCCCCTTTCAGTCAACTTGAAGCCTTTGAGCTTGAGCTGAGTACGACGGGATTCATCCCATCCGGAGACCTCTAATTTTAGAGGCTATCTTGATCTTCAACCTCTCTTTCGTATATAATATGGAAGGTTCACCATGGAATGTACCGTTATACGTCCTAGGCGCGCTTTATAGCGTCCTTTATTACATGCTGTCCTGGATTTTCTCCTTTCTGCACTTTCTATTGACACCTTTGCTATGGCTTGTATATGGCCTGCTTAGCATTGCTCTATTCCCGCTTCAGCTTCTCATGAAATTTGAGGTATGTCTATTACATTCATTGATCCGTACAGTATCGTATATTCTTGGCTTCAAGGCAAACCCAGATCCCCCTTGTTTGTTTCCAACCCACAAAAGACAATGACAAATCCCACACTTCATACCATGTACATGTTAACATAAATGTAGGCATTCTTGTATTTTGTTACAGGCGCTATCCTTACTGGTATCACAGTCGGCTTGTTCCTGCATTTCTCTGGAGGTGCCTTGTCCGAGCTCCTCCGATTACAGTCGAATCGATCTCCTTTGGCAGTAGATTCTCCCACTCCCAAGCAAGAAGCCCTGGACTGGGAACCGAAATGGGATCATCATCCAATTTTGTCATCGACGATCCCGGAGGAAGAAGAGAATAGTTCGGCATGATTTCTCGACCGGTGTATCGTGGTATAGACGCGATAGACGAAGTTTACTATATACAACGTATCTAATTATAGAGTTCGGTGAATTATTCATATGGAACGAAAGCTCGTGTGCTCCTCAATATAATGGGACTTAGGATTTTTTGTTGGGTGCCTTGAGTTCAGCATTGACGCTTGTTAAATTGTGCTAAATTTATGAAATCTAAAATCACGCTTGATCCAAAAAATACAATCTTCACGTTACTAATAATTCCCTCCCACATCACTGTTGGCGCCCTTCCAGCCGATTTGCTTAATGACCTTCTCTCTGTCTGAATCTACACTCCCATGTTCGCTCAACGAGCCAATGTGGATCCCTAAGCCACCCACTTCGAATTCTTGCTGTTTCTTAGGGCCCCATTGATCTGCGCCACGGAAACCCATTGGATAAGGGTCAGTAGGGTCCAAAACAACCTGCTTGAAACTAGTCACCCATGCTCTGCCCTCAATACAAGGGTAGATGGCATCGTATTTACCAACTTTCAACCCGCCTCGAATACGACCAACCATCTGAGAACCCGAGATGCTATAACTTCGGAGATCCTTGCAGTCAATGCCACCTCGATGGGACAAAAGAGCAAGCCAAGCAGACAATGAAGTGCCAGAGGGACTACGGTCTAGTCTACCAGGAGACACCACCGTCGCACTGATACCGGACTTCTCCTCTCCATCCACCTCCACCGCCTCAGTAAACACCACGTTACTAATTCCTCGAATAAAATAATCTCTTGGATGAGAGATATCGAGGTCACACTCCAGAAGAGCTTTTCGGATCTGTTCGCCAATCTCTACCATCTGATTGGCATTACTCTCATGAACAGCCAAGTCAACCGACTCAACATCCACAAAGGCACAAAACACGCCTCCATAAACAATATCAACGGTAATTACTCCAAGGCCTGTAACCTTCAACTTATAACCAGCCTCCAACACAAAGGACGGCACTCCGTACACTGTGACAGAGTCACACCGAGCTTGGTAATGTTTAGTCTCTATATAGTTAGCCTCCACTGCCACTCTACCAGCAACAGTTTCAAAAATGTATCGCTGACAAGGGAGTTCAGGAGGCGGTCCCCCAGCCTGGGGGAACTCCGCGAGAACATTTGCCGCACATATCATGCTAGAAATCGAGAACGGGACGTATTCATCATTCTTGGCAAAGACAAGACAACGATCTGCTTTACCAGTCGGGTGTAGTAGAAACACTGCATTTTTCCCGTTTCGGCCGCGTGGCTCGTTCAACAACATCCTAACATCGGGGTCATGCTCATTCTTGAAGTTAAGTTGTTTCCTGTATGCCGAGCTCCCAGTAACACTTTCCATCCCTCCAATTACAACATCACAGGCTTCACCCTCAGCATGACACTCCACCACCGAGATCGGGCGATGTCTCAAGATAGTATCAATTTTTTTGCTGAGGGAAGGCGTATAATCGTGAAAGCCCCATGCTGGCGTAGATGGCTTCGGGGTTACTGGAGACTCCGTCTCGACGATCTCAAAATTTCGGATTCCCTGTGTCAATGGCGACAGAGACCCGACACAATGTTCTTCGTGTACCGTGACGAGATGCGTTGGATGACCGTCGGTTTGGTTTTCCCCATATAGGTTGCCAGGTCGGAGGGGAACAACACGATGATGAGGCGTAGCGATACGACTTCCCTCAGGTTTATTTGTAAGCCATTTATAAGTACGTTGATGTGAGCTAGACATGACTATTTTCCAAGGTTTGTTCAGAGGAAGACAACAGACGGAGATCCATGGGAGATGGGCAGCTATACTGGTATATACATACATCTAGTATACAATGACCTCAAAGGCTGTCCGGTATCAGCTTGAAACATGAGAAAATCACCTGAACTATTTCAGGATATGGAAAATAGCCAGAGAAAAAGAGCGCGTGGACATCATGATATGAATCTCTAGGGTCATTTCTTTGATCCTGCATAGGAAAATGACACGATTAATTGATATCCAAAATCATGTTCAACACTGTAAAACGGAAAAAAGCTAAGCAGTGCACAGATCGCCGCGTTGAGATATATGTCCAAAAGCTCATAAGACGAGACTAAAACAATATGTCTCAAACACAAAGAAAACGCAAGCCCATCCATGGACGAGACTTCTGTCTAGACCACCGAGGAGAGTACAACAAACCCCAATAGCCCTTCAATGACCTTTGAAGGTATTCTATAGCCCCGCGGATATAATGGCAATCACCACAAAGACCAATCTTTCATGGTTTCCTTTGTTTCCTTTAAGATCACTTGACATCGTACTGAAGCGTACTATATCGTGGGGACGAAACAACTTTCGTATGCCTTTCTTTTTTCTCAAGCTCTATCATCCTGTATCGCCACCTCCATCAATGACGTTTCTAATGGTTCGAGCCTTTCTACTAAACTATGATACAGCTGAGTAGATCGCAAATTAATAAACGGTAATGGATCTGCTAGTGTATTTATCGTATATCACCAACTTGAAACTTGCAATGCCCGAGAGATGAGATGTATAGTACTAAATCTTACTCTATCTAGTTTAATGCCCCCAAACTCGAAAAATTCCGCACAGTGGGATACAAAAATAATAAGAAGAATCTTAGAACAACAAAAGCCGCCTTATATTCTATCAAAACCAGTGGAACTGAATGTCTTCGTGAGGAATGACATGTTTGGTTACGGTGGGTCTGTATACCGGCCCGTGCTCAAGGGGCATAATACACACCAACGGCACCAGTGTTTCAATGTGATCTTTGACTTTGCGAGTTCCTTTCTTTGATTCACCCCACATCTTCATCTTTCAACCCTTCTCACAAAGCCTTCAACCACGTCCCGAACCTATTTATATATATGTCAAACTTGCCACCGAAGCTAGTGACTCAATCCGAGTCCAGGATAATAGGTGTCAGATTAGCGCAGCGGGTCTGCCGCTAATTCTGGCGTAAGCGGAGCCTCAAGTAAAGAAATAAAAGCTGCAAGACCGCAAGACCGCAGTGCGCATCAGGTGCACGCCATTATGATCAGGTCATTCCTCCGAGGACGCACACTTATCAGTGCCATCCTTGCGATTATATGGGTATTCGCGCTAATTACTCTATGGCGCACATACCACAATGATAGCACTATCGAGTCCTCTCAACCCCCCATTTCAATCCAAGCTTCAAATTCCCACGACCTAAGTGTCGCGCACCAGCGCTTTTGGTTGAAATTCCATGGCCACCTTGAAAGACATGCACCGGGTACTAGGCCGGTGATTGAGGATGAAAAAGCGCCAACAGAGGGATTCCAGGCGAAGAATGCCCCGCCACGTCCGGAATTCGTCAAAGTCGACAAAGAGGATGTCGAGACCATGAAAGAAGCGCATACCGGATTCGTACGGGCTATTACAACCTCGCCGCCTGAGCTGGAGTATATCCCAGGTACAAAGGGCATTGTATCAACGGCCGGAGGCTCATACCTACCGGTAGTTGTTATCTCTCTCCGAATGCTGCGCCGGACAGGATCAACGCTACCAATGGAGATCTTCCTAGCCGACAATTCAGAATACGAAGAGTACATCTGCGATACTGTCCTCCCATCTCTAAACGCACGGTGTATAATTCTTTCAGAAATCCTCCTCGCCGCCCCTGCAACCATAAAAACATACCAATTCAAGCCCCTTGCCATGCTATTCTCTTCCTTCGAGGAAATCCTCTTCCTAGACGCAGATGCATTTCCACTTAAAAAGCCCGAAATCCTCTTCAACAGCGAACCCTTCCGCACAAACCATATGGTCACCTGGCCTGATTTCTGGGGTTCTTCCGCATCCCCACTGTTCTACCAGATTGCAGGGATTTCATCTCCAGCCATGACGTTACGACAATCAACGGAATCAGGCGAAGTGCTTCTCTCCAAAAAGACACACATGCGCACCTTGTTCTTGTGCACATATTACAACTACTGGGGACCAACGCATTACTACCCCCTCCTGTCACAGGGCGCAGCCGGAGAAGGCGATAAAGAAACCTTCGTCGCAGCAGCATCTGCAATGAACGATCCGTTCTACCAAGTTAGCGAATCCATTTGCGCACTCGGTCACCGCAAAGACGAGGGTGGTTTTGCAGGCTCGGCAATGGCACAGTTCAATCCTATCCAAGACTACGAACTGACCAGTCAAGGTAAATGGCGTGTTCGTGGAGACCAGGCGCCTACCCCGGATGTGTTTTTTATTCATGCCAATTTCCCTAAATTTAATCCTGCTACTGTTTTTGAGCCACACGAGGTCAACCCTGCTTTCAAGGATGATGGTACGCCTACCCGTGCATGGACGATTCCTGAGGATATTGTGGATCAGTTCAATGCCAAGGTTGATGTTGAGAAGGCATTTTGGGAAGAGATTCTTTGGACGGCATGTGAGCTTGAAGATAAATTCGATACTTGGGAAGATCGGACAGACGTCTGTGCTGGTGTTAAAGACTATTGGCGAAGCATTTATGGAGAGGACATGCCCTCTGTTAAGGGTACGGATAGCTATTGATGCCGACGAAGATTTACGCTGCTACTATAATGTTGAGTATATGTACAATAGAAAAATCTAATTGAAAAATAGACTCAGTAAAATACTAAGCGCTTTGTAGGTGGTGATGCTTTTTCAACGCGAAAATATCTTACATAAATGCCAAAATGGGGCGAGCAACAGTGTCTTATTTGCTTGAAGTTGGCGACTGCTCAATCGTATGTAAATGGAATGTATCTAGGCATTTTGCATTGCATATTTGAAGTGTGATCATTTTGGCATTCAGAGAGGAGCAGTGTTCCTATTCATATTTCTTTTATAGGCCTTTCGCAAAATTCCAATATACTGTACAAAGATTCCGTATAATGATACATAGAGTACATAAACGCAAGAAGCTTCCTAGTTCAACTTCTGCTCATCCAAAAATGATCCCCTCAGCTCAGCCTTGCGAATAGCCTCAACAAATAATTCCTTACAAGGCACACGGCTACCCAACCGTGCACAAAGCAGAAAAGCACCGCTCAACTTGCGATGTAAACTGTATGTCTCCTCAGGCGGGGGAGCAAGTCTCTCACGAATCATCAGAGGAATGAGCGCACGCACACGATCAGTTATAGTCTGATTCCGGAAGTCGTAGAGATCAGGCGAAGAGCCCATGAAGGGTTCAGCTATAGTAATCACAGATGACACGTGGGCATCTGCCATAGCCTCAGACTCGAGGCCAGTGAGATAGCCCAGTTCAACGGAGAGATCGCGGCAAGCAGTGCGATCATTGCGCGAAGCGGCAACAAGTGTGCGGACGTAGGTGGTAATAAATTCGGAGGGGTATTCGCGGGAGGCACCGAAGTCCAAGAGTTCGAGGCGGTTTGTCCGCGCGTTATAGAGGAAGTTGGTCCAGTTGGGGTCTGTCTGCATGTAGTGGAACTCGGTGATTTCACGTAGACACAGGCGCATGATCTGTGTGCCTATCCAGTCGCGTTGCTCTTGTGAGAAATCTTGAATCTTGGTCACAGCGACACCTTCGAGCATTTCCATGGTAAGCACTTGCTTGCCTGAGGCTTCGGGCATAACCTCCGGCACAACAAAGACGGGGTCGTCGCGAAGCAGCTCACGGAAACGGGCACCGCATTGAGCTTCACGGTGGTAGTCACATTCCCATCCAAGTTCGACACGCGCGTTAGCGATGGTCTTGTCGAGGTAGAGTCCACGTGGGAGGAGGCGGGAGGCAGTGAGGAGGATGGATAAGTTGTTCAGGTCGGAGTCAATGGAGTCTGCGACGCCGGGATACTGGACTTTCACAGCAACGGGTTTGCCGGTGCTTCTGAGAACCGCAGCGTGGACTTGGCCAATAGAAGCAGCCGCCATGGGAATATCATCAAACGAGGTGAAGAGTTCCCGCCAGTTGGGACCAAGATTGTCAGCCAAAACCTTATCACGTTGGGAGGCAGGCATGTAGTCGGCACGGTCCTGGACGCGTTGGAGGACCTGTTGGATGGGCTCGGGAAGCATGTTCGAGTCTATACAGCTTTTGTTAGCATCGAGAAACAGTCCAGCTTGAATGAAAGAGTGTCAACTGCACCATACCTTGAATACTCAACATTTGACCCAGTTTGAGAGCGGCACCTCGCATTTTCGATAGCTTCGATACCATACGCTCCATATTCCCCGCGCTAAACATGATAGAACCACTGTCCTGACTACCGGTAGCTCGACGGACGGTTTCACTTACAGCACCAAAGGCCATAGATGTCGCCAATCCGCCGTACTGCCATAGTCTACCCAATCGAGAGGAAGGGACACGAGATTCCATCATCTGATACGGCACCGCTGTCTCTTCAGACGCTACTTGGGCCATTGGCGCTACATCCTCGGCAACACTGGCAGCTAGCTTTTGAATATCTTCCTCCTCTGTCTTGGAAGCAATCTCCTGTTTAGGTGCCAATGTAGCACCAGGCGCAACGAACTTGGGGGCAGACTTCTCCGCCGGGATCCAGTCACGTTTTGGTTTAGGTTTCCCTCCGAACATGCGCGATACCCTAGGACTATGGAAAAGATCTTGCATCATCTCCTCTGGAATCTCCTGGTCCCCTGCTATCGTCGAAGCAGGTTTCCCCTCCGGCCTGGTGGCCGCATGAAACACATCGGCATTCAATCCATCACCTGAACCAACTTGTACATCGGCAGCGACCGTAGGTAAATTGACTTTAGGTTGCGCGGATAATTCCGGCGATTCCGATGTAATCTCGTGCGATGGCTTGTCAAAAACATCCTGTTGTTGACTCACATTGAGATCTGGTGATTTTTCGGTGCCAGTATATTGTGCTGTAGTAGAAGGTAATTGGAATTCGACGTGACGTCGTTGGTTGCGACTATCGGCCGAAGTGGGGAACGAGGATTGAGAGGCCGCGGCGGCCGTGGAGGCCGTAGTGGCCGTTTCCGCATGCCATTGTGGGTTGGAGCTGGGGCTGGGGTCGGCAGAGTCGGCAGATGGATTCAGGGGAGAAGCGGTGGTCGGCGACGGGGAGGAAGAGGAGGAAGGGGAGGAAGGTGGCGAAGAATCCTCTAACCGGCGAGCTAAGGCGGCCGCAGCTTTCGCAGTCAAAATCAACCCATCAGTCTGCTCCTTAATCCCCTTGGTTAAGGAGGATGTCCGAGCGTAGACATCCAATTGATTCTGACGAATTGCTAGATGTTTTCCTGCGACCGATTTTGAAGCATTGAATAATTGGATGACGTCTAGCAGACGCCGTCCAGACATGATCCTATCAGTGTCTGTGAGTTTTGGTGTATGATGGGGGGAGAAGATCCAGCAATCGGAGCAGAACGGAGTTGTGATCGAGTAATAAAATTGAATAAACGGATACAGTCATGACAATTGATAATTGATAAACGCTAACAGATAGAGAATGCATCGGGGCACTCGGCCGTCTCCGATAAGGTCTCCACTAATGAACTCTGCCGGCTTTCACTGCTTTTTTTTTAATATGCGGCTTTATCTCTTGTGCATGCGACCTTCTTCCCCTTCTATTTCATCCTTATACTTTAAACAACACCCAACTCCACTAGGCTCACTAGGCTATTTGACCTTTTTATCTTAAACATTATACCAATTCTCGAATGATGCTCGATCAACCCACCCAAGATCTGCAGCTGGAGATCTCCCAGCTGGAGGCGCGTCTGCACGATCTCCGCAGCCAACTAGACGTGACCTCTCTTCCCACACCACCATCCTCCTACTCAGACAACAAGACCCAATGGTCTGCCCCTTCAGGTTAGATGATCCAAAGGTCTTGAATATAATAAACAACATACTAATGATCTTAATAGACATGTATAATAATAAATTCCAATCGGAGGACGTCCGATCATCCCTCCACGCTCTCCTCCTCCTCTCCGACTCTGCCCTCCCATTAGGCTCCTTTGCATACTCCAGCGGGCTGGAGTCATACCTCGCACATAATAAGCCTCTTCGCACAAACCCGTCCGCCTCATTCCACCGCTTCCTTAAACTCTCTATTGCATCTATTGCCAGCACATCTCTCCCCTACGTGCTAGCAGGTTACCGCCACCCAGAAACCCTCGACACACTTGATAATGACCTCGACGCCTCCACACCTTGCATTGTAGCGCAGCGCGCCAGTGTAGCCCAAGGCCGTGCCTTGATTGGTGTGTGGGAGCGTTCATTCCGGGGTAGCTTCGCTGCTCCAACACGGAACACCGATACCGGCGCACAGGTCGCTGTGACATCCATTGAGGAATTCTCGGACTCATTAAAAGCAACACTGGGCGAGGAAGATGAATATGATATGGGTCCCAAGGGCCATTTCGCTCCACTCTGGGGTGTTGTCTGCCGGGCTATGGGCCTGGATCTGCAACAGACTGCTTATATCTTTATTTTGAACCATGCCAAGGCGGTTCTTAGTGCCGCTGTGCGAGCATCAGTCATGGGACCTTACCAGGCCCAGAACATTCTGGCAAGCCAGAGCTTGCAACAGACTATGATGGCACGCATTAAGCGGGAGTGGAACACCCAGGTCGAAGAAGCTGGGCAGGTAGTGCCGGCACTGGACCTGTGGGTGGGGAGACATGAACTTCTATACAGTCGTATCTTTAACTCATAATACAAATAAAAACACACTGTTTGAATATTTAAATATTGAACTCATCCAATTCCATCCAATTTATAGTCACATTCGGTTCGTTTCTTGTTTTGTTTTGTTTTGGTTTTTTTTTCGCCTTCCAATAACGTAGTACTACATATGACCACAGAGATTAGTCTAGAAGCCAATAGCCGAGGAGAAATTCACAAATGCGCCGCTCGAAAACCGGGGTATCCAAGGGTGCAGGATGGTTCGTTCAACGCCTCAGCGCCTTCGTCACAACGAGGAAAAGAAAATGGGTAAAGAAAACAAAAGTCCGCCGTGGCGTTCAAAAACCCTCGCCTAGAAACATCAAAGGAATAGCCTGGAAAAGACTCCGCATAAATCATCAAACGCCAGCTTTCCGATTCAACCTAATAAAACCAGCCACCCAACACCACACCAGGGACCCCTCCAAAAGTGACCACGGAGAAAGAAAGAGAAGGGGACAAAGAAGATAAAGTAGAAAGAGGCAACAAGAAGGTAAAAAGATATTGTACAAGAAAAGAAAAAAATATTGGAATAAGACATGAGGTCACTTTAGAGGGTGATATGCATGTGGTCATTGCTTCCAAAGGATCGGTTGCAGTTGGGACACTTTCGAGAACGAGAGGTCAACCGTTCTTCAACACAGTCCTTGCAGAATACATGGCCACAAGTTTTGATTGCAGTGTTTTTGAAGTTGCGACGACAAACAGTACACAGGGCGAGCGTCTAGACGTATCAAGTTAGTAAAACCTTACAGAAATTGCCGGATAACAAATAACGTACCCGTAACATTTCGTACTCGGAGGAGCTATTGCCAAGACTCTTCCCCTTCCAGTTCTCGAGGCTCTTCTTGGTGTCAGAAAGAGACTGCTTGAGACTGACAATCTCGGTTTCTGCTTGTCGCAAGGAGGTTGAAGCGTTACCCAGTGTTGAATCTTTCGAAGTTGACAATGCCTTCAACTCGGTGATCTGGGCCTTCAAACCTTCCATCACAATATTACTCTCGGTCAGTTGTTGTTGGGTAGACCGCTGCTTTTCCTGCACAGTAGCCAAAGCTTCTTTAGCTTCGCTAGCTTGCTTTTCCATGTTGGACAGTAAAGATCGAGTGGTAGCTTCAGAGTCCTTGAGTTGCGCAACAATGTCAGAAGTCTTAGAGTTCTGCACTCGAAGTGTGCGAACCTCGATCTCGCGGGCTTCCTTGCTCTTCATCGCAGCGAAGTACTTTTGGTCTGCTTTGGATTTCTCAGCAGTTAACCGTGTCATCTTTTCTTCCAAGGAACTGAAATCGATCACTTTCTGAGAAGCAAGAGTGGAGAATTTCTTGTACGCCATTTGCATCGATGTCAATTCCGTATTTAGCATAGCATACTGACGCTGCAACCCAGTATACTTGCTACGGAGATCTTCAAGGGCCATATCCTCCACACTTTCCGCGGGGTTAGATCCCTCAACTTGAAGCCTTAATCTCTCTGCTTCCGACTCCAAAGCAGTGATGCGAGCCTCTCTGGCACCCGCCAACTCTTGCAGCTTGGATCCAGTAGTCTTCTCTTGGTCCTGAGTAGCTTTTCGCATTTGTAGATCGGCCAGAAGTTCATCACGAGCATTTCGTATCCGTGCAAGATCGGTTTCTGCCCGTACTAATTCGTTATCCTTCTCTGCAATTGTGCTGCGGGCTTCGTCCTCGACTTGTGTCTTGTATTCGCTTCTCTCAGAGCGGTACTTCTCCGCTTCCTCTCGCAACTGAATATTTGTCGCTTCAAGATGGTTAATACGTTTCACCACGTCGTCGTATTGGGAACGAAGTTGCTTAAAAAGTTCGGTTTGTGCGTAGTCATCGTCTGTTAACTTGGAATTCTGCACATACAATGTTAGCGCTCTGCATTGAAAAAAAGGGGGTTAATTTTTGATACCTTGATTTTGACCTCCGTAATTTGAGTCAGTAAATTGGCATTTTCAGTTTCCAATTTTTGCAGTTGCTCCTTTTGTTTTTCAGATACAGCTGATAATTGGTTGTTGGTTTCCTCTAATTCCATGCTTCGTTCCCCAGAAGGAGTTCCACCATTCGCAGGTGATGACTCCTCGCGCTTTGTTTGCACTCCTTCTGAACTAGGTCGTTGATTGCCCATGATATATCCCTTCTCGAGCTTAGCCGCAGTCACGCTCCGCGCACGATCCAACTTTTTCTCCGCCATCATATATCGCAGCGAGGCTGTTTCCAAGCTTTCTTCGAGTTGCTGCTTTTCTGCTAGCGTCTTTTCTAATTCTGAAATATGGATCTTTTCCTCCGATAGCTTCTTGGCCAATTGGCTTTGAAGATCCCTGACATCTGGAGATACATTTGCGATTTTGGATTGGAATTGAGAGATGACCTCGCGAATGTCATCAGAACGCGATTTTAGGTGTGATTCGAAGGCATCGTTATCTTCAAACTGAAGCGAGCTCTTAAACATATGTTCTGCCAAGGAGTGTCAACCTCTGTTTTGAAATATCATGTGAGACGGATGTGGGGGCGAGACTGACCTTTCGTCGAATCGTTTGAAGGTCCCAATAACAGTTTAATTTCATCAAGAAACTAGTATAAGGTTAGAACTTTGCACTGTCGAGTTTGAAGGAAATTCCGTTCATATCGGCAATTATCGCGGCTTACCTGTCGGAACCAAGAGTCGATCACACGAAGGCGGTCATTGTGCCCCGAGGCTGTTTTCGACATTTGGCTAACCCGCAACTCCAAAGCCACCTTCTCTCGCTTGTATTCGTGCATCTGACGCAAAATCGCATCTTTTTGAATTCTCTATAAAAGGCAACTGTCAGCGCCACAATTCAGGTAGGGTGCGCAATAACCTTTGAGCGCTGGAATAAGGCAGTCACGGGTATGAAATGGTTTGCACATACCTCCAAGTCATCTTTCCAGGGCATATCGGCATCTGGGTGAGGCTTGCTCCCGCCATTCACAGTGGTCGCCTGCTTCTTCAGTGGCGGGGCCGAATCATTGCTATCCGCAGCGGGTCGCTTCCGGTCGTCCATGTTGAGAAGACCGGATTCTGAAGACACAACAGGGGGTTCGGCGGCCGGCATCAGTGGCTAGACGGGCATGAGAGGGGCGGGTTTATCGATCACCACCAAATCGTCACTCAGCCAGAGTCAAGACACTGCGACCGAGCCAAAGATCTGGCAGACGAAAGACTCAGGTGATAAAAGGCGAGTCGTGACCAATAAACAATGAAAAGGGTGTGAGGCAGTGGACAAGCCCGGACACAAGGGGTGGATGGGGTTTTAGGATTGAAGGAGTTGAACAGGAGGATTTTCAATGTTGCTGACCGCCTGGCAATAACCACATTCTTACATAATGATTCTGCCATGTGTATTCACGTGACTCGACCCGCATCTGGGACCTGGAACTTTTTTATCTTGTAATGAACCCCACTCGACAAACCCTCAGTAATGGACAATCATGAAGTCGTTCTCCAGCTCTGCCATCAGTAACTCATCCCTGTGCTCACTCTGTTATTATAGCAATCATATACTGACATAGATCCTCAGATAAATCGGGCAAAAAGTTTGCGCCCAAGGCGCCTGTCCGCCGTCCCGCGCCTGCTGTAGCAGGAGCGCGACGGCCCAGTGCGACCCGGCAGGCCCAAGTGCAGGCTGCCCAGAATTCACAGGAAATACCAAAAGAGAACGTTGTTGCTGAGCCAACACCAGCTCTTCCATCTGCTTCCCCGGCAGAAGTTGAGCAGCCAGCTGTAACTGAAAAAGCACTGCCCGTCGAGTCACGAGAAACAGCAAAGTCGGCACCAAAACCAACGGCCATTCCTATTCCTCTTCCAAAGCGCAAATCCCCCGCACCTACAACCGCTCCTATAACAGCCTCACAACTCATTCTGACTCCCACTCCAACTGCACCTGCGTATACCACCGAAACGGACGGTTCCACCTCTCCTCGTACGGTGCCTGATAAACCAACCATCGTCCCCTCTATTGAACGTGATGTGGAACAAGCCGTTGCAAATGAGGTCGCATTTGAGGCCGCCCAACCTGCGGCAGATGTTGGCCTTCTGAACGACGCGCCTTCCATGCCAGAGCCAAGCCTTGAATTCCAGAAGACACCTCCAATTCAACTTAAACGCGCCAAGAAAACCTCAGAGATCACTAAGCCTAGAAGTAAGCCACGCCCTAGGGGCCCTGTTGCAACTTCCCCGGCTACACAAGGTACAGACTCTACATCTCGTCAAGCAAGCGCCACGCCGACGGCCTCGGGAGCAGCCTCATCTGTCGCTCTTTCTACTCCAGAGCCCAGCCAAACGTCCATAAACGGGAAGAAGCGAAAAGCCTCCAAGGCCGGAACCTCGGGTTTTGATGGAACGGAGAAACCGAAAAAGACTCGTCGTCGAGTGAAACGCGAGTCTACACCCGAAGATGCAGAGACGGTCGAAATTCTGCCTAACGTCATCAAGATGTCGGAACTATGTAAAGATCTGAAGACTGGCAGAAAGTCTAAGCGCGAAATTGAGCTACGTCGAATAGAGGCAGAAGAACAAGAACGAAAACAGAAGGCGCAAAATGAGGAAACTCCAGCCGAAACACCAACTAAAGCCGATGTGGAGAATGCAGACACGGCAAACAAGGAAAAGAAAGACCGTTTGGACGAAGGTTCAAACAATGCAACTGGTCCAGTTATGCGCATTGTCAACGGCGAGATTGTGCTCGACGCGTCCTCACTTCAGGTAGATCGCCATGCCGATGCGGAACGGGATGCAGGCGACATGATTACCGTCGAGGAGAATCAGCTTACTAGGAAAATCAACCAGTCCACTTACGGCAAGCGGACCAAAACGGAAAGCTGGGATGAGGAAATGACTGATTTGTTCTATCGCGGTCTCCGCATGTTTGGAACTGACTTCCAATGTATCAGCAAAATCTTTCCCGGGCGATCCCGCAGACAAATTAAGCTTAAGTTTAACAATGAGGAGCGAAAAGACCCGCAGCGTATCAAAGACACGCTTTTTGGTCCACGAGAGACCATTGACCTTGCCTCGCTAGAGCAAATGACCAACGTTATATTTGACGACCCTCAGGTTGTTCAAAGGGAACTCGATGCGGAGAGAGTGGAAATTGAGAAGCAGCACGAGAAGGAGAAGCAATTGCAAGAAGAGATGTTGCGCAACCCCACGGGTGCAGGTGCCGATGAAAATGCCGCAGACGACCAGACCAATGCTGCATTGGCCAAAAACAAGAAACGCAACGCTAAAAAGAAGTCCGCGGGAATCAGTGGCGGTACAGAAGAAGTTATTGGCAATATCGACGACTAAGGTATTTTTTGTCCCTGGCGTTTGTTTGTAATGAATGGGTCTTTGGTCGAACCCCACGTGTACTATCCACCAACGGCGTTCTCATGTTTTCCTTTCCTTTTTTATTTTTTATTTTTTTTAATTTCTGTTTTTGAAGCGTGCGAATGATACTCACAAGGCTGGGAACGGAGTTTGGGAATCTCACTATACACAGAGTCAGTCGCCTGCTACTCGGGCATAGAGCAATGCTAGTTTTGCTAGGTATTTGCTCCCAATCGTAGCTATCTGGTGTGTTTTTATGTGTACGCTTACACATTCCAACGTTAGGCTGCCGTGTACTAATTATCACACTATATAGCTCTTGATTCAATACATCGTAGACTACCAGTGCTTTATACCATGTGCATGCTTCTGTTTATTGAATTTGTATAAATCTACGTATTCAATATTGATAAAAAGAATGGAGATTCGTTATTTCTCATTTTGCGATCATAAGGAGATAGATACCTTGCCGTTCGACTTCTTGATCACCATTATCTGCGTTTTGTTGACCCAAACCCAGTACTTGTAGATGTACCAGAAAACGTAGGTGGCGATTGACTTCTCACGCTGCGCGAGCTGCCTTCACCTGCGTTATCTCGTCTTGAAGATGATCCACCACTGCCTGCATATCGTCCCGCGCCATAACCTACTGCTCCACCACCAAGAGCCCCTGACCAGAACCCAGGAGTCCATCCTTGCTGAGAAGATCTTCCTGAATAGGACGACTTATCCCAGCTGCCGTAAGGAGGAGGGGGCCCTGGTTGTGGTCCATAACCTCCACCTCCACCTCCACCTCCGCCAGGACCACCACCAGAATGTCCTCCTCTATCTCGTCGCGGACTTCTAGGTCTTCGATTTGTAGATGACCCACAGCACGCATAAAGAATCACCCCAAATACGCCAAGAATAAAAACACAGAAAATGATGTTTGTGATGTCCTCCGATACTGATGAAGCATTGCTTTGGTTTTTCCTGTGATTGCTTTTGAGTATTGGGCCAAATCGTTGTTCGCCTTGCTCTGTGAGCATCAAACGATATTCAACCCCGCAGCTTCCTCTGAGAACCCAATTGTCATCTGAGTTGCGGTAACCTTCACAGACGACATCTGTTGAACCGAGCTTGAACTCGGGTGGTAGCGATGCTTCACAAGTCCACTGCACGTCTTCCTCGTCATAGCCGTAGCCTTCGTTAGAGCAACGCATTGTGTCGGGCTGATAGAGGTCACATATCTTCTTTGAAGAACCCACGCAGTTAAGTTGTGGGATGGGAGTGACTCGGCGAGATGTCGTCATGCTGTTCGCCCTTAGCGTCAAGGTTTTGACATTTGAGAGTAGAATAGCATTTTTGCCTGGTGGGCTCTGAGAGGATCCCGCACATAATGCAGGTATGGCAAAAAGCGAAGTAGCAAGAAGCAACCGCATGGTAATATTTCCACTTAGGTACTTGTTTCAACTGAGCAGAAGACTTAATTCTAGAGTGGTGGGAAAGCAAATAATTTGTTGTTGACAGTTGAATAAAGATGACAGGTGTACCTGCGCCACAGCTCTTGCAGCGTGTCCGGATCTTAGTATGTAAAGGCTGTCCGATAAGCGATAAGCAGTTCATGGCCAAGAAAAAGATCCACCTCACCACGAACTTGGGAACAACTCACAGTGGGGATGGGCACACCACAAATAGGCATTGCCCACCGCTGAAGATGGAGTCTCAACCATGTATGACAAGCTCGTTATTTCAAGTGAATTTCATTGCGCTGACATTATCTCAGATGAGCCCGTGCCAGTGGCGCCTCAATCCTCGTACGCCCATCCGATCTTCCGAAGCATGATGAGATCTAGATCGCTAACATCCTCTTGACCCCAATAGTCTATCCTTTACACAAGGGTTTCTTCTAGGGCAGTTATCCGTGGTATTGCTCATCGGCGCATTCATAAAGTTCTTTATCTTCGGCGAAGCCCCTCCACCCCCTTCGCGCGGTTTATCCAATCGCCCATCCCACCGTCGATACAGCTCAGTCTACAACCCCCCACAAGATGGGGAAAAGTCACTTCGAGAAAAACCATCAAATTCAAACGTCCTCCGCCCCGTTCCTGCTTCTTCTACCAACACACGTTCCATCCTACGGAAGACCTACTACAGCGCGATCCCCACCAATACCTCAAAACATGGCCGGCACCGAATGCATCACTCCTCTCATCAGCCAGAGTCGCTAGACTGGTTTAATGTCTTAATTGCACAGACTATTGCACAGTACAGACAGACTGCATATATACTCAAGGACTCACCTTCATCCTCGATTCTGAGCTCGCTGAATGCCGCTATGAACAACCCAGAGAAGAAGCCGTCATTCATTGATAAGATTACGGTCACGGATATCTCATTGGGAGAGGAATTCCCGATTTTCAGCAATTGTCGTATAATTGCAGTTGATGACCCTAACTCGGATGGTGGGCGACTACAAGCTCTTTTGGATGTTGATCTTAGCGACGACAATCTCTCCATTGCAGTGGAGACATCCATGGTACTCAACTATCCCAAACCTCGCTCAGCCATCTTGCCGGTTGCCCTGTCGGTTTCAGTAGTCCGATTCTCAGGTACACTTTGTATCTCGTTGATTCCAGCGTCAACAGATCCACTAGATCCGCCCGCGACACCACATTCACCAGCTGCAGCGGGATCGGTCCACAACACAGCTCAGGGCTCTCCCAAGGGACCGTCTTCACAAGACTATACACCACCAAAAAGCAGCCCAAAGAGCAACGTCGCCTTCTCCTTCCTGCCAGATTACAGACTTGATCTTTCCGTGCGTTCTCTCATTGGCTCCCGAAGCCGTTTGCAGGATGTGCCGAAGATTGCTCAATTAGTGGAGGCGCGAGTCCACGCATGGTTCGAAGAACGTGTCGTCGAACCCCGTGTGCAAGTTGTCGGACTGCCAGATCTTTGGCCACGCATGGGTAGGACAGGGGTCCGGACCGGCGAAGATTCCGATGCTGGATCTACTGCGCCTCCGCGAAGCGCTGGGTCCAATGAAACTGGACCTGGGCCATATTCATTTGATAACCGAGAACCAGAGGGCCTGCGGTTCAGGGGGCCGTTAGACCCTCGCTTAGGTCTCGGCGCTGGCTCTCGTAGCAGCAGTTTCAATGTGGACTTGGGCAGCTTACGGAGTCCAAGTATGACTCGACAAGACAGTACTTCTGGTACCAATGACCAGTTTACTATGCCTGGGGGGATGCCCGGAGCAGCATCGACACCTACATTTGAAGAGAACCGTGATTAAAAACAACGCAAGAGCCTGTAATAGATGTTTTTTAATCGAATATGAAAAACCCAATAGTATACACTCAATTCATTTTTTGATTATCAGAGTCCCATTATGAGGACTACCGAAGCAATTGACAATTATACCATAGTAGAGATAATAGAATAAAGTCTAAGGGCTTGTACACTAAGGCCAGTATCGCCTGAAGCGAAGTATATGAACGTTATATCATTATCCATCAACCTGCCTGGAAACGCTTCAGGCTAAAATTTATCTTCACACAGGCGACAGCTCCCCGCTAAATTGTGAAACCATCAAATACCAACCCCAGCACACTAATTCGCCGCCGCAGTGGGGTGTAGTACGGTATCCACATATGTCTTGCGATGAGGATTCACATCGACCTCAGCACCACGGTTGAGCGGTGTCCATTTGGGCTCATCCTGGAAGAGGCGCATAGCCTTGACATACTGAAGAGCAGATTAGCTATCACTTCACAAATGCACCGCTTAATACGAATGAATGACTTACGTTCTGCGCGTTGGTTGTGAACCGGTGGTAGATGCCAGCCGGCAGGATAATCATATCATCCTTGTTCAAGCAGATTCGAATCCACTCGTCTTCCTGGCCACGAACATCAAAGTATCCCTCGCCGTCGAGAATGTAACGGATTTCCTCATCTTCATGAAGATGCTCTGAGAAGAACGACTTCACCTTCTCCTCGTATATATCTCCCATAGTTTGTGGTGAGACGCAAACTTGGTCACGGTTCTTGTAGCCGCGGTCAAGCGCAATCTTGTCAACATGTCCAATGGTCGGGCAGTGTTCATAGAAAACACCCAATTTGGCAAGGGCATCCTCGGAGACGGCACGCCCAGAGTCATGGGGCTCACGCTGGTCACCCTATTTTTGTAGTGGGGAAATTAGTTAGTTATGCACGGGTAATCGATTTGCGTCATCGGGGACTTTTTTTGACGATGGTAGTATATGAGGGGCTAGATGCAGGATTGGGACACATAAAACATACCGGCTTGTTATCGTACCAGTAGGCTCTCATTTTGAAGTGTAAATTGAGGGTATATGAGAAGAAAAGAGTACAAGATGAAGAAGAAAGAGGAAAGAAGAGAAGAGAAAAGTATATCGCTGAATATCAGGTGCCCCGCAATTGGTTAATGGCGCAAGACGCTTATGTGAGACTCCAGGGGTCCAGCCTCTTATCGGCCGTATCGGCGCACGTGACAGCCACCTTTTTTTGTCTCGGCCTTATCGCGATACAAACTTTTGTAAACTTTGGAATTGCGTGTCTTGAAGTTTGGCATCTTGCATCTCGACATGGCGTTTAGAGCTCGGCCCGTGGCTTTGCTGCGCCCACGCATTGGGCTCCGCTTGCCAATTCGCACAATTCGGGGGTTAGCAACGGTTTCCGACGGCTCACGGTATTGATTTCTCCAACTCCTTAATTAGGTATTTCTAGACATCGGCTAATTACATCTGCTACCCCCATAGGCCCTACGATGTCGTTGTTATCGGAGGTGGGCATGCTGGTTCAGAGGCATGTGCCGCTGCTGCTCGCTCTGGCGCGCGCACTGCACTTGTGACTCCCTCATTATCGAATATCGGCGTGTGTTCGTGCAATCCCAGTTTCGGCGGAATCGGCAAGGGTACAATGATCCGCGAGGTAGATGCAATGGATGGAGTTGCCGGACGAATCATCGACAAGGCGGGTATCATGTTCCGTGTACTGAACCGCTCGAAGGGTCATGCTGTTTGGGGACCGCGCGCGCAAATCGACCGTGATCTTTACCGGAAGTATATGACGGACGAGTTGGTTGGTACCGAGAACTTGAGCATTTTGGAGGGGAAAGTGGCGGATATAGTCATTTCCAAAGACGAAATTGGAGAGACACCTGGTGCAGCACAGGGCAAGATTGTTGGCGTGCGATTGGAATCTGGCGAGGTTATTCCTACTGGGCGTGTGGTCATTACAACAGGGACGTTCCTGGGTGGTGAGATTCACATTGGTCTTGAGACTTTCCCGTCCGGTCGTATGGGAGAAGCTCCCACATATGGACTCAGCAAGTCCCTCCGTGACGCAGGGTTCTCCCTGGGGCGCTTGAAGACTGGCACCCCACCACGATTGGACATGAAGTCCATTGATTTCTCTGCTCTAGAGGTTCAACACGGCGATTCTCCTCCACACCCATTTTCTTATATGAACAAAACTGTTCAAGTTGGTGACGAAGGCCAGTTGACGTGCTGGATGACCCATACAAACGAAGATACACATGATATCATCCGAGCGAATCTGGACAAGTCTATCCATATTCGAGAGACTGTTCGAGGCCCCCGATATTGCCCATCGTTGGAATCGAAAATCATGCGGTTCAAAGACAAAACACAGCATCAAATTTGGCTCGAGCCAGAAGGCTTCGCTCCTAATGAAGTGGTTTATCCCAACGGAATTTCAATGACCGTTCCAGCAGATGCGCAGTACGCCATGCTACGAACTGTACGGGGTCTCGAGAATGTGAATATGCTTCAACCTGGTTATGGCGTGGAATACGACTACATCGACCCGCGCAATCTTCGACAAACATTAGAAACTAAGCTTATCAGCGGTCTCTACCTTGCTGGTCAGATCAATGGTACAACTGGCTACGAAGAAGCAGCCGGCCAGGGTATTATTGCCGGCATTAATGCTGGTCTAGCATCACAAAACAGACAACCTATGACCCTCACGCGATCCGACGGCTTCATTGGTATCATGATCGATGACCTCATCACAAAGGGCGTGTCTGAGCCGTACCGCATGTTTACTAGTCGAAGCGAGTACCGAATTTCTACACGATCTGACAATGCCGATCTCCGCTTAACACGCATGGCTCGTGAGGCTGGTGCTGTCTCCAACAACCGTTGGAAGCATTTCACCGACACAGAGGCACAGATCGAAGAACTTCAGTCTCTCCTTGCCAACACAAAGCTCTCAGCCACTGCCTGGTCTCGAAAGGGTTTCAAGGTGCGAGCTGACACGTCGGTCCGCTCTGCGCTTGATATACTGTGTCTTGATGGCGCGGACATCAATGATTTGATCCCCCATATCGAGTCTACATCAGGTGTTGCCTACGTTCCCGATTCATTTGATCCACTAATCCGGACCCGTGTTGGTATCGAAGGCCGCTATGCCCCGTACCTTAAACGACAAGAGAAGATGGCAAAGCGCTTCCAACAAGATGAAAACCTCCTGTTGCCAGCCGACCTCGATTACAGTACTATCCACGGTATTAGTACCGAGGAAAGGCAAGCACTCGAACGTGTTCGGCCTGCTAGTGTTGGCATGGCGAGACGAATTGAAGGCGTTACTCCTGACGGTGCACTTCGTTTGCTATTGCATGTGCGAAGACATAGCGGCTTTAGCAAACAGATTGCCGATGCCGACAAGGATTCCGCTGTGGCTGAGGTGCTGCAGTCTTCTTCACCTTGAAGCTGAACAAGACTTCAAGATAGCGTTTTTGACATTTTATTTTCATATGTTGGCATCAGCGAAATAAATACGGCGCTCGGGCATATTAATGGTGTACATTGGGGGCTTTGCTGGGCTTGTGATATTCTATTCTGTCATGTATTTCTATTTACTCTCTTCTCTTGTTCCATCTAGAAGGTGGATGCACACAAGACCTTGGCGATATTCGCCGTGTACAAATATGCATGTGAATGATAAGTTAATATCTGAATATATACATCATTCCTGAATGGTCAATGCAGATGACCACATATCGAAATTGACCTTGCATGTCTACCTATATATCTTCCATGGTTCGAGTTCTCAATAGTGTTATCTACCCCGTAGGTACTTCCAGTTTCCATAGCATGAGCCCTTGCACTTGTTCTATAGCGCCAGCTGGGCACTGACAACTTCCACAGCTTCTCACCTGGGGGTATAGATAGTCTCCACCATCACAGACAAGCACCGTGATATCTAGTATGGCCTTTACAGAGCAGGGAAACAACTTGAAAGACAGTGCTTTGTTTTACCCTACTTTAACCATAAAAGAATATATAACATTCAGGAAATCTACTGTTTTGTTATCTTGGATTTTTGATATAAATCTTGATGATAGATCATCACAAGGTCTAGAAGCCCACACGACACGACCCACCCCTCAGCCAAACACAATGCATTATCAAAAACCAAATTCAGTTAAAATTCCAAGTTAACAAACTTAAAGAACAGGAAGAAACCGAAAAAGAACAATGCTTCAAGGGGATGGAAACTCAAACGCCCCCTTCCCTCCACAGTGAGAAAAAGCAAAAAACTGCCCGAAAGGCCGTTTCGGAAGGCAAAAGTGAAGCCCCATATTAACCCAACAATTCCACGCTCTTCCCCAGAGGCCAAACACGCGAACCGACCCCAAGCGTGCGAACCCCCCCAAATACCGCCAGACTGGAATCGAACGCAAGGGACGCCGATCACGACTGGGATAGGGATACTAGGAGTAGCACGGACATCGTTATCACAGCACACCCAGTTTGCCTTTCCCAACCGACCATTTTCTGGGTCGATTACGGTTCGTGGCTTGATTACGTGCAGATGCTTCCTGCTTCTACATATGAAACTATTGATTCTTTGGAGTTGACTTACGTCGATAGTAGGTTCATCACAGCCTTAGTGTGTTTGAGATGGGGCCGAGAACTATGCGGGGTGGAGAAGATGGGCGATATGGATATCTTTTGCTGGATCATGATCTGGGATCTACGAAGAAAGTGATAGATCGAACTGGAAACCCCCATGCACATTGAATGTCGTCAGATTGCACCTTGTATATCCTCCGACCTTGGAAATGGCGTACACAAAACCAGGAATTAAAAGCCGCTAGCGCCTGAGTTTGCCACTATGACACCAAATAAGCAATGGCAGTGAACGCATGCCCATCATGGGGGGAAATGGATCCTTCAAAAAATAACACGAACGACTCCATAGGTAGTGCATGCTGAAAATGGAATAACGAAGAAGGTTTAACAAGGTTTACAGGGATTCGTCTTATCCCTGCGGCTAGCCTCGCTTTCACGTCACCAACGCCCTTTCTTCCCAAGGCATCGGGTCACCGATGCACCATCACATCGTATGATGTGCTTCCTATTGATCGAACCAAACTAAGTGAGTAGGCCCCTAGCCGCAGGCGTGGTTTAGCAGGTGACCAGTTCGGCATGGTGATGGCACTGCGAAACCGTCAATCAGATGCCGCCACTTCATTCATCGATGCTAGATAGCCGCCCATGCTGGTGCGACAGGTTGGTTCAACATTTTTTACAGGACGCATGGACGTATGTGTGCGGAGATCGATAGAAATTACGGTTTGCCATATTTTCCAGAAAATAGGGATATGTGATGCACCTTTTGCATATGCGCTGTATATGTGTGGAACAACCTGAAGATGGGCATACCTACTACGTGTACATGTACTATATACGGTACATCGACGCCTTCATGGATTGGTGCATACATACATGTAATTTCTTAATTTTGAACAGGATGATTGGATGCCGCTGTTTGGAATTTGTGTAGATAGTGATGGAATAGGCTACTTGCATGCATGAATGGATGCCTCGCTTTGCATCCTCTCTTTTTGTAGTTTAGCTTATCGTCCAAGTACATGATGCATCCGGACACTATAATGCAGATCAGCAATCAAAATTATGGCATTGAATGGTTCCAATATGTTTATGCTATTAATATGGGCACTCATTTACTAGTAGATGTTTTGCCTGCTCGATATTACATTTAGGCATGGATGTGTAGTATACCTCTGATCTCGCGGAGCGAGCCCAGAACGCGATTGAACAAATAGAAAGCCAAGTCTAGACTCATACCAAACCAGAAACTAGAAACCAGTCCAGACTCCCGACCGAAAATGGAGCACGATGGAACACGCCATGTCTCGGAGGAAGATCCATGTAGTTCTTAGAGCCGGAGATCCAGAGTACGGATGTGTGGAAAGAGACGGAGCAAAGCATTCTCCGTTTCTGCTGTATGTAATCGTGAACATACTACAGTAGGCAAGGGGCTTTAACCTGACATTTTCATTTCCCGATGACAGCATCCGATCTACTTTCCTCGTACGATACGAAACCGGTACCGTGCGCATGATGGTACGTTGTACAAGGTGTGCGTTGGACACGAGTCGGTGGTTTATGTGGCCACATGGGCGTGAGGTCGAGGGTGAAAGGGACTAAAAATTGAGATTCCTGATACTCCATGCATAGTACTTTGTTTGTTAATGCTTTAAACCGTACGTACTTGTTAGATCTCTGATTGCTTTTCTTATTTCAGTTTTTCCTCCGAAGGGCCCCCAAAGTGTAATTCTCATAGCTAGGTGCTTGTCTAGCTCTAGCTAGATGTCGCTGTTGTTTTGGTCTTAGTCTCAAAGTCTACTTGCTTCTTCCCCGTAAGTGACGGCACCCGAGCCAGTGGTTCGCTTTCGGGTTCACGGTCGCTAGGTTCAGTATTAAGTTCGCCCACTAGATCTGCCAGTTATGAATGTGGGTTAGTTTTGGAGGTAAAGAATCGTCAAGATGAACTTAATACGAGTTTGATTGCCGACCGATCTATATACGGCATCTTAGATTCCGTATTGTAGGATTCCGTGGGGTAATGAATAGAGGATTAAATAAAAGGAGGAATTGCACTATTCAATAATAGTCGAAGATCACAGCAATCATCATGTTCTCCATTTCCCCAGTTGCGGATGCTCATGTTCTTTCGTCTCCATAATTAGTGAGTTGGGTCTCCATCGAAATGATGCGGCTCCACCTACCCACTGAACCTGTTGGTTGCGATTTCTTGGAATACCAAGTTGAACAATGTAGCTAGTGTCTAGCAGCTTTTTAGTCGCAGCGCTCTACTCCATCCATATGCACCGCAATAAGAAAAGAGCGATGGCCCTTCGAAGGACCTGGGTCCGTACAGCAAGGAACTTCCTATAGAAACCTCCCCGATCCTCAGACTGAGAATGGAATAATTAGACGATCGTGTTGATCCATGGTCTCAGACCTCCCGATCTCCTTTTGTTGTGGGTGGATAGTCGCTCGGGATGGGGTCAGTGCTGCATCGGGCGCTTGAAACTCGTATCTAGAATAAGTGTATGATCTACCATGAAACCAATAGCAAGACACTGAAGGAATGACCTCCAAAATCACGAAAAATAGAACACCATTATCAAAATACGGAGACGCGAATAAAAAATAAAAAAAATAAAAAAAAAGGAAAAGGATTAGGGGGCGGGGCGTCAACCGCACACAGAATATGGGGATGTTCGCACCCGACTTCCCCTGTTGACCTGGCGTGCTTCGAGCTGCCTCACATTCACATGCGGCCCAGGCACCTGCATACTATACTAGTACTAGAGTCACTTGCCCCAGGAGCCACCCGTGGAGCTATACCGGAGCGGGAATAGGGAATAAAGAATAGGGGATTCATCACAACAACAAATAGACATCGACATAAACAGTCAAGCTATGATGAAAGCTACTCCATAATCCACCATGAAATTCTCCGGACAATCACCGAACACGAACTCTACTGTCAAAGTCATAATCTACATGAACTAAGGAGTACACTACAGAACCATCACCGCTTAACTCGATCTTCAAGTTGTCACCAGAAACCGGATCTTCTAAAATACCTCACAGCGCGAGACCAGACTCGGCCACAAAAAGCGAGCAACAAGCAGTTAGGCCGACGTTGATCACCCAGACCCTTGTAGTTGGACCTAGTTGGACCTACATTGGACCATTGCGGGATTTCTGGGTGTGCGCTAAGCCTAAAAGAAGCCCAAATCCAGGTCTGTCAACGCCACCCAAATCCCGGACTATTGAGGAGGCTGGCGGATGGAGAGGTTAGTGTGCGTCTTTTCCATAATTTTGGGTGGCTCATTATAATGATAATAATAATACATAATAATAATTTATTATTGTTTTTTTTTTCTCATTTCTGTTTTAGAATGAGCCGTTCGAGGTACGTGCATTAGGCCTTGCGTGTCCCCGCTCGTCTTTCCTCTTTCTTTCTTTCTTTCTTGATTGCTATTCTTTTTTTTTTTCCTTTTTTGCGCATTGTTCCGTAACTTCACGATAGCCTCGGGCCATCCGGGTTAGCTAGTGGCGCCAATACGAAGATCGACCGCCAATGACCCACGCGTAGGATTGGATTGGAATGGTAGACCTGATTAACGGTTCCAAAGAGGGGGGCCAAGAGTGCACGCATCCAGCGTCCCTGCTCTCTAGTAACTTGAACTTGGTGCGGAGTAGGCTACAGTACAGATAGAAGAAAGCAGGAGATTGGATACGAAGTCCGGAAGTTCATTGGCACATCGTATTGAAGGAGTGGAAAGGGAAAAGACTTCCCGGGAAACAAGTCCACAATGATATAATCGATCATGGATGAAGCTCCAGACCTAGTTAGAACCAACTAGTACAGAGTAATTGCGA